CGCCCGCCTCTTACAGACGTGGCCAGCCTCGTCCTCGTTTGCTGCGGGCTGTGGCTGTGGCTGTAGTAGGCGTACTTTTTATCCGTTGGTATTTCAGCCGGTACTGAGGTACCTGTATGGCGTACATGTACCGGTACATATCAGTACGGAGATCTGATACCAAGCCAAGCGGTAAAATACGCGCAGCAAAAGTACCGGTACATGTCTGTGTACTGGTACAAAACCAGGTACGGGTAGAAAATACGGTGGAGCACGGAGCAATCGACTCGTTAGCTCCCGAACCAAAATTCGACGTATCACCTTGGTCTCTGGAGTCATGCATCCATGCTCTCTCTCCAAGTCCAGCGGCTAGCAAGCAGATTTTTTCTCTCCATCGACCGCACTGACTCTCTCTTCTGTAGATTTCAAACTTCAAGCTGCCCCTGAATGAGCCCCAGCCAGCAATGCCAATAGCATCAAGATTCCCAAAAACCATCCATCGAACCACGGAAATCCCAGTTTCACACTCAAACCCCAAGACTTCCCAAGCCCATCGAGGCCCCAAATAAAGTGCGCGATTCCACCAAGGTCCTGAGAAGCCTGGGCTTAATTTCCTCCAGGACCAGGACCAAGGCCAGCAGCGTCTAAAAATATGGGCTATGGGACTCTGAGACGCCGATCGATCTCGCACGGCTCGGGGTATCGTCACGGCAGAGTTTAGGCTTGGAAATCAAGTTAATTTGGCTTTAGCATGGCAAGCGCAAGTCAACCATGCGAGTTACTCTCTAGTTATGTGGGTGCGCCCGGCAATGGCCGGCGAAATTATGGGCCTTTGACCTTAGTTCTGGTCACCGTCTAGGCGAGTCTAGCCGGGATTCCAAGAATGTTGAGCTGGCCTTGTTGTGATGCTTCCACGGCGGTGGAAGGGAGAGAGGTAAACTGCATCCTGTCCTCTGTCCTCACTCCTCAGGCTGAGTTGTCGAACTTATGTCGAAGGAACAGGAACAAAGAAGCGATGGAGATCCCACGTTGAGATACGAGGGCCACACACCTAATCTACGTGCTACCCGCACTTAGGGCTAGTCGGCAAACAGATCACCCCCGAAAGTTCAAGAAGGAACAGACGGGGCCTTGCCTGACTCGCTAGTCGAATAGTTTATCTTGGCGTGAAGAATTCAATCACGCTGTCACGGACACATCTAACTCCTTTTAGGAGACTTAGTCTGCTATCCAGGGCAGACTTTTCCTTTTCCTCCAGGCTCCGTAGTTCGTCACGGCGAGTCGTAACTCGTACCTCGTAACCATGGTTCCAGCTCCCAACGGCACCCTCAACGTCCGTGATAGATACTTCTGCTAGAGCTCGATCAGACGCCCGGTCTGCTTGGAAATTTGGAAATGCCAATGCCAATGCCAATGCCAAGTCGCGCTGCTCCTGATCGGGGCAAGCTGGTCGGGTGCATGCCTGCTTCGCATCTAGTCGCCGCCTGCGACGGCCAGCGTTTGCGGTTGACTCAGGCTCGTCTTGTAGTCTCGTAGTTTACGGGGTACGGGGTCTTGGTGGCTGCGCTGGCTTTTCTTGCGTGTCGCTTGGCCGTGCGCTTGGGTCTCTTCTTTCGGACAAGAGTGTGGCTTGAGGCTTCGATGGATGGAAAAAGGGGTAGAATGTGCGAGAGCTCGGTTGATATCAGGTGGTTGAGTTGGGACTAGATTAAGACTTGGGGTTCAGGTGAGGGTGGTGTATGTACGCAAGGAGTTAGGGCTACGCGATCTGACAGATCTCGGAGAAATGGAATACGGAACGCCAGAAGAACGAGGAACTAACGGTCGGAGAATTCGTATTGTCAACCGTGTCCGTCAATAGTCTGTCTGTCTGCAGCAATAGTCCAGAATGCAGCGTCGCATCTGTGTTCTATTGTAGAACATCCCGTCCCCCGAACGTACAGCATCCAGCATGCAATGCAGCTGCCCTCAACTCTCCGAGCGTCGCACAGGAAAAGCCCGACCCGAGATCACCGTATATCTACGCCAGGCACCCATCAGACGATTGCAAGACACTCTGCGACAGCCAACATGCTATACTCTGCCTCTGTTCTATTTCTGACGACGACCTGACACATTGTTGTCTGATAGTCATACTACGGCCGTTAATGCTGTGTGTCTTAGTCTTAGTCTTACCAAGACCAGACCAGACCAGACAACCCCGACATTCGCGCCTCTCACCTCACCCTTCATCTCAGGCAATTCCAGTCCAGGCCAGCCAGCCAGCCAGCCAGGCCAGATCGGGACCGGACGGAGATTCCGCGTACGGACTAGGAGTCCAGGTGCAAGGATGTCTGGACTCTGAGTCTGGAGTGCTGGCAGCGGCCCACTAGCAGCAAGCTACGCAGTGGACCACGGATCAAGGTCGCGCCATCTGTTCGCCCGGCGCCGTGTTCGCCGGCCATTGTGCAGGTTTCTGGACCCCCGCGCATGTCGTGCGTTCTGGCAGCCTGTCATTCTGAGTCTCCCACGACAGTTACACTTACATCTCTGCTATTATTATCTGGTGCTGCGATTGACTCCGATGGTGTGACGTGACCATGACGGTGTCCTGCAATCAGATGCAATACGTGCGCACAAATAGTGCTGACAAATATTACAGACAGCTAGCGACGGTACGACCCGTGGGTGACACGGCGTCTTGAAAATTACGCGGGTGGTATCTACGTATTGTCCCCACTCCAGCGCGAGGTCTACGAACTCAACAAAACCAGGGCACGCCATGTCAACGGAGAAAAAGCAAAGAACGAAAAACGCAGAGAGGCGCAACGAGGCGCTGGTTTGGGTTCGTCCACGGGATGAGTCTCACATCATTCAAGGCTGACAAGCATTTTATTGGACAGCCCAAGCGCTCGCTGCAGTCTGCAAGCAGATCGGACACAGATCGAAATCTTGTACACCTCATCTATACTCCGTTCGGACCAATCCACTGGCACTGGCCACTACTGAGCCATCAAGCTCACAAAGTCGTCCCACTTGTTCCCAAAGCTGGCGTAGTAGTTCGTGCTGAGATGCGTAATGAAAATCTCGTCCGCGATCCGCCGCACCTGCTTGACAAATTCTCGCAGGTCGGACCCTTCCACGTTGTCTGGAAGCGAGTGGATCACGGCGCAGAGCTGGCTCCGGTCACTGTCGGGGATCGCCTCAAACAGTCTGGCCCCGTTGCGCTCCAAGTAGGTGTCATATGTTGCCTCGAAGACGACAGTCGAGTCAGCTGTCGACAGGTAGCGAGAGTCTGGCACGACCCCGGGGTTGTGGAAAACCTATCGCAAGTCAGCACGGGTTTTGCGCAACGGCCTCACCGAGGGAGGAAAAGTTGGGACACGATCGATCCAATTCCGGGCTAGAACAAGTCACAGAATGAGACCGCCAAGAATAAAATAGATTGGACGTAGTAGAGGCTCAGTGAGTCAGGCAGAGCGTCACACTTACGAAATTGTCGGGCCCCAACCCAGGGGTGTTTCTCACCACCGCGGTGAGATTGTCCAGGTATGCAAAGTCGGTCTCGTTGTACTGCTGCGGTGTTTCATCGAAGAATATTCCCCGAACGGCAAGGCTGGAATTGCCGCTGAGCGTCGGCCAGTTAGCGTACGTCTCGATGTCGCGGCGCACCGCCGAAATGTTGCGCTTCGCGTAGGTCGTGGCGACATAGCCGAGCACACGGACATTGTCGTGCGCCGTCAGCCTGGGAATCTCCTGTGTATAGTTCGCATCAGGCAAAGGGTTCGGCCCCGGCCCGCTGCCAGGGTTCACAACCACAGTGAAGTTGACGTCCGGGTGCTCAGTGATCCTAGACCCGGCGTTTAGCTGCAGCTTCCGGTAAATCACAGGCGCCCTCTGTCCCACGGTGGTGGCTTTTGCAGGCGGCTGATGGCGCTCGCATGGGGGTTCCGGAATTTCTAAGGGCTCATGTCTGACGGACAGGGGTTCGCCAGGCCGCCAGAGGTGCAAGGGAAAATAGAACAAATTAGGCAAAATGATAACTTACACATTCACCAGCGGATCCCACGCACCCGGAGCGGGGTACACATAGAGAGGTACAAAGACCTTTGCTTTTGGGCCCATATTATTATGATCCTTGCGCCGGGTTACTATAATTGACGTGGGAAGGACGATTGCGAGGATCGCGACAAAGACGAGGGCGGCCGCAATAAAACGAGAGCGCCGGCTGCGGAGGCACCCTCGCTCCCTCACGTGTTCTTTGACTGTCGCCATTCTGTATGTAGTTCGATGAAGGGCAGATGGAGCAGTCTAGCGCATCAGAATAATGCGACAAAGGGGGCGCGCCAGAGCAAGTTTAAAAAAAGTGGCCCCGCTGGGCCATGGCCACTCCCCTCTGAGCCCAAGTTTGGATGGGGAGATCTGGAGGGAGCCAGGCCTGCTGCTGCTTTCGCCAAATTCCGCCGCCCAAAATAGAGTGGATCGGGTTTTAGACCGTGCAGCAGGTCTCTAAGGTAGTAATTGCAGCCGTCGGCGAAGCGAATAATCAAAGTCCCTTCCTCCCTGGCTTATAGCACTGCAATCCTGTGGAGGCGCCTAGAAGGTCGTCCGATACTAGCCAACCGCGGGCGCCTTCAGCATTATTCCTGCCCATTCGCATCAAAAAGTGCTGACCTTTCTTAATTTATTATTCTCTTTCCTTTTTTTCTCTCGGGTTCCATTTCCCTGCCACTTCTGACCCTGCCTGCAGTCGTTCGCTTCTGGGAGTCTATGTGCTAGGCGAGTCACGACTCACGATACCTTCGCCTGCCTTGACTCGAAACCGTAGTGGTTACATCAACGGCAGCCCAGAGACTGTTCGGGCCTCACTTTGACCGAGTATAAAAATTTGGGACTCCTGTCTTCTGGCCGCCACCCCCAAGTCGCTCCCTCTCCGTCAAAGTTGACTGGATAAAACCCCTCGTTTTCCTCGTACCCTTGTCCCACCTCTTGGTTTTTGCTCAATATCTGGCCCCAAAAGTCAACAATGGACAGTCCTCGTCGATCAGACGCAAGCTCCCCTGCGGAGCCCTGCTCTCCCGTATGCGTGGACACGCCGGCAACGCAGTCGTCTGTCCTGTTTGACGGCAACCTCGACGATTTACTGCAGGATTTCCCCCTGCGGCAGTACATCCTTGTCACTGGTGGGCTCGGTTTTATCGGAAGTCACACAACACTAGAGCTGCTCAAGGCTAGCTATAACGTGATTGTGATCGACAACCTCAGCAACTCTTTCCAAAGCGTCTTCGACCGCATCCAGCACTTGGCACAAAAGCATCACGACCAGCAGGGCACTAAGATGCCAGCCCTGCATCTTGCTGCGCACGACTATCGCGACACTGCCGCACTCAGGGAGCTTCTCGACCAGTACCAAGTCGAATCAAGATGGGGCTCTCCCAGATCCAAGATTTCCGGTGTAATCCACTTTGCTGCTTATAAAGCAGTCGAAGAGAGCATCAGAAACCCGCTGAAGTACTATGCAAACAACGTTAGCGGTCTCATCGACTTTGCCACGACTTTGGGAGAGTACGGCATCAAAACCTTCATCTTCTCTTCATCAGCAACAGTTTACGGCACCTTGGCCACGTCCGGCCTTCCGCTTAAGGAAGAGCTGTGCGCGCACAAGGACGAGATCTTCCACGGCGCCGACGGAGTTGGTCAAACCATTAGAGCCGGCTCTACCGGAATCACTAACCCATATGGACGCACAAAATGGATGTGCGAGGCCATATTGGCCGACTTGGCTGCTTCGGATCCGGAGTGGACGATTGTAGCACTCCGATATTTCAACCCAATTGGCTGCGACGAATCAGGCTTACTCGGAGAGGATCCCAAGCAGACTCCCACAAACCTATTGCCGGTGGTGGTCAAGGTTATGACAGGAGAGTACAAGGAACTCTCCATGTTTGGCACTGACTGGGAGACCGAAGACGGAACCGCCGTCCGCGACTTCATCCACGTTACCGACTTGGCTCGGGGGCATATCGCAGCCCTCGATGTTGCCAACGAAAGAAAATTGGTCGAGAACTTTCGCGCTTTCAACTTGGGCACCGGACGCGGACACTCGGTCAAAGAGGTCGTCGACGCCATGGAAAGCGTATCTTCCAAGCGAATCCCTGTTAAAGCAGCTCCCCGACGCCCAGGAGATGTTGGGGCCTGTGTTGCCGTTGCCGATAGGTCGGAGCAGGAGCTCCGATGGAAGACTGAAAAGTCACTGACAGATGCTTGTGGCAGTCTGTGTAAGTTTTTGGAAGTCAGTGGTGTGCCTCTTTGAGGTTTTCAAAATTGAGGGCTCGGTGATATATAATGATAATAGGCGTTGGGCGGTTCTTTGTATATCTTGTCTAATAATATGGCGGCCTCGCGGATCTCGCCCTTGTCAATGATAGAGATTTTCTTTCTTTCCATGTTCTTTAGAAGTCTTTCTTGTGTAATGGTATAGCATGCGTGGCGAGAAGCAGATAGTCTTGCATAGTGTTCGCAGTTTAGTTTGAGAGGGACCGTGCCGAAAGTCTGTGGTGAATGAACCACTGTCCTTTGTCAGTGGAGAAGAATCACCATCTTCCCAGTCTCAAGTCGAACGATATCGACCAAGTCTGATAGGAGGAACGTGCTCTGCTTCCGAAATATCTCCAACTTGTGACATTCAAAGCGAACGTCAGGTACCCCTCTGTGGCATGACATATGTGGGCCCTGACTGCGGAGCGTTGTACCTCCCAATGTATGTCAACTGTTGGGTTCTGTCTTTATTGACTTGCCAAAGCATGCGGAGAAGTGGCTCGCAGAGAAGCTGTGTGGGCGGGCGATACTGCAGGATTATAAGTCCGGGGACAGATGCACGTAGCCTGATATATGGCCCGTCAAGCCTTGCAGTGTGTTCCAGATGCCATGTGCGCACAGATGGCTGTTCAGGGAAGAGCAGAGATAAATCTTGCAGCTCTAACTGGGCGAGGTGACATGCACACAGAATCGGAATCCTCGTCCGCAAGATAAGGAGTGCGAAGCCGTACGGCCAAGGTTTTCTTGCAGCTTGTTGATGCTTGTTACCACGACGGTTGCAAAATGTACGCGGTCGTGCTGTACTCGTCTTTTTCAAAGATACTGTTGGGAAGATCATCTATTTCGTGTTACCCGCCAACGACATGCAAGTGATGCAGAAGGTAGAGCAGATTGTTTGTGTTGTGAGCCTCATAGATGTGGACTGAAACTTGATCCATAATGAAAATGAGTCCTAGTTAGGAAAGGCGTAGATGAGCCTGGCACGTGATCGGCATTCTGTTAGTCACGTGCACCTCACCTCCGGCTTGGCATCAATTTCATCCGCAGATTCTTGACAATTGCTCAGTCGCGACATTTCAACCTCAACATCGTGTAGCATTATTGGCGAGTTCCTGCGGTCGCTCCATATATTCGGACTCCATCACGACAATCATACAACCCGCCATGAAAATGATTTGCCAACGCTGCCGGTCGAGCATCCTGACCCGGCTCCAACCCCAGACTTTCACAACTCCGTTGAGTGTCAGCCAACGAGTCCAATTCCGCAACTACAGCGACGGAAAGCCTACGGTAGCAGCTGCTCCTCCTCCTCCCGAATCCCGCCAACCCATCGGCGACGACATTACCATTCCCTCCGCTATCTCCTCCGCTACCCCTGGAGTGTCGCAACCCTTGAGCACCCCGGGAGGTGTTCATGTCGATGTGAACCCTACAAAAGCTACCAAACCCGTTGAACGCGCCCCGAGCTCATGCGTTGCCGGAACACCCCTGGCTGGTCTCAATTACTTCAAGAACAAACCTGATGTCGTGGCTCTGGAGGACTCCGAGTACCCCGAGTGGCTGTGGTCGCTGCTGGATTCTTCGGGCAAGGAGGCTAAGAAGGGCGGCGTGGATCCGAGCAGTATGTTTCTGGTTTGAAAGACATTTCTTTTCAAATGCTGACTTTGTTCCCTTTAGCCCTCAACAAGAAGCAGCGCAAGCGTTACGAAAAGAAGATGGCCGCTCGTGCCGCGACATTACCTGTCCAGATCCCCATTCACCAACAGGCTACGGATATCACGCCCGCACAGTACAACCGTGATGGAGAGGCCCCAGTAGACCCGCTGCAAGAGGCCGCGGAGAGTTTGGAGAAGCGACACGAGATCACAAAGAGTGCTAGGGAAGCCCGGAGGAAGGCAATCAGAGAGGCCAACTTCTTGAGCGGCCTCTAGTTCTCTTTTTTTTTGTCAAGCGCGCTGGTTCAGGAAGCAATGTTCTTATATAAGTGTTCCAATAACTGGGTGTACATTATGCTGACCGCTTCACCATGTATTCTATGGCATCTATATTTTTCTAATCTCGAACAAGCGGCAAATGGAATTGCAATGCATCTTAGATTGTTACTTGTGCGTCTGACGCTCGGTCACTGCTGGATCTACTGTGCGATTTCCCAGACCTTGTCCTCGCCCTGTCCTTCAACCCATTGGTAACAGGCATCCCACAAGGCCTTGATTTCACCATCTCCCAGTCCAATCATCTCCTGCCAGATCTTCTCATCCGCAATCTTGAACCAAATCAGAAATCCCATCACGAGGAAGTCCGCATATCCGGCCTTGTCGCCCTCGAAGAATGGGCCGGTCTTTCCGGTTCTGCCCTTGAGCATCTCCACTAAAGTCCCCATCTCCGTCTTCGCCTTTTCGATCATCTCCTTGATTTCCTTCTCATCGTTGGGGCGGATCTCTTGTAACGGCTTACCGAACGTCGCCGAACGGGTTCGAACATAAAACTCCTTCCCCCGCGGGTCGAGAATGTCCGCGATAGGGACGAGCACGAGCCTATACACCGCAAACCCAACAAGACGCATGATTCTGTTGACCGAGACCGCAAGGGCGTAGCTGGCATCCCCTGATGGGAAAATGGGTCGCTCCGGGAAGTGTTCTTCTAGGTGGCAGGCGATGGGGAGAGAGTCCATCAGGGCTCCGGATGGGTTTGTGGTCACCGAGGGGTGAACGATGGCTGGCAGGGTGTAGTCGGTGTGCGCGGTTCCCTCCGGGTGAGGTGGAACAGACAGGCCCTTGAGCAGAGGGGCGATGTCAGGGTAGGAGACATAGGTCTGGGTGTATGGGATGCCCTTGTAGTTCAGAATGAGGCGGGTCTTGAACGTGTTGGGAGACCATGCTTTGGAGGGTCCTGGAGGCGTCAGCATGTGTAGTACCTAGGTAGGGCGAAGACAGTGAGAATACCAGAAAGGTCTGACAGAAGGTCGAAAAAGTGCACTGGGGTTTGTTCTGTCATTGCGGATAGAATTGCTACACTATCGATGTTGGAGTTGGTGGTTGGCTTCAAGAATCACTAGATTTATCAAAATATATAAATGAAGATTCGGAGCATGCTTCGGAGACTTCACGACAAGTCCCGCGTCAGACGGATAAGCGGGAACTTGATTGATCAGCGAGGCACTAAGCTCACCCCGTATGCGTATTTTTTAGGTCCTGGAGTGGGATTCTGATTGTTGACCGCTTCCTACATGAATTGTCAAGTCCAGATCACCGGCAATCATAGTAATGTGGGTCTGAATAGCTTCACCGTTACCCCGCACAAAAATACTCAACTTCTTCTCACCATCCACTTCAGCCAGAAACATCTTTTCCAGCGCAATGGACAGCTATAGCCTTAGTAGAGATGGAAGGAGACATGTTGATTCCTTCCTCATCAACCTGCCCCTCATAGGATGATCATCTGGCGACCTCAGGCGGCCACGGCTCATGCCGAGCCACGCACGCCCCATGAGTGGAGCGACCAGCTGTCCTTCGAGCTTCAGCTGCTGTCACTTTTCTTTATCCCTTGATTTTTCTTTTCCGAAATCTATCCTGTCCTCTCACTGTTCTGCTGCGTGAACATCCACGTTCCTGCTGCTGATCGACGATTTCGCTACGGTTCTCAGCATCCGGCTGCAGCTACGCCTCAAACTATCGACTTGTCGGTGAACTTTCCATCGTGCAAGGAGTTGACCTGCAGATAATCTATCTACGGACCACCATGGCTGCCGTCCACGAGATCACCGAACGTACTAGCCAAATCGCCATAGATCCTTCGTCCCAGGCCCCCGCGACCAAGCCCATAACCGCATTTTCGCCCTCTTTCCAGACCCGCCTGGACCAAATATACAGCTCGTTGACGTCGACAAGCTCCAACTTCATCAAGGACATCCAGCATGATGTACACGACACGAGTGATAATGATCCGCTCAGCTCCTTGGCGGCGTTTCATGCCTACATGGCTAGCTCTTCAGCAGCTGCGTTGCGTACCGCCAGCCCGCCAGACGACTCTGCGCCGATCACAGACTATTATATCTCCTCGAGCCATAATACGTACTTGACTGGGAACCAACTGTACAGCGATGCAGCTGCGACGGCTTACACCGATGTGGGTCGCGATACTATCTATACTTTTGAAGAGGGCGGCTGCTGATGACAACAGGCCCTACTAAGTGGATGCCGATGCGTCGAGATTGATGTCTGGGATGGAGAGCCCGACTCTGACAGCGACGACGATGGTACAAGCAGCAGCAGCAGCTCAGGCTCCGATGACGAGAAGAGCAAAGACAAGCCCAAGATACCGAAACGGAAGAGGACGGTCAAGTCCAAGCTAGGCAGCTTATTTGGAAGAAAATCGCCATCCAGCGAGCCACCTGCAGATGAGGGCAAAGTTCCGGGCCCTGCGAACGTAGGACTGATACGGTTAGAGCCCAAAGTGCTCCACGGTCATACGCTTACGAAGGGGACGACATTCCGGGAAGTGTGCTACGCTATTCGTGACAGTGCGTTTGTCGTCAGCGATCTACCTGTTATCGTCAGTCTAGAAGTGCATGCTTCGCTCGAGCAGCAAGAGATCATGGTGGAGATCATGGAGGATGCGTTCAAAGGGTTGCTGATCCAAGTCACGCCGGAGATGGAGGCCATGGAGACGCCGCCACCTCTTAGGGATTTGAAGCGGAAGATCCTGGTAAAGGTCAAATGGGTTCCACCCTCTGCTGAAGGCGAGGAAGACGTAGATGACCGCACAGACGACCTGGAGCAACTGGCGCCGAGCAAGTCAGCAGGTGCATCTGCCCAAACTGCTTCACAAGCTCCTGCAAAGCCGGCAAAGATTCTCCACTCTCTAAGTCGGCATGCGATTTTCACCAAGGGCTTCAGCTTTAGGCAATTCAGTCAACCCGGTATGAGCTGCGCACCTCAACTTGCTTTGAACTGCTTACTGACCCCTAAACAGAGGCCAAAGTTCCCGGCCACGTATTTTCCCTCTCAGAGCGAGCAGCCCGCCAGGCCGACGAGAAATACGGCAAAGAGTTATTCGAGCACAACCGCAAGTACTTCATGCGCATCTACCCCTACGGCCTTCGTGTTAACTCCTCCAACCTTGACCCAACTTTCTTCTGGCGTCGCGGCGCACAGATCGTGGCCCTGAACTGGCAGAACTCGGACAAGGGCATGATGCTGAACCAGGGAATGTTCGCAGGAGAACAAGGCTGGATTCTTAAGCCTCAAGGTTATCGAAGCACAGAACCAGAGTCTGCGCCTATTACTCGTCGGACTGTCGACCTCTCAATTGAGGTTCTAGCGGGCCAGGACCTGGCTCTACCTCCGGGAGACAAGAATGAAAAGGGATTCCACCCTTATGTAGCTTGTTACCTGCACGTGGAAACGCCGGAGGACGCGGCAAATTCTGACCTCAAGGGCGACGACAGCACTGATTCCGAGAAAACGAGCTACAAGCGCGTCATCAAATCCGCGGAGGGCAGCAACCCGGATTTCGGCTCTCAGGTTCTCCAATTCCCGACTCTTTCCGGCGTCGTTGAGGATTTGACCTTTGTCAGGTTCGTTGTCACACTTGTGCTAGGCGTTTGGGTTTGGTTGCTAACTTTTTTCTTCTTGCAGGTTTAAAGTTAAGGACGATGAGATTGGACGCGACTCGTTAGCCTCCTGGGCCTGTATCCGATTGACCCGGTTGCAAGAGGGATACCGCATAATTCGTTTGTACAATTGTGATGGATCGGATTCAGGTGGTTTCCTTCTTGTTCGGATCACCAAGACCATCTCATGAGCGTAGGGAAAGCGACTAAACAGCCCTCTAAGGGGAGGTGCTTGGGGACAGAACGTCATACGTTGTGCAAGTGACTCACTGGCGCCTAGCAAGAAGTCATAGCCACCTGCATGCCTACAGAGTTGTATCAATGGACATACCTGGACTATCATCTCGAGTTAATAATGTAACCTGCCGATGGGGCTATAGAGGGGATCCTCACTTCATCACTTTCTGACTGATATGCCAAGCGCATAAAGTAGTATGTACCTCGGCACAGCAATTAGAAAGAAACCTACCACACTCCGCGAGGAACTCATCTCCGCGCACGCGGGGTAAAGCCAGGATCTGGGGAAGGCTCCGAAAAGGGCAACCCGAAGCGCAGGAAAGCCAGCCGAGACTAGCGCTTAGCACTGCCAGATGGATACACACAAGCGCCGTTCCTTCCAGCTCTGCACTCTGCATCCCTCATGGCCTGACCTCATAACCTCTCGCAGGACTTGGACATGATGACAGATTCCATCTCTGCTTCTGCGCATGCATCTGCCTCGACAAACATTGATAACGACAATGATAAACAAAACGAGTCCCGCCCCACAACGGCTCCAAAGTTCACGCGATGTCGCACGGGCTGTTTGCGGTGTAGGAAGCGAAGGCGCAAGTGTAAGTTCTCGTTACCCCTTCCCAATGCCTTGACCTCTTCTATGGAGACTACAGCTTAACGAATGGCTAAATCATTACGTTGGCAACTGGTCAGGCGACGAGCGCAAACCACGATGCCAGAACTGCATTGACAAGAACTTTGACTGCAGTTACGGCTTGCAGGTGACCTTCCTTGCTAAAAACTCATTTACCGTGTCAACGGATGAGGATGGTACAATCCGAAAGAAAGGGGGTTACAGCAAGATTCAGGTGAGTACCGATCCCAGTCTGTTTTCGATTGAGAGCTTTGATTGCTGATGTTTCTGCATGGGCTTCAGTTTGTCAATGAGGACCCTCTCTCGATTGATAATCTCGTCACCCAGCAGGTATCCTCTCCCGAGTCGACCGGGTTGAATACTCCTCCACCGTTACCCCCATCTTCTCCGTCTCGGAGTGTACGGCACGGACAAGAAAGTCACAGGCATTCCATCTCCAACCCTGTCTTGGACAGGGAGACACAAAGAGATGATGGCCATACCAGACTTTCCCAAGGAGGAACAGAATCCAACCACACGTATCCCGACGTTTACTCCAATACTCAGAACCGCACAACCCTCGCACCATGGGAACTCGACGGCCACGCTAGCGCACATCCGAACTCAGCTTCAACCCTGCCAGTCACTCTCGAACCACCAATCGCGCAGAGCACATTCAGCGCGAAGGACGAATTTGCTGTGCGAGGTCTCCTGGCGCTGGGCACTCAGCCTCTGCCTGCGCCTAGTGGCGGGACTGGCTCTATCACAGGCGTCTTATCCGCTGGACCGGACGCCCTTGAGAGCAGACGGACAGGTCCAGACCTGGTTGCTGGCTCGCCAGGGAGGGTACTTGATGCGGTGCCGCCTATTTTTGTTGAGGGGTTATTACAACCGGCGGTAGACCAGGGCATATCCGGTCCTACTGCTCACTCAATCTTGAATTTTGATATGGAGGCGCCGAAAGCGTCATCCCATTCCCACGTGCATGACATGTCAAACTCGAATCCAATTTCTGGATCATCGAAGATGAAACTGCTACAGCATTATCGATATAACGTTGCGCCATGGGTACGATCCCCTTCCTTTGCCTTCGAGAATCAGGCATCGCTTCTGTTTGATTCAGACTCATTCTCAAGCCAACCAACTAATAGGCATCCACAAAAAGCTAGACATTCATGACCTGAGCCACCCGTTTGGTATCACCGCGCTACAGACAGCCGTTAACTCGTCCTCCGGGCGACTTCTCAATGCACTCCTAGCTCTTTCTGAGACTTGCTTGCGAGTGCAGAAGGGTCGCAATTATCGCCACACGGACGTCCAGGCCGAGTCTCATACCTTCACGCACGAGCTTCAAGGGGCTCAATCTGAGGATACGGTGGCGCAGCACTCCGATATTCCAGACTTTACTGAGAGCTTCACGATTGTAATGTTGCTGCTGCTTTTCAGGGAGCTAAAAGATCTCGTTGCGGATGTTGCGAGGGCATGGGCCAAGGGCAGTGATGGATTTGAGCACGACTTTGAATCTGGGTATGGGCGTTCGCGTGATTCTGACTACGAGCCGCTGCTGTCATTAGAGAATAAGGCTTACGAACTGGATTTGGATTCTGCAATTTTCTGGATGTTCTTGCGAATGGGTACGCATCTTCAAGTCTCTTGAAAACCAATGTTTGAACTGATCAAAACAGATCTAGGAAAGTCCCTAGCAAACAATACTCCTTTACGAGTACACCTGCCAACGCAGTCCCTACCAAACCTGTCTCTCATTGCCCACACAGAAAACACTCACGAACGAGTTGGCCATTATGCCCAAGTCTTGCTCTGGCTTTGCGGGAATGCTCTGAATATCTACCACCAGCAGGATTCCGACCTTGCCCACGTCTCCCGGCAAGGACCAGGACCAGAGAGTTGGCTCCAGGTCTTCGAAGGGTTGAGCCAATGGCACTACCTTCGTCCGCAGGAGTTCCAGCCTATGGTCGAGCTTAGCCATGATGGCAGCCATGGTCTGAATGCAGGAAGCGAGTTTCCTACGCTCCTATTCACTAACGGTGCGGGTGCACTGTGTACTCAGCTATATCATACGGCGATGCTTCACATGCTGGAATGCAAGCCGCGAATGGCCACCGCGCTGCTGAGCCGACACCATCAACCGCGCTCGCCGGTGTTATCTCCTCTGTGGCACGCACATCGGGTGTGCGGGATCGCACTAAACAATGACCGCGCTGAGTGCTGGGATCCGTGTCTTCTGGCGTCGTTCCTCCACGCCGCGAGACATATGACCCACGAGTCTCAACAGATTGAGATTGTGCGTGGTTTTGAACGAATCCAGGCGCTGACTGGGTGGGGCGTGGGCGAATATCTCACGACTTTGCGCGAGGAATGGTCCTTCCTCGACGGTGATGACTTCGAATAAGCGGTTCAGCATAGACGGGCGATTTCGATCACACAACGACATGCTGCTGATGCTGAGGCGAGTCCTGGTGCACGGTCGCTAAGAAGTGTTGATTCATCGTCGTATCTCGACGGCTGCCACTCACACTATACCCCCAAGCGATTTCCAAATCACGAATCCGCCAGCAAGCGCCCCAACCAGTCTCAGCCTCGATGTCGCGAATGATCTTGACGATCTGCTCATGCTCCGACGCATGACTGAATAAGCGCCCAGCAATCCAAAGCGGCTGGATCGCATTATTGAGGCAACCTTGGTGCTTATTGCTGATTGAGATCCCACAAATCCGGCGCGCATGCCATAGCAGGGATAGCGTTGGTGACCGTGGCATCCGCAACCCCTTCGGCATCATTTTGAGCAGCAAGATACAAGCAGTATGATACAGCTGGTTAGAAGAGATGGCGGCCCAATGTACGAAGAGGATATGCGGGAATGGCTTGCGGGAGATTGTCTGAATGGGGAGGAGCTCTGAAGGTCGTTCGGCTAGCCAGGTCTGGAGGTCGTTCCAAAGCGATGTCCAGCGAGCAGCGAAGACTTCTGTCGTACAGCCGTTGTCTTCGCCGAGTTCGATGAATTTCGTTCGAGCGGAAACAAGCTCGGTTGTCTTGACGGAGAGGTACACGGCGTAGTTGGCGTGCATGTCCGGGGTCCGTGCTTCTTTGAATAGCCTGTATGCGTCTTCCTCCTGGCAGCCCATTGGAAGCCATTTGGAGGGATGAAGCACCGTGGTTCTCGTCCCGTCCGATATCAGCGCGCCACAGAGGTCTGCGATTGATCAGAAGAGACTTCAGAAAGGGAGACATCTTCCAGAATACGAGCGACTTACCCATCCGCGCATAGCACCAAAAGACAGCCTGCAACAAGCCCCCGCAGAACCCGTGAATCCCACTTGCCTCAAACAATGCCGCGCAGCCCTCCAAGTGTCGATGCCAGTCCTGCGCCCGCGCAGACATCATTTCCAGGCAGCAGAGTAGCACACACGCAGCCACAATCTTCGGATCGCGAACCTGGATCAATGGGCTCAAGAGGCGAATTGCCTCTTGGTAGAGCTCCAGACTGTCATACCAGCCCTGGATGCCAGATTTGCGCTCCATCTGACGCGCCGAGATGGCGAGCATCGCATAGAGAAGGGCGGGGAAGGAGTGCGACAGGGCAGGGAGCTGTTGGCGGAATGTGCAACCGGAGTCAAACATGTCGAGCTATTCAGTTAACATTACTTCCAGCGTAGACTGGTGTGGTGCATGCTCACCCAAGGTGCAACCTCCGCGACATAGTTCTTCAAGTACTCGATTCTTCTAAGGCTGGAGAGTGGCGATTTCGGCGCAGTGGCAGTACTAGGCTCACCGTGCTGATATGATCGCGACGCGATTGTAGACGGAGACCCCAAACCTAGTTCCAGCTCTCTCTTCGCAGCCTCGGGGCTACTTGCGCGCGTCGGGGCCGCCGAGTTCGCAAGCGTGAAGAGGATAGCGCGCAACTCTTCCTGCGACGCCAGAAACCCCGGGTCCTGCGAAAAGCCATCCTGATGCCAACTCCCCGGGGAGGAATTGAAGAGGTCGGCGTTGGGCGTGGTGATGGTCGCGGTGTCGGGTGGTCTTGTGTTTGTGGGGTGCGGGGAAGCATGCTCCTCCGCAGTTTCTGCTGGGACTGGGGGCTGCTGCTGATCGAGTCGCGGTCGCTTTGGGGGCGGTTCGATGCCGAACATGGTCACTGTATCCGCCTGCCAGGAAATAGGTATCGGAATAACGTCAGATGGATGCAGAGTGGCTGGCCATGGAGAAGAAAAGTCAGCCGCCGGCTAAATTTCCCAATGTGGAGAGCCGAGAGAGACTCCAGGCGATCTCGGAGGATGGCCGAGGGCGGAAGAGCGCTCTGATTCAGGTTTGCTCTGTTTTTGGGATCTGGTAGGTTTCGATGCGACTCAGGCAGGCGAACTCACGAGGCACGTTGACATCATCTGGCCAGGTCAATTCCAGACTTGCTTCGTGCTCTGCCCTGTGAGTGGCGGAGGATTGTCTCAGGACGCCGGGGTACGGGGTACGGCCCAAAAGCAAATGGAGGTCTGTGGCTGTTGATCGACACTCCTCCCCCGTATTTTCTCTGGCGTACCCCAGGTTTTGTCTCCATTTTGTGGTCTCATGTGTGCGGGGCAGTCTGGAGATGCGCGAGATTCAGGGAGGAAGTGGCTCGGAATGCCGCATCGAGCGAACAATCCGGGCAAAGCGCGGGCTTGTTGCTGTTGCATGCACCCGCATCGTCATCCACTCTTCTCACTCTTCTCTTACTCGGGAAAAGACCATGCTGTGTTAGTCCCATAAGTACTACGAGGCTGCCACGCCGCACCACTTTCTCCTCTCCCCACAGTTTCTGTACCTATCCTGCAGTTGCTGTACGGTGCAGCTTTTCAACTTCACCTTCACAATGGTGCAAATCAACATGTTTGGCACGGGGCGCTCGCTCCAAGCCGCTATCTGGGCTGCTTGCGGCATGGCCTTCATCCTTTTCGGTATGAACCTTCGACTCTATATTGCCGAGTCCTAACACTTTTGTACGGTAGGATACGACCAAGGCGTCTTCTCCGGCATCGTCGAGAATGAGAACTTCCTCGACCACATGAACCACCCCAATGACAGTCTCATGGGAATCATCGTCTCGATCTATAACCTGGGCTGCTTCAGCGGCTGCGTTGTCAATTTTCTTCTCGCCGATAAACTCGGTCGTCGGCGCGCGATGTGGTTTGCGATGCTTTGGGTCATTGTACGACAACAATTGCCCTGGCGCTGTACTTTCTCTGACCCTCATTGTAGGTCGGAGCAACCCTCCAGACATCTGCATATAGCGTGCCTCATATGATGGTCGGTCGATTCGTCGCGGGTATCGGGACAGGCATTGAGACGTCGACAGTGCCCATGTGGCAGGCGGAGCTGTGCGAGGCGTCAAAGCGTGGCAAGCTGGTTTGCAGCGAGCCGTTGCTTGTGGGTGTTGGTATCGTCATTAGGTATGCCCTTGTATCCTCACTTTTGCTTTTTCTAGACGACGCAGCTAACTTGAAAGTTACTTCTTCGATTACGGCATGAGCTTCGTCGGCGGCCAGATCGCTTGGAGACTTCCTATTGCTTGCCAGATGCTGTTTGCATTTGTAAGTCTCGCCCACTTAAGATATTGTGGTTCGATACTCACCTCCGCTAGGTCGTCATCATTCTCGTCTTCGGGGTGCCCGAGTCGCCTCGATATTGCTACCAAAGGGGACGGAACGAGCAAGCCTTGCAGATCCTGAGCGACGTCTATGGCAGGCCCAAAGATGACCCCAAGATCCAGGCCGAGCAGACCGAGATCCTGGAGGCTTTGGCCATCGAGACAAAAGAGGGCGAGTACAAGTGGAGGAACATTCTCAAGCCGGATGGTGTTTCGACCGGACGCAGAGTGTAAGTCGGCAAATCTACGACGGTAGATTAGGGTGCTAACTTTGCCATCCAGGCTCCTTGGCTACGGAATGCAATTTATGAACCAAGTCGGCGGTATCAACCTCATCGTGTACGCCTTCCTTCCTAGAGCTTACCCATCATGTCTACGGTAGCAACCTGACACCCTATAGCTACTTCATCCCTACCGTTCTTCGCGATAACGTCGGCTTGAGTCCGAACCTGTCCATGATACTTGGTGGCTGTGTCCAAATCATGTTCGTGCTCGGTAGCTTCTTCCCAACCTTTTTTGTCGACAAAGTCGGTCGCCGCGCACCCATGATATGGGGATCGCTCACGCTCGGAATCTGCATGATGATGGTCTCGATCCTTCTCAGCTTCAAGGGCAAGGAGAACGAGCAAGCGACTTCCTCTGCTTCTGTTGCCTTCTTCTTCGTCTACATGTTCGCCTTCGGCGCGTCGGTCAACTGTATACCTTGGGTGTATGTGCCGGAAATCCTGCCTCTGCATGCGCGCGCAAAGGGAACGGCGGTTGGCATCTCGTCGAATTGGATCTGGGTAAGTTACTCACAACATCTCCGGCGGTTTGTGCTAACAGTCGAAGAACTTCTTCGTCGTCATGATCACGCCGGTCATCATCAACCGTCTGCAGTGGAAGGCATATCTCATCTTCATGTGCACCAACTTTGCGTTCATCCCGCTGGTATACTTCTGCTATCCCGAGACAGCCAACTTCACCCTCGAGGAGATCGACTACCTTTTTACCAACAAGGAGAAAGGCGCTGTCAAGCTCTCAAAAGAGTTGCACAAGGAGCGGAAGAAGCTCGGTCATGTCCGTCGGCTTACTGCCGAGACGGGTGGTGCGCTTGGTACAGGCGTCAAAGGCGACGAGCTTACTGAGAAGTCGCCGACTGACGAGCACGTTGAAAGGGTATAGATGGCTTAGAGAGGTGATACACCCACTGCTGAGCACTGGGCGCGATCGATCCCATTTGAGAGGGGTTTACTGTTCATGGCGCATGGTTTGTGGGTTACAGCGGCCGCACGTGCGGCTGAGGAGTGCGTTGTCGCGTTGCGGAGTTGACCAGCATATACTGGTGACGGTAGAACCTGCTAGATCAGCCATAAAATCCGAAAGCTAGATTCGTATCTAAACGGATTTCTTCGCTTCGCTTCATCTCGCTTCCCTGGAGTATGCGATGGAAACGGCGGAGACGGTACGTTGTGATATCCGCTCATTCAGCTCCGATCAAAGTGTGGATTACGGGCTGATCTATCGTCTTTGACGGAGGTCGATATTGCACGATGTCGAGGAATGGCGCAAGCCTCGAGTAGATAGTCCTCGCCATGAATCGTAAGACCATGGAAGACCGGGAGTGAAACTCGAACAACATCCATCATTCAGCTCGCTCTGAAAGTCGTATTTCGTATTCGATCACGACGTTCAGTGCCTAGAGCACAGTGCGTAGAGTAAGCCAGTCGAAAGACCTCGCACTTGAAACAATCGCGTACCCACAACCCCGTAGGGTGTTCTGTACTATCTCGAGCACGGAGTATGCGCTGCATAGAACAGGGAAAGCCATTGAAATTGAGTTTGGAGAATTGTCAGTAGGTCAATGGAGAGTGGTGATTCGCGAAGGGTAAATTTGCCGAAAGACATCTAACTGGCGGTGTGAGGTCTCTGGGAGAGGGAACTAGTATCCGTGATTTGCGACCTTCATCGAGAGCCGGTAGGTTCGCGTTCTCATTGAACAGTTCAAGGCGCGGGCTTTGGTTCGAACAGGTCTGAAACCCGGGATGGTAGATCGCAGCAATATCAACCGCGCCACCTTCCCTGTTCCGGAGAGACGGGTCAGTCGAAAAAGCAAAAAAATCCAACCCGATAAAGGAAAGAGAAGAAAAGGGACAACGGGACTGGGAATGGCGATTCAAGGCCAAAGTTAGAATCATGACTTGACAGGAAATGGTTGCTGGCCCAAAAGTTTGACCTGTCACATTCCAAATAGTAGATGGATATCGAATCCAATGGGCCTTGCTGTTGTGATGATGAATCCAGGCGACTGGCGCGGATTAGCGTGAGGAACGGGTCTTTGGCTCTTGGACCTCTTGTCCGTCGATTTGGAATTTGCAACATCAAGATTGGGGACGGAGCAGTGACTTATTAGGCGTCAGATCTGCTCGTATTGCCTTTAAAGAAGCAGGGATTGTGTGAGTTGACGTCGGGAGTCGTCGGGAAAAAAAATGTCCTGCATTACTCGAGTCTCACGCTGTGGCCTGTGCTGTGCATCATCACCACCTGGATTGGCTCCAAAAAGGAGCAAGGATTATGAACTCAATGCCGAGTCCAGCTCCACTTCCTTTATGCATCAATAATTACCATATCAGCAGATTGCCAGGTTATCAGCACACCCCTGTCGGCTTGCGTGACAAGAAATTCCATGCTCATGCCGCATCACCCAGGAGCAAAGGCTAGAGCATGAGAAATCTACTGATCCATGCTGCGATAAGTGGGCTGGTGGAGACTCTCGAGGACTCAACTGCACATTTACCCCAGACCTTGATGAGTGCGCCAGGAACCTGCTGCTCAACTTGGGCCCCGCGGTGCATGTAAAGCGACCGGCTCAACCATGGAGATCGCCAGTCGGTGCAACATTCCAAAAACGACTGGAGCCGAAGCTTCGGTATGCTCTAGAATCTATGCATTGTTCTAAGAAAACTTGAGACTGGTTTGTGATCGACAGGAAAGGATACTCCGTAGAAATACGTACCCGTACCCGTTCATTCAATTCCTACTCCGTAGGCCCACGCCGGACCACGGTCGTCGGTCATTCCGTAGCATGGATGTGATGGCGCGCCTTGCAGGAACGGCTCGGCAATCTAAATACGTAGAACTTGACAACGAGAAAGACACCGAAAGTGGTATGGCTTGTTTCGACTGACTCCGAGGGCTTGGGACCCGAAATCCTCATATTGCATATAGTTCGACGCCGGATTGAGCACCCAAAAAGCAGCTTTATGGATAAACCATGCCCTTGGTTCTGGGTTGATAGGTTACCTCGACTGTGGCGTTCCTGAACAGGGGCTTCCCCTGCAGTCTTGCAGGTGTCAATACTAGCCGAGCTCGAGTTTCTCTTGGTCTCTGCATCATGGCTGATGTTGTGATTGGGTACAATGTATAGCGGGATTGTAGCATGACCGCTGACCGCACTAGAATTGGTGAGGCGTAGATAGTAACGCCGGGGCCACAAGCTGTCACGGGCCGCCCTAGGCAGGATCCACCCAGCCACAGACAGGCTTTGTCTCTCCCCTATACATCATCATGACCGGATGCTTATCACACGGTTGGGCTAATTGCGTCTCGCCTTTTGGAAGCTCAAAGAGAGGAGTCTGGGATAGACCTCGTGAGCTTGAATTGCGAACGAGTCACATATGCAAGTAGTATGCTTTGATGTTCGTGGATGATCGAATCCACATCAAAGTTGCATAAAAAGTAACCAAAGTATGGCGGCCCACTATCGGCTGTCAGATCGGTGGCTCCGCTGCTATTTTTTCGCGTTGGTTTTTGCTTTTCCAAGGAGCTTCGCTCCATGGACATCAAGGTTTTGGAGGTGGCGCACTGACAGTCCAGGGTCTCAGCACAGATGTACATATCGTGCTCGAAGTCGACCCACTGGCCTTTCGCAAGGAATGAATGCAAGTCATGGACGGGAAGATCCGAACAATCCGAACAAATCCTGCCGCTGAATATGACACGACATGTTGATAAGAGCATTTGACTTTGAGGAAAGGGGCCGGCGGGAGGGGTCGACATACGATGGCGCCTTTGATGATGGCGCTTTTGATGTATTGATTTGAATTCCAGGCTAATTGTCACCCCAATCGATCGGTCCAAGCTAATTCGAAGATCTCCCGGGCCACAGGAAAGGATTGGCGTGCAGTGATAATCAGCGTTCCCACCGTAGCCCCAGGTTATTGCCCAGAGGTCGAACTATATAAGAAAGGGGTTTCGAACGATTAAGCTCTGCAGAGAAAACGCAAACAGAGCCCCTCAAACCTCGACACTTGAATTCCCCACTGCAAGCCTCAGCCATGTTCGAACACCCTGCCCTTGATCAACAATCTCCACAGTCTGTCCGGAGGACTTCAGCCAATCCGTCTGTGAAGCCACTTAATGGTCCAGGGAGCAACGACACAATGACTGTGAGTAGTCAAAGTATGCCTAGAGTTTCCTGACAGGACTGACAAAGTTCCGTTCCATCAGATGCCCGGTGTCCGGTGTCCAAAATGCCAAGGCTCTGGCAAAGAGACTTGGGTTATTCCAGGCAAATACTGTCATGTATGCGGGACAGCTTGCTGAGAGCCCGAGAGCAAGTGCAGGTATGCTAAAAGAGCAGTTTTCTCAGCATCGATGACTGACAAATACTTAGAGTTATTTGAGATAACGGAATGCTTACCTCGAAGAGCGAAGGCCCTTGCCATCGGCAGGAAGACGCCTCAACGCTCCAACACAGCCGCTTCAAGGCATGGGCGATGCAGCGTCCCCCCATGCTTGGCGTAAGCTCGGGGCGAGCAGCGACATAGTTGAGGCGAACGTCCCGAGAAACGTCATCTTGGTCGCATTGAAAAAGGCTTTCCAGCAGGCACGTCCTGGAAGCAATGCATGCGACAGAAGGGGGTTAATGTACCTGGAGACGGAGAAACTCGGGTCAATGGGTCAATTGGTCAGCGGTCCAACGGGTCAATGTACATAGACAAATGCCAGGCGTTAGCATAGCACTGAGTTGGGAATTGTTCATATGTGAACCAAAAGGTCTGTGGTTAATGATTCTGGCTGGAGCTCCAGCTCTTGCTCCAGTCGGGTCCAACGGGTTCTTGCCATTTTCGGCAGCTCCTAACTATCGATATTGTAGCCTTAATTTGCAGGCAAATATTTCCTAAGGCATCAATCTCGGTGTTCCTGAACGACGTCATCGCCCAAACGATCCCCACCACCATTGTATCTCCATCCTCTTCACATCAATCCAAATCACGCACATTGATAATCATGACAGAAACCTATCCCATCGGCTCCCGCAGCGAATGCGAACGTCTTGTCAAAGACTGGGGCTTCAAGCATGTTTTCACCTGGGCCGACGGGAGGTGAGCCGAGTACTCCATTTCTACACTGGCGAAGATGGTCGCTGACAGGAACAGCAACGCATACTATCCGCCTCATACGCATGGAGGACTAACAACGCATCTTATCCGTCGCGGGACGTTGACGATAACCTATCCCGATGATAATGCCAATCTGCACAATGGGGAGGTCAGGAAGGAGACGTTTGGGGTTGGGGCCAGGGTGGATGTGCCTGCTGGCAAGCGGCACGAGGTTTGGATTGGGGATGAGGGGTGCGAGTATGTAATTGGGGAATAGGACGTTGCTAGAATGCTACGCGGCTAGCGAGGGTATGTTTGCTTCATTACGTTGCATGGCAGGCAGGAGTAGTTGGAGTAGCCCTGGCTCTATAGGTACCTTCTCGTTCGGCCCACACCGAGCGGTTATGCCCGGAATTTGCTATGACCTGGAACGGTATGAGGTGTAGAAGTGAGGGTAGTAGGATAGCCGGTCCTGGACTTGGTTATATAAATGCTCTACGGTACCAACATCGCAGCCCTAATCTAGCCAGCCAGAAACTACTGGCTGAATCCGAATGAGCTTATAAAGATAAATTTAGCTGCATTGAAATTTCTTTTGTATTCCTGACCACCTGCAAGTCTTCATACAAAGGTGTCGAATGGGTCTATAAACATAATCTAGTCTATATATGCCCTGCAGAGCCCGCTACTCACGCTAGGGTATGCAGTCCGACATCCGGTATCATCTTTCTAGTAAGTAAATCTAAAGTCGAGCCTAGAAAACACTTAGTAAAACTCACAAGGCATATCAAATATGGAAGCATACCGTTTATTTCCTTTATCGCCGTTAGCAGCCAAATATTCCGCCCGCTCGGTGCTCGACATTCTGTCCCAAATTTCTGCCCGTTTCCTGTAACCTGGTAAGCATAAAGAAGTATGAAGCTTATTGGCAATCCTTACTTGTTGCGCCACGCGTAGTAATATCTTGCGCCGATGAATAGAACTAGACTCCAAGAAGCGAGGGCTATAAGCACCCGGTTTCCAACACGGTAATGCGGTTTGTCGTCCTCTCGGTAGATGTTGTTACCAATGATGTTGGAAACCTGCACCATCATGTTGTATAATGCACTGGCAACTGTCCTTGTTGACACTGATCCGGCGTTCCGAGAGGTCATGGCCACAATAATAGCATGCACATATGGCGCACCAATCAAGATCACGTTCAAAATCCATAACACCCATGGACTGGTGTTGTCGGGGAGAACAGCAAGCGCGATAAGTGGCACCAAGCACCAGACTTCGGCGACGATGCCGAGGAGGAAACGTACGTTGAAGCGCTCGGAAATCCACGTCCAGAAGAGGAGATTGACAATAAACAGCGCGTAAGCCGGGATAGTCATCAAGTTGACCTGGAAAGTGTTGAAGCCGAGAGACTTGAGTTGTAATGAAATGTAACTGGTACTGGGCGTGTTCGGTATCATCCACACGAGGCCGATCAAATAGACGGGCCACATATCCACATCGCAGAGAGCTTTCCACAACATCTTTGGAGTAATTCCTTGACGGTTGTGCATTGATCCTTTACTAGGGTCATCTCGGATGATTCGGTTGACCAGGATCTTCTCTTCATGTTCGGTGAACCACCCATCCTTACCACGAAGGATACCTTTGGTCTGTGTTGGTGACGGTGGCATCCAGAACGCGGCGACAATAGCGATAACTCCAGTGATCAGACCTTCATAAGCGAAGAGGTATCTCCAGCCTCCGGTCCCATCTTCCCGTCTAATATGGAGGAGACCGAATGCTAGGAAGGCACCAATAATGGCGGTTCCTTGGTAGGAGACCCAGAAGTAGCTCAAACGAATGGGCAACTCCTTGGACTTGTACCAGAACGAAAGGAAAAGAATCGTATCAGGAATGCTGATGATTGTTAGTGGTAGTTAAAGACTAGTTGGGATGACTCACAAGCCACCCTCGAATAACCCTAAAAGCGCCCTGCAAGCGTAGTATCCGCCTTTGCTCTTAAGAAAAGCCTGGCAAGCAGCAATCAAGCTCCAAGAGAACATCTGAATGGGAATCCATCGATCCGGCCCGAGCTTCTTAGATAAAAGCTGAGAAGGGAGTTCTGCGAAAAGGAAAGCGCAGTAAAAGATTGTTTGGCCGGTGTTGTAATCGTTTGTGTTCATCCCAAGATCCGCAAGCATGGTATCAGACGTCGCTTGGACTACATTGCCACGATCCAGCTGTAACGCAAAAAATGTGACGCAAGCAAAGGTGCATATTCTCCAGTCAACCTAATTCGAGCTTTAGCATCTACCATGTCGCAGCTGCAATTGAAGAGGAGTGATTACCTTTCTGACTAGCCGCTTCTCTTCTTCCTCTGTCCAGTCAAAGTCGGGATCCCAGCGGTGTATGCCTTCATACTCGGGGATTGGTTTATAGAACCTTGGGTCTTCCGATTGATCGAAAGCAGCCTCATTGTATTCCCTGATCCGCCTGCGGTCCTTGTTTCCAGCATCTGAGGAAGCTTCTGAATCGACGACCACATCTGGACTCTTCTTATCACTGACAGGGGCAATAATCTCGTTGCCGACGGTGGCATCATTGATGGCCATCTTGTCGATAGAGCTCGCCATAACGGCAGACAAATCAGAAGCCTTGGGTGATATACCAAGAAGATTGGCGAGAGTATTCTTTCCGTAATACGGGCGCCCGGAGAATTTAAAGCTTCTTTCTCATCCACCTCCCATGCTGATGATTGCTTTTTGCTTTCTGCTTCTTCGCCTATCTAGCACGTCATTTAAACATCCACTTCGCCAACGCCTCAAGAGCTCAGTAGCTACGCATGCGGTGGAACGACTTAGTATCAGACCAATGGCAAGTACGGTAGCACAAAGGGCAGCAAGGTACAACTCCGGCTTGTGCTAATTCTGGATGACGGTGGCCTCCGTAGCAAGTGTAACAGGATGGGCTTCAAGCAGGTTGGGGCAGGAGGCAATGGAGAAAGTTTCTTCTCGTACCCATTGTAGTTCGGGACTGGGCCAGTCATAGATGTTGCTTTGATGCGCATAGTTCAGAGCTGCTTGTGAGTTGATATCACGCGAATTGTGCGGCAGTTGCGTTATTGCCGACGAGTAAGAAGAGAGATACAACACCAGACGATTGTCTAGTTGCATTCTAGCTCTGTGCGGACTGAAGCTCCAACAGCCCCAAGATTGGCGTGATGGCAGTACATGTCGCCATCTTCGCCTTCGTCACAACATCGAGCTAAACAGCGATTGGCGCCCGGTTGTATTTGATCAATTAGGGTGTCTAGACGAGCCGGTCGTTAGCGTTTATCAAGAATCCCTATTCCTAGGGTTGTTCTAAGCGACTCAGATCTTACTTGCAATAACTTTCCAGGAGAACCCCTCAAGTCCAATAAAGAAGACTCAGAGCGACGATTTTAATCGACCAACACGACGGTGGAACTGGAGTGGACTTGTGGGTAGCTTGTCAGAGACAGGAGTTGGAGTGGGGAGAAAGCAGACTCGCCGTTGCGCAAATAAAAGCGACAATGGCGCCATCTCCGTCCTCTCTTCTAGCCTCACTTCACTGCTACTCAGTCTCAAACCATGCCGCTCCAAGATTGATAAACAGCTTCTATAGTGTCTGAGAGCCGAATCAAGTTCACTGCTGATATCAGAATGCTCATCGCCCGCCTCCATCACGCCATGTTGAAGGCATCTCCATCATATCTGATCTGCAAAGTCTCGCCCGAACTCTGCTTACGGATGCTACCACGAATTACATTATGCGCACTCTGTACCATTATCGCCTCCTTCTCCATGAAGTCGTGAACCCCGCCTTTCTGACTCGACGTCTATCCGGGACTCTGACAAGAATCAATCATACCCCGCAGACATTGCGCCAGAGTGCCTGTAACCGGGTAATCGGATAGGATGAAGGACCTATATAACCTGTTCATGGTCCGCGGACACACGTCTATAGACATTACAGAACAGTCTTCTCAAGTACTAGCCCTTTCGCTTCACAATGGCACCGTCTATCGCTACTCCTGAGCACGTTGGCCTCCGGGCCCCAATCAAGACTGCCCTCAAGACCAACGCAGGGCACAACAAGGAGAACCTGATCGGTTATGGAGAGACATACAAGCATGGAGACGAACTAAAGGGCACTGTCAAGCAGCCTCCTGCATCATTCCCTAACTATCTTCCCGTTTGGGACAACGAGACCGAGAGGTCAGTATACCTCGATCCATTTAGTGGGACTGATCTAATATAATCTCCTCAGATACCCACCACTCCAGCCCTTCGAGCACTACGACCACGGTAAAGACGCCAACCCAGCTTTCCCAGACCTCTTCCCGAAGAATGGATCCTACCACCTCGATGAACTCACACCCACCATCGGCTCCGAAGTCACCGGTATCCAACTAAGCCAGTTAACCAAGGAAGCCAAGGACCAACTCGCCCTCTTCGTGGCGCAGAGGAAAGTCGTCGCCTTCCGCGATCAAGACTTCGCCCACCTCCCCATCGACAAGGCTCTCGAATTCGGCGGCTACTTCGGCCGTCATCACATCCACCAAGCCTCTGGTGCTCCCAAGGGCTACCCTGAGATTCACCTCGTTCACCGCGGGGCAGACGACACCAGCGGCGCAGACTTCCTCGCCGGCCACACAAACTCAATCACCTGGCACTCCGACGTCACCTTTGAAGTGCAGCCGCCCGGAACTACATTCCTGTACTTGCTCGATGGGCCCACGAGCGGCGGAGACACGCTCTTCGCGGACATGGCACAGGCGTACAAGCGTCTCTCGCCTGAATTCCGCAAGCGCCTGCATGGCCTCAAGGCTGTGCACTCCGGTGTCGAGCAGGTAAATAACAGTCTCAACAAGGGCGGCATTGCTCGCCGGAACCCCATTTCGACTGAGCACCCCATTGTGAGGACACATCCTGTGACGGGGGAGAAAGCCCTGTTTGTTAACCCGCAATGTATGATGCCATTGCCCTACCTATTATAACCCGTCGAATCTTTCTGAGCGGCTGATCATCCTTCAACTGTCCATCGAAAGCTAATACCAACCCATCATCTAGTCACCCGCAACATCGTCGGCTATAAGAAGGAGGAATCAGACTTCCTCCTGAAGTTCCTTTACGACCACATTGCCTTATCACAGGACATCCAGGCCCGCGTGAGATGGCGCCCTGGCACGGTTGTCGTCTGGGATGTAAGTGCTAACCTTTCCTTCCACCTCGCGAAAGCTAACCTCGCTACCACAGAACCGAGTTGCCTGCCACAGTGCCCTCTTTGACTGGGCTGACGGCCAGAGACGACATTTGGCGAGAATTACACCTCAAGCCGAGCGGCCTTATGAAACGCCATTCGATGGTTAATGGCTCGCCATTTTTAGTCTCATTATCTTTAGTCTCAAAGTGGGCATCCAAGCTGTAGAAGAGTAATGCATTAATAATAAGATGCATTGTCAAACCAAAGAATGAACGTATATCAGAAGACTAAAGAGTCCTGCAATAGTACAAAAAGCAAAAGACGTACACAGCGCCTGCGCTGGTCACAACAGAACAAAACAAAACTTGTAAACATGCAGCAAACTTACAAAGTCATTGTAACAGTCTGGAAATGATCGGAATCGCTCAGACGCTCATGGAATCACTGATTACCAATCTTGCCATCGACCGCAACACGCGTACAATTGTCTTCCTCCGGACCATTAGATTCTCCCCAATGCTGGTCAACCGCCTTCTTCCAGTCATCATCCTTGATGACTCGGCAGATGTACCTTTTTCCAGCATTGTAGTACTGGCGAACCGCATGTTCATAATGTTCGACACGTAGGAGGCGGTGGGTATATTTCATGGCATTAGTGAGAAGCCATGATGGTGTGGATTTGGTCTGATTTGGTGAACTTGTAGTGGATGTGGTGTAACTTGGTGTGTGACTTGTGGACGTGGTGTAACTTGATGTGTGAGTAGTGGATATGGTGTAACTTGGCGTGTGAGTAGTGGGATTGGGTGATTCGGTCTCGTCTCCAATGTGCAGTCTCTCGAATCTTTCACAAAGGGAGTCGATGTCGATTTCGCATTCTCGGTTTTTCGCAGTTTCCAGTCCGACCGTTGTCTGGTACGGACTCGTTGCGTCTGTAGGCGAGAACGCCGGCGTGTAAGTAGACATGGGGAAGATTGGTAATGTGAAAGATTGTTAATGTTGAAGATTGGTATGGACTAAGCAATGATCAGCATTCGTCCGTACACAGACATGGTCCAAAACACTCACAGGCTGTAAGCTGTTGGTATAATTGATATCTGCTTTAAGCGAAAGACAAGCAGAAAGATGAATGCCAGTAAATCTGTCACAGTGGCACGAAGAGGAGAACAACAAATCGGCCGTAGACGATCTTCTGTTAAGGACCGCGACGTTCCTTCCTCAAGTGTGCCTCAACGCTTTCTCGAAGCGGTGCAGGACGCCTACCCGCCAACTCTCCTGGAAGGAGCGCGCCGATGGAGGAAGCATGCCGTTGCTTGCCTCCAGTGCCGCGGTGAGAGAAGCATAGGTGCCCATGGGCAGTCTGAGTTCTTCCAAAGACAATGACGAGGTTTTCCCGGGCTCTGGGTGAAGTAACGCTGCGACGTTGGGCGCGTGTTGGAAGAAGACTTTCATGGCTCGCTGTGAGGCGATGCTGTGATGGGAGCTGGAGTTCGAGAAGCGCATGTCTGGGTTGAAGACCCATATCTGAGAGGATAGGAGTCAGTAGAGGGAGCTGAGTACTGAATAAATGGGGAACAGCGAGATGCTTACCAAGAGCCCTTCTTTTTTCCCACAATGGATGATGAACCTTCGCGCACTTTCACGCTCAATGAGTTCCAACAGCTGAGCTGCAACAATGAGCTCTGTAGGGTGTGCTTCCCAGTTCCCATCTTCAAGATTGTTGGCAGCTGAAAGGCTTGTCTTGAAGAGCCTCCAGCCTTTGGCAATCGTGTCTTCCACGCCGACCAGTGTGTTGCAGTTGTTGCAGAGGAGCTCCGCCTCAGACGGAGAAGAGCCATCGAGACTTTCCTTCGGGGCCTGGCAGTGCTGGAATTAGCAGGGGGCAGAGACGTTTATGAATCAAGGAACAGGGATGAGATGCAAGTGAGGTTTCATTGACGCAAACTACTACTTGACAGACTAGAATAACTGGTAGGACCCCTCATGTACCTTGTCATAATCGCGTTGATGCCATGCCTCTGGCCTGAGCAACGAAGAAACGACGAGGCGCCGTCTCACTCTCGACACTTGCAGCAGGTGAACAAAACAAAGACAGGAAACAGTGCAAATCCATCAGATGAGGATAACTGCAAGGTTTCCCAGCTTTTCGCTGTTATGGCCGCCCTTATGCCAGTGACCGCAGAGCAAGACTATATTGCTCTAGGGCATTTGTATCGAAGGCCTGATCATGGAAGAGACAAGGTCTCCTTCTTTGTGCCCATCAAAAGTAAATATACTTGTGCAATGCGCATACTGAAAAAACATCAGAGGAAAAGAATAGGGCAACCCTTGCTCACCTTTTTCAAGCCCTTACACTCTAGAGCGTAGACCAAGAAAGTGGCCACATCCACGAGCACCGTCCCTGGCGTAGCCACAACTTGATTCGACGCACCATACCCCTTGATCTTGGAGTTCTCATCCTCAGTCAGCTGTTTAGTTGCATCCTGTTTCTCATGCGGCTCCGGATCCGGCTTATGGCAGTGCCAGAAATCCATCATCTCCGCCCAGTTTCCACTAGGCAGGTCTTTCCACACCCAGCCCGTATGCGACGCCCCATCCTCATCTGATAAATCCGACGGCCTGTCAAGAATTACCTCCTCGCACCGCGTACACCGTAACTTCGTAGACGGCCGCATATCTCCCGCAGACCAAGGGACAAAACTATCCATGTGCTCTTCCACAGCGTTTCGCTGCGTCAGTTCCGCATCATCGACCTGCATCCGATACGAGAATTCCCTCCCGCTCCCTGCATTCGAGCCTGCCGCGCTGTTTCGCGTCGCGCTGCTTAATAGACGACTTGAGCTCTCCGTTACCTTGGCGGGCAACTTGATCGTCTCTGAGACATAGCCTGTCGGTTCTGGGAGTTCAAGCGATACTGTCACCGCGCGTCGGGACGCGGAAAGGCAGATCTCTGGATGAGCATCGCTGGCACCGGCGGCGGAGATCTGGAGGCTGACCTGGCGGATGTTGGGAAGATATTCGGCGTGGAGATTAAGAATGTCCGCATCAATTAGGTCTTTTTGAGTATCTGGGTAGGTTAGTGACATTTTGAATGTTGAGTCTGTAGCATCGTGTTTTGTGTTGTGCTGTAAAAGTTGCAGAGCTGGGCAAAGCACAAACACTGCAAACACCTAGGTCCATATTTCAGCCTGAGGCATTAATTTGTCACAAAGCAATTCTAGCTGCAAATAATATTTCTTTCTATAACTTCCTGTTGTGAAAAGCACAAAGTAATGCAATGGATAATAGTGCAAGAAAATTACAAGTGTTTTGACGCAGGGGATATAGTAACCAATGATATAGTACAAAACAAATTCCAAAATATACATAGTTGACAGATCTGAAGAGCTGTCAAACAAACCCATCCCATTCCGTAAATTCATCCGCGAACTTGACCGCAGCCTTCAGATAGAACTCATCCGGATCTCCCCACGTCCTTGCTGTATCCCTGCAGGCTCGGAGAGCCTTGATATAATGCGTCTCGGTGGAATGCGCACCGTGGAGAGCCTTATCTTTAATATAACCCCAGTTCTTTCCTTGGGTATCATACTTCCGCACAGAATCGAGGTTTATCTCCGGCCTCAGCTGCCCAATGTATACAGCCAGGGTCATGAGCCACCACTGCCGCACGAGAGGGATCTGGAATCTGGCGGGAATCAACGGGAGTAAGACTCGCACAGCATGGCTAGTGGTAAGGACGTGGACGAAGAAGAAGTCGTACTTTGCGTCGGGGACATCGGAGCTCAGTGTTGCTGTTAATAATGCAACAGCAAGCTCCTGGCTTTCTCGGAATGACTTCATGGGGTCGCTCTCAGGTGTGATTCTCCATGCGTTCCAGTGGTCGAGGATTGTTGCTTCAGCGTCGCGAAAGACGATCTCTGTGTTGTGGTCGCCGGGGGCTGAGAATAGGTTGGTTAGGCGCTTGTCAGCGCGAACTTTCTGGAGGATTTCAAAAGGCGAGGTGGAGTAGTAGGAGGCCTCGGCTTGCGAATAGGAGGGGTCGTCGAGGTATTTGTGGGTTGTGCCGTGGCATACTGTCGTGAGTGATAGGGCTTCCATTGCGACTTCGCGGCTGGAGAATTCGAAGGCGTAGGCGAGGTGGATGAGAGGGTGTCCGACTATCACGATGAGTATATATCAGGGTATGGAGGGCTGTCACATACGATCAGAGGTCAAGGAGTTGAAAAGAGGTTCTTTCCCAGAGAACAGGTAGTGGGAGACGACCTTTTTCCAGTCGTAGCCGTGGCGAACGAGCTCATCCTCGAAGAAATCAACGTACGCTCTCTGGTACCTAAACCCCTGTAAGTACATACAACAATGACAGTTGGGTATCTCACTCTCTCTTCCCCAGGTAATCCCTCCAATCGTACGTGCTAATCTCCCCGGGCGAATCGCTCCAGGCGTCCAACGGCTTTGACTCCGCCTCATACAAACGATTCAAATCGTTGGCATCGGCACCGAATAGAAAGAACGAGCACAATGAATGGGGCGTGTGGTTATGGAATTTGCGCTCGTTCCAGAGGATGGCATGGTTGGCGTGGTTGAGTTTGAGGAGATGCCTTAGGGCTCGGGCAGCCTTTTCATGCGCTGTGTCGATCTCGATCGCGTCACATGGCGGAAGTTTGAAGACCCTGTCGTCCAAGGGCAGCAGGTTTTTGAGAAAGTTGAGCGCCATCATGGTGGATCTCGTTGAGCTTGAAGCTTGGCGTTGAGGTGGATTTATGAGTGGTTGTAAGGTTAAGGGTGATTGATAGCCTATACAGCTAGATATCCATGTACGTCATCAAGAGGGTGTCTGTAGTCTGTACAAAGCTCAAGCTGTAGCTCAAGCTGTAGCTAAAGGTTGAGGCTAGAGCGGAAAAGCTGGGGATTGCGTTGGGATGAATGACGTAATGGACCCGCCCTACACGGAAATAGCGCTATCGCCGCTGCTAGACTATCGCGTGCTCAATTTTGTATAAGCCTCATTCTGGGTGATCCTATCTAGTCTATTTCTCCCCCTTAATATCAGCAGTCTGGTCAATATTCGGACCGCCATGACCCTCCACCGCCGCTAGCACTTCGGCATCTACGCGCGGTCCAGTAAAGTTCTTTCGGCCGTCAACGATCCATTGGAACGTTGAGATGATGATGACAACGCCAATGGCAGCAACGCAGTAGTCTGGACTCGGGTCAGTATCTTGGGGCCGACTAGGAACGGACGACTTACTCATGTTGCTGCCCGTCACAGGCAGTTCAGGAGGAAACAGGAAAAGCACCGTGGTCAATGAGATGTACGCCAGTGCAATCTATTAGGTAGGTGTTAGATACCTCAAGAAGCTGAAGACTGTTAGCTTACCAGGTTGACGACCCAGCCAAGAGTCTGCGGCAGGACAAACGGTCTCTCGGGGAGCATTTGTCTGCCCCGCAGGCAGTTGATCGCGATTGGGATGCCATATGCGATATCGAGCAGGACCACTGACGAAGAGGTAATCGCATTGAACGCACTGCATCGTGTTAGCGCTAGCACGGCGTGCCGGGGCAAAGCACCTACCTCGAGGAGCCGAGGAAGATGCATCCGAATACGATCACCCAGAACATAGTCATATACAGCCCGTTAAGTGGGACCTGGAGCTTCGGGTGAACCTTGCTAAAGAAAGGCGAAGCAGGCAGTCCTCCATCTCTGTCCTGGCCGTTAGTCAAATAGATATTTTGGGTAATTATATTTGGCTCACCGAGCAAATGCATATACCATGCGGCTGCTTGTGGTCATGATTGTGGTTGCGGCGAAGACAGTGCAGACCAAGGGGAACCTGACGCACTCGTTATTAAGCGACTTTAGAAGTGGTTAAAAACATACATAAGAAGACAAATCGATCCCGCGTTGCTTCTTGTCGCATCATAGAAGATCTGCAGGAGGGGTGTCGCAGCAGACGCGATGACCAGATTGATATCTCCTGCAACGAAAAGCAAAACGATGAGGAAGATAAGGCCAGTGGTGATACCGATAACCACACATCCGATCATGATTCTGGGTCCAATCACTGAGGGATTCGGGATTTCTGGCACAGGTCAGTATAAATCTTTAATCATCTTTCGTTTAATGGCTTACCTTCAATCATGTGTGCAACGCCGTCCTGATCTACTGTCAGTCAAGCGGTTCTATCAGACACAAGGATCACGTACAAAACCTGTGAGACCGAAGCCACCTTGCAGCAGCTGGTACAAGTCAGCGATCATGCTCGGCTTCAGATTTAGTGGAAGCTTACCCCAAGCAGCCAAGCAACGCCATCAGGCCCTAGTTTGTATAAGCTTTACTGGTAATTATATGGAGGATAGAGCCATACAGCCTGTCGTGTTGATGAATTCGCCAAATACGAACCTAGACAAGTCAGTTTCTGTGCGCAGGACACAAAACATTATACTTACTCTCCAGAATTGTAGTTTGGTGATGCGCACGACAGAATTGTGATGGAAATAACAACGAATCCCGTGAGTGACCAGATGACTACATCCGTCAGTATTTGCTAGAGTCCAAGCTAGAGTCCAAGCCAGGATGATACATACAAGCACTCTTGGTGACTAGTGGAAGCCCCACATTCATGAACGCATTGATGGTAAATGCAATGATGTTAATCGCGATGTAGATGAGGAACTGGTGCCAGCGTTGGAACTCGAACATCTGGCATACTGAGTAAATACTCTCTTAAGTAGTGTGGATGTCATACCGGATACATCAGGCCAATGATGCCCCCAATGAGAGTACTTCCCAAGAGTCCACCGGTGGCAGTCAAAGCCAACTGAGAACCATCAGTAAAATCCTAGGCCGATTGAATTGCCATACTGACCCAGCCAGCAACATTTGCCCAGCCCGTAATCCAGGAGAGGATTGGCATCTGCCGTTTCCATGAGACTAGATTGATGGGTCAGTAAGAGCGCGTCCGCAAATACCCAAGTACTAACTAGCTGTAATGTTGGTGTCAGTAAGAGCAATCAAGTCGAAGGTATGAATAACTAACCTGCAACCCAATGGTACTGTCCACCAGCTCTACCCAACTATTAGACTAGATCTAATGCAAGGGGCCTGTACTCACGTGGGCCATGCGGAGAGGAACTCCGCCAGCGATGAGGCGGTACAAATATTGCAAACGCCGGCAGTGACCAACCCTGCAGCTGATCAGCCAGAGAACAATAGGCCTAGAGCCAAAAAAAAAAAGCATACCCCATACAACACTGGTGCAGCCTCCAGACGGGAGACTAAGATTTAAGCTCGTCGACAAGGCGGTCCAAGACTGCAAGGTGTGAGCCCCCATTCAAATTATCCGAGTCCAGTTCAATTGAATTCTTAGTCTCGTCCGTGTGGGCAACGTACGTTCAAGATGGCAAAGGCTAGACCCAGCATCGACCTATTCGGGGACGAACATTTGTTAGCAATCAACGCTGAAAGCACGGTGGGGTGAGTTGAATGCCTACAGCATTGAGAAGTTCCGCTTCAGCTCGGCCCTGTGCCCAAGGGCAGCCAGGTGAACATCATCATCCGCTGCAATATCTTTCATGGTGTATGCGACTCGATAAGTTCTGGGTGTCGGGTGTCGAACAACTCAATGGACGTAACAAGAGCAGAGTTGGACAAGTTGCCATGAAATAGCTGGCAGCATTCCAGGAACTCGCGTGTTTCGCCCCCCGTTGCTTATCATCTGGACGGTCCACCCAGATTGCGGGGAAATCCAACTGTTACATAATGAGGCAAGACGAGGGAATTTGATAACAACTGGGGATGAGACGAAGTGTGGGGAACTTGATTGGCGTCGAAGTGGCATTGACAAGCTCATGCCATCTGACGCTAAAGCAACGAGAGAAGATGATTTGTCCTAGACGCCGAGTTTTATGAACTAGGGGGTGAGAGCCAGTCGGAGAAGAGGCGAGTCCGATCGGCGATGGAGCTTTTTGTTCCTTAGGGGCAAACCTCGGTTCAGCTGCACAGGAGGACTAAGATAAGCTTGAGGTAGAAAATAAAGCAATGATATAATGATTGAATCATCAGGAATCTCAAAAGAATTGCTATTTTACATTTGTGAGATCATTGAAACCCCACTAAGTGTACTTCCGTAGCTATAAAGTGTCAGTAACCCATCACCAAAACAAACTCATGGGGTGCTTACATCAAGCGTCAGAGATTTGCTGCTGTTTTCCACCTGGTCTCTGTAGATACCGACCAAAGCCTCACTGTTCTGGAACAGCCCATTCTTCAAACTAATGACGATGAACTGCATTCCAGGCGCCGCATGGTCGTATATGTAGTTAGCAATGCGAGCAACGTTGGTATTGTCGAGCGCAGCGTCGACTTCGTCCAGCACGAAGAAGGGCGATGGCTGGTATGAATGAATGGCGAAGAGAAGAGCTAGGGCGGCCATGGTTTTTTCACCACCAGACAGGTGCTCCATGTCTCGGAAACGCTTGAGTGGAGGCATGGCGTGGTATTTAATGCCGTCTAGGTAAGGTTCGTCGGAGTCCTCGATGTCGAGGTACCTGTTCAGTCAGCCTAGTTTCAAAACAAAGGACCGGGGGGCATACGCTTGTCCTCCCAAGGGGTAATTTGAGCTCCGGGTGAGTTCCCTATAGATAGGCCCGATCTGCTCAGAAATGTGGGAAAAGGCCTTGTTGAAGAGCTCTGATCGTCGCCGCATGACCTCTTCAAAGTCATCTTTGGACTTTCGAGCATGTTTCCGTGCTTGTTCAAAGTCCTTTTCTGTGCCTCTGAGTTTGTTCTCTACGCTCTCGAGACGCTCCAGTGCACGCGTGTTGGGCGCCATCTTGTCAAGCTCGCTATTGAGAGTGCGGACTTTTTCCAGCAGCTCGTCCTCGAGCTTCTCATCGGAGTCCTAGTCGGTCAGACCTGCTTTTTCTATAAAAAAAAAAACGTACCTCCTTGAGAGTCTCCCCGAGAGAGTCAAAGTCCACCTCTATGCCGTAATCCTGCACAGCGAAGTCGCCATTCGTCTGTGTGTCTTCGTCCACGTCCATCGCGTCCGGGTCAGCCCCTTGGACAAGTTCATCAATGGGGAGTTGATCAAGCGGATTCGATTCTTCAGTCAGCGGAATGTCGATGTCCTCAAGCTTGCAGCGTCGGAGGAGAGCGTATCGACCAGACGAGTTGCGTTGGACTTCTGTCTCCAGACCGTTGATGGATCTCAGTGTAGATTCTACGTCCTTACTGCGCTTCTGAAGTTCTCTTCGGTGCTGGGCCAGGTTCTCAGCGGACTGTCCGTACTTTTCTTTTTGCTCGTCAAGCTTCTCGCGCAGAATCTCGAGTTCGGCGTTAAGCTCATCCAGCTTATTCCGTACCTCCTCCTGTTCAGCCTCAAGCTCCTCGATCAGATTGGCATCACGCTGGTGTTGAGTCTGCAGACTAGCAATTCGGTCGGTCGTAGTTTGTAACCGTTGTTGCTCAAAGCTAAGCTGGTTCTCGATTTTGCTTTTCTGCGTCGTGAACTCGAGCTTCTTCTGCGCAGCCTCTTCGTGCAGGGAACCTTGCTGCACTTCATACTCACGAATATCGCTGTAGCCGAGGCGTTTACAGAATTTCCGATATATCTCATCCTCAACACCGCTGACAGCATCTTGAGAGGTGGCGATGGCCTCGTCAAGCTCGTCAAGTACCTCCTTCTTCTCTGTGTACTTCGGTCGAAGATCCTCAAGCTGTTGCTGGACAAAGTCCAACTCAGTATGCTTATCCTTCAGGTTTCGCTCAAGTGCTTTGAGTTCATCACGGGCGTAAGCAAGTCGCTGTTCCAGCCCGACCAATTCACCCTGCAGAGTTTCCTCCTCGGTGCCCCTGCGGTGGCCCTTTGGCAGGTTCGCCAGATCTGCCATGATCTTATCTTTCAGCTTGAAGAGGTTCTCCACCTCCGAGTCTTCCCAACGCTTGGAGTTTTGCTGGGGGCCACGGCCACCAGTCATCAAACCTCCCTTGTGGATGACAGTACCGTCGAGAGTAACCGCCTTTGCATCGACATGTCGCTCGTAACACAGGTATTTGGCAGTTGCGAGGTCATCGCATACGATAGCGTTGCCACAAGCATAGGTAATAGCTCTTGCCACAGAATCGTCGTAGTCAACCGTCTCGATCGCAGGGCGCATGGCGCGGTGCATGCCCTTCAAGTTGGAGTTTAGAGCTTTAACTTGAATGGTCTCCAGAGGAATAAACGTAGCCTGACCCGCTCTCTGGTCGCGGAGATGCTGGATGCACTCTTTGGCGGTCTTCTCATTGTCGACAACAATAGCATCGAAATGACGGCCCAGCACAGTGCTCACGGCGTCAGCATACTTCTTCTGTTTTGGCTTGCACAGGTCACTAACACGACCTTTGACGCCAGGGAAGATCCGCTTGAGGGTTGATATCAACTCTTTCGCTCGAATTTCCCTCTCTGTCTGCTTTTTGCCGTCGTCTGCTTCAAGAAGCTTCTTCAAAACTACTTGAAGTTTCTCTTCGTACTCGGTCCGCATCTGGGAGACGCGCAGCCGTTCTGAGGTGATCGCATTGAGTTCCTTTTTCTTTTTATCGATCTCCTTCGACGTTGATTTCACAGTCTCATTGGCAGCCGCCTTGCGTTCGCTCAGGGTCTTCGTATCAGTCTCTAACGTCTGGAGCTGCCACTTCGTGCTGTCGAACTTGCTCTTCAGGCTGTTGCAAGCCTCCGCGTCGGTCTTCCTCTGGCGCTTAAGATTGTCAAGCTTCAGCTGTTCCGCGGAGGATCGCTTGTTGACCTCCTCTTTCAGTTTATTGTATTCCTGTTGATCAGCTTGGCTGAGCTGGCCGCCTTGCTTGCTCAGAGCCTTTTGCCAATCGGCCTCCCATTGAGCTTGCGCCTTTTCAACGACTTTAAGATCCCTTTGCAGCTGCTTGACGCTGGCAGCCTGTGTGTCCCGTTCCTTGCCAATTTCCGCGATGCGAGAGTTATATCTGTCCACCTTTTTCTTGGTGATGTCGACCTTCTCATCAATTGGAACAAGAGCGTTGGTAGCTTCTTCAATCTCTTTCTCTTTTTTCACGATGTTCTTCTCGGCGGTAGCAACGTCACGACCTACCCTGGCGTGGGACTTCTTTGCGTCTTCGACATTGCGCTCATATTTCTCTACACCTCGGCGATATTCCTTCAGTTCATCTTGGTACTTCTGGATCTCCGCGCTCGAGTCGTCAATTAAGCGCTGGAAATGGAAGAGCTTCCACAAGATGTGAGTAATGATGGCCTGGTCGCGTTCCTCTGCTTTTCTAGCATAGTTTTCTGCTTCCCGCTTCTGCTCCTGATATTGCTTTATTTCCGAATTGATCGCACGGCGGCGGTTAAGCTGGACCGTCTGTTGCTCGGCAGATTCCTCGGCCTCAGCCTTGAGCCGCTCATATTCTGCCTTGTATTCCAAACTCCCCGAAATCTGCTCGATAAGGCGCGTGAGATCCTTTGGGGACTGGGAGGCAATCGCTTCCACGTCGCCCTGGAAAACAAGGAAGTTTCGAGCCTTGATAAGGATGTTCTCCGCCTCCAGCGCCTCGTTGTACTGCTGCGCAGTTACCACACGGTTGTTGATACGGTATTCGCTGACACCCTGGCTGGTAATAGAGCGCCGCCACTGCTGTTCCTCCCCCGCATCATCTTCGTAGACAGCCATAACCCACGCGGTTCTTGGATCGTTTGTCCCGCTAGCGTCCTGCGACGGTTCGACTTCGTTCTCATCTCCGTCCACCCCATTCGTTTCTCCGTCCACCGCGTTTCCATCCGCGTCGACTTTCGACGTGCGCAGGACGCGGCCTCGATAGATAAGGTCGCGCAGGTTCGTAGATCGCAGATGGGAGGACTTGATTCCTAGTACGAATGAAATCGCATCCATCCTAAAACAGTCAGCGCAAAAGATTTCCACGCCTAGTAGAAGCTCAGACAACGCACGAATTGGACTTGCCCGACCCGTTGGGTCCGATGATCGACGTAAAGTACGCATCGCCGAAGAGAAGCGTATGGTGGCCCTTGTAGGATTTGAAGTCTGCGCTGGTCAGTTGTCGCGATCGTGACTTTGCCGATGGGGGTAACACGAACTGTAGAGCTCTAGGCGGATTAGCTTTCCCATCTTGCCGCTACGCCGTCGCTATTCGTAGCGACTAAGAGCACGATGGCGCCGGGGTAATATCCTAGAGGAAAACGCAAGGCGGTGATGCGGAGTGTTGTTGAGGGGGCCCGCGCCCATCGCGTGGAGCGATCTTCCACGCGTTGTAGTCACATGACTACTCTATAGCGACCATTATTTGATGATTGGAAAAACAGTGTTTCTAGGAAAGAAGAAGTATACGATTAACTACATGTTTCCGAGATGCCATCTATCGCTTTGAGCTTCCCCAGCGCTCCTAGTCATGGTGCCCGCAATATATAAGAGGGTCCAAAGTGCCCCAGCTGCTGGTCATATTGCCAAATTATTAGGCGGCGTAGCCGTACTATAGCAGAACCACGATTACATTAGGTAGCTATTAACAAGCGATAGATCGTACAAAGTACAGGATTGATCACCCTCACAGACGAGTAGTTATACAAGAAAGACAAGTCAGGACTCAGGCAGTTGGGCGCCTCGCAGGCACGATACCAAAGACTGGTAAAAAGTCCTCGGAGACGTAACCTGCCTGGTCCATCCGAAACGTACCCTTCTGCCCATCGACCTCTAAGAGGATGAAGTCCTCCTGGGTGAATACCTGTCGAATGGACTGAAAGATCTTGTACATACCCCTGCTCATCGCCTGTCCGGGAGCCCTGAGAAGGCCAGGGCCTTTCAAGCTCGTTCGAGCGTCCACATGCCCTTGCCCACCACGCTGTTCAAGATAGGAACCTAACCGACGCGTAAAAAGAACTCGATGAGGCAGTACATCGAATTCAAAAGGCTTTCGGAGCGGGACCATGCTTCGTACTGTGAAGCGGAGGTGCGCCTGACCTTCAGAGCTGACGGCCTTGACGGTTTTGATCAACCTTCCGGTCCTTGTGAAAAAGAGTGTGCCCATAACACTCATGATAATGCAGATTCCTCCTGTCAGAACCTGCTGCCATTTCGGTAGTTTTATCACTGGGTCTCGAATAGTTGCATTTGAGTTGTACACAGCATACGCGAAGCAGAAAAGGGCGCCTCCGTATGCACCGAGTATGTAGCTTCGTTGTGATGGGGCCTTGTATAACACTAAGTCGCCTTCTTTGGCCACTTTTCGTTCTAGTCTCGCAAATCCCGCCGGGCGCCGTCCGGCAAATTTCAACCCCTCTTCTGACGAAGAAGGGCTCCTAGGCTGCGATGAGGGCTCTGGCTTCCGATATGGTGTGTCCTTGACTCTGCTGGCCGCTTTCGTCCGAGAGGCGCTAGAGGAGAAATACCTCCATGTCAAGTTAGGCGAGTAAGCGCCCGGTGATGATGAAGCCTTTGGGCACGGCTGCGCAAGCACCCTGAAGGCAAATGATCTGGCGAACATCCTGCGGCCTGCGCTCCTGAATTAGCCAGTAGTCTTAATCCAGACGCGAGATAGCGCAGTCCACGGTGAGCCGCAAATTCTGCCATGACGGTACATATCGCCGACTAATTGGTAGAGTGACTGAGCAACTGACCTGATAACAAAAAAAAACTAAGCTGGGACACTCAACGGCTTTCGTTTTGCGATGGTTGAATCGGGGCTGTTCGGCATAAAAATGTTCCCGTCCCGGGCCGCCGGTGAGAATCAAATCAGGACCTCAACATCCTCAACATCTCTAGCTCGACGACCGGCGCAAGCATACAGATCATCAATTGCTGATCGCAAGACTCGTCGCCGTCTCCCGCCACCCAGCTGCCGTGGGTGATTTGTTGCCGGGATCTCCGTGATTCCTCGACCTCGTCCGTGCCTCACCCGCCGATCTCGACAGCTCTTCTGCATCATCCCGAAACGGACTCCGGCGAGAGGACGCAGTTTGTATAACAATGGCTTCTAACTACACCATTCGCCAAATCCCGGCCGTGCTTCGCACGAAACAACCCCGGGTTGTCGCCAGCACCTCGCGACGTGAGTTTGCCCCGAAGTTGAGCAATCCAGAGAGATAGAGCTTCGATTCGCAAGTTCGCAATGCTGACTGGCTATATTTATTCACATCAGGCCTCGCGTCCACTTCCGCCCCTCAAACCCAGAACCCCGCATACCCGCTCTATCCCTCCGTTAGCTCACTCCTCCACCAGAAGGGCATTCCCGAGTCCGAAGTCTCGAAGATCCCCGCATCCGGTCCCAAAGGCCGTCTTCTCAAGGGCGATGTTCTTGCCTACCTCGGCCTCATTGCCTCAGACTACTCCGCCGCGCAGTCATCGCGGATTGAGCAGCTCGCCCACCTCGATCTAAGCAACATCAAGATCGCACCTCCTCCAGCACCAGCAGCACCAGAGCCAGCCCCAGCAGCCGAGAAGCCAGTCGCACAACTGCCTCCCACGATATCAGTCGCGGTCTCGATCTCCCTGGCTACTGTTCTTCGTGCGCAGAGGAAGCTCCAGAAGTCTGTCGGCCTGACAGTTCCTCTTTCTACTTTCGTGGCCCGCGCCACGGACCTGGCAAACGACGATCTCCCCCGGTCACCGTACGCCAAACCGTCTGCCGACGAGGTCTTCGATGAACTTCTCGGCGCGCAGCCCATCAAGGTCTCGCGCGGCGACTACATCCCCGAGCTCAACGCCTTTGAAGAAGCTTCCGAGCCGCAACCCACCCAGACAGTGAAGGAGGATCTTATCGACTTCCTTATCGGGACTAAGACAACAAAGCGCACCCAGCCCGCTGTCTCAATTGAGTCCGTTGAACCCGAACAAGCCCTCAATGTCTTCAGCCTGACCGTTCCCGTGGGCGAGGAGAAGCGGGCCCGGACTTTCCTGGAGCGCATCAAGACCCTTTTGACCATTGAACCGGCCAGGCTGGTTATATAAACTTTTCTCATCTCATAATTTCTACTTTGTATCAATTGAAATAGCGCCGAAGAAGATATATTCGTTATGTAGCACTCAACACGGACCCACGTTTCAAGATACAAGAATTCATGATCGGAGACTCCCGACTACGATTTATTGTATCTACCTTTTGTAAGCCATGAAAGCCACACTCGCAAGCCCATTTGGATGGTGTTGTAGAACCATTGATTCCTACCTCATAATGTACCTTGCAAGTATACCTATAGTGAAGATATAAAACAAAAGCCATCAAGGCATTTCTTATCATCTCGTCATCAATGAGGTAAGAGTAAAAAGGGATAAAAACGAAGCAGCTGGGAAACTACCTAAAAAGAGCAAAGACCTGACTACAAGAATAGTCTCAAGCTAACCTTGAGTCCCTAGTGAAGAAAAAGGAAGAATAAAGAACAGCCATTCGTCAGATAAGAGCAATGCCATGTCCATCCGGAGAACACCAACAGCGCCATGCTTACGTCCAGCCCGTAGTTGGAAAGCAAAAGGAAGATTTGGAACATGTTTTGCATGCTACTAGACTCGATGTCTAGATGGCGAACCAGTGAATAAAGAACAAGACAGCATGAGTGGAAAGACATGCCCAAGTGATGCCGGTAATGCTAAACGAGGCAAGCAAACAGTAACATGAGACGAAGATCCGATGATATGAACGTTGCGCATAAAACAAACCACCTAGAAAGCCGCCTGTGAAAAAAGAAAATGCTAGATGCCTAATAGACCCCATGATGCCGCCGCCACCAAGTCCGTCCATGGACATGCGCCAAACATTGAGAAGGAAACACCAACGCCAAAGCCGGAACACCGCGTCTAATGCATGAAGTAAAACTCCAATGGGAAGCCGTTAAGATGCCATAGCACCAATTTATATCAAGTCGTTACCGAATAGTCCCCCATTCCGCTAATTTGCTGCCTTCACGTGCGTGGTCTCTGCCGGGTCGTCTGTTGAATATTTTCCAGAACCGCAGGGTCTCATCGCCGGCACCGGTCACCACTGTTTGGCCGTCCGGGCTCATGGCCAGATAAAGCACTCGGAAAGTATGTCCCGTAAGCGAAACAATTTGCTCCATGCGGGGATACTTCCAGATGACAATCTGGTTCTGACTATAACCATGGGTGCTGATGATCTCATCAGAATTTTTTGACCAAGCCAGGTTACAAACCTGGCTCCCGGTGTCAACTTCCTTGATCAGAGAGCCTGTTGCCGTATTCCAGAACTTGATCGTTCGATCAGCCGTACCTCCTCCGGAGGCCAATAAGTGGTGCTGGTGCGGAGACCATGTGATAGCCTTCACAGCCGCAGTATGATCAGAGAAGCGATATAAAGGGGTTTCGTTCAGTTTATCCCAAACTAGAAGCTTGTTGTCGTTGCCACCCGATGCCAGTTGGCCGTCTTCTGTGTTCCACCTGAGTCCGCAGACCTCCTGCTTATGACCGGCAAGGCGGCGAATATATTGATCTGGAGACCGAACGTCGCGATGGTAGATATGGCGGTCCCGAGAGCCGGATGTGAGAATATGATCGTTCCAAGCCAGGGCCCCTACACGATTGGTATGCCCAATCATGGTCCGCAGACGGCGACAGCGATCTGCATCCCAGATTTGCACCATACCTTTCCCCGTACCAATAGAAAGATGCGTGCCCTGTACTTGTTAGAATTGGCCGTATTAATAGAGAGATGCGTACCCTTTGTATCCAACTGACACTGGTAACTGTGTCATCCTTGAGCTCACACAGTTTCGTCACCCTGCCAGATTGTGAATTCCACATGTAAACCGAGTTTCCCAGGCCAACGCCCAGAATATTGCTGCTGCCCCAGTCGACCAAATTCAGGTAGAAATCGTCCTGCAAATCAGGCGCATCAAGAACCTTGTACGGTACCTTGTTCACATAGCGAGGCTGTTTGCGCGGCGTCTCAAGTATTCGTTGGCTGTCGTACCGGATGGGAGATAGGCTGTAGAGTTCTGAGCGAACATTGAGGTTTGGTCCATGCGGTGTTTTGGATGGCGTGGGATGCGTTGATTTAGTGTGTGAAGCGTAATTGAATAGGTTCTTATGAGGCGTTGAAGGAGTGATACTGGCCGGTGGTAGGGCGGAGATAACATGTGACGGGGGTGTATGAGAGCGAGTCTTGTCGACGATGCCGGATGCGCGTATCGGGTTAGGAGATAGGGAGTCTAAATCAGCTTGAGGAACCGTGTTTCCGAATAATTCGCTGCGCAAAACCCGCGAGTACATTCTATTCGCTTCTTCCGCTACAATAATATCAGCATAGGTAGACAAGGCGCGATCAAGGTGGGGCTTACTCTTCTGGAAATGGAGCTCTGAGTGTGGAGTTCGCTTTTTTGATTTGGACGGCGTTGAAGGACAGCCATCTTCGTGAAGCAGACTGTAGGTCGCTTGCAGATCTTGACCTTCGCGGTTAGGAATGAACCTGCGGTGAAGATGAGTATAGGCATTCTAAAGGCAAAGACGAAGTATACCTGTCACCGTAAACCCTCTGACGTTTGCGACTTGGGCTGGTCCCCGGTGTCCTTTCACGGGATCGTCCAGCGTCCTCGTAGTCCCTCAGTGCTTTGGTCAGCGCATTGGGATCAATTGACCCCGAGGCAATTCGGCTTGCGTGATATCCTTCAGTCGGTTCGGGAAAATGAAGAGTAGTTTTAGACGGCATGCTTGGAGGGGTCCTTGAGCCAGGAGGAGATACAATATGTGTTGCTGTTGACCTCGTAGCTCTCGCAGCGCTGCGAGTCATGGGGTGGCCCGAGTCCCTGTTGCTGTCGGACATCCTAGAGAAAGAAGAAGAAGATGCTCAAATGGCGGTCGAACGCAAGATGGGAGCAAGCGAATGCGACAGGTCGGACCGCAACCTCGCGGGCGTCAAATAGCGTCAACGAGCTAATCAGGTCCGTCTCCAAGCAGCTGTAGGGACAAAAGATGGGTGTATGGTTGTCGGCATTCAATAGGAATGAGTAGGCCGTGCAGTCGGCGAATGCAGCAGCTGGGCCCTCAGCTCTGGACAGTCGGGTGAAGCGGTTGGAATCTAGGCGGAAGTGGGTTGAGGGAGTGACGGAGTACTAGTAAACTGGGCGATAAGGATGTTGATGACGGCAGATCTCGCACCAGACGCAGGTATAAATGGGTCGAAACGAATACTTCGGAGAGGGCATTGGAGAGAGACCTGACCACGGTCTGGCGAGGAGAATGAGAGGCGCAACTTCACTTGCCCTCCTCTCTTCACTGACCGTTGGAAGAAGGGGATTTCCCTTGGTCAGTCACGCGTCCGGGAGCGCTAAACCCCTTTTGTATACAGGAGGCTGGACAGGCTTGTTGATTGTTTTGACTCTTCCCTTTGTCACCTCCTTTTCGTGTTCAGTATATATAAATAGACAGGGGAGCAGTGAAGTGAATATGGATCAGGTCTCAACAAGAAGCATTTCAACTGAGATTTGATTTGTTGTTCAGGTGTTGTTCAGGTGTTAGGTGTTGATTCCTCAGGCCAACATCGATAACGTCTCCCGATCAACCAAAGAACGCAGATCAACGCAACAACATCGCCTAGGTCATCAGCTAGATGGAGCAAAGAAGAGGAGTCGGCTCTGCGCCATTCTGTCTCAGTAACTTATCGCACGGCTCAAGTCGTGTCTGCCCAAACACGCTATCAAGAGTTTTTCGCGTATTGCTTGATTGGCCCAGCGCGTCCCTTGACCTTGATGTTATTGTTGTTCTCCCTTCTTAAAGCGGGTTCAATATAGGCTTTCGCGCCAGTCTCGCATTCCACGCGCCCTGGAACGCGACAACGCTCGGACCATCAGCATCAGTCCCTTTTTGAAGCACAAGCCCGAATTCTCCGCGCGTTCTACCGATGTCTTGTCTCTTGTTCTTGTCTCACGTTCTTCGGCTTTCCGAGTGTCTTGCAGCGGTTCCAAGCTTTGATTCATCCCACCAAGGCTAGGCGAAGCTACGCTCCTATATCACATGATGACTAGTAGCATACAGCTCTGTAATAGTCTGCTGTTGACCAAGGGGCCAGTTTCTATACATGAACCATTTCTAAATCGGACTTCAAAGACTTTAGTATTTAGTGACATTGCGCGTACTCCGTATGTCATATAAAATGCAGGCATAGCAAGAAAATTAAAGGTCATGACCGACCGCCAAGAATAACTTGATCTATGTAGAATCGTAGATCAGAGCTAAAGGACAGCTGCCACCGTCTCCACTTGTCCCTCATTATTGCCCAGAGCTCGGCCGCGCCCATTGTCTTCCACCCCGTCATCAGCTCCAGGGTACTCAACCATGACTTCGAATCTCACCAAAAATCTCAAACAGCCTGCGCTGGACTTCTTGTCCTTTGTCAATGCTTCTCCCACTCGTAGCGTCTCCCGTCAACCCGCATCAACACACAAGCTGACATGCAGTCTAGCTTTCCATGCCGTGAACTCGGCCAAAAACCTTCTCGCGAATGCGGGATTCCAAGAAATCAAGGTAGTGAAATCCCTTTTTTGTATTTTGCTGCTGATGATATGACAGGAGAAGGACTCGTGGGCTTCTACTTGCCGTCCTGGTGGGAAGTATTACTTGACCCGCAACCAGTCGACCATTGTGGCTTTCGCCGTTGGCAAGAAGTGGAAGGTGTGTGCGCTCAAACTACACAATGTACTTTACTAATAGTCAGCCTGGAAATGCGATCGCCATGATTGGAGCTCACACAGACTCCCCTGTGTTGAGGATCAAGCCGGTTAGTAACAAAAAAGGCGAAGGTTACATCCAAGTCGGCGTTGAGACCTACGGCGGTGGCATCTGGCACACATGTGAGTGAAAGCGCTGAAACCTACACATCTGTACTAACTTCTGCTAGGGTTTGATCGTGATCTAGGAGTTGCGGGTCGCGCGATGGTGCGGAACGATGACGGTTCTATCGTCCAGAAACTGATCAAGATAGACCGCCCAAGTAAGTCTATCCCTGTTCTATATCTCGTCGCTTCTAACATCAGTAGTCCTCCGCATTCCCACCCTGGCTATCCATTTAGAGCGCCAGGAGACATTCTCCTTCAACAAGGAAACTCAACTTTTCCCAATTGCGGGCATGATTGCCGCGGAACTAAATAGAACCGGTCAGGCTGATGGTGGTGCCATTACTGAGGGTGAGAACGGAGAATTTTCTCCATTGAAAGCCATTACAGAGCGTCACCACCCGCATATTGTAGAGCTGATTGCCGCCGAGGCGGGTGTGAAGCCTGCCAATGTGCTTGATTTTGAGATGATCCTGTTCGATACACAAAAGTCTTGCCTCGGCGGATTGATGGAGGAATTCATCTTTTCTCCGCGCTTGGATAACCTGAACAGCTCCTTCTGTGCTACGGCTGGTTTGATTGATTCCGTAGCCGACGAGTCTGCCCTGAACGATGAGTCTACTATTCGCCTGATCGCCTTGTTCGATCATGAGGAAATCGGAAGCACCACCGCCCAAGGTGCCGATTCTAGCATGCTCCCCGCCATCATTCGCCGGCTCTCCGTCTTGCCTTCTATCGCCGGGGACGCCGACACATCTACCGCCTATGAGCAGACTTTGTCCACCTCTTTCCTCCTCTCGGCGGACATGGCACACGGTGTCCACCCCAACTGGTCTGCCAAATATGAAAGCGACCACCGGCCGGAGATCAACAAGGGACCAGTCATTAAGATCAATGCCAACGCTCGCTATGCGACCAACTCTCCTGGCATTGTTCTTCTCCAGGAAGTTGCGCGCAAGGCTGTGGAGACCGAAGGCGAAGGTGTCCCTCTACAGCTGTTTGTCGTCCGTAACGACTCCAGCTGCGGAAGCACAATCGGACCGATGCTCTCTGCTGCTCTAGGAGCTAGGACTCTCGATCTAGGTAACCCTCAGCTGAGCATGCACAGTATCCGCGAGACAGGTGGAACGTATGATGTGGCTCACAGCATTCGACTCTTTAAGAGCTTCTTCCAACACTACGCCAACACTTCTCAATCAATCTTTGTGGATTAGGATATAGCTTCTGATTTGAGTGCTACCGCTAAATAAATGTCAAGGTCATTTCAAAGTGCCTAACTGGGGCTTAGTGCTGCGTGATATACTTCAGGTGCCCTGTCGGACCGAGAAACTTCCGGCCCGCCGTAGTCTCCTCATCTCGGCTTGCGCCTCCGCCCCTCAGCTTGGTCTCCACATTCCTCTACCCCAAGACTCCGAACTGAATCACGCAGCTCAAAGACCGTAGAGGCTGCACTTGTCACCAGCGCTTTCGGCCGTCACCGTCCTGCCTCAACTTATCTCGCGTGTCATAGATGCCGTCAATGCCCGGATGACCCTCTATGACAACACCGGATGTCTTTCGAGATGCGGAATACATCGCTGACGTGTCCGGCATCCAATATGGCAGCATCACAGAGACATCGCACACGCTGCAAGACGACGGCATGAGGAAGAAGCTCCAAACCGCTGCAAGACTGGCCTTCATCGATCGCCTACTCCGTGATCTCGATATCCTCATCTACTGCGAGTTATCCGCACTCTATTACCTAGAGTGAGTGCCTTATCGTTTTGGTGTCAAAACCCAAGCAAGCTGACTCTCTTAGTTGCTCGATAGTACTGTTTGCGATCCGCGCAGTATCCCAACTGATCTTCTTCACCCCCAAAGCGCCCCCGTTTGACCCCACGCGGAATCAGCCCTTTATCGGAGCCATCTTCGCAAGTAATCTCTTTTGCATGATCTTTCACAATTTCTTCAGTCAACCAGAGGCCGGAGAAGCAACTAGAGGCTATCTACATGGCGGAATTCTCATAGATTTTATCGGGCAAAAGGCGCCTGTGCCGCTCACCCACCTCCTGTTCCTCGACTTACTTGTCATGATACTCAATATCGTGATGCTGGGTCTTATAATTGAGCGTGTGAAGTTGGCCGAGTCTAGAAACACCACCGCTGCTACACCTGCTGCCGCTGCCACTAGTGCATCCGCACAGGCTGAACCCGACCAAGCGCAGGACCATGACCACGAGGAACGGGGAGTTTTAGGCCGCGAAACCGAGCCCCGGGGAGGGCCAACAAACGATGAAAACGAGCGCAGCGAACAAGGCTCCCATTCCACCCCTTCAGATACCCACTCGCCACCTCCGAGCGAGGAAGAGCTTGAACGCACCCGACTATTAGCAGATCCGTCTGAGAATGGAGGTAGTCATACAAATCATCAGCATGCTTTAGACGCATACTCCTCCGGAGACGCCGTCATAGCACGCATGGGACTCTTCAATGTTATCCGAGACCAATGGCGATTTAGTCCCTCTACGGTACGACGGTCAGCTACCTATGCGCCGTCGGATCAAACGGCTGCCTTCTTGCGGGCGCGGTTTGGTCTTCAGGTTGGGGCAAATGGGCGGCTGGAGAGAGTTGCGACAACATGACCATCTGGGCTTTGTATTCTAGGAATTACGATGTAAATATAGTCTCCCACATCTGTTTCAAAATCATAGGACGAACGGTCTACTGGGAGGGAATTAATGCGGAGTACATAATGACAAACTATGGGAATCTTATAACCACAAGAACAGACAAACATCGCCAGAATCAACACCAAGAATCCATGCAAAACTAGGCCACCGGAAACCAATGCACAAAGATCTATGTATATTTGTTTTTCAACGCCAAGTATGCCCCTCATCAAATAGAACATAAGGAAAATGGTGTCATTTATGCAACCACCTCATTCTGAGGAGGCTGAGGGGCCGAAATGGTGGAGGCATCGACCTCCGCTGTCGCAGACTTGGTCTCAGCCTTCACAGGCTTGGGAATGGAGTTCGTGCGGATGGGCCCAACTCCATTAGAAGCGGGGGTGGTGTTTTTCAATCTCGAAGCACCACCGGCAGCTCTAGCAGTCTCGTTGTTCGCAATGGCGTTTTCAACAGCCTTGCTCTTCATCGTTGACTTGTGTGCAAGGTTAAGCAGCTCATCAACTTCCCGAGCAGCAGGCAGCAGATCATCATGCTGCAAGACATGGCAGAGGTCTGCATAACACTTTGTTTGCTTGGCTTCTCTGAACTCCTTGTTTTTGCCAGGAATGAGCATGTTGATGAGGTATTTGGTGTTGCCGAAACGGTTTTCGCACTCGATGCAGTACTTCACGTAGGCGTGGACAACTTCGCGCCAGGGAGCGAGGCCACCCTCTGCTTCAGTCCGAAAGCAGGATGAGTTGGCCTCGGCGGCTGTGGCAATCATGGCGCCGTCTGCGCCATATTCTTGCATCAGGGCGAGGGCTTGATCGCGGGAGGTCACGTCTCCGTTCATGACGCAAGCGACGCCGGCGTCGTGGCAGGTTTGGATAATCATGCGGAGCTGCTCGCGGATGGCACGCTCACGGGGACGCATAGGTGTTGTTCGGCAGTGAATAGTAAGGCCTGTGATACCGGTCCGTACAAGCCTCGAGACTAGGCTCTCCGTGAGCTCGGGGGTCTCAAGAAGACGGATCTTGACGGAAATCCCAATCTGATACGGTTCGCCAACTTCCTTGACCAGGGCCTCCAGAATAGACACTAGTCTGTCCGGCGTGCGCAGGAGCGCGGCGCCCATGCCACCGCTTGTACTGAACGGCTTCGGACACCCCGAATTGACATCAATACCATCCACATCCGCCGCGACCAGCTTGCCCGCTTGAACGGCGAGCTCTGGCGAAGCGGTGCCCATCTGGAATATGAGCTTTCCCTTCTCTCGCACCGGATCGAGGCGGTATATGACGGATTCTTTAGCATCCTCTTTGTTGATGCTGTTCGAGGGCATGCGGCTGAATTCAATGCAGCCATTGCGGGGGTTCACGCGGCGGGTGGTACCGATCATCGCCTTATCGATAGTTTCCGGGCCCCAGCATAGATCTGCGCCATATTTGAGAGCAAGTAGACGGGATGGCAGCTCGCCGGAGCGCACCATCGGCGCAAGCACGACCTTGCCACGGTAGTCGACCCCGTTGGCGGGGATGGGAACTCGTTTCGTAGCGGAAGTCATCGCGGCGCGAACGAATCTGAGCATAGCATTCAGACAGTAAAAAGGTCTGTACGAGCAATACTGTCGGATAGGCCTGAAGACGGAATCTGGCGAGGTCAAGGCAACGGACCCTGAGAATTTCCAATGATGGATGCCATCGACGGTGACTCGAAGGCGGCGAGGATAAAAATTCTAGTCACGTGCGATAAGGTCGTACGGTACCTAATCTGTAAGCCGAGACCGGAGTTGTTCCTGAGACACGTGCTGCATTTTGTTGAGGAGCAGCAACATCACGACTCAGCTGGATTTCAAACATTTTCGTCCTGATTGGGATTGCTGCAAGACACGTCAAAGGACAGGTTTATTTGCAAGCAAACCACAAGGACAAGTCATGAACGCACATCTCGTAAATAGTGGCGCGGATGGCGATGGTCTGGGCGCATAGTAGCGTATGGTAAATGTGTATCGGGATTTCCAGCCGGCGACAACGCCGACAAGATCTTATATTTTACTGCCATACTCCGTATTCTGCCAGCCTGTTCCACGTTCAGAGATCCAGCTCGATAGAATTGACGCTGCGAAAGGGCAAAGCCCAGGCCGGCTGTACCTCCTAGATAGCTTCAGTAGACTAGAGAGGTCCTCGGAACGGTCACATCGCTGTCCTCCCGATCTCTAACCTCGGAGGTAGCGACCAAGTTTCCACTTGCCGACCATTTCCACGCCTTATAACCTCCATCGGCGCGTCGCCCCCAATTCTACCTATGGTAAGTTCCCCGAATTTGCCTCGCCCAGCTTCCGCCGTCCAATTGACCTCCTCAACAAGGTCTCTGCATCGCTGGCTCGGTTCTCCCTCTCGATGCGCCCGGGCACAAGCAGCCTTGTACACGCGATACGTACTGCAGCTCCATTGACCCGGCGACTGCAGCCCACCGCCTCTCCGATCCTGGCCCTCACTCGCTGTTCGCCCGCGCTTCGTCGCACATCAGTGACAGTGGCTCCCCCCACTAAACAAGCCCCTCCCTCTTCTTCTCTCTCTTTCTCTCCTTCCTCTCCTTCTTCCCCCATCCCGCCCACTTCAGCAGCTCGAATTGATCGTTCGATTGCTTCCGTAACAAGCCGTGCCGCTCTACTTTCAAGACACTTTGCTACCGCCGCTACCCCGCCGTCTTCCACAATGTCCTACACCGTCCGCAAGATCGGCCAGCCCTACACCCTGGAGCACAGGGTGTACATCGAGAAGGATGGCCAGCCTGTCTCTCCCTTCCACGACATCCCCCTCTACGCCAATGCTGAGAAGACCATTCTCAACATGGTCGTTGAGATCCCCCGCTGGACCAACGCCAAGCAGGAGGTATGCGCATCGATTTCCCGCCAACGCGGAGCTCGTCGCTATGGCAGCCACTGACTTAATTTGTATAGATCTCCAAGGAGGAGTTCCTCAACCCCATCAAGCAGGACACCAAGAAGGGCAAGCTCCGTTTCGTCCGCAACTGCTTCCCTCACAAGGGTTACCTCTGGAACTACGGCGCCTTCCCCCAGGTATGTCGAAAAGCTCATCTTGATCGCATTAGCTAACTTCAATTAGACCTGGGAGGACCCCAACGTTGTCCACCCCGAGACCAAGGCCAAGGGTGACAACGACCCTCTCGACGTCTGCGAGATCGGTGAGCTCGTCGGCTACCCCGGTCAGGTCAAGCAGGTCAAGGTTCTCGGTGTGATGGCTCTGCTCGATGAGGAGGAGACCGACTGGAAGGTCATTGTCATTGACGTCAACGACCCCCTTGCTCCTAAGCTCAACGACATTGAGGATGTTGAGCGCCACCTCCCTGGCCTCCTCCGTGCCACCAACGAGTGGTTCCGTATTTACAAGATCCCCGACGGAAAGCCCGAGAACCAGTTCGCTTTCTCTGGTGAGGCCAAGAACAAGAAGTAAGTCCGCCTGTACAATCCAGCAAAATACATTATCTAACGTCTGCAGATACGCCGAGGAAGTCATCCACGAGTGTGCCGAAGCCTGGGAGAAGCTCGTTACCGGAAAGTCTAACCGTGGCGACATCAGCCTGTGAGTTTGATCCCCTGCTGTACACAACACAATGCTAACGTGAACAGTGCCAACTCCACTCTCGACAACTCTGACAGTGCCGACTCCTCCAAGCTCGCCAGCATCCCCCGCGGCGAGAACCTCTCTCCTGCTCCCATTGATGGTATCATTGACAAGTGGTTCTTCATCTCTGGTGCTGCTGTGTAAATCTATCTCAAGCAGAAATTATAAAATGTTAGATTTTTGCACTAGCGGTTGAAATACGATATTTTGCATCAGCTAGACATAATACTGGCCTATATGCACCTAAAGTATTTGCATTTATGTACATGGCAATATCATGGTACGAAGACTACAGTTACTTGACTCCGGTGTCTTAATTGCTGAGGAGGTATACTCGTGCTACATAAGCACTGTAAAGTTGTAAAGAGCTCTCCCGCTCTCTATGCCTAGTATACAATATGTTAACGTCCAGAGAGCCACGCAAAAGACCAATTACCCAGCGAGGCATTATGAATAGTAAACAATTCACTTGCACCGAAACCATAGGTAACATAACTAGATATACATGCAATAAAAATACACCATCACCACGTAATATCACTCGTCCAGCAAGTCCTCCCACTAACCCTTCAGACTCTCCTCTCGCTCAATAGCTCTCCCTATGCGGGCAATCTCCTCAACGACATCCCCAATCTTCATCTGGCGCTTCCCGACCTCAAGCTTGACTTCCTTCCCGCCCTTGAAGCCGACCGTGATTTCCGGCTCTTTCGTCGATGTCCGTGGCAGCTGCTCAACCTTGATGTCGACGTGTGTCGGACTGCTGGCGGGTGTTGTGGAGGGGTTGCGGATGATGGAGAGGAGGAGGCGGCAGGGGCGCGAGGAGCGCGCAAAGGGGTTGAAGGATGTGCGGAGTGTGGTTATCGTTTGGAGTGGGATTGTCATTGTGTTGGTTTGTTATTTGGACGAGCCGGCTGTTGCAGTGGCTTGATCTGGGTGAATTGTTAGTTTTGGTGGGGGTGAAAAGGGGTTATGCATACCGAATGAGTTTGGAGGTTGTGGAGTTCCAATACCGAGTGTTTTAGATCTGACCAGGACAATCGTCAATGGACCTTCGGCTCGTCTTGTTGTCTCGCGATACTCCAGCTTTTTGGCGGGAAAATCCGCGGACAAATTGGTTGTCGGAGATCCACGAGTTTGCATTTGGTGCAAACATCCGCCTGCGGGCCAGGAACCGATGACGATGCGGAGCGGAATTGGACACATGCTCTGGATTATCTCTTCTCTTTCGGTGTATAGTTTGCTTTCTCATAATGAGCAGCTAAGGAGCAGCGTGCATTGATTTAAACAATTTCTCTTCATAATCATCCGCGCAGACGCCGCAATAATGTCGACTCTTCCCGCACTTCAAAGCCGCCTAAAAGAGCTGTCCACTGCTCTCGCTCAAATACATCCTCTCGTTTCTCGACTACAAAACTTCACTACCGCCGTAGGACAAGGGGATGATGCTCGCCTTGAGCTCGGAGGAGAAATACACTCTCGATTAAAGGACGCTGAGGATGAGCTGGAACTATTGAAAGACGATGTGGACGCCCTGGAGGCCACGACGGACAGCAGGAGGAAAGGTGTGGACTCGGAGAAGGAGACAGAGAAGGAGCGGGTTATCGCGTTGGCTCGGCGGTTAGCGAAGGACCTGAAAAAGTGGGGTGGACCTTTGCGGTTATCATACTCCGAACAAGTGCTAATGTTCTGCTGCTTAGGACACGAGGCGACTTCAGAAATGCCCAGTTACAGGCGAAGCGTAATGCGGAGCTGGCTAAGCGCAAGGAGAGGGAGCTACTCTTCTCAAGATCGGAGGGGGTCGAGAAACGAAATCCAGCGAAGGAGAAGTTGACGCAGGAGGATATCGTTAAGAATGCTTCCAAGGATGTCACGGCGGCGTTACGGCGAACGCACCAGCTTATGCAGGCTGAGCTTTCTCGGAGCCAATTCGCCCAGGAGACCCTAGGTATGTTGTCCGCTCACTCGGCTTCATGAGTGTTGGGCTGACGATTCGCAGAACAATCTGGCGCTGCCTTATCATCTCTCGCAGAGTCATATACTAGCCTTGATACTCTGCTCTCATCCTCGCGCAACCTTGTTGGGTCCCTTCTCCGTTCCCAAAAGTCAGACACGTGGTATCTAGAAACAGCGTTCTACATCCTAGTGGCTACGATTGCATGGCTGGTATTTCGAAGACTATTGTACGGACCACTTTGGTGGATTGTGTGGCTGCCGTTCAAGCTCATTCTGCGGTCTGTTTTTGGCGTTGCAGGGGCAGTAGGTGTCACGAGCAAGGCAGTCCAATCTTCGGCGACTATCGGCACAGAGACGTTGGTCCAGGAAACGCCGGTACAGGGTCATGTACCGGAAGCCAAGGTCCACGTTGTTGAGAATACTGTCCCCGATGAGGTTCCAGGCACGGATGCGGCGGACCTGGATTGGGTGATGGATAAGATTGGCGAGATTGTAGAAGAGAACGCGGAGGGAGGAACAAACCTTGATGACTTCTCGCCAGAAGAGCTGCAGAGACAAGAGGGGCTGCCTCGAAATACGAAGAAGAGGATGTACGAGGCGACGGAAGTGCTGCAGAACCGGAGGGATGAACTGTAAAACAATTCTTTATGATTAACTACTTAACAAACCTCATTCAGATGGATTTCCAAGAGATGCACTCGTATCAGGTCTTGATGTAGGGCTAGCATGGAGATCTTTTCGGCTTAATTGATTCTTGGCAAACGCGTGCTTTGGTGGAGACGCGTTCTTCGGCCCTGGCGACCTGAGCTTTCGAGCTTCATGAATCTCCGCCTCGTCCAATCCCAACAATACACTCTCGCTCAATATCAGGCAGCCCTAGCAGAAATACAGCATGGCAGCTAATTTCTTCAGCAATAAGGCTCGCGCCGCAGCCGCATCCAGCAGTTCAAAGCAGAAGCCCACAGAAGGAAAAGAAGAGCAATCGCGACAGCAACCATGGGTTGAGAAATAGTATGCCCTCATGTCTGACATTAGGGATGCAGGACGAGCTAACAGATTCAGCCGTCCTAAAACATTAGACGATGTCGCGGCGCAGGATCACACAACAAAGGTGCTCCAGCGGACACTGCAAGCTTCCAACGTACGCCGCCAATTCCTCAGAGACGGACAACACTAATCAAAGTTCAGCTCCCTCACATGCTCTTCTACGGCCCTCCAGGAACCGGAAAGACATCTACAATCCTCGCCCTCGCCAAATCACTCTTCGGCCCTGCCCTCTACCGCTCCCGTATCCTCGAACTAAACGCCTCAGACGAACGTGGAATTGGAATCGTGCGTGAAAAAGTAAAAGGCTTTGCCCGTGTCCAACTCAGCCACCCTACCGGACTAGATGCAGAATACTTCGAAAAATACCCGTGCCCTCCGTTCAAGATCATCATCCTCGATGAAGCAGACAGCATGACCCAGGATGCGCAGTCTGCTCTCCGTCGCACAATGGAACAGTACAGTCGGATAACGCGCTTCTGTCTGGTCTGCAACTATGTCACACGTATTATTGAGCCGCTCGCCAGTCGATGCAGCAAGTTCCGCTTCAAGCCGCTGGATAACTCGGCTGCTGGTGATAGGCTGGCGCAGATTGCGCAGACGGAGAACCTGTCGCTTGAGGATGGGGTTGTGGACAAATTGATATCGTGCAGTGATGGTGATTTGCGACGTGCTATTACGTATATGCAAAGTGCGGCTAGGCTGGTAGGAGCGGCCAAGGGAGCAAATGACGGGGCTGAGGATGAGGAGATGAAGGACCAGGGGTCCGATGTGATTACCGTGAGGAGTATCGAGGAGATTGCGGGTGTTGTTCCAGAGAGTGTTTTGGATGGGTTGATTCAGTCATTGCAACCGAAGAAGATTGGCTCTCCCTATGAAGCTGTTTCGAAGGTGGTTACGGATATTGTGGCTGATGGCTGGAGTGCTACACAAGTCCTTCTACAGGTATTCTTTCTCGAAGCACTCTTATAAAGCCCCTAGCTAACTATTACAGCTGTATCGGCGAATGGTCTACAATGACACTATACCCGATATCCAGAAGAACAAGATCGTACTTGTTTTCTCTGAAATCGACAAGCGGCTGGTGGATGGTGCTGATGAGCATCTGTCGATTCTGGATGTTGCTCTGAAGCTCTCCGGTATCCTTGGTGGGTCATAAGCAGGTCGTTGCGGAAGTCTATAAGGAATTCCACGTTCGGCATTTTCTCCTGAGTTCCGCAACCGCTCACCTATGAAGGCATGGAATTGGTCTGTACGGACTACGGCAGTGCCGAAAGTCTGAAGACAACATAGTCTGCTGGAAACACTACCACGAATTGAGCCTGCTATGTCGATCTAGAAGCAGGACCAACATAAATTTATGATTGCATGAGCTGACACTTCGGACCCAACTAGACTGTAACATCATCCATCTCACTACGTACCTTACACCTATCATGATTGGCGAGGTTGGGGCCAGGACTACACCCGATCTGACATGCACTGAAAACACTCGAGCAACTCAGTGACAGATTAATCAACGGGTTGTGTCTTGCTTTCCTTTGCATATACCCGGTCCCATGACCCTGCACCCTGCACTTCCAAGCTCTCCGCTATTCTAGATTGACCCACTGCTCGTTGGGTGATAGTCTTTAGAGCTCACGCATGTACATATCTGTACTCCGGGACCCAATTTAGCATGATTAGATCGTCTGAGGTAGCATGGGATGTGACGGCGTCTTACCTTGCCGGATGTCCACTATATAAACCTCCGATCTAATGGTAGATTGCGGGATCCTGGGAGTATTGACACTCTCCGTCTACAGCTGTCAACGAGCTTCATCGTCTGGACTCTAGCAAAAGAGTGGTCCCTACTTCCACAACGGTTCCTCTTTTTCTGTGCTGCCTTTTGTGCAACCCTCTATATACAGATTTGCAGTCTCCGTTGCCATTCGTTCCGTCTGTTGAGCATGATCGTGGCATGAACCGTGCCTGGGTCTCGTGATAGCGAGAAGCGTCATTGGTGAGTGTGGATGACTGGAGGGCCATGGTTTGTAGCGATTGGAGGAGCTCCTTCCTCTTCTCTCTGGTTTACTACCTCTTGGCCGCAGAGACCCGCCTCCAGCTGTACCAACCTTGTGCCAATGCATGCAGTCTTGAACAATCCATTTTAGAGGCGTTCAATGCTGATTGCATCTAGATATTAGAGTTGCTCATTGATGCAGGGTTCATGCATGCAGCCTCGATTCGATCCAATTCCGATCCGAAGGAATAGAACCTGAATGGTAAACCGGCCGTTTATGTATGCTCCCTATTGCCACTGGCTCAGACCAATCATTCGCAACCCACCTGCACCAGCATGAGCTCCCCTCTATGGCTTCCTGGGTCACCATGGCCATGTCCCATTTCACCCCTGCACTCCTGATTCTTCAATCTGTCATCATCCTCACATACGTAGTCTACCAGGCCTTCTTCCACCCTCTGGCCAAATACCCCGGTCCATTCCTGTCGAGGTTTACTGAGCTTCGATGCGCCTACTACTATGTCTATAGAGACGATGGCCATCTGGATAATGATTATTGCCATGCAAGATAGGGCTTATTTCACCTGTCAATCTGAAGACCACCATCAGTATAACAATTCAGGTCCAATCGTCCGATATGCACCGAACGTGGTCATTTTCGAACAGCTGGCGCTGTCAAAGGTTCGGCTCCATATTTTACGTGCATCTATCATGGAAATAAGTTCGCTGTTAGCGGCTGGCAGACATTTACCTCCGCCACAAAGGCATTATCAAAGACGAGCAGTATGAGACTCTGCAGATCGGAGCAAAGTCCGTCCTCGCTATGACCGTGTATAAGGAGCATGCACATTGAAGTCGCCTTATTACTCCTGGCTTGACCAGCGTGGCAAACAGGCAGTTTGAGCCGAGGCTACAGCGTCATCTCCGCGGGCTCCTCGATGCCCTTTGCCTTTCCCCCCAGGGAACAGCAACAGTAGAGCGAGGAGGGCGGGGCCCATCAATTGTTGTATCAGACTGGTTCAACTATTTCACCCTCGATGTGATTGCAGACCTGGTCTTTGGGATCAGCTGCAACCTGCTCACTTGTGAGAAGAAGAGTGATCGGCGTATACTGCACGATATAGAGGGCATGTTGAGGCACGTCTCGTTCCTCATACACGCACTGTACATCGCTTTAATCGGACCTCTGGACAGATTACTTTTCAAGGCGGAGATCGATGGCTCGAGGCGATATTGGCAATATGTCAAGAGACTGTTTGCAGAAGCCACTACAGCCAACCCCTCACGCGGCACGCTCAAGTCCACAATTACCATGCTGGACAGGCTGACCGCCGCAAGGAAAACTAACCACGCCTTGACAGAGGGCCAGATCAAGTCCGAGTTGGCACTTACAGTCGTTGCCGGTAATACCAACATACCAAATATACTCTCATTACCATGTGAGGGCTGCTAACATGGAAGCTGTACTTAGGGTCCGATACAGGCTCCACCGCTATATCTGCTATCCTCTTTTACCTCTCCCAAAACCAGCCGCCTACAAGAAACTAGCCTCCGAGATACGAAGCACATTTACTTCCCTGGACGATATCAAATCAGGCCCAGACTTGGAATCCTGCACATACCTCCGGGCATGCATCAAGGAGGCCCTCCGCATCTCTTCAGCTGTAGCCGGTTGCCTTTACCGCATGGTCGTCGCAGACGGCGGCGCCGTGATTGACGGGCGCTATATCCTGACGGCTGCTGCGTGGGTGTGAACATCTATAGTAACCATTGCCTCGAGACACATTATAACCGACCGGCGGTGTTTCTGCCGGAGAGATGGTCATCCTTGGATTGTAGGAGTGGTGGAGAACTTCAAGAAGCATACATGCCCTTCTCGTTTGGTTCGCGGGCATGTGCGGGTTAGCGTCTTCCATGGTTGGAAATAGAGCTTGCCGTTGCGAGTGTCATGCGGTCATACGGTTTCAGACCTGCTGGCAAAGGGGATATAGGGACGGACCATGCGCTGGGTAGTTATGGAAGGAAGAATCCTGCTGAGTTCCAGGTGTACGATCATGTCGTCTCGCATAGGAAGGGGCTGGTTTTGTCTTTTCGGTTGGTGGAGAGGTGAGAGCGCTTCTTAAGGTTGGACAGCTTTATGTAGCACCGTGAGGACATAGTCATTGATCGATTGGATTCGCTGTTGAAGCAATATTGTCTGAATATGGTCCTCGGTCAACCACCCCTCCCTGTACTGTGCCTAACCCTAACCCTAACTCAGCACTACACTTTTGCTAAGCACAACTGAACCGAAAGTCGACTGGGGTTTGACTATCCGGACAGCATCTTATGACACTAATTACGATCGCCCGTAGATAAATTATCCAAAGACTTTGCAGAGGGTGAATTATTGCTGGCCGAATCTGTAAAGAGTAGAGCATTGGGGTTTTAATTTTGAATATGAGTATAAAGAAGTGGCAACATTTCTAGCAAATTGTCAGCATGGCCGAGTGGTTAAGGCGCTAGACTTGAATTAATAACCCATAATGATATGGGTCAAATATTCATCCCATCTAGTTCTTTCGGGAGCGTAGGTTCGAACCCTGCTGCTGACGTCTGATTTATTTTTGCCACTTGATGCTCGGGGCTTTTTGTTGCGTCCTACATGTCTGAGATTGTAGGGCAATGATGTAGACTGGAGGAATATACACTCTCGGGCCTGGAAATAAGATACAATATATGGTAGCTGTATGTACAGGCGTTTGATACCCCATGGCAAAATGCAGGGCAGAGCCTAAGGTACTCGGTAGAGAAACTGTTCTCGCTGTACCTCCGAACCTCGATCCCCGCCGCTCTCCGAGGGCGGGATGACGGCCGACCCTCCGGGGCCGCCAGTGTACTCCGTATATCCCGTTTTGCCCTCTATCTAGTCTCCCACATCAGATTCAGCATTGAATTTACCCACAGGGCAGCTAACTGTCCAATTCCACGCCCATTACTTGCCCTGCCGCACCACGCACATCCTCTGCGTCCTCCTACCCCACTATGGCGATGTCCGTCCCCCGCTATCTGACCGGCGATCCGGCCGGCATGAAGGAATTCCTAGACAAGTTCGATGTAAGGCTGGCTCCTGAAATATGTGGGAACTGTTGTTGATATATGACGTGACTGGCTAGGTATTTCTATTCGATTGCGACGGTTCGCTGCCCTGGCTCGCCTATTATTATTCATTCCGCATCCTCCGCCGGAATACATAGCACGACAAGAGGACGCTGACACGGTGGATAATCATTAGGTGTCTTATGGTCCGGCGATCACCTGTTCCCGGGCACGGTCGAGACGCTGGAGTTGCTGCGATCGCGCGGTATGTTGGTTACATCCATCAATATACTTCCTTGAGGCTTCGATATCCCTGAGGCTTCGATATCCTTGGGCTTCGAAGCCAGGCGGGCGTCTTAACTAACTGGCGCTTTTTGATCCCACAGGCAAGCAAGTCGTATTTGTCACGAACAACAGCACAAAATCACGCGCGGACTACAAAAAGAAGCTAGAGGCGTTGGGGATCCCAGCGAACACCGTGAGTACACACCATAACTACCTAGGGCAGACTTCGGCCAACCCCCACGACCGCATCACTAACAAGAATCCCGCACCTCTAAAGGAAGAAATCTTCTCCTCCTCATACAGCGCCTCAATCTACATCTCCCGCATCCTGACCCTCCCGCCAAACAAGCGCAAAGTCTTCGTCCTCGGCGAAACAGGCATCGAGCAAGAACTCCGCTCCGAGAACGTCCCCTTCATCGGCGGCACAGACCCCTTCTACCGTCGTGATATCACCCCGGAAGACTACAAGCTCATCGCAGCCGGTGACGAATCACTACTGGATCCGGAAGTCGGGGTCGTGCTCGTCGGTCTCGATTTCCACCTAAACTACTTGAAGCTCGCGCTGGCGTACCACTATATCCGGCGCGGAGCGGTATTCCTAGCGACGAATATCGACTCGACGCTGCCGAACTCGGGGACGCTGTTCCCTGGTGCGGGAACCGTGAGTGCGCCACTGATTCTGATGGTGGGACGGGACCCTGTTGCGCTGGGGAAGCCGAACCAGGCGATGATGGATGCGATTGAGGGGAAGTTCCAGTTCGATCGGGCGCGCGCTTGTATGGTGGGTGATCGGGCGAATACGGATATCCGATTCGGTGTTGAGGGGAATTTGGGAGGCACTTTGGGGGTTCTTACGGGCGTTAGTAGTAAGGAGGATTTTATGGAGGGCCCTGTGAGGCCAGGTGTCTATCTGGATAAGCTTTCGGATTTGTTGGAGGCTGCGGAGTGATCATGCCCCGGGGTATATAAGTACTGGTAGAGGTAGAATAGAGTACAAGTCTCATAGAAGAACGGCGCAAGCGGTCAAGGCCTCAAGCTGCTTTCCTGACGTACGATTGGAGATTCCACAATGCCAGAAGCACATCGATGCTAGATTTCTCGGACGGCTTGAGAAACGCGCCGGACTTCTGGAAATGCTCATGGTAAGCCCGGAGCTCCTCGAGCTCAACCTGCGAAAGGAGTCGCGTCAAGTCAAAAACAGGGACCTTTCCATTACCCCCCGGAAGCGCGACAAGTTCCGGGAAAGCAGGCGCCTCATTAACAGCACCGGCATTACCATCGGAGCCATCCCCAAGAACCAGGAAGGCACCGGATTTCAGCTGACCGTATGTTTCCTGCCCTGCTAGACCCGCTGTCCCAACCCCCTCCAAAAGCGTTTCCTCAGAGTACGGTTTCTGAATATCGAAAGACGCCCATATCGTTCCAGGCGCGTTATTCCGCCTCAGCCGATCGGAAACGCGCTTCAGATACTTTGCCGCCTCCCGACGCTTCGCAGCTAGCACGAAATCAGGCATATCCGACCGCCATACGAGGAGTTTCTGAAGCGCAGAGGTCAAAGGTCCAAGCGGGGACTTCAAGCGGTGAGGAAGCAAATTCGCGAGGACGCTGTTTTGACTGCGTGAGCGTTTGGCTGCCTGCGTGATTGTGTCGAGGTGATGTTTGCGCTCGAGCATGCGGAATTTGAGGAACGGGCGGTCCTTGTCCTTTTCGTTCCGTACCACACTGTCTTGCAGAAGACTGACTGGGAGTAGCCATAGTTTGTTCTTGTCAGGCGTGCCATTGCCCTGGCCCTTTACAACCTCCGAGCGAGGAGTCCTGTCAGGTTGTGGGGTTTGCTCAGGGTTGGAGGCGGAGTCTGCTGCGGTGGTGGGCTTGGACTCTGGCTCTGGCGCCGGTTGTTCTACCAAGCCCCAATCCGACAGAAGCGCCTTGGGCAATCGAACTCCTGTCACATTACACATGCGAATTGGCGACGAGAGGGCCACTGCCCACGGGTTCTTTGAGAGCTCGGATATGTCCTCGGATGTTGGCCTGCGTTTCTTGCGGTGTCGGATGGCCTGGCCGGGGTTGGGGTTTGTTATAAGGGGTGACTGGGGGAGGAGTTGGGACGGAGGTATCGTAGATTTAGAGCCGGCTGCATCGCTTTGGTTGCTAGTAATGTCCGGTTTGATGCTGTTCTTTTCGATGGTTGGTGTGCCCTGGTCTGCTTGGGCATTCTCGTTCTTGCTGCTTGAATGCGCGCGACGACACAGAAAAGTCGACCTGGACGAGGCGGACGACACAGACAATAGGCGAAAGGCTTGCAGACGCCATTGAGCGTATGGGATACGGCTGTGGAGGGGCTCCATGGTTGACTGCCACCAAGTGAGGAGGCTGAAGGGTGAAGTTCCGGGGCGGAAAGCTTCGATTTTCAGTCTCCGCTCCGCAGACCAACTCCAACTCTCGACTCCAACGCCGCGGAGCTTCACCTGTCCACTTACCTCTTCTCCCTACACCTCCTCCACCCTTCTTTCTCACAACTCTTCATATAACGATGAACGCGACCCGCTCTCTACAGCGACTTTGTCGCCTCGCCTCGCGCCCTTCCATGAGGAGCTTCTCTAGCTCCATCCCGGCCCTGTCATCGGCGCAACCTCCGCGGGGCTGGACCCCGACGCCCTTTGTAACAGAGACAGTGGTAAGTTTCCCTTCTATCGCCGCGACTGAATAAATGGGATTTAACAAGCTATAGGGTGGTGGCTGGCACACTTGTACGTGAATTGCCCAAGCGGATGCGCGAACAACCTAACATGAACCGCAGACGACATCTTCTCCAAACTCCTCAAGGTACACCGCGCCCAACTGCCGAATATCTTTTGAATTTATTCTAACATGCGCAGGAACGAATCATCTGCCTAAACGGTGAAGTCGACGAAACAATGTCCGCCTCCATCGTCGCCCAACTCCTCTTCCTCGAAGCCGATAACCCGCAGAAACCAATCCACCTCTATATCAATTCCCCCGGAGGATCCGTAACAGCCGGTTCGTTCCCTCACCCTAATCCTATACTTGTTAAGGCAGACCGAGAAACTGATGGTAAATTGACATACAGGCCTCGCAATCTACGACACAATGACCTACATCGCCTCCCCCGTCTCAACAATATGCGTCGGGCAGGCGGCCTCAATGGGCTCTCTACTTCTCTGCGGCGGCCAAGCCGGCCAGCGCTACTGCCTCCCGCACTCATCGATCATGATCCACCAGCCATCCGGCGGATACTTCGGCCAAGCGACCGACATTGCGATCCACGCAAAGGAGATCCTGCGCGTGCGGCATCAGTTGAACCAGATCTACAAGCGGCACCTGACGAGCAAGAAGGAGATGTCGCTAGACGAGATTGAGAAGCTGATGGAGCGGGACTACTTTATGGGCGCGCGGGAGGCGCTGGAGCTGGGTATCATTGATGAGATTTTGGATCGTAGGGTTAAGACTGGGGCTGAGGGAGAGAAGAAAGAGCAGTAGGACTGAGTGCAGGTTATGAGAAGGTGTTTATACCCTGGAATTCGTTATGATGGCTCGCTCGGTTTAACATGTAATATTAGGACAATGCTATGTATGACATGAGTCTCAATGCCCACGAACCTATATTCGCGGTATCTATGAAAAAGCCCAATGCGAGATGCAAGAAAATATAAACCCAAACGCCTCTAAGTAATAATCCGCACCCTTAATTAGATCCAGTAATAAGACCAATGTTCAGCACCTATATGCATCCCATCCAATAGAATAAACTCTTGCACCCCTATTAACCAATCGGATTTGACGGCAGCATTACCAACAAACGAAGTGTAAGTCGGCCGCTAATGGATTGCAAGGGGAAGATGACCCCAGTGAGCCTAAGACTCCTTCTGCGAGATCTCCGCAGTGAACATCTCCTCAACGGCCTTGATGCCGGCCTCCTCGGATTTCTTCGAGTCGGCTCCATCCTCTCCCGCAACAGCCTGGTCAAGGGCCAGTTTCGTCTGCCCAAGGGCATAAATCTGCTCTTCGATGGTATCCTTGGTCACGAGACGGATAACCTCGACATCACGGGTCTGGCCAACACGATGCGCACGATTCTCGGCCTGCACGTCTTCCTGCGGGTTGAAGCTGGAATCGAAGATGATGACTTTGTTGGCGCAGGCAAGGTTGATTCCGGCGCCGCCGGCTTTCGTCGAAAGCAGGAAGACCGGGATATCTGTTTGCTCGTGGAAGGTGTCCATGATGGACTGGCGGTCCTCGACGCTGGTTGTTCCGTCGAGGCGAACGAACTTCAGATGTTCATTCTCCAAAACGTCTTCGAGAATGTCCATTGCCAGGCGGAACTGGGAGAAGACGAGAGCGCGGTCGCCATTTTCTTTGAATCGGCGGAGGAGCTCGCAGAGCTTGTCGACCTTGCCGGAGTCCATCCACTCGTTGTTCTTGAGGGCGAATTTGCCGAGAGATTTGGGGTTATCTATGCAGAGCTGGTGGCATTCGAAGTCGTTGTATGGCTGTAGATCCTCGTAGATGAGGTTCGGGTCGGATTCGGCCCATTTGTCCTCCTGGATGCAGGCCTTGGACATCTTCAGGAGGATTTTGTCGTTATAATGGCGCCGATGGAGGAGAGGGTGTATGGCTGCCTGTCGGAGTTTCATGAGGATATTTGCAGACTTGCTACCTGTCTTCTTGCCGGCTGCTCTGTCTTCCAAGAGCTTCTTCACTTCGTTCTTTTCATGCTCGTAAATCTCTCGCTGGGCGGCATTCATCTCGCAGTACTCGACGCGAGAGATCTTTGCAGGTAGGTCAATAACTTGATGCTTTTTCCGTCGAAGGACAAACGGTTTCAGCATAGACTTTGCCCTTTCGATTCGCTGCGCAGACAAAAGTGCAGAATGCGATTCATCAACAGTCTTTGCTTTGTTTGAGAAGATGTATTGTAGGTCGTCTTTTCGCTCCTGGAATACCTTGGGGAGTATAAATCCTAACAAGGAGGCAAGTTCTTGCAGGTTGTTTTGCAGCGGCGTTCCAGTCAGAAGAAGCCTGAATCGAGCGCGGATCCTGATCAATTTCTCGTACAGAACCGACGTGCTACTCTTAAGCATGTGACCTTCATCATAAACACAAGCACAGAAATCCATGTTGCGGAGGAAGTGCGCATCAACCTTGCCCTTTGCGATTGTGTACGTTGTAATAACAACATTGATGTCGTCCCTGTTTTCCTCAATTTGTTCCCGAATCTGGGCTCGCACAGTCTGGTCGGCGTAGTACGGCATCACTGAGAGGGTGGGACAGAATTTCTGGAACTCTCGAAGCCAGTTCTCAATGGTGGACGAAGGCACAACGACGAGATGCGGCCCCTTGATGCCCTTCTCATATAAATGGGCCAAAAAGGCTATCACCTGGCAGGTCTTTCCGAGACCCATGTCATCGGCCAGGATGCAGCTGAGCTCTTTCTCGAAAAGTAATGATAGCCAGTTGATACCGACAATCTGGTAGTTCTTCATTTTGAGATCTTCAGCCATAATTCCGGGCTGTGAGATGAACCGAGCTTTTCTGGACCTGGATCCAGGGCCATCACTGTCTTCGTCAGATGGTTGACTAGCGGGTGTCCCTATACCTGAATCGTGAGATCCAGAAGACTCCATTGAAACTAGCTCAAGTTCTCCTTCCCGCTTTCCGAAGATGTCAACTCCCCATTTCTTCATCTCCGCCGCTACTGGTTTTCCCAACGCCTCGCATTGAGCGACCAGTGAATCAACCGCCTCGTATCCTACCCACATGTCAAGACATTTATCAACGATGCGATCACCAACCGGCTTCGGGGCCTTCCGTTTCCGGCCAGTCTTGGTGGTTGTTTGCTCGGTTTCTGGTGCAGGAACCACGCGAACCGCATCAAGGGAGGAGAACGGACGCTTGGTGATTATGTGCGCAGCGAGTTCCTCGGTTATTGCGGCTAGGTCTGCAAGACCCGGCGCGTTGCACTTGTTGAAAAAGTTGAGGACTTTGTCCTCTAGGTCGGTGCCGTCCTGTGCATCAAAGGCAGAGTCGGAATCATCAGATATGACTAGAGGCGCCTCGGGAGACTCAGATCGCGCAGGTGACGGGCGCCTGCGCCCTTGGACGAGTCGACCGAAGCTCTTCTTTGGAGGTGTTTCGTTCCGAGTAGGACTTGACGGTGCTGGAGACGTTCGTGATTTTGGTCCTCGAATCAACCGTTTTCGCGGCTTTGATTCATCCTCCTGTTTCTGTGATGTTCCCTTCGGCAGGTTTGGGGCTGTCCATTTGTCCTGAATCCTTCCCCGGGCTTTGATATTCTGTTTCGCAGGGGCTATCGGCGACGTCTTTTTGATCGCATTGAGTTCGTCCTCAGAGGAGATATTGTGTACATCTTGATCCTCGACACTGCCCAGATAATCTAGTGCATCCTCATATCGTCCTTTCTTTGCTAGGAGGGCTTGTACGCAATCATAAACCGACTTCCGCGGTAGAACTTTTAGCATCCTCTCCACTTTCATCCGCATTTGGTAATCGTCAACATCCTGCAATGACAGCTGCGTGTCTACCGGCTGAGCGCGTGAGGGTCCATCTTGGCGGGCCCTTTTGACAGCGACTCCCTTCGGGGCAGGATCCATCTGCGCGGCGGTCCGCTTAGCATTCGAAGGGTCGTAGACAGCGGAGGAGGTAATTTCCTTGAACCGATCCATAGCTGCAGGCTTTTCCGGACTTCTCGAAGATTTCGTCGTAAATGTGGCTGGTTTGATGTCTGTGGTCATCTCAATATCGTCGTCGGAAGAGCCTCCTCGGTAGGTGGGACCATCGTCGTCTAGGTCAATCACGGGCGCACGCTTTGCGGGAGGGCAGAATCGCGTACCGCTGGGCGCCATCAGACTGGAAAGGCGTCCAGGACCGGCTGGGGAAGGGCGAGAAGGAGATGAGGCGGGTCTCAGAGGAGAAGAGGCGGCCACTTGTACGACCGAATTGCCTTTGGCTGTATAAGGACCGTCGACAATTTGCGTAGGCTGAGTGAGGCGCTGGGTAGGAGACATTGGTTGTGTTGCAAGCAATGTGTTCGGAGGAGGGTTCACAGGCAGGGTGGCGATCGTTTCATACTCCCCGTCGTCCTCGACCATAGCGCTGCCAGGAGGAGTACTGTGAACGATTTTTTTGTCACTGACCGGGGTGTCAGGAACAGTGTCGTCCATGGTGGGCGATTGAGAGATTAATATCAAAGTGAGGTGACTCCAAAACTGCTACCTGTTTCCACCACCAAGGCGTTTGCAGAAGGGCGCCATCAAGCTCGGACTCTCCAAGGCGATTTTTCTGCCTCTCCGCAAAATCGCGGCATCGGGGCGGACGCGATCTGGTCACGTGAATACGCGCTTCAATTAGGATGAGAGGGAGAAGTGACTAAGTGGAATCTAGCTTGACTCCTTTACGTGCTCATTATTCCGCTTTGTTGATATCCTCTCTAACGTCTCCTTGGTCCAGTTGCGCCGCTTGAGAGTTCTCCATACCTACTGTGGGCCTCGAAACAACAACCCCTCGCTCGTTGTATAGGCACGAGACCAGCTCATGATGTTCCTTCCATCCCGCCACCAAGAGATACTCCAGCAGGGCATCTTCATCGGCTTTAGTGAGCTTACGAACTCTCCCAAGAGCGCTGTATCGAGGCTTCCGAACGCTGCCATGGACAAGCAAGTTGTGTCGAATTCGCTCCACTGATGATACGTGTACATCTACCTCATCTGCAATAGCTTTATGTTTCCACCCAAGCATGAGATATTGACAAATTTTGGCCCGCTTGGAGGCTTCAAGGCCCCGATTAAGCAAGGGAGGGAGTTCGGGGGCTTCGGTGGCCATCGGGGCTGGGTCGGACCTAAAAAACGCGTGATTACTAGTTACCTAGTATGTCATTGAGTGTTCTGGAATTTTGCTGCTAACATTGTTAAAATATGCACTCTGGGAGTTTGAATGGCTTCAAAACGGCGTTTTTTTAGTTGAATCCGGCAAGACATAGGTTCAAATGCCGTGTTCCAAAATTTATTTTGTCATTTCCGGGATCGTGTGCGTCCTTGCCGCGATCCATTTCTATCTTACCTACCCGGAGACCTGCGGTAAGACGCTGGAGGATATCGAAGAGATGTTTGCGCCTGGAGGTCCGAAGCCCTGGTATACTAAGCCTGGTGATTCAAAGCTTGATGCGCACATTGACAATGTCCGTGCGAACAGCAAGCACACTAACTATGACACAATGGAGATGAAGACTGTGGGGCAGGTGAATGAGAATGTGGCTTCAGGTGTGCACAGATTACCTGCAATACCCTTTGGGTTTGAAACCTTAGGCAGGGCAGCCTAGGGAGGGCGAAGTATCTAGTTACTTTGATAGGTTGTCGGGGAGGATGCAGCACACCTTGTTATCATACACTTTTGTTCTAGCTTCCGAAGAATGGCTGTAGCAAGATTGCGACCGCCCAGGCCATACTCGGCCATCATAAATACAAAACTGCGAGTAGACGGGAGGTACTCCCCTAATGATAAACTCAAGATGGAGAGTTTGGTATATCTTTCTAATAGCAGTAGTTAATGTTGGCCTCAGGCATCACACCTGATCATAGTGTTAGGGCAAGGACTTTGCAGTCCTTTGCAGTGTTCGGGTCACCTATCCGAGTGTACTCATCCATCGGTGGATTACAGTCAAAGCCATCGCATTCGCTACACTTGTTCATTGCAAAAGATCACCTCTAATGGTCTCCGCCTAACTCTATTTAAGCCCCAGCGCTCTGATGTGGTTCCTCGAGGTGTGGGTCGTGTCCTGTGAATACGCCCCCGTAGCCCTAATATCGTTCTCGGGGTTGTATTTCTCAAGACTCTCTAGGGGCGCATACTTCTCACATAGGAACAACATGTCATTATAAGCACTAAACCACATGAAAATGCGTCAGTATGTCACTCTCGTCGGTCTCCCTAGAAGCCGAAGGGAGCTGCAGACGGTGACACTCACATTGACCTTGATATACTCCCCGGGTGGCCAGCTGAATCATTCAGATTCGGATGCAAGCTGTATAGCCTGTTCCGATCATCCCACTCATGTTTCGGCGCCGACGGCTTGATGTGGTTGTGGTAGAAGCGCATGTACACGGGCTTCTTGAAATGATACGCCCAGGAGCCGCGCCAGGTCCCAAACTCCATCTCGTTGTGGGCGTAGGTGCACCCCGCGTCGAATACTACCGTGTCGCCTGTTTCCATGTCGACCCCCATGTTTTGCTCCCATAAGCTACCGTGGATCAGAACTGGTTCAATGGAGCGCCCCTCGGATTGCAGGGCTCCCAGGAGTCTCGGGATCACGGCTTCGATGAGCTGCTTGCATGCAGCGTCAAATTCTGGCCAGTATCCGTTTGTCTCGTTGTCGTATCTGATAACATCTTGTAGTTGGTTCGTGAAGCATTGGGCCCAGCTTGTCTCCCATTTCACCGTCCGTTCGAATATCCCCAGTACCGTGGGTGTGTAAAAGCCAAACATGCCAGTGGGAGATTTGCTCTTTGAATGCAGCTCGGCGACCTTGGCAGTAAACCTCTTTGGATCTGGTGGTGCTCGCAGATCCATATCATGGAAGTCCGCGAGGTAGAAGTATACTGACGTTTGACCATCATGGTATTCTCCCCATGCAGCGGGTTTAGGGACAAAATCAGAGACCACCTCGCGAATGGCGAGAGCCGAGTGGTATTCTCCCTCTGTCATAGTTCGCGCTGATGGCCCTGACGAGCACTGTGGCATGAAGTGTTAATATCAGGCATCAAGGGCACGGGATGAATCATGCGAACGTAACCTGACCTTGAGGAAGTATGTTTTCGGGCTTCCGTCCGGCAGGGTGGCCAAGACCTTTGCGGTTTGCGACCAAGAAGACGTACCATATGTCTCAGCAGACAGTACTATGGCTCCCTTGGGCATCGCTGTATAAAGTTACATTAATTGTTCCGGGGCAATGTTCTTTGGCTTGGAGGCTTACCTTCAACAACAGCTTGGTGGAGGGGAAAGTTCCCTGCAATACCTGGAACCCAGTCGCCGGACATGGTAGTAGCCATATGATAGTATATTCTGGTTTTAGACAGTGCTTCCACAGAGAATCTTGTCTCTATGCTTTGGTCAAAATAGAAATGCTGCATTGGTTTGAGCCTCAACCTGAGCGCTCCGATGACGAAGCCTCAAATATAGGCAGCCAGCCATGTGCACTGCGCCCCCAAAGATCGGTTAAGTAACGCAACTGCATGTGATATGATTGGAATGGACAGTGTGACTTGCTGATTGGCTGATGAGTGCAAATCAGACTAGGATCAAATTGCCCAGGGTGGAAGGAATAATGAGATTGTTACAAAGTCAACTCCATCGCCAGGTTTCCGATTATAACGGACGTGAAGCGCACTCAAAGCAGAGCACTGAGCGGAGTTTTTTGTGGTCACAATCGGTGCTCGATTCCATTGTCGCGAGTCAGTGTGTACCTACTGCATTAGGTAAGCCTTTTGGATGCCTCTACCTACTCCGTACGGTATGGGCGCCTAGGGGATACTTGGCATCCATCTCACTACATCTGACTTCGGCGACCCTCGGGCTCCAGGCGTTTGGCAATTGGTGGCACGGTGTACGGAGTAGGAGATTGATAAAACACTGGAAAATGATTTGTGGACGGAACTTCGCATTCCCCTCTCCTACATGCACCCAAGAAGCCATCTCCAGGCTCAACACGAATCAATCGAGACACCGCAGTCATGATACCCTCCTTTCCGTGTTGGCGAACCGCCAGCCACCTCCACAGCACATACGGCGGCTCTGCTGGATTGCTTTCCACAGAACCTGAGAGTTGGTTTTGTCTCCCTGGCCATCGGCTCTCAAATGAGTTTTCCGCCAGCCCATACCGTATTCAACCTACTAATCGACTGTGGATCACGATATTCTGCCACGCACATGTAACTGTTTCCACTCGTTCACCTACACGTGCCGACCGCAGTACCTAGGTAGTCACTAGGCTGCATCTATTGAAACTATGGTGAGATTCCTTCTGATTTCACGCGGCTCATACTACTTCAGACACTAACATTCAACAGCTTCCAAAGAAGTTTAGCTTCCGGAAGAAAGACAGCCAGAGAGAAAGTTCACAAAGACACGCCAGTATCAGTCCATCGCCATCAAACGTCCCAAGCCAGGAGCAAAGTGTCTATGATGGAGCGAGCATAACCCCCTCTCACACCACCAACCAACCTAATGTGCTTGCTGCAAGAAGGGATGACCATGGACCTGGCCCGATGGGCCTCAACGTGGTGTATTCTCCTGGAGCTGATCGGAAGGCGGACATCATCTTTATCCACGGCCTTGGTGGAAGTAGCAGATGGACCTGGTCAAAATACAGAAACCCTGACCTATTTTGGCCGCTTACTTTCCTCCCTTTGGAGTCGGACATCTGCCGGGCCAGAATCCTCAGTTTTGGATATAACGCAAACTTCCTGAAGTCTGGAAATGCGAGCACGATAGTCCTGGACTTCGCCAAAGAGTTGCTTTTTGATCTTAGATTTGCTAAGGATGAGAAAAACGAGGATCTAGAGATGGGCTCCGTAAGTGAATCTATAGGAGGGTACCCAGGAGAGAACAAGTTGACACGATGCAGGTCCCGCTTTTGTTTGTCGTGCACAGCATGGGAGGGCTCATCATCAAGGAGGCGAGCAAGAATAACTGATCCGAGTGGTATATGTCGTTCTAACCGAGCGTAGGCCTATATGCAGGGTCGGAATGACCCAGGATATAAAAAGATAGTGAAGGCTATCTCCGCTATCTTATTCCTTGCCACTCCTCATCGGGGTACCAATTTGGCAGACATCCTTAACAGATTGTTGCAGTCAACTCGTATTAGTACTCCGAAAGGTTACATATCCGAGCTCTCCAAAGACTCCTTCACTCTACAGAAGCTAAACGAGCAGTTCCGACATGTCGCTCCTAAACTCGACATCGTCTCTTTCTATGAAACCCAGCCCACTTCGATTGGGCTCAAGGGTGCGCGAGTGGTGAGTGCGATACTGCTAATAAAACCCATGAACACTTGCTCACCCGCGAAGATGATACTAGAGAAAGAGTCATCGGTACTTGGCTATCCAGGGGAAACCTCAAAGGCTCTGGATGCGGACCACCACGATGTTTGCAAATACGAAAGCCCCCTCGATCCGAATTATATTACCGTGAGAAACGTCCTCAAGTCCATACTCGGTAGAATCATATTGGCAAATCAAACGAACCAATCACTCGCTTCAGACCGGAGGGAATCGCTCGACTTGAAAATGACACTGGCCATCCCAGAATTGCCCGACGTGGATTATATTTTCTTCAAAGATCAATGGACACCGGGTACCAATGCCTGGTTTCTTGACGAAATCGCCTATCAGCAATGGGCGAGCCCCAACGGGTCCCTGCCATACTTACTCTGGGTCAGCGGCGGCGCGGGGACAGGCAAGTCTGTTCTGTCCTCCTTCGTCATCAACCGACTTGTCGAACAAGGCAGAAACTGCCAATACTTCTTCATTCGGTATGGAGAGCGGAAGAAACGAACCTTGAGCCTTCTTCTTCGGTCAATCGCCTACCAGGTCGCTCAAAGCGTGCCTGACTTCCGCGCAAAGCTCTCTGAATTTGCCGGGGAGGCTGTTGACCTGGAGACGGCAGATCCAAAGACTATCTGGGAACGTCTCTTCAAGTCCATACTTTTCAAAATGGAGCGGAACCAACCTTTATATTGGGTCATAGACGGTCTGGACGAATCACTCGATGCTCGAGCTAATATCAAACTCCTCGCTGACATCGCCGGGTCCTCTGTACCGATTCGGGTTCTTCTTCTCGGCCGCGCAACTGCGGAGATCTCTGCTGCACTAAAAAAGGCATCACAGTTAGTGCCGCACGGTGAGATTAGCATCGAAGGACATAGAGAAGATATATACGCTCATATCCACCAAGAGCTGAGTATGTCCGGTAGCACCGACTTCAGAGAAGATATTGTTAAGCGCCTAGTTGAGGGCGCCCAGAACAATTTTCTTGTAGGTCTCGAACGTGTCTCTCCTGGGGATCTACGCTGATTGACTTGCTTAGTGGCTGCGACTGGCTGTTGAGAAACTAAACTCATGCTACACGATGACCGAGGTGGAAAGGGCTTTTCAGGAACTCCCCCCTGGAATGGAAGCGCTATACCATAGAATGGCGACGTCGATTGCACAGAACCCATCGCCTTCACGCCGAAATTTGGCGTTAGCCATTTTGCAATGCGTCACCTGTTCATCCCGCGTACTCACAATGGCAGAACTATCACAGGCCTTAAACGAAGACGTCTCTGACATGCTAGATTTTCAGCAATCCATCGGAGAGCTGTGTGGAGGATTTGTGATTGTCGACAACAGCGGTAAGGTTAGCATGCTTCATCATTCCGCGCGCGAGTATCTACTCAACGTCGGAAATGGGCCGTTCTCCATCAACCGCGACGCAGCCCACGAGCAGCTGCTTCTAAGCTGTATGCGATGCCTCATGTCTCCAGGTCTAAGAGGCAAGATATCACGCGAAGATATGCCAGAGTTCCTCGATTATAGCGCGACTTGGTGGTCCTCCCATCTCGCCTTGACACCTGCTAGCCGCGAGTCTGTGTATAATGTCATCAAGAAGTTTCTCACCGGCCACTGGGTCTTAATATGGATTCATGCTCTTGTGATAGCCAAGCAACTCAGAGTTCTGATTCGGGCTTCCAGGAACCTTTACAAATACGCAACCTCAAGACAGAACATACATGTGGCAGCATCGAACGAAGTCAGCCGCAAGATGGAGTATCAATTCTTGGAGAGCTGGACTGTGGATTTTGTGAAAGTTGCTGGCAAGTTTGCTACCAACCTTCGGCGTAATCCAGCAGCGATCTATAAACTGATTCCTCCCTTCTGCCCCCGAAACTCGGCCATATACCAACAATTCGGGAAGCCAGAAGACAAAAGCCTTGCAGTCGTAGGGCTTTCGGCACAGGAGTGGGATGACTCACTTGCCAGGTTATCCTTTGGAGCTGGCACCAATGCATCCTCTATCGCCGCGGCGGGTACTCAGATCGCTGTCCTGGCTCCGGCTGGGACCATCTTTGTCTATAATTCGTCGGACTTTGAAGAAGCAGTTGGTAGCCCAATTACGCATGGAGAGAGGGTGTACCGCATGTGCCTAAATGGCACGGGGACCCTACTAGTGACCTACGGATTCAAATCCATCAAGATCTGGGAACTTCCAACAGGAGTATGCAAACTGTCATGTGCGAATCTCGAATCTCGACCTCGACCGCTTGCTATGCTCTTTACGAGGGAGGACAGCATGCTTCTGGTCGGCTCGGATGACCGACGTATCAGGTCACTCAACCTGAACGACCCGTCACCCACCTGGGAGATTATGGCAGAGCTCGAGGAGCTACAATTGGAAGGACATTACCTCAATGCCTCCAGTTACATGTCTATAAACAATGAAGGCAGTCTAATAGCGGTGGCCTACCGGGGACATCCGCTCTCAGCGTGGGAGATTGACGGTCCGATCCACATCAACCATTGCTGGCGAGCAAGGGAGCAAGTCGCAAGAGGGGAGGTTATGGAGGCAGTATGGCACCCTCATTCCCCCGAGCTTCTGGGTCTATACCTTGAAGGTGTAGTTTTCAAGTGGAATCCATACGAGGGGAATCCCGAAGAGATTGGTACCGGTGCTACTGCGCTAGCAATGAGCAGAGATGGGAGTTTGTTTGCCACTGGCGACGTGCAAGGCACCGTGAAGGTCTATACCATGTCGGACTTTTGCCTCTTATATGAACTAGCCTCACAAGATGCTGTCATTGATCTGGCATTTAGCCCGAGTCTCCATCGGTTTTACGACGTGCGTGGTGACTATGCAACGGCGTGGGAGCCGAATGTATTGATGAGGTACGCAGAGCGTCTAGAGAAAGGATCTGATGGCGATAGCGAGAGTGATAGCTCTGGTCAAGGCTCCACAGTATCCATGGGTAGTTCACGCAGGATTGACACGATCACGGCTTTGGCTGCATCGCCCATCGGCCGCCTGTATAGCCATGGTACGGAATACGGAGGCGTGCAGTTGTTTGACATCTCCCGTGGAAAGCTTTGTGATATCCAGGGCTCGGAAAGATTTCTGAGCATTGAACAAATGAGCTGGAGTACTGATGGTCGGTACCTTTGCTTTTCCGATTCAAGCCAGACAGTTTTCATCGTGTCAATTCTTTTCGAGACTCGCTTGTCCCACTCATCGAGAGTCGAAAAGGTGATGGAAAAGCCAATGGAGGATGATACAGAAGGGCCCATCACACAGCTTCTATTCCGACCTAACCAGAACTCAAGTCACGTCCTGGTATCCACGCCGTTCACAGTCTGTATCATCGCAATTGAGTCGACCCTGGTGACACACTCTCTAGATCGGCTCTTTAGTCCGTGTAAATGGATTGCCGACCTTCGAGACCCGACACACATCCTTGCAGTTGAACCAAACTCCGTCACGGTATACGACTGGACGTTGACAAGAAAGGCAACTTACCGTTTTGACTTCCGCGGAGAAAGTTCACTCACACTAGAACACAACCAGGACACTGAGGGAACTGGAGAGATTGACCGCGTTCTTATCACCCAGGATAAACGCCACATCCTAGTTCAGATGTCGCTGGGGAAAGGCCTGAAACAGAAATCATTCTTCTATTTCGCTCTCCCGCCATTCACCACATCTACCTCGTCGGCACATGACGATGATGACCACCCAGCGCCCGTCACCGCAGTTATTCTCCTGGAAGCCATAACCTCTCAGATCGCGCTGGCCCTCTCGTTCCTTTCTCAAGACCGACTGGTGTTTCTATCAAAGACCTTCGGTATCAGCTGCTTGAAAGTTCCCTTTGATGGTGGAGACTCCGGACGAGTTACAGTACCTTCCCCGTCTCCCTATACCCCTCGCCGGCAGAGTACGAATGCAATTCACCATTCGTCAAGGAGGGATTCTATTTTCGGCACCCTTCAGCATCGCCGAGGCAATTCCGAGGACGGGTTTGGTTCTCAGCCACAACAAGCCAAGACGGAGATGACGGGGGCTAAGGAGATTTTCGCGCTCCCGGGGGATTGGATTAGTAGGGACTGTCTGGCGCTGTGTAGTATCTGGGCCAAAGAGAGGGCTTTGCTCTGTCCGAGGAATGGGGAGGTTGCGGTGGTCAAATCTGCTGGGTTAATCTAAGGCCTTATCTTCCTTAGACCTCTTTAAGTAGCGCTGTTTTATGGATCGTTATATATTGTTAGCATATTCCGCTAGGCCGTAAACCCAATTAGCTATAGGCCTGGTCTTATCTAAGGTTGGCTTATATAGCTCTGTTTTACCCTTGGGTTATAGGTAGATTGCCCTTGCACTAGTTCTTATATTTCGGATCTAGATATATAGGTTTTACGTGCAAAGGCACCAGGTCAGGATTAATTAAAAAAGTCCGACCTATCAAGCATTTATTTGCAGAAACGGACTCTATAGAGACCACTCCGGGCTTATAACCTGTTTAGCATATTGCGCTAGGCTATAAAAACCAATGAGCTAAAGGTCTCTTCTTATACTCAAATAAACATCACTGTGTTGCTTGTGACAGGCATGTGTCTTGAGTGTGTAGATTGGTAGATAGGATTTCTTGCTGTATCTTGATCTTCTCGTACCTCCTTTCTCTTCCCGTCCAGGTAACGCTGCATTTACACAACCTCGTTATGGAGTCCAGCCATAACCCATTTTGCCTATTTGTCTTGGGATCCATCATAACATTACAGGCTTGCTTTAGTAAACCAACCCCCAATTCTCGTCTCTTATACCTTCAAGACGTTCAAATCTACCCTTCTATAAAGTTTATTCAGCTCTCGCATCGAGTTCCCTCTCACCCGCCAAAGACCTGCAGATCATACATCAAATCCTAATTCTACCAACCCTTGCCTCCCTCCATGCCGTCCCTTTATGGTAATCAACAGCAAAGAGCCCCGTCGCCAACAGACAAAGCCCGCCCATGACAGTGAACGTCCAGCCGATGCCAATCGAGCCAATCATCTTCTGCAAAAAGGACACGGTAATAGCGGCTAGTATGCAGCGCACAATGTTGCTTGAGGCTTGGGCAGCCGAGGGAGAAAGGTGGTTTTTGTCGACTAGGAGCGTGTTGTAGATCTTATGTAGATGTACCGCGTCAGAATTGTTTTGTTGAATCTTTGAGAGTTGGATAATGAAACGGCGAGACTTACGCTGAAGTCTAGCTGCATACAGAGTCCTGCGATGAATTGGAGAGCCAGGAGGACGGCGATGTTCTTCTCGGACTTGAAGTTAGCCTTGCATGCTTAATTAAACAGCTGGAAGGGAAAGAGAGGAAACAGAGGCAACGAACCAGATGATAGTGCAGTCCCCAGCCAAACGCCACGATTGAGCAGGTAGTAGCCAGCATCGGCACCCACACCACACACAACCTAGCCTTTTCAACAGGGAACGTGTCCAGATCATCGCCAATTGACCTGTCTGTACTCAACCCCAGCGTATACCTAGCATCCCGCCACGCTCTATCCAGTATTCTCCCAGAAATGAATGACGACGCCACCCCGCCGAGTCCGAAGGGGAGGTATATCAGGCCAGCCTGCCACTGATTCAACTGATATATTTCCACGAACAAGGTGGCCAGTGAAGCATTGATGCACGTGTACACCACGTACAGAAACCCGCAGGCGAGGATGATGACTGCATTGTCCTTGTGGCAGAGGATATTAATTGATTTGAATGGATTTGGTACCCGCCATGAACGGCTGGCTGTTGACTGAGGGGCTGAGTCGTCGCTGGCGTCCTTCCAATGGCGCATGATGCCAATACCAGGCGGTAATCGGAGGTACTTCGGTGGCGGGATGGAGGCGTCACCAACGATATGGCGAGATGTCTCTGGTAGGAATAGGGTCATGATCACCAGGCAGCTTCCGGACGCTAGGCACAGAAACCAGAATATCCAGGGCCAGCCCGCGGCGTAGGTGAGGGTACCTCCTAGGATCGGTCCGATGCTTGGAGCGATTGTTATGCTGGATGAGTGTGAGTGGAAAGGGAGCCGTAAAGAGCTCGCAAACCTACGCGAATGAGACCAACGCAGCGAATGAGCCTCTTTCAGCTGGGGATGCCACGTCCGTGACAACGCCATAGGCAATCGAAAATGTGCCTGGCAATTAACTCAGCGGCTATCGCATTGAAGAAGAAGTGGCGGAGACATACCGGAGATGCACAAAGCCTGCAGGATCCGAAGGCCCAAGAGCGCTGGATATGATCTTGCCAGGGCAATTGCAAGATTTGCTGCAAAGTATCCGCTCAGTGTGAGGATGTACACCGGTCGCCGTCCAAGAATATCCGCTGCGTCGCCTACAAGAGCCGGTGCTATGCTAGCCGTTGCCATGTATGTTGTGATAGTCAGATTGATCTTATCGACGGAGACACCCAGCGCCTCGGACAATGCTGGAATTGCCGGGTAGTAGATGAAGCTGCTCAAGGTGGAAAACCACGCCGCATAAGAGACCAGGGCTATGATACACCATTTTTCGACTGTCGTGAAGAGGGAGTGTCTGTAGGCGACTTCAACAGTTTGGGCATTGCCATTAGGCGACGGCGCTGCGCCGGTATGTTCCTCGGCGGGAGGCATCTGAATGTCTTAGAAGGAATAGAGACTCAAAAGAGGATAAGCTGGAGAGGCCCTGAGTAATGTAATAAGCGGGGTACCATGCTGCACGTGCACGCAACTGGAAAGATGGGTTTGACCGCCAGTAGTAGTACACCCCCCAGCCCTAGCAGCCCAAAATTGGTTAGACCGCCAAGACTCCGCCGTCATTTCATCCGCATTCTCCACATGATTTCCTCGACAACATTCGAGGTATTAGAAGCTCTGAGCTTACAAAGTTGCCCCTCCATCAAGCTCGGTCTTATATTCTATGTCCTTTTTCATAGTTGCGCACTTCAGCTGCTAGCCATTGGTTACTTGGAGTTCTCCTCCCATACCAGCAACATCCCAACCTAGCTCTTATAGCTAGGTAGCACCAGAGGACAGCTTAGACTCGCCGGCAAGAACTTACACTACCAAAATGGCCACCCTTCGACCCGGAAAGTCCTACGCTGAGGCCGCTGCTCCCGGCTCTACAATAGGCGAGAAGCCTTCAGAGATCAGCATTGATACTTCACCTGCTGTTCCCATGTAAGTGTTCCATCTAACTACGCGGAGCTCCTCCTACTACCTGCCTTCCAGCATTCTGTATAGTACTCAAGAGACTGGCTAACAAGGACCCAGGCACGTAATCTACAAGCTCATTGGCTTCACCATCGCCATGATCACTACGCCCGTGGGGATGTATTTCGTTTCTGTGACACTTGGAGGTGAGCCCTACTTCTCTTCGTGCTTTTTTGTCTTTTGTTTCTTCAAAATGGGATTGGGTACATCCAACTGTATGCGTATGCTGACACATGCCAAAAGCGAGCACGACTGTTGCTGGAATCATTGCGGCCGTTATGGCGAATGTCATTTTGTTTCTGTATATCTATGTTGCGTGGCAGGAGGACAAGGAGGAGAGGGAGGCAGACGCTGCTAAGAGGAAGGGCGGGAAGGCTCAGTAAGTCGTCGGGATCAGGCGGGTTGTGTATTTGTGGGTGTATGTACATTATGCGGCATTCATTTTATGGTGTTAATATTGATCCCGCTCATATGGCAAGGATGTTTCTTCTATAATACCTGGATGATTCCAAGAGAAGCGGACAAGCATGAAGTTCGAAATAGGTATTTGTGTCTTTAAACAGCGGTCCGAATGTTAAAAGTAGCCACACATGACTATGTCCCCTAGTAAATATATATCCAGTCCATGTTGAATAACTGCGCCTGGAAATGCATCGCGGTCTCAGCACGAGAATAAGAGAAAAAGAAAGGAAATGAAACAGAGCTCTCAAGAGAAGAAGCCAACTAAGGCCTCCTCCTAACAAACTCCTCCAGATCCCCCTTCGTCGCAACCCCCAGCACAAACTTCCTCTCCACATCCGTCACAACCGCAAACTCCCTTTGTTCTCCATTCGCCCCCTCACAGCTCTCAAAGAACCGCTGCAGCTCCTCCAGCGGTGTCTCCATTGTGATAACCTGATACGTGCCGCGCTTCCTGTTAAATCTCTGCATGGCCGCCGCAACTGTATCCGACTCCTTCACTGTCCCCGCGGCAAGGAGCTCCTTGAGTCGCGGGATACTGAGGTATCCGAGCAGGGCGCGGTGCGTAGACGAGGTAACGGTGAGGTGTGTGTAGTCGCGTTCAAAAGCGGCGAGGAGCGCAGCGGAGATGGGGGTGCTGGGGGAGACGGACAAGGCGGGTGGTGGATCTAGGTCTTCGACTGTGGCCTTTTGCGATAACTTTGTTAGCTAGATGCTTTGAACTGGCGAAAATGGGCCACTCACTCCGCGATATTTGTCAGCCCATGAAGATTGCGGGATTGGGTTTGCTGTGCTCGCGTCGAGCTTTTCGCGGACGAAGGCTTCGCTGGCGTTCATGTAGGAGGCCATTTTGGCGTCGAGAGGGGTAAGAGGAGCGGGGAAGTTCAATTGACGGCGGAGGGTGGATGATTCGCGAGAACTGTAATGTCGGGCTCAATCAAGCGTCCGTGAATTTTTGGTTTGGCAACAATTGATACGCTGGAGATGTTGACGATGATTAATCGGGCACTTGTCGAGGTGAAAAGAATTCAAAGCCCGCTCGAAGCTACAGTGACACCGACCCACCACCCGATCGGGGCGGGATTCAGAGTCACAGGTCACATGTCGCTCTCTACGTCATCCGGCCCCCAACAGGACCTTCGTGCTCCGTATTAGTGCTTATCTATCGCGCTTTGTGCCCTTTTGTTCAGTGTTTCTCCTCAATATCAATCTTCTCAGAGCTTTGCTCGTCGAACGTGTATCCTGGAAAGATCGGTAAGTAAGGCGAGCAGTTGGCATCTTCATCCTATCAATCAGCCCTGGTGGAGACGATTGGCGTTGTGACCCACTCTCAGGATCTATACTCCGATCTGTATACAACGCTGCGAATCGGCTGTTTTTTCCACATGCAAGGTGAGAATTAAAGGGCTGACTGCTTTCAATTCAATAGCGCCGCCATGATGTTCCCTTCGAAGGATGCCATTTCCAATGCCTTTGCCGCCCAACGTCCGTTGAGCCAGCAACCGCAGGCTTCGAGTCCTGTGACGACGAGACGAGAGCCATTCCCCGCCTGGAACGTCATCGAAGACATCGAGAAAAAAGCCAATGCCGTTGGCAAGGAAGCGGCGAGGGAGTTTGAGGTCGCGAGTCAGAAAGCGCAGGCCAAGGCTGGCAAGATCGAGCCCTGGACGGCTAAGTACTATGCGGCCTGTACGTTTGGCGGGATGTTGGCTTGTGTAAGGAATACTTGCCCGTCCAGTTATGTTAGCAGAGCTAATCAGGAGGTTAGGGCTTGACTCACACTGCCGTGACCCCGTTGGATCTCATCAAATGCCGACGCCAGGTCGACTCGTCACTATACAAGAGCAACATGGATGCATTTAGAAAGATTCGTGTCGCTGAAGGTGTGAGGGGCGTGTTTACCGGCTGGAGTCCTACATTCTTTGGTTACAGCGTAAGCTGGTTGTAATAGTGCTTTTTACGTTTGTGCTAACTGGAAAAAGGCCCAAGGAGCCTTCAAGTACGGAGGATACGAGTACTTCAAAAAGTTCTACAGTGACCTTGTCGGAGTTGAAAATGCCGCGCGTTATAAAACTGCTCTGTACCTGACAGCCAGTGCTTCGGCAGAGTTTATTGCTGATATCGCGCTCTGCCCCTTCGAGGCAGTGAAGGTGCGCACGCAGACAACCATTCCACCTGAGTTCCGCTCCACGTTTGGCGGTATCTCATCTGTCGTTGCGAAGGAAGGGACGGCTGGGTAAGTAAGCACATGGGCTGCGTTAGTCTGATCCTAACCGCACAAGACTGTACAAGGGACTGTATCCCCTCTGGGGCCGACAAATCCCCTACACCATGATGAAGTTCGCCTCTTTCGAGAACATTGTCGAAGCGATCTATAACTACCTCCCGGGACAAAAGACCGATTACAACAAGGGCGCGCAAACTGCCGTCGCATTTACTGGAGGATACCTTGCTGGAATTCTGTGTGCGGTCGTTTCCCATCCCGCCGACGTTATGGTGAGTAAGTTGAACGCGAATCGACTGCCCGGCGAAGCATTCGGTGCCGCGACAGGCCGCATCTACAAAGAGATTGGTTTCAAGGGTCTCTGGAATGGTCTTCCCGTCAGGATCGTCATGATCGGTACTTTGGTGAGTCTCTATATACAAACATGTTTAGATCAATACTAATGGATGCTATAGACCGGCCTTCAATGGATGATGTATGTATCTACTTGCTTGCTTTTTCCAGCTTGCTTGGATCGGGCTCGGAGATTTTGGGGGACATGTGCTAACCTTCGTCCAACAGCTACGATTCGTTCAAGATCTTCATGGGCCTACCGACCACAGGTGGTGGCCCAGCACAGCAACAGAAGTAGGTATAGTATGCGCACGTCTGTCAGGCAATTACACGGTAGGGTTGCATCTTGAGGGTACAAGGTATTGTGAAACAGTCACACTTGTTTTGTCCTATTTGGTGAATGTATGTTGCCATTTGAAGCAATAATATAAATTCTATATCCTCAATCACTCTTGGTTGGTCAAGTAGGCGGATAATCATTGCTCATCATCAGCCAAAAGGTTAGTCACTGGTTATCTTATCAGCTCGGCTTCATATGCCTGTCTGATATAGATCTTGGTCTAAACGTCATAAGTCGTCCCACTAGTTCATAGGTAGAAAGGCTCCAAGCCTCAAACTTCCTTTGAACTTGCGCTGGCCCTGGCTGACTGGCTCCAGTCCTGACGTACCTTATCTTATTTATTTATCTCGGTCCCCCACCTCAGCTTTCCCCCTGATCTTGAACCGTCCCGTATTTATACACCACTGAACACAGCTACCAACGATATCGCATTCAAACATGACCGACCACGAGGAGCATGCGCCTATCGTCTCCCACGGCCGTGGAGGTTCGTACCCACCATTCAGCCCTGCCCCGCCTCGGATCCCTTAGCCCAGGCTTTCCGAACGTAACTGACATCGCATTGCATCGCGAAGGCCAGGGGAACATCGGCCCTGACAGCAACGAGTACGTGCCTTTCTCATCTCGAAAAGCTCAAGGATTAACGAGTCCATCAGGTACATCGACGGCGGCATCGTCCGCGAAGGCCCAGTTGGCGACCAAGGCGACGGCGCTTACTCCGCTGGTGTATGTCCCATCTTCCTCCCCTTCCTGCTCACAATCTACACGAGACAATCACTGGACAGCGACACTAACGAGACGCTCAGCGCGGCGGCGCCGGAAACATCGGCTCTCCTCACGTAAAGCCGGCGAAGCAGCCCCACGACACGGAGTTCATCCCAGAGATCTCAGTGCGGCAGTCTGTGGACGGGGACTACCACACTGGCGTACGGCCCACATACCCTAGAGAAAAGACAATAGAAGAAGCGCTAACTGGTTTCATAACAGCGCGGCGGCCAAGGGAACGTGCACCTAGACCCCGAGCACAAGAAGGCCAAGGAGGAGGAGAAGAAAGAGGAGAAAGAGGAGAAGAAGGCTGGGGTTGCGCATGAAGGGTTGGCGGATAAGCTGAAGCATAAGATCTTTGGGAAGAAGTGATTCCTTCACCTGCTACTTGCCTATCTTTCTAGGTCTGTAGAGGTGATAGTGATGACGATTCCGGGTGTATTTTTGAGTATTTGTCTGTCTTGTTGCTGTTTTCTGATTCCCTCTTGCTGCTTTTTCCGACTACCCCTGTCTGCGTAATGTACTGGACAGTGAGTTTGGTCATATCTGAATATAGTTGTGCTGCGAACATATATAAAACGGGAAGGGTAGAGTTCTTCTCGTCATCAATAATCCTAGTGTTTGGCCCAGTGCCGACCAGCCTGAAGTAAAGATATAGTTCGAAACCACCTAAACAAGGAGCTATCATGTTTCATAGGTACATTATGAATATTATTCACATATCGTAATCTCATCATCGTCAAAACACTGCCTAGTAGATAAGCCTGCGAGCCAGATTTGAAACCAATACGGTGTTCGCATCACCGCAGTTGCCAGTTGGAGAACAGATAAACGCCGAGTATTACATCCGAGTAAATTAATGCCGAGAACGCTGGAATGGGTAGTGGGAGTCGGAAGAAAAAGCACGAATATCAAAAATAAGAGGGTGCTAGTTTTTGGTAAACGTGCGTTTGAACCAGCTTTTGCGCTTCGTGCCGTTGTCGCCTGCGTCGGACGATACGCTCTGCTGTTGCGATTTTCGCTGGAGATGGCGACGCCCGGCGACAAGTTGAGGGTTTGGTGGGCCACCAACTGGGCCGCCAGCATTCGGATCATGGGCAGGGGGAGCCGGAGGAGCCTGACCGTATGGAGGCTTTCCAGCCGAATTGGACACGAATGTCTGGTCATTGATATTGGGCCCGGCACCGAAGCCTTGGAAGCCGTAACTGTCTGCCATGGCTTGCTCGTGCTGTTGCTGCTGTTGCTGCTGCTGTTGTTGGAACTGGTCGAGAGAACTGTTTATCGAACTTGGATCGGTCGAATTGGCCCATTGATCAGGGGTGCTGCCAGAACCGGAGGGCGTCGCAACAGTGACATTGTCCGATGATTTGAAGTAGCCGGTTTGACCGTATGCGTTTTGACTATAGCCGCTGGGTTGGCTTGAGTACGAAGGCTGCTCGGAATGACCTCGAGGTTGTTGACGTGGTCGCCGCCCGCCGTTTTGGTTGTATGGGTAGTAGCTCTCCGAGGGTCCACCGCCGTTGTAGTAACCATTTCCATTGTCCATATAACTATTCGGTCGCGAATAATTGTTTGGGCGGCCGCCATGATATCCACGATCGTTGTATTGCCGGTTTTGCCCGTTCGGGTATTGGTTGTAGTAGCTGCTCCGTCTGCTGTAGTCACCACCCTCTTCACCACGATTAGCAACTGAGGCTTCGTCTAGCACAAAGAGACATACCTGGTTGTGCATAAGACGTAGGACGACTAGCATACTGTCCATAGATGGCAGCTTCGAATGAGCGGATTGTGTCTAAAGGACGTTCGAATCGGGGCCGGGTAGGGTTAGAAAGATCAGGCTCGCCTGCCCAAGGTCAGTCTCCAAAAAATAGCATTATGTTCCGAGAAGCGCACTTATAATGTTGCCATACTGATCTTTGTGTTGCATGGCCCTGAGGCTACCTAGATTTGACTTTTCCAAAGCAACCAAATCTGCAGAGCTGGTCAGCAACTCTGAAATCACATTTCGGCGTCAGGCAACATACTTGGTTGCGCCTCACTCATGGCCAGCATTGGGTCGGCTTTTGTTTGTAGACTGCGTCTATGTTTCTCTTCAGAGGTTTCGATAAGAGAGATTTTATTGCCAGAGCCGCTGGAGCGATGAGTTTTTTCTGATCTGTCGGACCTGCCGCTGGAGCTGAAAGCACGACTGCGCTTGGATGGCGTCGGAGACGTGGGCTGGGGGGAGGAGTCCATTTTTATGACGAAAACTAATCCTTAGTGGCCGATAAAGCAGGCTGGGAATTGGAGCTGTCGGGCCCGTCACGATCACCGTGGTGGAGCGCGGCGATTAGGATAGTGGAAACCGCCAAGTCGAGTGGGTTGGATGGAGCAATTAGTCCAAACGAAATCAGGTTCCTTGCTCGAGTGAGAGTCGGATATGCACTTTATAGCACGTTTCAAGGCAGCAAGAGCGAACCGTGCAGATCGAGGACGCCAGCAAAACAATGATTATGATTATCAGGACTACTGGCAGGGTGCAAAGCGATTGCTACGCCGTCGAGAGAATGACGTTTGGATTGATAAAAATAGTTGAGCCAGCGCGAACGTGGACGGTGGGTGCGGTGGAAAGGTGGAGGCAGGAAATTAACGCTGCAACAACCGGTCAGCCAACGAGAAAAAGATGGTTGGGGCTGGCGATCGACGGTGAAACAGGACAATGGAGCCTAATGGCTAGCACGAGAAGGGTTTAGTTACCTAGACTGTCAAGAACCGGTTCAAGATAGAAACAGAGTGGATGAAGCTGATGAAGCGATGAGGCGATGAAGTGACAAAAGAGCTGACGAGGGGAAGAACAAAAACAAGACCGAGAGGGAAAGTTGATGCCTTTTGAGCAAACTGGACAGTCGACGGCCAGCGCCACGCAAGCACCACCTGAATCTTGCAGAACCTCTCCTATCACAGCCGGCCTTTCGTTCTTTCTTCTGGAATGGTCCTTCGATCAGCCATTGATCGGGTTTCAAAGTTCAGAGTTCTGGCTAACAAATCCTTCTCTTGCAGTCCTTGGTAGCGGTTAGGTTACGACTGCCCTCCACACCACGCTGGCTGATCCATGGGACTCTCTCCGGAGGCCGCGGGCCAGGAACGACGCGTCGACGACAAACCGAACGACAGGCTCGCAGTCCATGATGCTGGCTTGGATCGGTGTCTAGGCTCTTAGCAGCTGAGCTAGCGATCGCTGGCGGCTGGTGAGACGATTGTGCAACCACTCCTCGCCCACACTGCTGCGTTTTCGCTGATTGCTTCCGGCTGCTCCGTATGCCGCCGGCCTGTCCGGAGTAGCCACTAAGCAACAAGCAAGGAAATCTGAAAAACAGGTCTTTGGCCAGAACGAAAGCACACCTCAAGCGCTCTGTGTTGGCCTCTCTTGCAGGCGATCCCGGGGTTATCCAATTGGTTATTTGCCACTTTATTGCTGACACCGATGGTCCGACTTATACACTGCATCACCACCTTGTTCTTAAGCGGGATTAATATCCATCCGCAGTCCGCCAGCCTCGGTCCTTGTGATTCCCTGAAGCTTAGCGTTGGCTGTTGATCTCCAAGAGTCCAGTGCATGAACTGCGGACCTCGGCCTTACTCCGTAGGTACAGTTCTTCATGTTCATCACTCATTCATCTCATAGGCTCATACTTGCGGTTTCCAGTCCCTCGATGACTCGCGAAGTCTCAGGGCTCCAAAACACCCCACCCAGGCCCTCCTAAGATCCTCCACTTGACCGTTGGCGTTGGCCGTTGGCATCCGACGATCTTCATTCCAGTTGCCCGGTGGGTCGGTATAGTGGGGGATGGCGCCTACCTTAATCCTCATTAACTCAAACTTCTCGGGGCGTCATGCAAGGAGGGTCGAGTTTCTCTTGTCACGGACTTTTGAATGAGTCAAGCTCATAGGTTGAGAACTAAACCTACGGGAACTACGTCATAACCCAGCATCTCCGCATATTATTCTTAGTGGGTCTCTCCTCTCCGCTATATCTATCTGCGGCACCGGCGTCCTTCATGAATAGACATACATCATACGGTTCGATATTGGAACCTTGCTTATCATTCTACAGCCGGCCAAGGGATATTGGACAACATGCTGGTATTTAGTCTCCTTATGTGAGTACCATGCGCAGAAACTAGGAATCAATCATACTTCATTTCCTCGCGACCAGATATATATTTTCAGCCCTATAAAGCTGTCCTCCGCCATACTATGTTTTCCCGCAATGTACATCTTTGCCTACCCACCAACAGAGCGTTCGCGTACTCTTCGGTCCTTCAACAAAGCTAACCTTGCATTGAAGTTGACTGGATTGTTGTGGACAGAAAGTGACTTCTATGTCCTTTCTACAAGACTTCCTATTCCTGACAGTAAGTCCCCAGAATTCCAACCTATCTGAGAACTCACCACGCTTAGGACTAAAGTGATGTTGAATACACTTACAAACGTTCAATCAAATCATGGCTGGATGAGTACTTGCTCCTTCACTATCAACCCGGAAGAATGCAAACGCCAGTGTCTAATGCTTTCGAACAACACGATATCCTCGGAGATATCGGAAGAGAGACATTACAATGCGAGGCGCAGAATACCCACTTCCTCGCCCTCCTTATACTCGTACTCTTCACAAAGCGCTCTGAAGTCTGTACCTAGATGCTTGCTTCACTCATCATCTTCCCCAATATCGGGGCGCAGTTCGGCGTCAGGTTGAGCTGAGTTTCGTAAACAAGGCGCAGATAACAGCAAACCAGCCTGACAGGTACAAATGTACAAGTGCAGATATCAAGGTGGGGAGGATTATCTGTGAGTTATGATGGCGAGCTATATATTTCTTAGGTAAGGACGTAACATGATCGAGAAACCTAACTACATATTGTTGGATTATAAGATCTGGCATGGTTGCCAATTACCAACTCTATATAGCCCAACCACATACATGCTGCTACACTACTCATCACCATAAGCTCATTCAATCAAGATGGTGGGCAAGTTAGACACCTCAATCTCTTGTCCAAAGAGGAGTATCACACCACAAACGGCAATGGAGGTATCCTATCAGCCGATCTCGCGTTGAAGGCTATGCACGGAACGGAGGACGAGTCCCATTGCGATTGTTGCTAGACACTCTAAATGAGACGTCCCAGAGTAGCTTTATTATGAATGCATACAGCTTACTCACTCGTCCCTGCCGCATTCAATGCTGGAACTGCCGGCCAAGCCAACATAAACGCAATGCTGATTTGACAGGAGATCATGCAAGAATCGTCTAGATACTCAGGGTTGGATTGCTTCATGACTTACACCGCACGCGTGGATGTGAGGGCTGACAACGACTGGTTACTACGAAGTACGGAGTCTCTGCAGTCAAGCAAATGTCCAGTCACGAAGAGTAGTTTCGGCTGTATTCCGGGCTTGAACCGATATACCTCCCAACAGTGAAGGGGTGATTGAGCCAACGTGGATGCCACCAGGAGTTCGCAGGAGTGATCGACGGCAGATATACTACGTGTAGCATAATGCGCAATCTGTCAATGGAGCCTGGACAAAAGAAGACGAGACTAAGCTTGCAGGGCGGCCTGGGCCGGGATATAGCCCCAGTCTGCAGAAGTCACATTGGAACTTTGTCGCAGGACGGAAACGCTGGAAAATCGATTTAGGCGGGACATTAGAAACTTGAGACGGCGAAAGAAAAGGTTCAGGCGAGATGAATTGTCTGGATTGGATGTTCATGAGCGCCATATAATATACTGGAGCAGCCCACGCCGTCAAGACAATTTCACGGCCCCCTGGGCAATGTTCTTGCAACAAGGCATGCCGGCTGAATGTCTATTGAGATGGAACAGTAACCATGTGTTAAAGTAGACAAGAAATCCCATTTTATCTTTTTATTTTGAGATTCGTAGGGCTGGGCTGTCCGGCCCTGCCTCTCCCACGATCATTATCAACCCACTAACTCCATCTCAACCTGGGCTCATCCCGTCGACTCCTTGCCTGACCGTCTGCGCAAAGATTCCGGAGTTGTGCCGCGGATATATGAAAAACAAACGGGGGCGTTTAGATGTTGGAGGGGTAGAGCATGACACGGACGGTGGCACCGAAGGACTTTGCGGGGAGGTTGTGGCGGAACTGTGCGCGGACAACGCCGGAGTTGCCTGTTCGGTTTTCATCAGCATGACCGTCTCATTTCGTCTCGTATTTCATCGCCGTCGGTTTCAGCGCTCGATTATTCACGTACCGTGAGGGCGGGTGACCTTGCCCCAGATCACCCGGATGTTGGAGCCCCGGACCTCACGCTTGGCCCGGTAGACGAAAGCGACCTTCTTGCCAAGGTAGAAGCTGTTCCCGTCTTAGCATTGGTCCCATATACCCAATCGATATTCCGAATCACTCACTTGGCGGCCTCGGTGTTCTCAACACCGTCGATCTTGATCAGACTATGGTGACTGCGTCAGAAACCCGTGTTCGTCCCAATGTTCCGTTCTCGGATCGGTACCTTGTGTTGGGGTTGACAGCACGCTTGGAGCGCTGGTAGCTCAGGTGGCGACCCCTAAAGAACAATCGTATTAACCCATCTGCTCGGCTGACTATCCCATGCTTGACTCGCGATATCGACGGAGAACGATTTGATGACAGGTTTTCATTTCGGCAACGGCGCGGCGACAAAACGATAGGGCGCAACTTACTTGACGTAGACTAGAAGCGACGAATATGTTAGTAGTGTTTTTGATAAATCCAGCACTCAATACACCCGATTGCCGCGCATTTCAATCCTCGCCCACCACATCGTAACCACCATTCCCAACTCCAGGGGCGTACTCACGTCTGTGACCGTGTTCGGAAGGCATTATGACGGTTATTCTGAGCGGGCAACACAAACAAGTCGAAAGGTTGTCAAAATGACCCGCAAAGTCGTCCGGGTTGTCGTGGTTGTCGTCGCTTCGGTTGGAGATTCTAAGACGCACAATGGCCACCAATTTGCCGTGTGTTCGGCGCGGCTCGCCCTAACCCAAAACGGGACGCTTAGCGAGCCACCCCCGAGTTGCCCCAGGGCTGCCCGAAATCCCGTGATACATATCACATGATATATGAGCTAAGCTATTTCGGGATCTCTCCGGAGAATCTGCTTTTCCAGGCCCGAGATAATCAAGGCTTCGCAAGTTCTTTGATGATGTTCTGGAATTGTGGCTTCACGAACCCCACCATGTCACCATTCTACCGTCGGGGTTCTGTAGTCCGAGAGCTCCCAGCTGACACCCTCAAAGCAGGTCATCCCCAAAATGGTGAGCGCAGGGCTCCATTCCCATGCAGCCAGATAAGGTTTCTCGAATCTCGGCGGATATCCATAACCATGGGCGGCGTATTCTTTGTTTTCCCTTGAGAATCTGGAGACTCGGCTATAACAATACTTCCGAATCTGTCTGCCCTTGGTGGCAGGAACTACGTTACTGATATGGCAACTTGGATCTGTACCGCCATCGCGGCAGCAGTGGAGCAAGCAGTTTCTAACCGTCAACCACATCTTCAAGAAGATCAGACCGAAGCACTGATTGGGAAAAATTGCCCCACATGGATTCGGCAACCGACCCTGGGCCTGGGGCCTGAATGCTTTCTCCTTCCCCGTGAAGCATGCGCATTCTTATAGATCTCCGGATATTGTGGTCTTGGTCCGGAGATGGTGCTCTGGTTAAGTTACACCGCACAAAGCAAAGAGACGAAAGTGCCGATATACGGAGGAGGAGACAGCTCGTTCAACAGTGCAACCGTCTTGAAGCCTCAGTTTAAGCTCGCTGTACCTCATGATCCTTGCTCTTAACTCCGGAGGAAGCTGGCCCGAGTGATGCACTCGGTCGATCACGACGGATAAGTTTACGGGAAAATAGAATCCGTATCGTTCGTTCTAAATGACAAATGTGCCGATCCGACCCCGCGGACCAGGCCCGGTTGATGGTTCCTGATGTATGCTGCATTGCTGATATCGAGAATCCTTGTTGTTGTATCAACTGACTCAAGGTTGAAGCAGGGTCTCGGAGGCCGGCGGCGATGCATGCTGAACAGGTCTGCTGCAGAAAGAGGGCGAGGCTCAGGAGTATCTACTTGCAGAGTTGCGACGTGACTGTAACGGGTAGCTGCTTCTGCCAGTCTCCTTTGTCGAATGTGACATGCTTATTGTTGCTTACACGTGGTCAGCACTTGGAGATGGTAGCACGACACCTAAAGGTTAACGGCGTAAATAGGCACCTGCGGTATCGCATTAAACAGCGTATCGAACTGGGGGCCGCTCCGTGGAGACATTCTGATTTCTCAGAGTATTTATAACATTAAGCATACGGGTCCCTTCCCGCGGACATGGCCCTTGGGGCCTTCAACTTTAGGTCTGGTATATTGTGCTGTGATAAGGATGAGGGGAAGGGCAGTAGACCTTTTTTCCGTCTATCAAATATGGTTTCGTGTCAGCTCAAAGACTGCGCGGGGTTAAGCAGACTGTTGCCATGCGACTCGATGCGAGGGTCATCCGTCCATGGATGAGGGCTGGTGGAGCAGCTGTTTGGTTGAGATTCTTGACTTGGCTCCTATGCTCGGATAATTGATTTGTAAGGGACCTTAGGGGTTACAATGAGGGTCCCAAAATACGTATAACAAGTCCAACTAGATACATATGGATGATGGGTAACAAAACAATATCAACGTCTGGTGATGGGTTAGGGGGATGGAGTCGCGAATGGAGCTATGATATAAACCCACTGTCATCGCCGCAAGCATCGTCCAAAGAAACCGTGTAGATAGCTCAAGTCTGCCCTCGGGCCCCAAGAGCATCTCAACGGAGTGAGGATAATCAATTAGATAATGGCCGATCGTCTGCGATCTCCTCGACAAGACAAATGAAAGAAGGATGGCTGCCACAGTGCCACGGGAGCTTCGGCATCAGGTCCATGTCAAGCATCATCGCAGTGGAAGACAGAAGGCCGGCCACACCTACGACCCACCCAACGCGACTGGGAGTCACAGAAAGCCCATAATTCTTAGCAAGCAAGCAATCAAGCAATCGCCGGAACTCCGTAGCTCGCAGAAGCCCTCACGGCGTTTAAAACGTAGGCTGCTCCGCCGGCACTGACGGTAGGGGATTTTTCCAACAAAGCTCTTTCACCCCTCTCTTACAAGCTTCCCCTCTCAAATACACCATTTTTCCTCTTGAAGAACGATTCTTATCCTTACCTACTACCTTTCCTAGAATTCCGAACCATATTCCCTCCGATAAGATGTCCGCCACGATAGCCCGCGCCGAGGAGCAGCAGAATGGGAGGTGAGTATTTCCGCCAGCATTACATCACTGCCCCTCCGTGCCTCCCAGCCCGCCCGTTCACACTGAACTCTCCCTCCCCCAAAAAGAGCACCACTCTGCTCTTCCTCTTCAACCCACGCCCAATTCTCTTTTGTTTTCACGCTCGAAAAGTAGTCAGGGCTTAATTGGCGTTCCCCGGACATTTCTTCACCTCCACGCTCTCTCAACCACACTCCAGCGTTTTCAATCGCGCTCTCGAAATTCTAGCTGCTAACATGGACGGTCGGCGCAGCACTGTCGAACTCAAAGATGACACCGTCATTGTGGTACTAGGTGCCTCTGGTGACCTTGCGAAGAAGAAGACTGTTCGTAATTCCTGCCTTGTTTCTAAGAAATTCTAAACCGCATGAAACTGACAATCCGGACAGTTCCCAGCTCTTTTTGGACTTGTATGTTGTTGCCGATCACCGATGTCCATTCTGATGTCACTCGATTGACCTCCTCTGCAGTTCCGCAACAAGTTCCTCCCCAAGGGGATCAAGATCGTCGGATATGCCCGCACAAAGATGGACCACAATGAATACCTTAAGCGAGTGCGCTCATACATCAAGACTCCCACGAAGGAAATCGAAGAACAGCTGAACAGCTTCTGCGAGCTTTGCACATACATCAGCGGCCAATATGACCAGGATGACTCCTTCAAGAACCTCGCAAAGCACCTTGAGGAGATTGAGAAGGACCAGAAGGAACAGAACAGAGTCTTCTACATGGCGCTTCCCCCCAGCGTTTTCACCACAGTCTCAGAGCAGCTGAAGCGCAACTGCTACCCAAAGAACGGCGTCGCTCGTATCATTGTGAGTCCGATGGCGGTTCCGATAGCGCGAAGGAAGGGAAGAGGGCTAATCGGTTCTCCGTCGGATTATAGGTCGAGAAACCCTTCGGCAAGGACCTTCAGAGCTCTCGCGACCTTCAGAAAGCCCTCGAGCCTAACTGGAAGGAAGACGAGATCTTCCGTATCGACCACTATTTGGGCAAGGAGATGGTTAAGAACATTCTTATTATGCGCTTTGGCAACGAGTTCTTCAACGCCACTTGGAACCGTCATCACATCGACAACGTTCAGGTAGGATCAGAATTTACGCGTCCCTCGGATGGTTTCGCTGAGACAGACTTCACTGCCATAGATCACATTCAAGGAGCCCTTCGGTACGGAAGGCCGTGGTGGATACTTCGATGAATTCGGCATCATCCGTGATGTTATGCAGAACCGTATGTTTGCAGTGCCTTCTGATTGGACTATATACTGATTTAGCTGCTCTAGACCTTCTGCAGGTCCTGACGCTGCTTGCCATGGAGCGCCCCATCTCCTTCTCCGCTGAGGATATCCGTGACGAGAAGGTAAGGATTTCAAAAGGCACGCTATTTTGGGTGATTTTAATCCATTCTACAGGTTCGCGTTCTTCGCGCCATGGACCCCATTCAGCCCAAGGATGTCATCATCGGTCAGTACGGCAGATCACTGGATGGCAGCAAGCCTGCCTACAAGGAGGACGACACCGTCCCCCAGGACTCTCGCTGCCCCACATTCTGTGCCCTGGTCGCTCACATCAAGAACGAGCGATGGGATGGTGTTCCTTTCATCATGAAGGCGGGTAAAGGTATGAAAGTCTGATATTGTACCCTGATGTGTCATATACTTACCCTCACCAGCCCTCAACGAGCAGAAGACCGAGATTCGTATCCAGTTCAAGGACGTGACTTCCGGCATCTTCAAGGACATCCCCCGCAACGAGCTTGTCATCCGCGTCCAGCCCAACGAGTCCGTTTACATTAAGATGAATTCGAAGCTTCCTGGACTTTCCATGCAGACAGTGGTCACTGAGCTGGATCTCACCTACCGTCGCCGATTCTCCGACCTCAAGATCCCCGAGGCCTACGAGTCCTTGATTCTGGATGCCCTTAAGGGAGATCACTCCAACTTCGTCCGTGACGACGAGCTCGATGCTAGCTGGAGGATGTTCACTCCTCTGCTCCACTACCTTGACGACAACAAGGAGATCATTCCCATGGAGTACCCCTACGGTAAGCCCGACGCCTGTGTGATCGCTTTCTGAATTCCTCAACTAATAATTGAGTCTAGGCTCCCGCGGACCTTCCGTCCTTGACGACTTCACCGCGTCCTACGGCTACAAGTTCAGCGATGCTGCGGGCTACCAGTGGCCCTTGACGCACACTGGGCCTAACAGGCTTTAGGTGTGGTACACATTAAAAGAGGACGGTTTCGCAATGACAAGAGCGTCTGGGTTTACGGCGTCTGTATCGTTTTAAACGGAAAATGAGAGCTTAATGTTAACACGACTGATATCTATCCTAAAGATGACAACATGGTGTCTGTGAGGCTACGTGATGGTTTTGAGCTGAGCGGCTGTTAATGATAGTTCTGCTATATACAACCAAGCATTTGAAATCTGATACATCTGTGCCAGGGTATGGACATCTGCGTATAAATACCGATCTCGAACCATAGTGCCTCCTGGGTCCTGGTAGCGAGACACTGAGGCTCCGGTCCTAGACAGGTGGGTCTCCCCCAACGCCCGAACGGGAAAATTAGTTGAGTCGGCCCGCATGCAGCCTGCGCCATCAACAACAGCCCGCCCCATATTCTCCAGCTTATACCCTTTTCTCCTCCGATTTTATTCATTCTTTCTTGTTTCCAGTTTCCACTCGCTTATATGAGCCTCTCGTTTCTGCATAGCCAAAAACTTCAAGCTTATACGCGCTCGAATCCCGCTCCCCTGAACTCGCAATCTCCCCGAAGCGGCCGTGCGCACACCCTGATCTCATTAATCCACATTCTTGATCGCTATTTTTATCCCCTTTAAAGCTTCCCAATCGTGCGACAACCGTTCCGACTATATACACCCAGAATCTTGTCGAGTATAGCCGGCTGAACGATACGCCCCTGCGTTCTACCTGCGAAGCTCAGCCGCGACGCGCTTCGAGCCCTGGCAACGCCTATTCTAGCCGGATCATAGGCACGCGACCAGGCCACTGCTGATAGCTAGCCCATGGAAGGCTGAGCAGGACTACAATACAGACATGCCGCAAGCTGCAAGATGGGTGGGCTCACCCTCGATCAAGGGACGGACGGAGGCGATGCGGATGGCGCTGTTGACTTTCAGCTTGTTGGGACTGCAGTATGTACTTTCGTCCTTTGATCTCACGTCTTTGGCCCTCATATCTAAGATGCACTGCTGGACAATTGACAAATTGACTGACTTGTTTCATGGTAGATTTACCTGGGGCATTGAGATGACCTGTAAGAATTGACCTCGACGGCCACACCTCTCTCCGACCGTACCTCTAATTACCTCCTGCGACAGACTGCACCCCATACCTCCTCCAATTGGGCCTCACCAAGTCCCGAACATCGCTTGTCTGGATTGCGGGGCCTCTCTCCGGACTCGTTATACAACCCCTCATCGGTGTCATTGCAGATCGATCTCGGTCTAAATGGGGAAGGCGAAGGCCATTCATGATCGGGGGCTCGCTTGTTGTTTCAGTGTGTCTGTTGGTACTGGGTTGGACATCGGAGATTGTCGGTGCTTTTGTTAAGGACACAGAGAAGGTACGGTCGACATTTGCGCGTGTTTTTCATGACTAGATGGCTGACTACGGTTACTCTAGGCTGCAAGCGTCACGATTGCTCTCGCCGTACTTAGCATCTACGCTGTAGACTTTGCCATCAACGTCGGTGGGTATAAGGAACTGGATTTTTTTTAATAAACGTCTAACGGCGTCTAGTCCAAGCATGTGCTCGGAGCTTGATTGTGGATACTTTACCTATTCCATCTCAACAAGCCGGGTCAGCGTGGGGTATGTCGATATATGCACAATAGTTTGGAGTTTTGCTAAACTTGTACAGCCACTAGGATGTCGGCTGTCGGTCAGCTTATTGGATATGTGTTTGGGTCTCTTGATATTGTTAGCATTTTCGGCACCACCTTCGGCGACACTCAATTCAAGCAGATGACCGTCATTGCTGCATTGGCTTTGCTGGCAGCGGTAGCTGTTACGTCCTACTCCGTAAAGGAGCGAATCCTGATCACAGCGAGGTAAAAGGCTCACTATACTTTACTACTACGAACGATGACGCTGATTGTGACAGGGATTCTGATGGAAAAGCTGGGGCGTTTCAAGTGCTTACGCAGCTATTCCGAACGACTATGGACCTACCTCCGCGGATTCAGGCCATTTGTTGGGCACAGTTTTGGGCGTGGATCGGTAACTTGCCCTGCTAAAAAGATCCGTGGCTAGAAGCTGACATCTGGCAGGCTGGTTCCCATTCCTCTTTTACAGTACCACATGGGTTGGTGAGACCTACTTTCGGTACGAAGTCTCCAAGGACGCGAGCCGACCTGCAGATATGCTAGGAGAAGTCGGGCGCGTTGGCAGTCTTTCATTAGTTGTCTTCTCGTCCATCACTTTCATCAGTTCTGTCCTTATGCCATTCTGTGTGCAACCACCAGACACCAAGCGGGCCCGCTTCACACCCCGACCTCCTCCTGGCATAGCAGCTTTACTCACAAAGATCACTAAAATACGCCCTGATCTCCAGACGACTTGGCTCATCTCCCATATCGTCTTCGCAGCTACCATGATCTTCGCTCCTCTAGCACGCTCACGCGCTTTCGCGACGTTTCTCGTTGCCATCTGCGGCATTCCATGGGCTGTCAGCTGTTGGGCACCGTTCGCATTCATGGGCGTAGAAATTAACCGCCTTGCAATGAACCCCTCTCAAGCATCTCGCCTATCCGGCGTAACAATGATCACCTCCTCTACCGTTCGCTCAGGCGCATACGGCGACCTCAACGGCAGCGACGCTTCTGAAATGGACGTGCTCCGCCTCAACCACCACGACCCAGACAGCGACTCAGACGCCGAGGATGGCATCTCAAATATCCCCTCCACAGGCGAGCTTGCCGGCATCTACCTCGGCGTTCTAAATGTCTACACAACTCTGCCCCAGTTCGTGGGTACCTTCATCAGCTGGATCGTGTTTAGCATCCTCGAGCCCGGGAGCACTAAGCGTGACGACTCAGCGAGCGACTCAACGTGGATGGACCTAGACAAGAGCACTCCGAACGCCATCTCAATTTGTCTCTTCATTGGTGCCCTGAGTGCGCTTATCGCTGTGGAGGCTACGAGACGGATGCGGTATGTCTTATAATGAGTATCCGATTGGTATTTCTTCTTCTATTCTCTACTGCGTGACGAAGACCTGTTGTTTCCCCTATTATTACTTTTTCTAATCACCCCCTCTTATATTTTACTCCTGATTCTTGCCCAGCGACGTCTATAATTCGCTCGATACCCTGGATATACTAATGAATGACTTTGCTCATGCCAAGATCTGCACGTCTAAAAAAGATTCACCTTTCGCGCATATTATATATACATAGAGCTATGCTATCGCATCAATGTACCTAATCATGACTATAGATGACTATTAATGCGATGTTCTGTTACATTGCGGTCAGATACTGCATACCGTGCTCTCAACAAGTGAGAGACACTACAACGATGCGTCAAGTTCGAGGAAGGAGATGCCAAAGGATTATACGACCAGACTATTCAATTCTTGGTTCTCTTTGACGTATTAGATAAATAATTGGTATGTGGCATAGTAGAGAGAGATGGATACATAGCAAGAGTTTGCTCGAGGTACCTTGGTACCTTGTGATAGATGCCAAATACAGTAAGATGACAAAGAGACAAAACAGAAGAAAAAACGCAGAAACACAACATAAACGACAAGAGGGGGAATATAACAAAATAGAAAACATGGAACGGGAATGGGTAAGTGCCACTGCTGCAGAGGGTGAGAACCAGCAAACGGCTGTAGGAAAAAGAGGAGGCGGCAAAGCGAACAGAAGACAAAATCGTGATGATTGAACATGGATGGGCGTCACGCGTACGTCTGTCTCTTGCGAACTGAGGACAGGTGAGGCTTGCCATGAGATATGAACTGGCAGGTAGGATATCTCAAGAAGGGTGGAAAAGATAAGTCAAAACATTGAAGGGGAATATGGCTATTCAAAAGAACACATAGATAGGGACTCAGCAGATATAGATCTTAGAACCGAGATGATGACAAGTCAAAGCCTTGAAAGGTTTTGCGGGAAGGCGACGGCGGACTTAGATTCTAGGGCCGGTTTGCGGCTTGCATGTTGCCGGTCAGTTCAGCCACCCTTGCTTTGATACGGGCAGCGCGAGTTTCGAAGCCTAAAAGAGCACAAATGTTAGCATTGAGTTTATGGGATTAACAGGGATGAAGGAACTCACTTTCTTCCTCGCTGGTGTTGCCATCTTCATCAGCGGTAATTGGACGAGCTTCAGCTTGAACAATCCTTTCCGCGGCATTCTTGCGAATCTGGGCCCAACGATCATGAGAAGCGTTGTTGGCTCGTACCGGGGAGCTAGGGGTGGGCTCCTGCTCAGGCTCCTCCTTAGGCTCCTCCATAGGCTTTTCCTCAGAAGACGCCTCCTCGACAGGCGAGTCTTCGGGAACGAACGCAGGCTGTTCCACTAAGGGCCCTTGGTCAAACCTCGAGAATTCCTTATCCGCTGCTACCTGCTCGTTGGTGTCTACCCGAGAAAGAGCATCGTACTCAGCCTCGCGCCGGATTTTGGGTTGATCACTCATTGCTTCGGGAGCTGGAGCTGGCGTGAGCTCCGGGGCCGGAGCCGGAGCCGGAGCCGGAGCGCTGGACACTGACCCTGGAGCTGCAACAGCTGCTGGCTCATGCGTCACCTCGGTGTCGGGCTTGATGAACTTCGCAGGGACTGTGGCTGGAACTGGCTTCTTTTTCAGACGCGTTCCATTGCGACTAGACGGCTGCTCCTGCGAAGCCCTAGCTTTACTCTCCAGTGCAGCGCGGGCAGCAGCAACAGCTGAACCCTCTACCGGCTTCACAGGCTGCTTTACTTCCACATCCTTCTTCTTGGTCGTTCCAAACATATTCTTAAATCCTGTCTTCTTCAGCCTGTGCGGCAATTCCGGGTCGGCAGATTCTTTTGGTTCTTGGGACGGAGATTCTACGGTCGGCTGTTTTGTAGAATCAGTGATGGCCTTCGCGTCACCAGTGGGCTTTTCAGTTGCGGTTGGCACCGATTTAGCTGAAGCAGAGGTAGGGCTCCTGGGAGAAGTAGGAGGTGGCTGTCTGGTGCTGGTTGTTATTGAGGACGCAGGCTGTTCCTTTGGTTCTTCAGTCACGGCACCCGTGCCGGCACGGCTATCGTTCAGGTAGGCTGTCCTATACGCATTCTTGTCGTAGTTGCTAGCCCATTTCATAGCCTGAGATGCCTCGTTCAAGATAGACGGCTGCAGTGTCATCACGGAGTTTGTCTTCGTTGAGTAAGAATCCTGCGCTGCGGCGGACTTCGTTCCATTCGCGAGCTCCTGCTCTTCCCGGTGCTTTCTCTGTAGAGCGGCGGCTGCAGCCTGGATACGTGCATGTTGATCTGGAGCTATGCTAGCTTTGCTATTCGGCCCTTGGTTGTTGGGTCGCTTGTAGGAGTCCTCTACAGAGTTAATCTTCTTAGCCGAGGATTTGCGCCGCGAAAGCTTGCCCCTCCGAGTTGTGAATCCGAAAAACCGTTTCTTTTCGACAATGTACGCGCCAGGATCAGGCTCTGGCGCAGCACCCTTGACCTGTTCCTCTAGCACCAGCCATTTTGTGTTTCTGATAATCGTCTCGAGCAAAGCGCATCGCCCAAAGACCGCCTTTCGTGTGATGGGCTCCTCACCTGCCAAACTGCTGATCCAAACCCACCAGAAAGAATCGTCCAGGTCAAGAGTGGTGATACTAGCCAACTCACCGGGGTCAATAGACGGTTCGTCGTTGAGACCTCGCTTGTGGGACTGCGAGCTCTGGCCGCGCACCGTGGCAATCGGAGGTAGTACCTTATCAGGCGGAAGAAGCAGGGGAGCGACTGGGGATTTGAAAGAGTTCTCATCACCAAAGCCGGATGACATGAAGTCGGCCCATGAGGGCGTTGTAGGACGACCGAGGTCACCGCCACCAGAATGAGGTACAGATCTCAAGCTACCCCCAAACTCCTTGGGCGCGGAACTGGAGGGGCCGCCATTCTCCTCAAATGTGGCTTCAATAGCGCCTCCGAATCCGAGGTCCTCGAACCTTGACCATGATGCATCGCGGTTTGCCACAATTGGCTCATCGACGGCAGACTGGTTAGTAGACGCAATGCATTTCAGAACCCGAAGACACTCATCGGTAAGGGATTTGAGGGGGTCTTCGTAGCCGGCAAACTCCCGCAAATGCTGATCACTATCCCTATATTCGAAGTTCTTTGCCCGGCGTAGTAAAGCGAAGGGGGTAGGAGAGACTGTGTCGACGATCATGACGACTTTGGTGGTGGAGACTTGAAGAAGTGTCGGCGTTTCGGGCGGATACTCAGTAGCTTGAACCAGAGACTGCAAGGCGATGGGAAGTGTAGATATGCTGTTCATGCCGCGGGGAGCGTCGGGAGAAAGTGAGCGTAGGTAGGCAAAAAACAAATGGCTCGTTGCGTCGGCGGCACTTTGAACGGTTAGCAAAACCCGGAAAACATCAAATGTAGGATCACAATGCACCTCGCCCAGTTCTTGTAGGCGGCTTCAAAGCCATTTCCAGTATCCGCATGTTCGAAAGCCCACCATCCAGCGTATCGGGAAAGCTTTCGCCCTCCCAGACCGTTGGACTTTCCGTGCGCTGCAATGGCTGTTAGAAGGTCGAAAAAGTCAAAGATAATTTTGGCCCGAGCGTCTGAGTCCACGCTGATAGGTATAAAGGTGGAGAATGCGTCGCGAGCGAACTGGGAGTCTGTGTACAAGTTAGCCCGTGCTACGATACACCTGTGCTGCACAACCCAAGACATCTATAACATACCCTGCTCGCCAACCTTGAATAGTTCGTAGGCTTCCCAGGTAACAACTCCTCCGGGGAGTCTGCTCCAGCACCATTTCATAACGCTGCATAAGACCTAAAATACGGCGAAGCGCGCAAGTAAGAGCTGTGGCCCCGCAAAATATAGAAGGTTGATCTCACCATCGGGTCGGTAAGGCGAAGTTCTTGTGCCAAATCATCTCCGGCGAACGGCGAGCCTCTTTTCACTGATTGATTGAAGTAATTGCGAATAAAGTTGCGAGCAGTCGCTGTGACTGTATCTGAGCTCGGACGGAACGGAAGTAGCATGAACGGCGTTTGGAGAGCTGTCAAGGAGAACGAGGAAATGATCAGCAAGAAGCAAGGAATGCGGCCACGTTTTCAGGGAGGGGCATTGACATACCTCGTACTTTGAGTTCCTGGGTGCAAGCTCTCAGCAGCTGCTGGACCTCTTCTGGGGCGATCTCTGTTCGCTGCCACGCATCGGTCCATGTTGGCTTCGCAGGGCCGGTGTCTTCTGCCGCGGTGGATTTTGAGCTCTTTTTCGCAGCATGGGAGTCTTTACTCCGAAAGAAGCGAGTAAACGACGGCATCCTGGGGTCTGAGCTTTCTGGTTCTTTTTCGCTAAGAGGCGGCTAGTAGCAACAGAGCAGAATCGTGGTCGATGATGCCTAACGGCCGAATGATTTGTTTTTCGACCGGTTCAAGCAAGCCGGTAGCACGGAGAAGCTGCGCGATAGCGTCGGTTCGGTATGTTGGTACACAGTGGAGATTAGAAATACAAAGCAAAGCGCGAGTTGAGATAGCAAGGGGAACAATGAGGCTATGAAGCTCAAGATGGAAGAATTAACTGAAATTGGAGAGAAAAGCAATGGCCATCTGGGAGCCTAAGGACCGCCTGCAGCATAACACGTCGAACGTGCAGCAAGACGAAGAACGAGCGGAGCCACAGCTTGTTTGTATGAATAAATGCCACGAATAGATAAAATAAGGAAAAAGAAGACAAATGAAGAAAAGAAAGGGAGGAGAGGCAGAGCAAGTGAACCGTGATGGGGATCTACCTGCTCAGTCGCTTGTTTTCAGGGGTGAAATTTACCATGTCGCAAAATAGAGCCCTCCTACTCCCAGCCGTGGTTCGGTTCTGCCCATCCTAAGACTATTATCTCTAGCCAAATCGCCAGCCAATGTGACCTTCCAAGACTGCTCTGGGTATGCTCAATCAACGTCTCTCATCCAATCTGTCATTGCTGCGCTGTCAAACGGCCTACAGTAGTACAGGGGTCTGCATTCTTCAGGAAATCGGCATGGCAGCGGGCTCCCAACTCCGGAGAATATGTGTATTATTGGTCCGTAATGTCGTGGATATAGTGTATGAATTGCTGCTACTTCGTACAGGATCAAGAGGCCATAATCCATCAATTGAACTTATTTCAAATAAGTTGTTCAACCAGCTTGAAGCTTAAATGGAGACATCATGAAATGAAATAAATCAGGTGATTGGGCAGGGGTCCGTCCAATCATCGAGCATGGTCAAGTTATCCTTCCCATAGCGGTGGCACCCCACTTACCCCGATAAGATTAAAGGAAGCCTTGAATTTGATAAGTTGATCTGGGCCAGGGCCCGGCTTTCGGCCTGATTTTAATGGTCTTGGTGCCTTATGACAGATCATACAGTTCAGGTTCTGGGGGTTGGCGCACTCACCCATGTACCTCGTAATACTTCTATATGTGGGCGTACTGGCAGGAAGCAGTTTGACTGTTTGACCCTACTACTTCCCAGGGTTTCAAGTCTCCAGACAAATCGGGGGTTCCAACTCCAAGATACGGACCTTTAATTTTAGTCTGTGGAGCTGTGGTAAGACCACTTGAGGTGCACAGAGCACTCTGGCTTGGCGCACAAGAATGCAAGATCGGACAGAGGCTCAGAGCATTCTGCATATCTTGATGACTTTGATGGCTTGATCGCTGATATATCTGGAGCATCTATGAGTTTACCAGACAATCCAGAGGATAAAAAACAGGTGGCAGAGCGAGCATAAAAGGAACACACCCAACATCACCAGCGCTGTCTGGCAAATCATGCTTTATTGAACAGGCAGTACGACAATAAAGGATTCCGTCATGCGTAAGTATCTACATTATTGAAGACGATGGAAGAGGTTGCCCTAGTTATAAAGAAAAGATGAAAGAGGCCCAGACTCCGTTCCGAAGATGAGCAAAAATAGCACGCGGCTAAAGGGCGTTAAGCAACTTAAGCGCCGGCTGAGGGCAGCAGCCGCCTATTACTCTTTGGCAGAGTATTTTTAGAACCCTGCCTTCTGCACCTCATCCACTCGCGTCCCGACCAAGAGGCATCCGTTCCCTCTTCCATCCTTCCAGGGCCTCTTCCCTTCTGCTCCATCCCAATATTGTTCCCCGTCGATCCTCGAGGGCGTCTTTATCGTTCCCAAGGTTGGTTTCCGCCTCACGCGCCCCTCGTGGCCTTTGTTTCGCCCGGAACTTGTCTCCCCTTTGTCTTGTTCCCCTCACCCCGACCGGCTTTCATGTCTCTCTGTCTATCTATTCTCCAGCCCCCCGATTAGCGCACATTCAATGCACCTTTTCTTTTCATTCTCTCTTCCTGCTAGGAACATACACTTGCTTCATACACCGTCGTTTCCTTGCTAGCCTCTGCTAATTCCAGAAGGAGACGGACTCGCGGTCATCGCGATCAGCAAAGCCTTACCTGTGACAAATGCACAGAAACCTTTCGTTCTATCGCGCGCTTTATTCGACCCATCTAACGGTTTCTGTATTCATCATACTCATTTGATACACGCCACTCCTTGACTCGAAGGACGACTCGAACTCCATCTCTTCAGCTCATTCATTTATACTTCAACCTCGGTAGCCTCGTTGCGCGCTCCGCCCGCAAACACTTTCCCTCATGGGTCGAAGAAAGATCGAGATCAAGGCGATCAAAGATGATCGCAACCGCTCAGTGTTAGTCACAAAGTCTTGGTATAATGGCGACCCGATCGCATAGCTAACGTGGTCATTGCCTAGGACGTTCTTGAAACGAAAAGGCGGTCTTTTTAAGAAGGCACACGAACTCGCGGTTTTATGCTCTGTTGATGTTGCGGTTATCATATTTGGTCACAACAAAAAGCTCTATGAGTTCTCTTCGTGTGATATGCAAGATGCTCTCTACCGCCACAAATTTGTTTGTTACTCCCCCTTGCTTTGGGTCGTATTGGAGATCTGACTTGAAACCGCCGCAGCTCTGCCCACCCCATGAACACAAAGGACCAGCAGACTTCAGCGGCAAACGCGATGATGATGAAGAAGACGAAGAAGATGCCACGCCTGCTCCCGATGAATTCCATGCGCCCCATCAGAACCCCCCTCAAATGATGGCCGTTCCTCACCCAGGATTCCAACACGTCAACCACGCCCCCTCTGCCTCTCCTCCAATCCACAACGGGATACCTTTCGATCCACGCCATGGCACACCACAGCCACAAGGAGCCTCTAGGCCCTCGTCGAGGAATCATCTACGTCGTGTCAGCTCAAATCTTGGGGGTCCGCCTCATCATGGGACCCCGCCCCCACCTCCGCCTCCCCCGACCAGCTTTTCATACATGCCGAATCCCTCTGTCTACAATCCGAATGTACCTCACAACATGGGCCAGCAGCCATCACGACCGCCTCAATTTGCGCATTTTGGCCACCATGCCGCGGGACACCAGCATCAACCGCCCCACCCTCAGCATCAGCCCATGCCGCCGCACTCAATGCCTCCCCAATCAATGGCTCCTCAGCCGATAATGCACCACCCACAAGCGCATCCACAGCACCACCCGCAGCATCCTCCGCACACTCTCGCACAGCCCCCCACTACTATGGCCATGTCACAGCCACCTCACCCGTCTATACCCCATGTGGCCCAGCCGTATCTGCCAGATCAACATCAGCATGCACAGCGTACGGCATCCCTTCCCGAGACATCGACAGATCAAATGCCAGCAAACCCAAAGCCGGAAAAAGCGCAATCACCCCCACATATAAAACCCCTGGCAACTTCGAAGTCGCGCAGTATATTTACGCCTATTGATGATCACGGATCGGTCCTAGCGCGCAATTTCTTCGTCGGCTTTGGTGAGAACACGAGCGTCAAGACCGAGCCAGTGCAGGATGAAGCCGACGAGAAAAAGTCACCTAAAAAACCGTCACCCCCGCAGCGGGCCAAAACCGAAGTCCCTCTTTCCAACTCCATATCGGACATAAAGCCTCCTGCGCGGACCAACAGTGGCCAACTGGGTTCCAAACGGCCTCAACTCAAAGTTCAGATACCGAGCGAGAACTCAGAGCCGGGAAGTGCGACAGCAGAGTCGTCGTCGTCCGCCGGAAATAAGGCCGCAACCCCTGCGAAATTAGATCCCAGTCATCCGGGCGTGGTGTTACCGCCGCCATCTCCATCTGCAGGTGCCATCCACAGTGCGGGGGCTCAAGGGCCCCCAAATCCATTCGCGAGGCCGCCGCCTCCCTCCACGACGACGGCATCGGCACAAAACACCACTGCTTATAATAACAACCAAAACATAGAGACGCCGATTTCTGCATTGCCTAGCCGATTTGTTTCCGATGCGCTCCTTCCGTCACCGTCTAGTTTCTTCCCTGCCGAGTGGGGATTTGGCCGCTCAGGGCCGGACAGCAATATACTCCCAAGCCCTCTCGTGTTTCCAACTCCTCAAGTGCAGAATGGTCCAGGGTTTGGTAGGGAGGAAGAGCCAGATAAGAAACGCAAGAGTTCAGACAGCGGCCCTAACGGGGAAGTCATTGCAAAGAAAGCAAAAACATAATTTTCGTTCCCACCTTCTTAGATGATGCGATTTCCAGCCTGTGCTAGTATCACGCTATTTCGTCGCACCTCATTTCTCGTTGCATCTGAAGGCGTTTGGAAAAGTTGTTCGGGATTGGGAGTACGGTTTCTCCTTCAAGACGTCTCTTTCTATACTGTTTGTCTAATGTTGGATTTCCTCTCTTCTCGCTCACTTTCATTTCGATTCCTCGAAGTATAGTCTTGTTTCTCTATACCCCTTGTCTGGTCTGGCGTGCTTGTTCTTCGTCGTTCTTGGAGTACTACCTAGTGTAGTATGCAGGCTCAAGAGAAAATTCGCGATAATGAAATCAACTCCAGAATGGCCATCTTGGTATTATTTGAAACAGCTTGCTATTTCTTTTCTTCTACCATATATCTTCTTCTTTCTTTCCGGGGGTTTCTATCTTTCTTTTCTTTCTCATCTTCTCCGGGTTTGTGGGGGTAGATGTTTAATTAGGTCTATGTTTATATATTGCAATCAAATGGTATCGAATTCCCTGCCTCGCCTGGTTCGAGACTACCTAATTAATCCTTGCTGGACGCTAGAACGGAACTTCATTCGCGAAGAGCTAGCAGCTATGAAACACTTGCAGTTTCAACTTCCCGCCACCATAGAAGGCACGAGTAAGTATGAGGCACGTAAGAATGCTCTGTGGAAAATGCCACCAATGAAGTCTATCATTAGAGTAGATGCATGCTCGCTATGTAGTATGTACCAAGTGAATATGTACACATGCATTTCGATTAGATCAAATTATACACCCAGAACATTTCGGCAAATGACCGTTCAGAGACAGACTACACGGTCTCTTTCCCGTCACCCATTTTAGCAGAGCGCGCCCTAGCCTGCACCTCCAGGATCTCCTTCCTAGCGCGCTCCTGCTCGGCCAACCCGGTCTTCGCCATCGTATGCGTCTTGCTCAGTTCAACGGGTCTCACAAAGACACTAACGATCAACCCGACGCCAGCCATAGCGGTATAGAAGATCCAGATGCGGGACAGCGAGAAGGTAAATGCAGATAGAACAACGCTTTTCTGGTCCTCGGGCAGCGAGCGAATGAGGTCATGGTTGTTGGATGCAAAAGAGTTCTGAAGCGACCTTGCCATTTCGGGACCCACTGCCGCCGCGATGGTAGAGGTCTTGTCGACGAGAATGTTTTGGTAGATGACCGTGCCGATGACGATGGAGATAGCAGCGGACACTTGACGGAGGAAGGAGAACGTTGAGGTTCCGGCGGCCATGTCGGAGGGATGGATGTTGGCCTGCAGAGCGACGAGGGGCGCTTGAAAGAGAGGGCCCGTTCCAATTCCACCGATTAATTGGTAGATGATGATGCGGGGCCAACTGGCGTATGGCTTTAGGTCAATAAACAGGCCGTAGCCTAGCGCTAAGAAAACAAAGGCGGCAACGATAATCTCACGGTAGCGGCCGGTCTTCTTGATTAGGATTCCTGTTATAATCGAGAGGACAGACAAAGAGAGAACCTGGGGGAGGACGTAGACACCGCTAAGGATGGGGGAGACGAGAAGGACAGATTGGAAGTAAAACGGCAGGTAGTAAGAGCCGCCCATGAAGACGAGGGAGTGCAGGAAGCAAATGAAGAGGACAAGAACGTTGTGCCAGTTGCTGAAGAGGCGGATGGGAATAACCGGATAACGGGCAATTTTCCATTCGTAGAGCATGGCGAGGACGTAGGTTAGTACGCCAAAGATGATGAGACAGAGAACTGTTGCCGAGTCCCAAGGGTAGTCCACGCCGCCGAACTGGAGGCCGAATAGAAACATGAGAGTAGCGCCGACGATGAGAAGAGTGCCGGACCAGTCGATCGCCTTAAGCCCGGCGATCAAGGGAGTTTTGGGTGACTCAATCTTGAGGAAGAAGAACAAGACAAAAAATGAGAAACCGCCAATCGGTACTACGCAGGTCAGTTTCAGTCGCAGATGCAGCGTGCAAGACATAGAACATACAGTTGAGATAGAAACACCAACGCCAGGTAACACTGGTTGTAAAGGCGCCTCCAACGAGAGGACCTAGAGCGCCTGCAATAGCCCAAGTAGTTCCAAAAAGCGCATAATACATCGGCCGTTCTCTGCAAACAGTCAGTACACAACTTACGAGGCAGGGTAGAGACCCACTCACCGAACGCTGAATAGATCAGAAACAGAGATATTTGCCAATGTGATAATCCCGCCAGCTCCAGCACCCTGGATTGCCCTACCAGCCAAAACCATGGGCAGGTTGATGGACAGCGCACAGATCAGACTACCGATGAGGAATCCAGCGTTGGCGAGGAGAAGAATGGGTTTCCTGCCCCAGATATCACTCACTTTGCCCCAGAGTGGGACAAAGGCTGCGTTGGTCAGAGAGAACGATGAAGCCATCCACGAATATCCACTCTCAGATGCATTGAAATCGGCGGCCATCGTCGGTAGGGCTGTAGAGATGATGGTCTATCAAATCCCGCGTCAGTACATATGAACGTAGAACAGGCACTATGAGGACCATACCATATCCAAAGCTGCAAGAAACAGGACAAGCTATTTATCCTCAAGTCGGTTAGGTTAGCACACCACCCGAGCAGTATTTCAACCAGAACACAGGAGAACATACGCAGAGTGCGCCCATAACCACTGCGATCTTCTTCTTCCCTAATCTCTGCGCCTGAGACGGAACCCGGTCCAGCGGGTTCCCAGTCTCCGTATCCGGTGCTGCATCCGCATCATCGCCGGGAAGCGAATCTTTATTCTCTGACGACGAAGAACGAAGTCTGGCGCCCTCCGATGACTCGTCGGCATGCGCTCCGTTCGGCGCTGAGGCCTTCTCTGCTGTCATAACCTTGTCGACTGCATCCTGAGGATACTTCTCCTGTTCGGATGATACTTCATGCGCCGCCATGTTGCCAACGGAGGGTAATCGAATGTTAGGCAGAAAAAAGTATCGATGAAGAGGCGAACAGATGACTGGGTCTGGGGTAAAAAGTTGGACTTGGCTCTCCGTTTGGCGGGTCTTGCCGAAGGGCCTAGATCAGTCACGCAAACAAGATGTTAGCTAGATAGAGATTTAGTATGCATCGCCGTAGATTTAATATATGTTGCGACTGCAACTGAGAGATTGTCGTCAAACTTCGGCCGACGACGGCCGTACAACAGAAGCATAAAATTTTATAGGAGGCGGGGACCTCCGAGCAGGCTCCGACCCCAATATGTTCGCGCTAGGCAGAACCAAGGACAGACGGCCGTCTTTTCCGAGGCCGAGACTATCTCGATGAAGAGTGGGGATAGGAGTTCAGGTTCCAGGTGCAGGTGTTATAGCAGTGATGCTGTCATAATGCAGGATTTGATGCGTTGAAATGTTGATTCGACCGGGTTTCATGTCTAGAAATAGCTCCGAGGTGAGACACGAGGGAGAAGAAAGACAATTATACAGATCGTTGCCTGTTTAGGAAGGTATGCTTCTTCGCGTCTTCTTTACCAGTTCTATGGCATCTACAGTGGAACTGTAGCTGGGGTATAGATAATCATACTACTCGCAATAATGATCATAAGGGATATGTGTGCAGAGCCAACTCCAAGACCACCTAGTCTTTCGAGCTGCACAGCCATTCTTAATCCTGTAACTGAAGTATCTCTGCAGGGACAGATGTCAGAACCAATACCCCGACGACTAGAATGACAGACTTACCCGTCAGAAACTCCTCAAAGCTGACCGTGATATACCCATCACGATCATCATCATACTGTTTAAACACATCCGTCATGCGCCGAAGGCTAATGCAAGCCTGGACAAACAAATCGAAACTCATACCCGACGCCTGAGGCCCGCTGCCAACCCGCCGCCCCTTGTTCTCAAATGTGGTAAAGAGCACCGTCACAAACGGCTGGCTAAGGCGGTATCCGAATGTGACCAGCGCGTTCTCAAACTCCCGGAGACTGATGCGCCCACTGCGATCTTCGTCAAACCGGTCGAACAGATCCCTCCAAGCCGCCAGATACCGCCACAAAGACACGAACTCATCGTACGAGATTGATCCGCTCCTATTCCGGTCGAACATGTTGATCATCGTCTTCACCGTCTTGGGGTGGAATGCGGAAAAGTCGCCGTTCACCAGGGCAGAGCCCAGCTCCTGCTCAGTGAGCGCCCCGGAATGCGAAGAGTTGGCGGCGCGAAACAGATTGAATAACTGGTCGTCGTTGGGAAGACCTAACGGCTGCGGGGTGGGCGGGGGACGTGACGCAGGCGGAGGGCGGTTGCGCACTGGTTGGGACGGAGGCGGTCCATGGCCATAGTTCTGAGGTGGAGGTGAGGGGTGGAGGAGGGCGTTCGGGCGCTGTTGGTTCTGAGGGACATTGGGTAGAGGTCGATCTAGGGCTGCCCGCGGCGGCACAGGGTGTCGATGATGGGGGTTTGGAGGGCCAGAGTATGGACCACCCGGCGAAGTAACTTGCGGTCTATGCTGAGGTCGGTTTCCAGGCTTCGACTGCATCGCACCGATCATCTGCGCTACCTATTTATTAATCGTCAGCGGCGGCGCGTAGATAGGCCCAACTGCCATCGCAAATGTGGCCGGCGTACCTGTTCAGGCTCCGCATGTCTAATGCGAACCACTCATATCAGTATAATGTCTGTTCAAGCCTTTTAGATTCCAAATTTGTACTCACGCCGGAAGCGCATCTGGATTGTAAGCCTTGTTGTACGCCATGACCACGGTGGCTGACGTAGTGCGGGCGCAATTTAGTTGGAGGGGTCAAGTTAAAGGTCTGGGGGAAAGGAACGAAGCAGATGCCGTTTCAATCGGGAAGGGAAAACATAGTCTTAAGGAGAGAGGCGAAAGAGCAAACAAAATTTGGCCCTGAGGGAAATAAGGAGTAAGGCCATTCTTCTTTCTGAGCGAGGCTGTTGTCATGACCGGGCGGAGACGTGGGTCGAAGCCCGGGGATTAACCAGCTGCCAAGAGACTGTGCCCAGAGTCTTGACGGCCGCTTTTTCGATGGATACGAGGGATACGGTTAGATCTCAGCCTTGTAACCGTTCGCATTGTCATGGAATGCAGTGGAATGCATACCAATTCGTTGTCTGCTCAAAGACTGACTCCAGAAAGCTCATTTGGCATGCAAGCCTCTCTGCCTAACTTCGCGCGATGCCGATCCATATTCCGAGGTTTCTCCATATCTCTGAAGTATACGGGCGCAATATAAATATAACACCTAACATAAGCTATGAGTCGCAGTAGCGCTTATCGACATATGACGCCGAGTACCACTCGTCAGCCTAGCTAAGCTTACTCGCTCGGGGTCCACGGTTCGATAGCAAGTGTCATATACATATGTTGGGACTAGTAAGTACCAACGTCCGCGTCAAGCGCAAGCAAACCGTCTAATTCCGATTGCTGCTTGAGAACAGCCACGATCTCCTTCCATGCTTTCGCCTGGAACTGCTTTCCTTCTGCCCCAGATGTCAGAGCAGTTGATTCACTGCGCCAGGTTAGTTTTTCTTCTAGAATAAGGACAACAAACTTACTCCAGATATCCATCACTTCGCCAACATTTCCCCTGCGATTCTAAGCCCTGGTATGTTCCACTAACCAATGATCGGCTGCCTTGCTCTGTCGTGCGAGCAAAAAGCTTATACATTACCCAGACAACCACTCGGTGGTAGAACTTGGTATATTGTCGCCCAAGTGACGAGACGCAAAGCCCCGGACTGACAGTGTTGACGATTACCGGGATTCTTCCATTCTCATTGCGCAGACGCTCGGCTACCTCCTTGAGGACATACTCCAGAAGAAGCTTTGATATACCGTACTGTTTTGGCCCGCTGAACCGACGCGCATCATTGAGATGCTCCAGCAACGGCCCATCCGTCCGGAGGCTTTTCGCTTGAACACGGACAAACTGCTGACTCGAGACGACGGTCAAATGAGTTGGACTCGAGTCTGTCGAGCAGCTTCGCAGTTTCGGCAGCAGCAGGAGCGCCAGTAGAGAAGTGGACAGCGTGTTGACTTGTAATGTCTCTTCCCACCCCTCTTTTGACGCAGTGAACTCCCGATTCCAAAGGCCCGCGTTCAAAAGCGCAACATCCAGCTGTTTCAGCCCCTCAGCACGGGCGGCAAAGTCCTTCACGCTCTGGAAACTGTTCATTTCCAGTTCCCATACCTGTACGACGCCACGTCTGTCTGTGCGTTTCTCTAGCTCTCTCTTAGTTGCTTCACCACGCTGTAGGCTTCGGCTACCGATGATCAATGATTCAACCCCTAGGTTCAGCAGCTTGATCGCGGCTTCGAATCCAAGCCCAGCTGTTGCACCAGTCAAGACGACTGTCTTTCCAGCGAATGAGACCCTTGGGTCTGTTGGGGGGTTGAATTGTGTCCTGATGAGCCGTATTAAGCCTGCCATTGCGTGTGCAATTCAGGGAAAGCAATATAGCGAGAACCTGGACGAGTAATTAGGGCTGCAAGGATCCTTTGCTAGTCGCTACTCGAATCTCCTCGGGAATGGGTTCATGAACTTCGCCGGCATGCCGTGGAGAATAATTAAGATGGAGATGGAACGCCTGACACTTGTGATTAGCCGATTGCTAGACCCGCTTCGCATTCCAGCGGGTGCCCGCTCGGAGCTATGTGTCTGGGACGCGGCCCAGAAAAGCTCAGGGATACGGATACGACACCTCGGTTGAGTACTCCAATGGTTCGACTGGCGCTCGATGACATGCAGAGCAGGATCGACTGAGGGCGAACGTGGCTTCTCACCTCGTCTGACTTAAGGTCAACGGCAGCAACCTCAAGATACCGCAGAGTCAAGCCGTATATCGACCTTGATAGACAGACTCGGACATGAAGATGCGGAGTTAAGCTTAAATTTTGCCTCAGGCATCAGAGCGGATTGCAAACGTGTCAAACACTGATGTGATTTGTGTACCTCCTTTCATCACCAGCCAGTGGACTTGATGGCGAACTGTATGCCCCATTCGGTTTACATTGTAAGTTCGCGGGTCTATACTTGCCTTCCGCCTACTTTTGTTCGCGCAAAATAAGCTAACCTCGAGAAGGAATGAACGGCGCAATCGATACCCTGAATTTTGGCATAATCCCCAATCTACAGAGCAGCTTATACTTCCCCAAAGTTCAATTCTGACTCATTTTTCGAAAATCCCATTATTCCACCGACGGAAGGCTTCGGGGGTCTGTTATAGCCTAAATTGAACGGAACGAGTATGGCAGTCCAAAGCCAAGAAAGTCAAGCGCCGACAGATGGCCGAACGTGGCGGCAGTATTTCCCAAAGGGAGATCTGTGGGTGTTTGGTTATGGGTGAGCCCACTTCAACATTATTAGATTTAACCGAGGTTGAATAGGCACAGAGCTAACCAGTCTCAAGGAGTTTGATCTGGAAGCCACCGCCCCATTATGGTATGTCCTAGGCTCCTAGCTACCGGCTAAAGGTATAGTGTGGCCCTAGGCATGTGTTGGCTAACGAGAACAACCGTAGACCAACGAGTACCGGGGTATATCGAAGGATACGTGCGCCGGTTCTGGCAGGTTTGTTGATTCTTTCCCCACACCTCTTGTACAGAGTTAACAAACAACATCTACATCTAGGCCAGGTAAGCAAGCGAGCCTCTGTTGTAACCCTCACACAGCGAAGGGACTCGAACTAAATTGGACTTGCAACTACCAGCACCGACCACAGAGGAACCCCTGAGAGGCCCGGCCGCGTGGTGACGGTGATCGAACGCAACTTCTGGGAGACCCTGGGTGACCCAGTGGGTTTTAGCCCTGATGCTCTCTTTTAAACCCAACTAACACCCGGAGCAGTTGTCCCACCTGGAGAGCGCAACGACCCGCGTCTGGGGCGCCGCATACCACATCCCGGCTTCCCATGCGGAGGAAGTGCACGACTACCTCGACGTGCGAGAGATAGACGGCTACAGCGTGCATTACACGCCGTTTCACCCTGTAACGACCAGTGCCGCCGGCACCGCCACAAGCACGGACCAGCCACCGTCAACAACACCAATAACATGTATGGTTTACATCGGCCAACCAAGCAACCCGCAATTCCTGCGCGACCCGGCCCGGCGCGAGCCGCAGGACGTCGCGGATGTCATTTCTCGGGGCGTCGGACAGAGCGGGAAGAACACGGAGTATCTGTATTTGCTGGAAAAGGCGCTCGAGGGCATTGGACTGGGGAGCGCGGACGAGCATGTGACGGACTTGGTGAGGAGGGTCAGGAGCATCGAGGGATTGGGCGAGGCTGGGAAGGAGGAGGCCAAGGCCGAAAGGGATGTTAAAGCTGCGCTTGCGGTCGCTGAGGCGAGTGTAAAGGAAGGAGAGAGGGGCTTAGCGGAGTAGATGGTTAAGATAGACCAGATTTTTAGACATGATAAACGCTAGATTGAACCGAGGACCGTCTTTCTGGGTGTTCTAATCGTGTCGAACTTCTTGGATTCGATTCCAGGGTTGAGCTAGGATGATAGTATAAGTGAAGGTTGCCGCATATGAAGGGTCGTCTGAGGCTCAGAGCCGGTCGGTTGAACACGTCGATTGAAGAACTGAGTGCCCATGGCAGTGATACTTGTGGTGTTGACGTGGTTGTGTGACTGTAAAAGTACCGAAATTTCCGAATGGTACACACCGTGCGAGTGTCGGAAGATGAGTATCCGGACTAGGTTCATCGGTGTAATGATCGGAACCGGGATGAAGTCGAAAGGACGGTGCGTGGTTCTCAGGCCAAACAGGAAACCTGTGGTGAGCCTCTACTCTCTTTACTCGTGCATAGATCTCCGTATGGGATGCCAGATTAGATGTCAACCACTAGCTGAAGCACACCAAATTCAAAATAAAGCAAGGCAAGCATTCATATCGACCAAAGGATCATGAGGATCAGCATTCATTATCTTTCCAAGCGTCATCAACCATCAAAACTGGGCGTCATCGATCGTGTCATTTGTCGGCAGCCTGTATAAGGGGAAACTGATTCTTCAGGCACAGAATGTCCGGGCTCAAATATATCAAGGGCCGGATTGGTTGCGCCAGCCTGGAGATAACTCTATATTAATCGGAGCACGTGGGAAGGGCGAATATGCCATGGACAGATAGGGTAACGTACCACCGGAACCACCACCGCGGTAAGCTTGTCCATCGGCAGGGCTGTTGTAACCTCCGCGACCTTGGAAACCGCCGCCGCCGTTGCGGGGATTAGGCCGTTCAGAAGCTTTGTCCACGCGGATAATACGACCGTCAAATCTGGGTGAGTTAGTATGAAGTTTGAGTTCACAAACAGAATAAGCAAGCACGTACTCTTGGTTGTTCATGGCGCCCATGGCAGCATCTGCTTCGGGCTCGCTGGTGAAACGCACGAAGCCGAAGCCACGGCTGCGGTTGGTGTCGCGGTCCTTGACAACGACCTTCTGCCTGTGAATACTGGTTCTCGAGCAAGAAGGGGAGCGGGGTGCATGATTGATGAAACACGTACAGCTTCCTCGATGGTGCCATAACGGGAGAACCCCTCACGAAGAACTTCATCAGTCGTGTGCCATGCGAGGCCGCTAGTTGGGTGGTTTTGTCAGCGCGGGGCTATCGATCCGATGAAAAAGGAAGAGAGTCATTGCGAGAATGTTGGTGACCATAAGAGACGGATAGACAGACCCAATGAATAGCTTGGCCATCTTAAGGTCCCGCTGAGTGGATTAGGCTGTTATAGGCTGGGAGTCGATCAAGAGTTCGACAGTTGCAATCGCAGAAGGTCTGGAAAGCAACAAAGTTTACGACAACGGAGAGCGAAAGCAGCAGATCAGGCCGTGAGAAGAGGATGGAAGAAGGAAGACGAGACTCCGGAGGGGAGAAGAATTTAGTCGATTCAAGAGGGGTGGCACTAGCAGGACTGGGAGGGACGGAGTGAATGTCGCCCGCTTCACTCGCTGGAGGCTGATTATTATTCCTCTTTTTGAGAAAAAAAAAATAAATTACCCCAATAATTACAGCCACCCCTGTTTGTGGATTGAACAAGGGAGATCAGGTTACCTGTCTGCACTGCAATGTCAATCTGCAGCTCTGCACAGCAATCGAACCCTCGAGGATTGAGGCGAAAAGGCAGAGACCAGGAAGCACAAGACAAAAGCACCGGCCACCTAGCGAAGCGGGGGAGGATTGGCGGCACAGCAGAGTGAATGCAGAGTGATGGGATGCAGAGATAACCAAATGGCACCTTGAGTCGTACACAGACCACCAATGATCGGCACGCATCCCGCCCAGGTGCTCTTTGTGCTCTTTGTGGTCTCTTTGCCAGCTCGCCACAGCCATCCCAGCGAATCGGACGCGGACGACGTGAGGAATCCGTAGCACTCCGTAAGGCCACGGTCGAGATAGCGGGGTTGGCAGCTCCCTCTTTCCCCTTCGGAGTTCGCTTTCCCTCGGTTGGTCAGAAGTGGCGTCGACTAGTAACGACTAAGCCTGTACTTGCAGAACCAGTCAGTTTGACCCGCGATCGAGCTGCAAACTTTATGCCGAATGGACGCATCATTTGATGTCTAGACCCTGTCGGCGGGCTTGGGACTAGACCAGACCCGAGGACGGTGATGTGCAGCGCTACTCTGGGTTACTCTGGGTTTTGATCCTGATGCTATATATTCCAGCCCTGTTCTTGGTGTCGGATATATAATCCTTGGAAGGTAGAATTGAATCCAACATGGAAGTATGCATCCAACAGAAATTAAGCCCGTACAAACTCAGACAATTTGCTCGCTTGGTGTTTTGAACCGGCTGTTGAGGTACAGTACTCCAACTGGGACTGCCCTTCCCTCACTTTCAAATCATTCATCGTCCATCTTCTCTCCTCATCAACCATGCTCCTTTGAATCATCAATTCTGTATCCATTGCCCGTCACTCCTCGACCACCATGTTTTACTGGAACATGGACGATGCGAGCAGAAATTTGATCCTCGAGCTCCTGGAACAGGATGCCCTGGAGGAGTCCAACCGACACAAAGGCAAGCAGAGGGCAGGCGTGTTTACAGACGGTGAACTCGCGATCAAAGACTGGTCTGACCAGCTCAACCAGTCTTCCATGGTGATTCAAGATCATAAGATGGCACTAAGTTTTGCAAAAGCTGTATTTGAAGACGGGATTGCTCTCACTCTGGCAGCTCAGGAAGAAAATAGAGCATTTACAGATCGACGACTGGCATTTGAACTTGTTGGTGAGCAGCCACCGGTAGATGGAGAGTCCTCGGTCCACGAACAACCCCTGAAGCTCGTTGATGCTGCGTTCTCCGAAGCAGTCGCTTCCCAGCTCGACGAACAAGACGAGACACTGCTAGAAAGCCGCCCTAACAAGAGACGATGCATGGCGGAAAGCTCCAAAACCGCTGCGAACCGTGCCGTTACTGAGGTGCAATCAGAATGCGTGGCTTGTCTTCACGAAAACCCTGCTTGGGACATGGTTCAGGGACAGTGCTCTCACTTGTACTGCAAAGACTGCATGGCTCGCTTGGTCAATGACGCCCTCGCAGACCAGTCGCTATTCCCTCCGCGATGCTGTCGTCTGCCGATACCACCGTACGCTCTGAGGAAACACCTGGGTGCCGAGCTCTTCAGAAGACTTGAGGAGAAGGAAATTGAGAACAAGGACCCATTCAGAACCTACTGCTCCAACACGGAATGTTCGAAGTACATTCAACCCCCATATGTGAAGGGATATATCGGCACCTGCCAAACCTGCCAAACGGAGACATGCACCTTGTGCAAGCGAGCTGCCCATGAAGGCCCATGCATTGACGAGCATGATGAAGTACTGAGGCTTGCGAAGCAGCACGGATGGCAGCGATGCCCGCAGTGTCACCATCTCATAGAATTAGCCACTGGTTGCAATCATATCACGTATGAAACCGGGAAGCACTCGTATGCTATACACTAACATTCATCCACGACCAGGTGTCGCTGCCGATACGAATTCTGTTATGTCTGCCTGGTGAAGTGGAAGCAATGCCGTTGCGCAAATTGGGACGAGAACCGATTATACGATAGGGCTCAGGTGGTTGCTGCTCGTAATGCTCAGCGTCCGGCTGAACCACAACAGGCCCAGCAACAGCAGCCCGTGCCACGGCACGCTCCTGCGCAGCAAGACGTGGAACGTGTGGCGGAAAGGATCCGAGACATGGATTATTGCTATCACACGGGACGTTGGTATCGTATCGAAGCTGAGGATGATGAATACCTTGAGTGTGATTTATGTGGTGATGAGCTTCCGGAATTCATACTAGAATGCCAGGACTGCGATCTCAGGGCGTGCGCACGCTGCAAGAATAATCGGCTCTAATGGTGCTGGAATGCTACAATGCATGAGCAGTTGCGATTAGCGACTGGGGATGGCTGATGAAGGACTACTAAGGCAATAGGATTTATGTGTACGAGTATCACAAGGAATCTGTAGGAGATATCCAATGACAAAGGCTCTTTCCATCAAGTTATCAGTCGTCTAACCAACTATAAGGATTTCAGGTGTGACGTTGCTTGCTATGAGCCCATACCTCCTTCCCACTTCCCGACTTAGATCATGCTGCCGCACATCCAAACAACAACACTACCCCATTTCAGCTCAGCATGAGGCCAGGACTTGAGTCCTAAGCCGGCTCGCTTGCTATTTGCCTTGGGGATATTCGACTGGATGGGTATCGCAGACCAGAAACGTTTCTTGAGCTGGTTGTCGCAACTGGATGAGGCGGAGCCAGTAGTCCCGCCAGGGGATAACCAGCCTTCCGCAAGATTCATCTTTGAAGGTATGCAATTTGACTTGAGCTACGCCGTCGATATTGTGGGTATCTATCTCACACTCGTCAGGTGTCCCTATAGAAAAGCAGACCTTGGACAAGGCCCTCACTTCTCAAAAACGGCCGCCACGAGCGCAGGACTTGCAACAAACCCGCCTTGGACTTGAAGACTTTGAGCAACCAATTATACCTACCCGACCTGCAACAAGAGGAACTGGTTCCGGGATTACGAGAATTGAGAGAAACGGATATGAACGTCTCCCCAGGGCGAAGACTAAGGAGGACCGGTACGAATACAAGAGCAAGGGCTCGCGAGTGAAAAGTGATCGGGGCGCAGCTGCACCGAAAAAGAAGTCATCAAGGCAGAAGAGGAAACATACCATAAACGAAGACTTCCGTGCTTCGAATGTGCCGCCAAACCGATTGACGGTACCGCCGTGTCTAGAATGAGAGGGAGGACCAAGCTAACGATGTCTCTAGCTCCATTCTGCCACGAATTTGGGCATCTTCAATAAAGGAAGACGATCATCGCCAGTCAAAACTCGAGGTAAGAAGATCAAACCTGATGCTGCAGAAGCGTCCGTGCCAATTGTTTGTGCCGTGTAGTGCTCGACCAAGGCTTCTCTGAAACTGAATTCTTGAGCAAAATGCCTACCCACGAACAAACAAGCCAGCTTCGTCGACAGAAAGACAACCTCTTGGACTATTTTGACTTCGGGAATGAGACAGGGCAGCCCTTCCAAAGCCATAACCGAAGAGATTCCGAAACGTCGAGGCCCGGTGCCAAAGAGAGATCTCAGCACCAGTTGGACTTGGGTCAGAACGATAACGAGGTATATCACAATGACGATCCCGCTTCGAAAGCAGATACAGTCATTGTACCATTTAGTCAGCATTGCTCCCGCGGCAAAGAGCGAAACACCACTGCGAGACACATAGTATGCTCACAAGCGGAACAAGAGACACGTGCTGCTGCGCGCGACGTTTCCCTGCAGCTTCTGGACTTCGACTTGTACTCGCCAGACGACAGCATGAGCATAAGCCCAGCCAAGAAGTATTGGACACTGGAGGAGCTCAAAGCACTTATGCAACGAAGGATATCTGCGTGGGGACAAGAAGATGACGGCTGTACCACGACACAGACTCAACCCCAACGACTCTCACGAAAACGCAAACATACTTCCCCCCCAGGAAATGAAACTACCAGTACACAATGGTCGCGACAAAAAGTCGCCCGGGGTCATAGCCAACAACTGAAAATCAGCCCGACTGACAGCAGTACTAGTTCTCAAGCCGCCATTCTGTATCCTTTCTCGAATCCAAGAATGTACACCCAGTATTCTCCGGGGTCACCGCTAGCCATTCATCGATATTCGGGCCATACCATGGCAGATGACAAAGTTCCGCCTCAGCGCCCTTTTCAGAACGAAGGGATAAGTGCCTTTGATGACGAAGATACGCTCCTAGTGTCACAAGCGTTTGATGCCGCATATGAGGCGATTATGCAACCAGAACGGGACGCTTCGCTCGACCTACCGATGTTATCTTCACCCAAAAGAAATGAGACTGTAGGCAACGATCAACAAAATACTGATCAAGGGTTACAGACGGCCTGGGAGTGGGGCTTGGAGGACGCCATTTTGGACCCCTCCCATGTTGAACCGGATATGCTTCTCACGTACAAGGAGGACCAGAATAGAGCATTTAGTACCACCTGGACTGGAAATCTCAGGCAACAATCTCCTTATGTCAGTGGACTATGCCCCAATCGGACAGCTCTTCGTCCCATACAAGAGAACTTCACTTGGAGAGCTTCTGGGATCAATGGTTCCGAAAGAGATATTCTAGACCTTGGCCCACTGAAGAACTTTTGGCGACAGAATAAGTTGTACTGATATTGACTTGGAGAGACTCTTGGTATGTGATGGCTCTCTGCGTCATATATTCAAGGCAGAGGGCACAATGATTGGCAAATTGTATAAAGAAGCATATCATACAGATTTCATCGGCAGGTTTCATAGATTCTAGGTAAGCCTCGCTCACTCTATTATATTGCATGGATGAGCCTTGCTAACGGTCCTATTGTCAAAAAGATACATATCAAAAGAGTTACTCGGTCAAGGGTTCCATAACTGCTTGCCAGGCTATGATTCGGGAATACGAGACCTGAGCCCATGGAAACCCAGTTAATTTAGAAGGAAGGCAGTGACTTGGTCGCGAGTCACCCCAGCATATTGGGATCTGCATTGCAAGACGCTGGCATTGCCTTTGATGTTACTTCGAGCACTAGCACATAAAACGGTTTGCTCTTTGAGGGATTTTGCAATATGAAAGAGATGCTCATTGGAGCCGATGCATCCTGGACCCAAGCGAACGGTAGGCTAATGCAGCGCACTGGCTCAAAAAGTAGACGGCTCACATTACATGTTTGCTTCCTTTCGCCTTGGTCGAATCTCTTTATATCCTGGTTGGGAAAGACACCAGTGTACGGAGTACTGAGCCTCGGATAAACAAACCGTTAGTAGAGGGCTTTCGTTTCAGTATGTTATGGCTGGTCCAGATTTAGCTCTATTCTTCCTTTCAATGGCCATGTGAAATCACAATTCTCAAACCCTGGAGTTCGTCCCGGGTACCAGGTTGTCGGGACGGTGCTGCACCCTCTTGGAAGCCCGCTCCTTCCTGCAGTAGCTGAAACAAACCTATGCCTCTGCTTGCATTTAGCACACTATCCACGCATCCGACTGAGCCGGAACCGGAGAGCAGGGATTGCGAGGTCGAATGTCTAATAGCCGCTGCAACGGACAGGCCCCAGGCGTACTTTGCTATCATCACCTGCTTACTCGGTGAAGACAACAGCGAGCTCAGTCATTCTGCTGCCGGTGCCAGTGTTGGTCAGACTCCCATTCGGAGACGACATTTAAAGGAGCCGTGCTGAAGGTCTATTGCAGTGCCATTCACTCATTTATTTCATTACGCCTGGTCAAATACCTCCCCAACCTCTATCCATGTTCTTAAGTCAATCTCCACGCGATCCGCCGTCAAGGCCAGGAATAGGCATGTCTGCAACCACTACACGACATCCGTTGACAAAGCGCAATCTCGCCATCCTCGATCGGCTTCTTCAGAGCGTAAGTCTCCGCCTGCAGTTGAACCCGAAAATAAACAAGCCCTAACTGTGACCTGTCCGCGCAGAAACACACTACCGGACCAATCACCTCATGGGCCGAGAAGGTCATATCCGAAGAGCAGCTCCAACTGCTTTGCTCCCAGCCTCGCACTGCCCTCTCCGGCAAAAGTCTGCTCACCGGAGATAGCACGACTGAGACAACCATCGAGCGTGACATGGACCTTTCCACCCAGGGGGTACGCATTCCCTCCATCGCTGCCACAACCACGACAGACCCTTTCAAGATCTTCGAAGATGGCCAACGTCCGTTCATGTGTCTCGAGAGTCCGCTGGAGCGGTATCTTACCCCGGGATCCAGTGAACCGAGCTACTTTAGTCGTTCCGCCCTGGCGCAAGTGGGGCTTCAGTATGGAGATATGGAGGGGAAGAGAGAGAGAGCTGATATTGCGCGTGGACATTTGGAGACCGTGAGAGATAATGCTCTTCAAGCTCGAGAGCAAGCCGGCAAATAGCTTCGAGGTCCTCTTTCAAGTGACTGTACATCATGAGTTGGGCATGTGAAGACCGCTCCGCACAATATACCTAGAAACCTATGAAGTACTTGATATGTCTTCCATCGCTATACCTGGCTCTGTCCATCCTGCACGGACAGGACGGTTCAGTATCGACTATTGTATTAAGTGGGTATAATTAGCGTGGACCTCACGGTTGTATAGATCTCACTTTGGCAGATACATCTCTCCCATATAGCCAAACAACGCCGCTCTCTCTATTCCAAGGTTTGCATGCAATAGCTCATCTGAAAGGACTTGAAATCAGACGCTCCAGATACTGTACAACGCCGGGGATGGAATCCCAAGGGTCTCTTGGTTTGTTGACCGTACCCAATTCAATATCGCTGTATATCCCACCTCGCAAATCCCCACTCACAGCGCCGCATACGCCTTCACACTAGACCCTTTCTCTCCCACTCCGTAGAACTCAATGGGGTACTTCCACTCCATGAACCGCGTCCAGCCTAAACATTTCGAAGTTGATTGATTAGCAAAGCCCCCCAACCACAAAGCAAACAATATACAGCGGAAGAAATCCAAACATACCCCAATAAGCACATCTCCTCCCCAGATACTTCCCGATGACAGGCACAATCACCATCGTCAGTAGTAGCTCCAGCTGCTCAATGCTTTCTTGCCACTCGGCCTCGGCATCGGAGTAGTCCGAGTCGTCGGAGAGCGTCTCCAGATCAGAGGCGGAGGTTGATTCGGAGGGGAGAGAGGCGATGGACGAGACGGAGTCTGTGTAGCTTGTGCTTCGGGCGCGCGGGGGTGTGTTTGTTGTTGAGGAGGTCGGGGTGGGGAGAATGTACGAGTCTGTGGTGGAGGAATCTGAGGACATTTTGGCGGGGATGAGCTGACTGGCTGGTTTTGGAGAAGAGCGGTGGCTTGGAGAAGGTTACTCGAGGTTGAGGTGTAGTCGTGAGCTGGTAGGTAGATTGATGCGGAGTTAACGGGGGTTGTTGTTGTGAGTCGGATATGGGCCGAGGCCGGGTTGGGCGATGGTATTGGTTTCAGTGGAAGAGAGGGGTTCGGGTTCGGGTTTATCGAGTTATCAAGCAGTGGCCTGCCTACCGCCTGAACGAGCGCAGCGTCAAATGAATGTACGGACTACGGAATCGTGGCCGGGGGTTGGAAGTTGGAACGATGAGGTTATTGGCGGCCTTGTTGCCTGAGGATCACACCGAGCAATATCACGTGTTCCTGCTCCGTAATACCAATACGAGGAGTTGAGTCATCAAGTCCACGTGACCACTCTGCGATAACAGCCTCGCCATCAAACTCAAAGCAACTGCGGCAAAGGCGAGAGATATCGACTTCAAAGACAACTCATTTCTGTTTCTCTCTACCGGGTAAGGCTCTACTTTGTTCTTTTGTTTATATAGGAGTGGTCATATTTCTTTTTTGCCTCTTCTCCAAATTACCTCCCACAATATGGCGGAGACTGTACGTCACACACCCTTGTTTTCTGTGCTGTATCTTTTACCGATCGCCCACAATCTAAAGTTCTTGTGCATAACCTCCTGGTCGCTGTACCCAACTTCCGCCTTACTGGTTGCTGCTTCAGCGCAGGAATAATTCCATATCTGCCTTTTTCGTCCTGTCTTGTTATGCCCGCTTTTTGAGCTCCTTGGCATTCTGAATTATAAAATCTCTCACCCCACTAACGACTTATCCGGGCTGGCTGTAGGTCGAACCAACGGCTCAGAAACAACGCAAGTCCGTCGCATTCAGTGAAGGAACCGTCATCATGGACACAAACGGCGAAGTCACACAACAGCTCGAGAAGCCTGTCGAGGAGCAAGGTGCGGATTGCCTCGATCCACCCCTCCGCATTTCCCACACTACAGCGACCACCGATCTAACACACAATCAACAGCAGACAAGGCCGTCGACGAGGTTACCGATCTCTTCAAGGGTCTCGCCAAGAAGAAGAAGACCAAGAAGCCCAAGGACACCGACGCCGCCGACGATGAATCCTCCCCCGCCCCCGCCGCGGACGGCGAGTTCGACCCCACAGCGCTGAAGAAGAAGAAGAAGAAGACCAAGAAGGTCGACGCCGGCGACTTCGAAGCTAAGCTCGCCGAGGCCGGTATCGCAGAGAAGGAGGCTGAGGAGAGCAAAGACGCCGAGGTTCCCGAGGGCGATCTCGAAGCCGGCACAGGAATCTGGGCCCACGACGCCACCCAGGCCATCCCCTACTCGCTGCTCGTTTCGCGATTCTTCTCCCTTATCCAGAGCCACCACCCCGATCTTTTGTCCAGCGGAACCAAGTCGTACAAGATCCCTCCCCCGCAATGTCTGCGTGAGGGTAACAGGCGTACAATTTTCGCCAACATTGCCGATATCTGCAAGCGCATGAAGCGATCCGACGACCACGTCATGCAGTTCTTGTTCGCGGAATTGGGTACCAGTGGAAGTGTTGACGGAAGCAGGCGTCTGGTTATCAAGGGTCGTTTCCAGCAGAAGCAGATTGAGAACGTTCTTAGGCGGTATATTGGTATGTTCACCTGTCCTTCACATTCTTCTTCCGTTCCGAGATGCCGTATGAAATATGAGACTAATGAGAACAGTCGAATACGTCACCTGCAAGACCTGCCGCAGCCCCGACACGGAGCTCAACAAGGGTGAGAACCGTCTGTACTTCGTCACTTGCAACTCTTGCGGATCCCGTCGTTCCGTCGCCGCCATCAAGACCGGTTTCCGTGGACAAGTCGGCCGCAGAAAGAGGCAGGCTTAGATGTAACCTTCAGGTCAGTTTGTGGTTTCGGTGTTGCGGAGGGACTAGGATATCGTCTGGAAATGGAGGAGACCATGTTTCTTCTTCCGTTTCGTCTCATTTCCTTTCTATCTCTTGGCGAATGGAATTATCTTCTCAGTTCTCTTTATTCCCCCTTTTCTCATGTTTTCCTCTTTTCTTCCATGTAAAGATTCATTCTATCTTTTGATTTCTTGGTATCATTGATGTCAGGGAGATGGGATGATAGTGAGCTGAGGCATGGGGATGTGAAGGTAGCTGCAGGTGCGGCGTGCCGCGCCTGCAAAGGTTGAGTCAAAAGCGGTGATGACGATATTCTTAGAATGTCATGATTGATAAGTGTATTGAATGATATGACGGTTTATAGTACAAGTTGTTGCTCGATCTCTCGTGGGGTAGGCTCAGTCTTTTAGGTCCTGGTAGATCTTGGACGCGGTACATTGCAACGTGATATACGGAGAACGCTGGCATAAGATAAGTCCTTAGTCTAACATGATATAGGATATTTTTGATCGTATCAAGAGAGAAAAAGAACAATTCGATATACACGCTGCATAAATCATAAGCGGCATCTGTTGTAAAGCAACGCCGGACATCAATGTTGTCGGCAGAGTTCCTTGCTCAACGTAATTTCGCCCCGCCAATCTGCATGGCGAATGCTGCCACATTCCTGGTCTGAAGGTATACAGTACCAGGGCCGATGAATTTACAAGCCAGACCCTCGCCTGCGCTGATGTTGGAGATAATACCACCCGAGGCGACGCGCTCGAGCTGGTACTTGCAGTTCCAGGCTACAAGATGGCCATTGTTGACGAAGTATGTCTCCCCCTCTACGAGCTGAATAGAACCGGTTAGTTAGTAAGAGGGCATACCTTCCATCCAACTTTTAGAAATAGGATATCACTTACTTCCTTCTTGAGTATTGCTCCGAAACTCTGTATCCAGAGCAAACCGGCGCCATGGAACTTGTAAACCCAGAGACCCTCGCCGGAGAAAAAGGTCTTGGCCAAGCTCTGCGCTTTGTGGTCGTGCTTGACGCCGGTTGTGCAAGCGAGGAAAGCATCTCGACCGACTTTCCACTCTTGTCCCTGTGAAATTCGAATGATAGTGATGTCGCCGAGAACGGTTGGCGCGATCAGGAGTTCACCTGGTCCGGTGTATGTGGACATTGCCATCTCACCTCCAGCAATGAATTTGATCAGCCCGAAGGATAATGTACCCTTGAGCGTCATTGTAGGAGACATCCCGATCATGACGCCTGATTGATGGTTAGTATCTAAATATGAACGGTATGTGGACTAGGGTTAGGACGGACCTGGTTTCACCTGGAGCGGGCATCCGACGGCAAGCTGAAGTGTGAGAAGGGTGTTGCTATCTCGATGACTGATCCGATAACTTCCACCATTGAAGGTTCCCACATCGTCTGCTGCTGTGGATGTGGCTCCTACAAAGGATCCACCGCCGACTGATTGCGACGCTGCATGCGAGGCAGGGGGTGGTGTTGGCTTTGGAGCCGTAGCATACGCCGGAGCATTTTGCGATGCGTACGTCTTTTCGCTAGCTGGAGGGGGTGGTGATTGAGGGAGGGCTGTGTTGGCCGCATATGGTGCCTGGTTATGGCTGGCATAGGTCTTCTCGCTCGCTGGCGGGCTCACAGACGGCGGCGGGGGAAAGTCTGTTTGCGCATGAGGTTGTTGAGTGGGAGGAGGCGGATAGCTGAAATTGGGCGGCGGGAAGCCAGGAGAGGGCTGAGGAAATCCGGAGGACTGTTGAGGAAATCCCGGTGAGGGTTGAGGTGGTGGTGGGAAAGCTATATAGTAGGTAAGCCGTGTATTTCTATATTTATGGTTCGGACTTCCGGTTGCCATACATGGGGCATTCTGAGATTCTGTAAGACAATTAGATGTCACGTAACGGTGATTAGCTTTTTGAGAAGGCAAAACATACGAGAGTACGGAGCTCCTTGAGTCGGAGGGGGTGGATAGTGGATTGGATGTTGCGACATGATGAAAATGTGAGCTTCTGCAGATACTCAATGCATATACTCTAGACGCAATTTGACACAGGTCGAACGACAAACCGACGTAAGACGCTCACAGGTGCGCTCGAGTACTTTTAGGAGGAAGAAGCAAAAAGATAGCGAGGACGGGGGTGCGAAGGGCGCTTCGATTTAAGAAGCTCCCAATCTCACCGTGGGGCTGAGGCTACTGCATGCTGCCCCCGCGGCCGTCACTGGGCGCTTACAGGATGCATCTGAATGGCAGATCGCACCCCAATTGGCTTCTGCACTTTGGCGCCCGCGTAAGTAAGCCAAGATCCCAAGCCCTAGGAGTCGTCACCGCGGCAGTGGAGAAGAAAGACAGAAGCGGATAGTGAGAGAGAACCATAGGTTGGAGATTGTTGCTATCGTGCCGGCGTTTCAAGTTATTTAGGGTTTCGCGGGCAAACTGCGGAAGCACCAAGCATCGACCTATGCAGCCTCCAAGATAGCTGAAATCGATGTATACCCTCGTTCATATGCCATAGCAAGCGCTGTCCTGCCTACATCGTCACCCTTGTTTTTGTCTGCCCGCATACTGAGTAGAAAAGAGACGAGTTCCTCGGACTGTATGGTCACCGCTAGCATCAGTGCGGTGCTACCTTGAGAATCCGTGGCGTTAATGTTGGCTCCTCTTTCTATAAGGAGTTTGACTATGTCCAGGTAGCCTCCCACCGTAGCCAAAAGGAGAGGAGTGCGACCGTCCGTCGCGATGGATTCAATGTTCGCTCCTCTTTCGAGGAGAAGCGTGGCACAGGCTAAGTGGTTTTCTGTGCATGCTGATTGTAAAGCTGTATGGCCAAACAGGTTACGAAGCTCAAGGTCTGCTCCATGATCAAGAAGTAGATATAAAATATCCGCGTGACCTTGAATGGCAGCAAAGCCCAACGAAGACAATTTGTTGGTAGTGGAGCATGCATTTACGTCTGCGCCGTGCTCAAGTAACGTCCTTGTTCCTTCTTTATCCGCGGTTGAGACCAGCTCCATCAGAGCGGTGCATCGTTCGTTCCCAACCGCGTTGATATCTGCGCCTTGGCGACATAGCGTTGCGACCGCTAACTTCGAGCTCTGCGCCGCGCGGACAAATGCTTTCATGGCTTGGTGTGGAAACTGCTTTCCGTACTCAGCCCATCGGGCCAGAAGCCAGTAGCGAAGGGCTGCTTGCTCATTCGAGTTGACCCAATAAAGAGATTCCGCCATGTACAAGTCATCTCCATTCTGATAATCGCCTTGAAGCTCAACAACGAACTCAGGGTCGAGAGATGCTAGTACCATAAGTTGGGCGACGTCTGGTCTCGTAGAGTTAAGACATGTCGTCTTTGTTTCGAGGATTGGGTTATTTAGGAGTCCAATCGATTCAATGTGATCCATGATCACCTGTCGATTGAGTCGATTGGCAATATGCCATGTCGCCCAACCTAGCTGGCTTGAGAATTTGGTCCACCATTCCCTAGGCTCATGAGAATTCATCCAACTGGATGGCCGAAGGTTTCTGAGACCTTCGAAGAAGTTCGCCCTGATATCACACTGAAGGAGGAACTTCGCTATCTCAAAGCCTGTGTCTCGGACGCCTGCGGTACTGGTAAGCATTGCTCGCTGACAGAGAAGCCCAAGCTCGTACACAGAGCGCTCATATTCGTTTCCTTCAGAGCGTCTACTGAGCCATTGGAGGATAGAGAAGGCGCCGTCCCAGTTGCCGTCAGAGGTAAGTTTCTGAACACGCTCTCGAACTGTACTCGTGTCGCCAGCAAGCTCGGGGAGGATGTCCAAGTGATTCAGTGCCGGCACTATGCACAGTAAGGCATCCTCTCTCGAGCCCAGATTCCCAGATTCAAAGCAAGCCACGAGCTCATCCAGGCTGGTACTCTGGGCTATGAAACTATTCTGGGAGACTGGAAAGATATCCACATTGCCCCCAAGACACTTGACCCCCCTGAGAATGCACATAATGAATTGAATATAGACGTCTTGTGCTGCCATTACTCCCAAGTTGTTGTCGGTTTTCACGACAAGGATTTCCTTGTTGTCCAGATCGTTGCCAGTAAAGTAACCAAAGTTTTGCTCCGGAAATGATATCATCTTGTGCGACACCATTATCGCTTCCCTTTGACGAAAGATCCATTTGTGGAAGTATAAATCCGTAGATGGAGACTTGGCCTCTTCCTTCGTCAATCCCACTGCCCGCCCAAGGCCATGCTGCAACCAGCCTGGATCCGACTTCAACAAAGAGAAGGTCCATAGCCCTAGAATTGCTTCTAGCTCGTATGAATCAACTTTCCATTGGAATGTGTCGTTTGATCGTTCAAGCATAATAGGGTACGTTTCCAAAGAACCCCGAGATTTGTCGTCATCCGGGTGGCAGGCGAAGGTAAGTTCAAAACTGGAGGTGCTACTAGGCACCTCTTTCCATCCGGAGACCACCTCCATTGTCATCTCAATAGTCCTTGCTAGATCTTGGGCAACTTTTCGTATTGGGAGATCATCCCAATTCATACTAGGATGGCGGTCGCAGGAAGTGAGCTCTGCCAACTTAGCCCTAGTGCGTATCAGCTTCGCCCCAAGTCCGGACGGTCGATTCGAGATTTGCGACGATTGACTGGTAGTACATGACCCAGATCGTGACCGCACTGATTGATGTACGGGGCTTGACATCAAATGGAACGATTTGACTTTTTCTAGATGATAGGCAAAGCAATCCAGTTCCTGCTGATTGTGGGAGAACAGTTCCCGATCGTCTTTGCGAAACTGGTTTCCATCTGAGCCGATTCGTTTAGTCCTCAAGCATGTGCGTACCACGGCCATGAGAAGCGTTGATCCAACGTCTGCGATTATGACGGATGGATGTAGGCCGCGAAGGCCAACAAATTGCAGCACAAATCCAACCATTGTGACACATATAGTAAAGACAAGTAGGGCTCGCTTGCCCCTGGGTGGAGGACCGCGGACTGATTTTATATATTTTGGTTTCTTTGAGGTCGAAGAGCCCGGGCTTTCATCAACAGCAAGGAAAGCCCCGAAGTCTTGCTCGCCGATCTTCTGTCGGCCAGGCTGCAACCAGTAAAGCTTACTTGGTTTCTCTGACTGAAGGTAACTCTCGCTTGAGGAGCGTTCTATCAGAAAGGCACATAGAAACATGCCTACACTGAGTGAGATCGACCCATAAAGATAAAACGGTAACGCATAGCTCTCAGACGAACCATCGTCATTTCCAAAAATACCAGAGTACCAGAAGACTGTGAGTCCGGCATATACAAGGGTGCCTGGGGCCATGGTCAGCAAGACATAGCCCACAACCATCACGAATAAGCAGGTACCGTACCTCCTTGTAGGATAACCCCCAATAGGGCAGCAGCGTAGAACCACCCGGGCCCTCTCCGCTCGATGCCCTTATTCAAAGACAAGTTGGGAATATCAAGCTCAGGAAGAGATAGGAGTCCCTTTTCAGTCTGAACCACTTCTCCCTGCGTAGACCAAGCCCCTACTTCAAGGGCATCACGGAGAGTCCCGAGCTCGTACGAGCCCTGCTCTTCCCATACAACTACTTCCAAAATTCTGGGCCTGCCAAAAACTCTGGAAATGCCACCATCGTTGAACAGCTCAGCTGTGCCCTCAGATACGCAGGAAAGCAGCTCATTTTCTGCCTCTCCAGGCGCTTCATTGGCCCTGCCCACAAAAGCTCGGAGAGACGAGTTTCCGCAAATGCGAATGACGGAGACCACAGCCGTTAAAATGCCCAGCGGGCATAAGGCAAAGATCAGGTTGTCGAGACGGCTCGTAGACTCGGCTAGAAATTGCTTCGTTAGCCGCTCACCGAAAAGAGCGACTAAAGGCGCCTGCGCAGGCAGTCATATTAGCCCCAGATCAGATGAGAGCAGATATGGATCCCGTTAGAGCGGCGTAGATACCAAGTCCGTTGCAAAGTTATCGGCAAAGTCCTCCCAGCCTTGTGCTCTAACGCTTGCTGTCCAAAAGAGCGTTGTGAGGAGTAGATACTGCCAGAGCATCGACGGCATTTTGCAGGTTTAGCCCTCCCCGCGGACAAAACAGAGTGAACAAAACGTGCAATTCAAATGCATGGTCAATGAAAAGGGACCGAGGCCAGGCAATAGATTATAGTCTGAACAAGGCTGGGAATGCAATCTGCCTAGGGGTTCGCCTTGCCGCAGCCCACACTGGTATTGGCGAAACAGGTCATTCCATCTGAAGGCATCTGACCGCAGCATTGAAGTCAGGACTAACCATGACCAATAACCCCGGCATGTCGCTGGCTAGAACGAACCTCCAACAATGCAGGTTCGTGGAGGGGAGGGAGGAACTACAAGCGGAGATCGCCACGTTTACCGGCGCTTAAGTGCAGCAGCGAATCTTCGCATAGAACGATCGCCTGGCGCCAAATGAAACATCACTACAGGATTTTTAGATTCACATATAAATCCCGTATTTGTTTTTTGCCTAAGAATAGTGATGACCAAAAACGCCTCTTTGCATGTAGATACCCTAAAAAGCCGAGTTAGAGACTTGATAATAAAAGGCTCGTAGCAGATACCCTGAAGAGGAGACAATTAACTCTTCCAAGGCCTTCCATTCATTATGGGCCGGCCATTCATGCACAGAAGAATAGTGTAAACCCGAACCACCAACGCCAATTCCATGAAACAAATGAGAAAAATCAAGGACAGGAAGAACGCAAACCGCGTTCTACTTTCATGTAAACACAGCAATCCAGGCCATGCATCAAGGAGAGTAGATTAGAAGATGCTGTTAACAATGTTGGATCCAATCGTAGCTCCGGCACCGAAGACAGCTAATTCGAGAGTCAGCTCCTGAAAACATACTAGTCTGTAAGCCAGGTCTGAATACGTACCAGCATTGCCCAGCTTCTTGCCAAATTTCTTGCCATGTTCCTCAAACTTGCCGGATTTACCAGGTGTGGACGACGAGCCACTCTGGCTGACCTCAAGAGGCATGTTTCCGTAATTGGTAGGTGGCGCAACCGCCTTCTCGTCCAAGACATTAACGTAGCTGCGAGGGAAGATACCCTCGAGGTTTGTGCGCTCGTTGCGACCGCGCCACCCTGTAAATGATTAGTACACATCTCGGCTCCGTTTCAACCAAGGTAAACTTACAGTCGGCATTCATGTGCTCAAGAACCTGGATACGGTCATTTGGCTGCAAAGCCAGGTCCCCAGCGTCGGTTGGTGTGTATGCATATAGTGCTGAAGCAACAGATAGCACAGTAGGTGCTTGCGGGTAAGCAGGAGGCGGGCTCGCATAATGCTGCTGGGGCGCGGGCGAGTTCATTCCATATTGTGCTTTTTCATTCAGCGAGGTACTGGCGAGTTGAGCGGTCGGTGGTGAGTATGGAGCTGGAGATAGCACCGCCTGGGCAGGGGCAGGCGGAGGAATGTTCTGAGTGACAGGGGGTGGTAGCTGCACTGGAGATGGCTGTGACGCTGCCGACACTTGACGTTCAGTTCCACTCGAGCTGGGTAGCTGTGATAGAATGGATGAAAGTTGCTGAGGGGTAATGACTGAGGCATCTGCTAGAAACTCCAGCTCCTGAAGAGCAACGTTTATTAGCACACATCGTGGACGACCTCGAAATCAGTAGCCAAACCAAGGGGGAGGGTCGTACCGATCGGACATTACGGAGCGACCGGCTGGTCAAGGCCGATAGGAACATCTCTTGAGATGCCATGACGGGCGATAAGGAATGGTCAGGGTTTCAACTGGGTCGAGCAGACAGGTATATTCCGTGCAAGATAGGGAGTTTTTAGCGAAAGATTGCCGACCGACAGAAATGTTTGCTCAGTTGGTGGTCAGCGATAGAAGGATGGATGTTGACGGATGGAGGATGGGGCCGAGCTGGGACGGCACGATCGTTGGTTCCTGAATGCTGAGGCCTCAGACTGCCGCCAGGCTGAACCGTTTCTATTGGTGGATATGGTGGGATTCGGCGTTTCTCCTCAGGCACTGCCACCAATTTATGAATCACAATGACACTTATGTTCGGGGTATGCTTAGCCACTTCCGAGCATTCATGTTCTTTGATGACTGGAAATATTAGACAGGGTGTCTTTCTTTGTCTACGCTGTTTGCTAGGTAACTGCTTTGTTAGAGCTAGGCACGTGAAATCGCCATGTGTCGTGTATAGTAGCGGGTTTACACGCAGCCACTCCTCGAATTGAGGGCAAGAAAAGCGTCAGTACATACCGTGCTACTCAGTACGGGCATTTGCCTTCAGAGAAAGCAGTACCATGGGCATCTCGATCTATCCCAGAGACCCTTTGATCGCTAATCATGGATGAAGCCTCGCCTCTGGCATCGTTCTTTGACTCAGAGCCAAGTGATGTCAGCACAGCTAGCCCTTATCGGGCTTAGCGCATTCCGCACACTCACCTCCGCCATCGTCTCGAAAGTTCCGTCCACGGTCTGTGTCATCGATATAAATACGGTGGGCCCCCGTGAGGCTTGAACAACCCTCTTTCAAACCTCACGCGATCATACATACCAAACGCCACTCCTTTCTACGATAGAACTTATAGACGATACCCAACATCACTACCTCTATCCAAACTTCCAACACCACCACAGAAACAATGAGCGACTGGGATTCCGTTACCCGCATTGGTTCCAAGAACCGTGGCGGCCCCGCCATTCGCGAGACTGTCGTCAAGGGCAAGAGCGCATTGAACGCCGCCCAGCGCCAGGGTCTCGTTGTCGGTACTGAGAAGAAATACGCCTCTGGCAACACTGTACGTACTTTTTGCCTTTCTTGCAACTTTCCATTATGCGCCACATACTAATTACGCTCAGGCCGGACGCGCTGGTGCCGTCGAAGGCCAACATCTCACCAAGGTCGACCGCAGCGACGACATCGTCAAGCCCAAGACCGTCGGTCTGCAGGTTGCAGACGCCATCAAGAAGCGCCGAACCGATGAGGGATATAAGATGACACAGAAGGAGCTCGCCACCAAGTGCAACACCACAGTTACCGTTGTCCAGGACTTCGAGCGGGGCACAGCCGCACCCGACCAAAAGGTGCTTAGCGCCATGGAGCGCGTGCTCAACGTCAAGCTGAGAGGTGCTGACATCGGAAGCGAGAAGTTCCCTAAGAAAAAGTAAATCGACCGGGGGTGAGCCCGCGACTTTTTCTTCTGGGGAGGCGAGGGGCATTGTTGATATGATTCTTTTTCTTTGGCCTTCATGTCCCAGGCTTCTCGGTTGTTATGTTATGCCCTCCATTGAATGATATGACATTTCTTTACTTGTGACTGGTTTGCGTTCAGAAGCGTCAACCTGGTGTTGAATTGATTAGACATAAATACATTCCCTTTGATTAGAGGAATAATTTCGTCTACTTATGCCATCTACAAATATCTACAAATAGTGAAGGGTTGAAGTAAAAGGTTCTCTTTTATTAGGACACGAAAGCGACCAGAAATCGAATATGATACCAACTCCGTCTTATCATGATATAGATGAAAAGTAGCTCACCACTTCAATCACCCAGGTCTCCTGAACCCACCACGCGTAGCTGTCTCTTTTCTGTGCTTTTGTTGTAAACAGGACATGCCATCACTTCATGACACATTCGAGAGATGCAATAAACAGAAATAAGGAAATTCAACCATCGTTTCACACATCAACCACTTCACCGCCTCAACTGCTCCCGCTCGACCTCGTACATGAAGTCAAAGTAGGGCTTGTCGAAGTGGTGAACACGGACGTAACCGTCCTCACCACCGGAAGCGTACGCTGTGCCGGCGGGGTGGACGTGAATGGTATTCAGAGGACCGAAGTGACCCTTGACACGGCCGATCTCGTCCTCGAAGACCTTGTGGTAGAAACGGGCCTCGAATTTACCCTGGCGGGCGGAGGTTGTCGTGACATCCATGGCGGCCTGACCACCACCGAGAATAACGTAGTCCTTCTTGGGCGTGATGGCGGCGCTGTTCAGTGGTGTGTCGGCGACGTAGGTCTTAAGGATGGCGAGGTTGCGGGCGGACATGAGCTATACCAAGTCAGTTACCGATTCGAATCTGGCGAAAAAAGCTTCCTACCTTGGCGGACTTGTCCTTGGAGGCAGTAAGAAAGTGGGTGCGGTCGGGGGAGAATTGAAGGTCGTTGATCTGGTGGTCGAACTCGTGGGCCTGGACGTTCTCCAGCTGCTCACCGGTCTAAGACAAATGTTAGAAGCCAGCACCTCATGATCCCAGACTTATGTCGAATCCCACCTTTCCATCGTATTGGCTAACGCTTCCATCTTCGTGGCCAGCGATAATGTACTTGCCCATGTAACTCCACCCAGCGACTGTGGCCTTGCTGTCTGTGCAGGTGATTCGGAGGCTAGGCTCCTCGGCCTGGTTCGTGAAGTCGCCGTCGTAGTTGATGTCGAGGACCGCAATCGTACCCAGGAAACCCATACGCTTTTCTGTGACGGCTAGAACCTTGCTTCCGTCCGGACTGAACTCGACCCGCTTAACCGCCGTAGGGAATTCCCACACCTTAACACACTCGCCAGTCTTCACGTTCCATAGTCGTACGGAGTTGTCTGCAGAGCCGGTCGCGAGGAGAACAGTGTTCGGGCTGACATCGACGGTCCAGATAGCACCCAGGTGTCCGGCGTAGGTACCGAGTCGTTCGCCGTTGGCCGACCACCAAGCGCACACAATCTTATCCTTAGCTACCGAGAACAGGAGATCACCATCCCGGTTGAACTTGATCTGGTTCAGAGATCGTTCCTGCAGGATAATCGAGCGTTAGCGACCAGTTTATGGGGCTTAAGACGGCGAAAGAACTCGAGCAGGCTCTTCCGTGTCCTGGGGAAAACGCACATGTCCCGCAAGCAAAATCGGCCTCATTTTGAGCAACCAATATGTGATTTATCGAGGTCGCAAGGGGGTATAAAAGACTGGATCACAGATGGATGCTGTCCGTGACACCAACTGCGTGTTGAGGCTGATTCTGGCGGGGTTGATTATTGCGGCGGCCTTTCTTTAACCTCACCCGACAAGTTCACGAATTTCATCGCACAGTCCGCGGGTCCAATGCCAAGCCTTCCTCATTGGACGCCGTAAATGACAAAGCCCGTACCGGAACCCAGATTTTCCGGTATGGACGTATCTATCATGTGACAGGACCAGCCCTGAGGCACCGGCCAAAGCGGAATAGCGTGATCGACACCAGCCGCAGCTTGAATTTGCTGACATCAGCCTTTGTTCACCCTGTGCCGATAGAAATCAGGTCTATCATTCAAGGCCTCGAGGTTGAAGGTATTGTTCTCCTGGGTACGGAGTAGACAATCAATAGCACTCCAATAAAGACCATGGAGCTGCCGTAGACCTCACTATTGTTCCTGTCCTCTATATTCCTCAATTGCCCTCTTCTGACGGATTATTCATAGCCATTTGCAACCGACTCCGCTGGATCGACCGGTTTCCCTATCTGCCCTCCAGTTCTCCGGCGCCAGAGAACCAAAAGGAGTAATCGATGCCATACTCCCCCGCCTATTCGGCGGTCATACCCCGCTGTGCTGCTCGAGCGAACAGCTTAGGTTTGCAACCATGGGCTCCGTGTCAATCTTCTTCTCGCCGATTAATTCTTTTCCACAAACCTTCTCTCCTCTCTATATACCATCATCCTCGACTGCCCTCTGTCCGACGCGGTTTCTTCACTGAGACTCGCCGAATAGTTCCCCGACGTTCTCCGGAAAGCCTTAGAGACTTTCCCGCTTTACCGTGTCAGCGTCGTACATTCTCTAGCACAGACGTCGCCATGGTGGCCGAAAAGATCGATGGCACGCAAATCGCCAAGGATATCCGCGCGGGGCTGAAGAGTGAAATTCAGAAGATTCAGGAGGTCAACCCTAGGTTCAAGCCCAGCCTGGTGATCTTCCAGGGTACGTGAGCTGTACTCCGGCTACATCTTCCGCGGGAAAGTACTAACATCGTAAAGTCGGAGACAGGTCTGATTCAAGTGAGCCTTCTTGTGGTGATGTTCAATGGTGGAGGAGCTAACGTGCCATACTTTTAGGCACATATGTGCGTATGAAGTTGAAGGCTGCTGAGGAGGTACCTTTACCCACGTACACCCTTTTGTATGCTCTTTATACATTAGCTAACAATGTTTTTGTTAGGCAAACATTCTCTGCAAGATCATCAACTTCCCCGAGTCCATTACACAGCCCGAAGTCCTTCAGGAAATCAGCCAGGCCAACAATGACCCCTCAGTACATGGTATCCTTGTTCAATTACCGCTCCCTCAGCACCTTTCCGAGCATGCAGTCACCTCCGCTGTGGCCGACGAGAAGGATGTTGATGGGTTTGGAGCGATCAACATTGGAGAACTTGCCAAGCGTGGTGGCCGCCCTCTCTTCGTTCCTTGCACCCCCAAGGCTGTGATGGTTCTCCTCAAGGCCAGTGGTGTCGACCCAGCGGGCAAGGAGGCCGTTGTCCTCGGCCGGAGCGACATTGTTGGAAGCCCTGTCAGCTACCTCCTCAAGAACGCGGATGCTACTGTCACAGTGTGCCATTCGAAGACCCCCGATATCGCCAGCGCTGTGAAGAAGGCGGATATCATTGTCGCGGCCATTGGTAAAACAGAATTTGTAAAGGGCGAGTGGGTGAAGCCCGGCGCCGTTGTTATTGACGTTGGTATCAACTACAAGCCTGATTCCACGAAGAAGTCCGGACAGCGTCTAGTCGGAGACGTCGAATATGAGACTGCTTCCCAGGTGGCTTCAAAGATCACCCCTGTCCCCGGTGGCGTTGGGCCTATGACAGTGGCTATGCTCTTGGAGAACGTGGTCGCGTCCGCCAAAGCATACTTTGAGAAGCAGAAAGAGCGCCATATCACCCCCCTCCCACTCAAACTGGTCACCCCGGTTCCCTCAGACATCGCCATCTCCCGCGCACAGTACCCTAAGCCTATCACACAAGTTGCGTCTGAGGTTGGCATCGCCCCCCACGAGCTTGAGCCGTACGGCCACACCAAAGGCAAGGTTAGCCTTGAGGTTCTCAACCGTCTAAGTCACCGCCGCGATGGCCGCTACATCCTGGTCTGTGGTATTACTCCTACGCCTCTTGGTGAGGGCAAGTCAACAACTACATTGGGGTTGAGCCAGGCCCTAGGCGCACACTTGAACCGTGTCGTTTTTGCAAACGTCCGCCAGCCGAGTCAGGGTCCTACGTTCGGTATCAAGGGTGGAGCCGCCGGTGGAGGATACAGTCAGGTCATTCCTATGGATGAGTTCAACCTGCACCTGACTGGTGATATCCACGCCATCACCGCGGCAAACAACCTTCTTGCCGCTGCCATTGAGACACGCATGTTCCACGAGGCTACCCAGAAAGATGCCGCTCTGTACAAGCGTCTTGTCCCGGAGAAGAAGGGCAAGCGCGAGTTCAAGCCTATTATGTTCAAGCGATTGAAGAAGCTTGGAATCACCAAGACCGAACCCAACGACCTTACTGAAGATGAAATTAACCGATTTGCCCGACTTGACATTGATCCTTCAACCATCACCTGGCGCCGTGTCTTGGATGTCAATGACCGCCACCTTCGAGGCATCACCGTTGGACAGGCGCCCACCGAGAAGGGGCTGACGCGCGAAACTGGCTTTGACATCTCCGTTGCCAGTGAGTGTATGGCCATCCTGGCTCTGAGCAGTGACCTCGCGGATATGCGGGAGAGACTTGGCCGCATGGTTGTCGCTACCTCGAAGCGGGGGGAGCCGGTTACTTGTGACGATATTGGCGCAGGAGGAGCGCTTGCAGCGCTGATGAAGGATGCGATCAAGCCCAACTTGATGCAGAGTTTGGAGGGTACGCCTGTTCTGGTTCACGCCGGCCCCTTCGCGAACATCAGTATCGGAGCCAGCTCAGTTCTTGCAGACCGAGTGGCTCTGAAGCTCGCGGGTACCGAGCCCGAGGAGGACCACGAAGCCAAGACCGGTTTCGTTGTTACAGAGGCTGGTTTCGACTTCACGATGGGAGGCGAGCGCTTCTTCAACATCAAATGTCGCTCCTCTGGTCTGTCTCCTGACACCGTTGTCATTGTCGCTACTGTGCGTGCTTTGAAGGTCCACGGTGGTGGTCCTGAGATCAGCCCCGGAGCTGCCCTGCACGAGGTCTACCGCACAGAAAACACAGAGATCCTCCGCAAGGGTTGCGTTAACCTCAAGAAGCACATCGAGAACGCCCGGCAGTACGGAGTTCCTGTCGTGGTGGCTATCAACCGCTTTGAGACTGATACTGAGGCGGAAATTGCTATCATTCGCGAGGAAGCTATCGCGGCGGGTGCGGAGGACGCGGTCTCCGCCAACCACTGGGCCGAGGGCGGAGCCGGTGCTGTGGACCTGGCCAAGACCGTCATCATTGCCAGCTCCAAGCCCAAGGACTTCAAGCTGCTCTACGATCTGAACGGCAGCATTCAGGAGCGCATTGAGCGCATCGGTAAGGCTATGTATGGTGCGGACAAGGTGGAGTTCAGCGAGCTGGCCCAGAAGAAGGTCGACACATACACCGCCCAGGGCTTCTCCAACCTTCCAATCTGTATCGCCAAAACACAGTACTCTCTCAGCCACGACCCTGCGCTGAAGGGAGCTCCCACTGGATTCACGGTTCCCATCCGCGACGTGCGGTTGGCCGTTGGCGGTGGATATCTGTAAGGCTTGTCTGTTTTCGTTGTTTTGTGTCTCAGCTAACGGTGTTCCCATAGGTACGCGCTTGCGGCGGACATTCAGACAATCCCCGGCTTGCCGACGGCTCCTGGGTACCTGAACGTGGACATTGACCCCGAGACCGGGGAGATTGACGGCCTCTTCTAGAGCTATTAGAGCTATTTATGATATATTCTTTCCACATTGTTAGATAGGGGTTATTTTTGGTCAGTTTACGACGGGCATGGTAGCATTATTGTGAGGTTCATTTCAACTTGTCGAACCTAGCGGGTGGGAAAATCATGGGTATACATCTTCAACAGGATTGGAACATAAAGTATGCAGAATAATAATTGACTTACTACATTTTTACCTTTGGATCGTCCGATAGACAGCAGGGCAGATCCGTGGCTCCGGAGGAGTGGCCCAACTCCGGCTCGCCGGCTAAAGCAGGCGAACGTCCGATGATCGCAAGTTCGGGGTTGCAGCCGGCGGAAAATTTCTTGGTGCCGCGGGAAAACTGCCCAGTAGCCTCAGTAGACAGTAGGACCTCTCACAGAGGGATTGAGACAGTGCGACAGACTGACGGAGAATCTCTGAATGTCTGATGGTGTTTGGCTGGAATGGCACGGTGCACGGAGAAATGTCGCCTCAAAGCCGCCATCCGCACTCCGCATGAACCTCGTCCAAAGTCTGGAGTGCCGTAGTATGGAAAGTCGCCTGCGCAACGTCATCAGCCTCTTATACCTCTGGGAGTCCGCGACCTCCGCCAGTCTCTGTAGCTCAAGAACTCCATCTCCAAGCCTGATAGTCTGTAGCCCCTTCATTCCCATTATTGATTGCGTTATCCAAGACGGCCGGCTTCGGCGCGCACGGTGGGCGGAAAAGGAAGAGCTCCATCAAGGTCGTGCGGATAAGAAAGAGTCACCGCGTCTCCTCCAAGGTTCTTCAGGACTTCATCAACAGCTTTCTCCCTTGGACCTTTTCTTCCACCCCCTCTGGCCTGTTAAACATTTTCCGGCCTGCTCCGTTCTGCTCCGCGGCAACAGCTTGAACCTCCTGTCGACCCTTTGCGACTCCACTGCGCTCTCCTTCCACCCGAGCCTCCTACGTCGAGTTCCCTCGGGTACACCCAAGTCGCCCTCAGAATCGCGTCCTGGACTTACCGACGGTCGAATCCGCGTGCAGCAGACGACGGCCTCTCGTCCGCCCCTCCTCCACATCCTAATATCTTTACCCAGCTGTCTCGTCTGCGAATAGGCCCATTCCACCATGTCGTCGGTTCGGTTCACTTCCGCATTGGCTCGCCGCTCCCTCAACTCCCCTCTTCTTCCCTGCGCTGCCCCTCCCACTTCCTCCGCTCTTCGCTCTTTCTCTTCTGCTTCTTATTCTGCCTTCTCTTCTTCCTCCTCCTCTTCCTCTCCATCCACCGCTCGTGCTCTCGCCTCCTCTGCTCGCATCTCCCGTCCCGCAGCTGCTCGTTCTCTATACCGTATTCAATCCCGCAACATGGCGACTGAAATCCAGAAGATCAAGGTCAAGAACCCCGTCGTGGAGCTGGACGGTGATGAGGTAGGTTCATTGCGAGCGTTTGATTGGAAAGCCAAATGGGGATAAAGTCTCCTTCTGCGCGTTGCACTACGGACTGCATGGCGTTGCGCTGTGCGACTGCGCTTTATATCCTGGTTGACTTGGTCCTCGGGAGGCGTTTTCGTCCTGATCCTCCGCATTTGCGGGGGAAAACGGCGAGAGTAGCCCTGCTTCCTTTTGGATCTGCGGCAATTCTCCGAGGACCATGGCCGGGCAGCCAACAAGGGCACATACAGCTGTATATCACATGTCACTGACAGTTACTCTTCCTAGATGACCCGCATTATCTGGAAGGAGATCCGAGAGAAGGTGAGTTCACAGCCATTGATCACTGCTGCCATGCTTTGAAGCCAACTGATGTTTCCCCTGTCATAGTTGATCTTGCCGTAAGTTGAACTGTACCTCGGCTTCGTTTCGCCGTGGCTAAGACAAGCTAGTTTCCTCGACATCGACCTCAAGTACTACGATCTGGTATGCACCTCATGTTTCCTTGTCATATAATATCAGCCTATTGACCATTTCTAGGGTCTTGAGTACCGTGACCAGACCGATGACAAGGTCACCGTTGAGTCCGCCGAGGCCATCAAGAAGTATGGTGTCGGTGTCAAGTGCGCCACCATCACTCCTGATGAGGCCCGTGTTGAGGAGTTCAAGCTGAAGAAGAGTAAGCATTGGGTGCTTGGGCTGCAGAATGAGCTGGCTAACCATTTCTCTTAGTGTGGCTCTCCCCTAACGGTACTATCCGTAACATTCTGTACGTCACTTTCTACCCTATAAATCAGGTTATTCTTGCAAGTTGCTAATGCTTCTTAGTGGCGGTACCGTTTTCCGTGAGCCCATTGTCATTCCTCGCATCCCCCGTCTTGTGCCCGGATGGACCAAGCCTATCATCATCGGTCGTCACGCTTTCGGTGACCAATACCGTGCTACCGACCGTGTGATTCCCGGCCCCGGCAAGCTTGAGCTTGTCTACACCCCCGAGGGCGGCCAGCCCGAGTCCATTAAGGTCTACGACTTCCAGGGCGGTGGTGTTACCCAGACTCAGTACAACACCGACGAGTCGATCCGCGGCTTCGCTCACGCCAGTTTCAAGCTCGCCTTGGCCAAGAGCCTCCCCCTCTACATGAGCACCAAGAACACTATCCTGAAGAAGTACGATGGCCGCTTCAAGGACATCTTCCAGGAGATCTTCGAGTCCACCTACAAGAAGGAGTTTGATGCCAAGGGTATCTGGTACGAGCACCGTCTCATTGACGACATGGTCGCCCAGATGATCAAGAGTGAGGGCGGTTTCATCATGGCTCTGAAGAGTGAGTGGTATCTCACATTACGAAATGAATCTTGGCTAACTCCCTCTAGACTACGATGGTGATGTCCAGTCCGACATTGTCGCCCAGGGTTTCGGTTCTCTCGGTCTGATGACCTCCACCCTCATTACCCCCGATGGCAAGACCTTCGAATCCGAGGCCGCCCACGGCACCGTCACCCGCCACTACCGCGAGCACCAGAAGGGCCGTGAGACCTCCACCAACCCCATTGCCTCCATCTTCGCCTGGACTCGTGGTCTGGTCCAGCGTGGTATCATCGACGAGACCCCCGATGTTGTCAAGTTCGCCGAGGCGCTCGAGCGCGCTTGTATCGACGTTGTCAACGAGGAGGGCATCATGACCAAGGACCTTGCCCTTGCCTGCGGCCGTAAGGAGCGTGAGGCGTGGGTTACTACCCGCGAGTACATGGCCGCTGTCGAGAAGCGCCTCAAGTCCGACCTCAAGTCTCGCCTGTAAATATACCATGATCTAGCGTTCTGCTTATTGTTTTCATCGCATTTCTAAAATATCACGATACCTACTCTTATCACTTAGCTCGGGCTGGCTAGAATCTAGCCAGATCGTTGGTCAATACAAGCTCCGACTGCCACATTGTACAGTTCAAACTGGCTGGATGAGAAAAATCGATTTTGGAGCACGAGCTGCATGTACGGTCAGTACTACTTTCTATTGATCTGTATCTAGAAGACCCGGTTGCGCTGTCACCTCATGTTCATAGGTGCGTCTGTCGTTTGCTAGACTTGTTGCTACGAATATACATCTAGCTTGATGCATTATTGGATAAAATCTACAAACTCTCCGCCTTCAGGTGCTTACTCCTTCTAATACTGCATATTTCTCGTCTTTCAGACGTCCATACGTAGTATGTAGGTGGCTTTTGCCTCCTGCCGAGTGCGGCGAGCCGGTGTTACATCCATGGATGCCCAGCATTCCAGGGATAGTGACAGGCTGAGCCACGGATCCTTCATCCGCGTACTGACTGCTTCCCCAATTATTCAGACTCGCCCTGGAGACACTCTGGTTGGTGGCCGCCACGAGTCATTGACGCAATGGTCGATCGTGCCACTGCCATCATCTACTGCTGAAACCTACATTGAGACTCACGTTCCATCCCCCCCCGGCCATGTCCCTGGCTGAATCCCATTCTCATGGCTTTCTTTATTATTCCATCTAAGGTTCCTGCCAGGTACTCGCCGGGCAGTATCTTGGCCGCTCTTTGTTTTCTCGGAACGCATGCAAGATGTATGTGCTTCCGGTCATCATAACGTTTGTCTCAGTGGCCACGCTTGCAGTGGCCCTGCGGCTCTTTACACGCATTCGCTTGGTTAGGAGTACGCTGTGGTGGGATGATTGGTTTCTCGTGCTTGCTTTGGTATGTGCCGGCCCAATTGGATCTTTGGGTACATTCATGCGAGGAGGGTGAGCTAACCCATCGGTATAGATGACGGATTATGCGTTCTTCGGGGTTTTGTTGGTTGGTGCGATACACGCGCAGACGACTAGAGCTATCATGTACTGACTTCGCGTAGAGCATAGCGATGGCCTGGGGGAGCCGGAGGCGTCGCTCAGCCCGGAGACATATCGAGACCAGCTCAAGGTACGCATCCCAGCTCCTATACGATTGTTCAACAATAGTGCAGCGGGCTCAATAATGACACATAGATGCTATATTTCTCCGTCCCGCTATATAATCTCTCGTTAACCTTCACGAAAGTCTCCATTTGCCTTTTATACATGCGCCTCTTTTCAACGAAGACATATCAGGTCATATTAAAGATCCTCTTAGTAGTGATCGTTTGCGCTGGGCTGTACATGGTCATCGGCACCTTGCTCATCTGCTATCCGCTTCATTCGTTCTGGTACCAGGAAAACATGGAAGAGAACTGTGTCTCGCGGGAAGTGACATGGTACCTCACCGCTGCCCTTCAGATAGCCGGCGATTTGATCCTTGTGGTTTTGCCGATGCCGCAAGTGAGCAAGCTGCGTGTACCCACCAGGCAGAAGGTCTGCTTGACGATGGTATTCGCTCTCGGGTTGTTGTGCGTTCCTCCTTCAGATGGTCAGGTCATGACTGAACATACACTGACGCATATGTCACACTAGTGTCGTCGCCACGAGCGCAGCCCGTTTCCATTCCCTAGTCAGGCTCGTACAATTGAACGACTTCGCCCGTACAGTTCACCTTCGCCCTCTGTTACAGTGCAAGGCTAACCTACCACCCAGGCAACAATGGCTTCGTTGCAACCTGGTCCTTCGTCGAAGTCAACACCGCCCTCGTCTGCGCTAGTCTCACAGTTATGCGACAGCTCATCACCCGGACCTTCCCGCGCCTCATACCAGCGAGTGCTCGGAGGACATACAAAAAGACACATAGCCGCCGCAGTGAGAAGCGTCTGCATGATTCGTCGACGCTCTGGGAGCCGTACAGGGGCCCGGTCAGTTATTCTGCTGATGTCTCGGTAAACGCGAGTAACGATCGGGACTCGTCGGAGCATATAGGTGACGGCATACAGGTCGTGAGGGAGTTGAGGTGGGAATTGGGGACGGCGGAGGCTCCTAATGATTCTCAGAGTGATGGTGAGAAACCGACTTATGTGCCGGGGCTGGCGCTAGAGCTGGAGCCGCCCCTGGGCCTGGAGATGCCCCCGGAGATTTGGGCTGGATCTGAACGTGGGAGAGGAGGGGGAGAGTCTGATGGTGGAACGGCTTCTGCTGCTTAAGACTATAGACTGTTTAGATTGTTGTCCTTTTGTTATTGGTCACTGTCTGCAGTGTTGCCCTACCTGTACATATATATATCCATCGGAGTTAGGGCTATCAGAAAGAGCATCGAAAGGTCTGCGTGGAGAACCCAAAGCTCACCTTGCACCTTGCCAACAAGACATTAATGCTCCGCTGCATCTTTTTCATCGCTTCCTGGCTTCATTTGCTCAGCTCCTAGGCTTGAATCTGATGAGGTTTAGTCACATATCCTTTCATCTCGTCACAACACTACAACGTCTTTTATATCGATCGGAGCTGTTTCACGTTCTATACCTTCAATTTCAGCCAAAGACACCACTACCCAGGCCAAATCTTCTCCCCGATGTTTGTGGTGCTCTTGACTGGAGGAATGCTCCGGGCTTGGCAATGTTTGCTGGTAGGTGATCACGTGCAAGGGCTAAGCTCATGCGGAGGTAATATCGAATGTTCCTTGCCTTTAGACTTCAATAATACCCTCCTCCTTGTCTACAACTGCAATACTACGCGCCTTACCTTCTACTAGTACCTACCACCAAGCACAACAACCGCGCGCAGCCTAACCCGACAATGTCGTCCCTGAACCACCCGGACACCCCGAACATCCCATCTTCCTCCGCGATCCTCGGCCTTAAAACCTCCACCCTCATCGATGCCCCAATCCAAGACGTGTGGAACGCTCTCACGGATACGTCGACCTACCCGAGATGGAACCGATTCGTGCCGCGCGTGACGGTCCGCGAGCAGCCTGACAAACACGAGGATGCAACTCTAAAGAGCGGAACGAGATTCACCTTCCATGTCAACATGTACCCCGAGACAGACGACGAACCGCAACCGCAGAAATCAAATCTCCGCGACACGTTCCTTCGGATTATTGAGTTCGAGCCGCCAGCGTCAACGGGCAATGCTAGCGATTGGAGAAAGGGCAGAGTTGTATGGGCATCTGACCCTGCTGCTGACGGGTACGTGATGTCGTCGCTGCTGACAGCCGAGCGCGTGCATGAAGTCGAAGAGGTAATCGACGGCAATGGGAAGCGGATGACGAAAGTGACGAATTGGGAGTCGCAGATTGGTAACCTCGCTTATGTGGTGAGATGGATGTTCGGGGCAAGGCTGAGGGCGAACTTCGCGGTTTGGGAGAGGGGTCTGAAGAAGTACGCTGAGCATAACTCGGAGGATGAGTCGGGATGAGAGGCGGGGCTTCGAACGACCTGATTTGAAGCCGGATAGGCAGCCCTATTCGGACCCCGGGCAGGACCCGGCGTGGCTCGTGGACGGTGATGGATGATATCACCGTGCAGCAGGTGGCTTGGGAACTTGGCAGTGAAGAAGCATGTCGAGTCGGAGGCGGGCCGAGGCTCGAGGATCAGCGACGAACTGAGTAAGAGTTCGGAGTCTGGACGTCAATTTCTTGGAGAGTGGGCCACGTGGGGCGGGGACTGGCTGGAAGTATACTCTGCCTTACAGGGTATCGGTACTGGTACTCCGTATGGATGTCATCTGGACGTCTTTCACACGCGAGACCATCGAGTGTGGCGAAGCCAATACGATAATATTTGAGTCACATTATCGACAGTATGACTCCGCGTAAGATAAGCCAGGTTGGAGATTTGTTGGAGACCCCGCGCTATAGATAAGCTTGTCTGGCGCTATTCCAGCAACTACAGGGTAGGAGTCATACTACTGCAGGCAGCAAAACCACCATCCCAAAGCAGATAATGTAGCACAGCGTTTACTCTGTACTCGCTACTCACGAGATGACAGCCGTTGGCCCGCAGACAGGCAGGCCAGATGCAGCCAGATTGCAGCTTATTGCAGGGTGAAGAACTCGGGTTGCCGCATCTGGTGAGCCGGGCCGAGCGAGAACGGACTAGCGCGTATTGACGACGGTAACGGATCCGCCACAATCTCGAACAATGAAGCCAAATTCCGGTTCCTATCGCTGCTCTGCTCTTGCTCTGGAGAATAGATACGACCCTAGACATGAACTCCAATTGCGACCAGCCGGATACGAGCTAGCACGAGGTCGTTGGAATGTAGCATCAGTGCGAGCAGGCCGTGCTTATCACAGGGTTGCTTGCTGCTTCTGCTGTGCGACACGTAAGGGCAAATCCAAACGAGTTCCACGGTTCTCGGCTCCAATTAAGCTTGCGTCGATCTCATTTCTTTTCTTGCTGCAATCAGAATTTCTTCGGGTTTTTGCGCTTTCATTTATTTCTTCTCCTCTTCTCTCCTCCTCTCTACACTCCTTTCTTCCTTTCTTCCTGTTTTCCTGCCTTTTGTCCTATCCTTATGTTCTGTTATCGTTACTGACAGAATCGCCATGTCTCTGTCACAAGGCCCGTTCCAACTGTGTCGCATGCCTGGTTCGGACTGCAGTCCCTGACCACCACCCAAACTTTTGCTTCATCCTCCACGTCAACGGGGCCTCGACTCGACGGGCCTTGATTCCTGCTGCTTGCCACTCGGGACTCTGTTCCAAGGCAAAGCCTATATCGTGGTGGCCGCCCTTCGTCCTCCTTCCGTCTTCCTCTCTCTGCATCCCTGTGCCCATTGATCGATATCATCACGGTCTTTCTGACACGTTTGATATACATCTCTATATAGTCAAGGCTATATACCGAAGGCTATCATCCTTCCAAATCAGGCACTGGAGAGCACAATCTCCGAAACCAGCATCTCTTATCATCTGCTGCTCTTTTCCCAAGAGCATCCAGCACTAACAGCCATGGCCACCTATATGCCCATGCAGCTTTCTATCTCCACCAAGCCCCATGGCGCTGTCACTACGCCAGGGCTTGGCCTTACGCCTCCTGTGACTCCCACCATCGAGGACCGTGCCAACAGCTCCACCATCCCATCCCCCCTGTCGGGCACATGTTCCGACAGTGAGGCAGTGTCGAGCCCCCCGCAGTTCCTCGATGAGCTGGAATACCAGCGCGACGAAAATGGTCGTCTCGTTACATTTGGCGACGGCGCTTGGAGCGTCGTTTACAAGGCCTTCGCCTCCCCCCGGGCTATTAACCCAACGCGCCCATTTACGCCCCCAAGCTCGCCGAATCCGGCCGGCCGCTTGGTGGCCGTCAAATCACCAGGACGGGGCGATGCCCGTCCTGTTCTGTACGCAGAAGCCCTTGCACTAACCCGAGCTAGCTCTACTCCTGGCTCAGAGAATTACATTGTCCCATTCCTCGGCTTCATCAACGCCTCCAGCTCCATCGTCATGTCAGCTATTCCACTCTCCTTATCAAGCTACATCGAGGACAAGGCCCGCATCATGCGGCAGAACTTCACCACACGGACCATGTACGATCCGGTCATAGGCATGCCACAGTGGCATGACCTTGCCAAACAGCTCATCAAGAGTCTTGACTGGCTCCATAACCAAGCCCAGATCGTGCACGCCGACATCAAGCCTCAGAACATCCTCCTTCGCCCCCGAATCTCCTTAGATGACGACAAGGAGTCTACTGAGTTCCCCTATGAGCCGCTATTCGCGGACTTTTCCTCCTCGCATTCCATCTCCACCACCGGAACTCAGATCCCATCCAGCGCTTGCCTCTCAGCCACAACCATCCCTTTCACGGCACCGGAACTCCTGAGCGTGCTAAAAAATCCCGACGCCGTCCCGGAGCCATCTTCCGATGTCTTCTCCCTTGCAGTCACCCTTCTTGGCGCCGCAACTGGTGATATCCTAATCTACCCTCCTGGGCTCCACCCAATGCAGCGCCAAATGTTAGGGCAACAGGGTCATCTAATTATCAGCAACGCCCGCCAATCTGGAAATAACGGCACCCGCGTCCCGAAGAACGGACTAGTCGAGAAGCTTCTCCAACCGGCCGTTTCTAAGAACCCGGCTGAGCGAGTCACTGCTCGTGCATGGTTCGACCTGGCCAACGCTCTATAGAGACTATACTTCTCACTCACCAACAAATGATCACGAACTTCGACGTCATCCTCCAATCATCTATACGGATCTACGTCTTTACATGTTCCTCTATTATATTCTTCCATCTCTCTGTTTTGATTTGGTTGAATTGGCCTTTTTTTTAATCTTTTTTTTTGGCTACCTGTACCCTATAAACCGTGTACTTCTTACAACTCTTTCCTTCTCACCACCAATTTGTGATACCCTATTATCAAGCCAACTTTCTGGCTATGACATATATACTACAATGTGACTATACCTGACACAATGGCTCCCCAACCCTCTCAAAGTAAAACCGTAATTTCACTAGTCTACGTAAGTTACGAATCTTTTCATCACTCACTGCGTCTGGTAGGATCCGTCCTTCCGAGCCCGTAAGAACCTCCATGGACCAGCAAGAAAACACTAAACACCCGCGTAGAACAAATCATCTCGATCACTCCTTTCGCCTAGGATGGCCGCCACCAAGCACAAATCGTTCCTGCGCTGACACCATCTCATAGTCAATACCCTAGTCCGGCTGCTCGATAGCCCATAACCCTGCAGGCTGCAACCGTGCCCCGGGCCGAAGCCGAGACTGGGGCCCCGGACTGGGATTGGGGCTAGGCCGGGGGGGTTCAGATCACTTCCTAAACAGGCGAGAGGGCGGGGTCTAGAGCCCTGGAGACCAGCCTAGGAGGCCGAGCTTGGGGGCCAGCGTCAGAAGTGATGAGGGAAGGATATCACCTAAGGCATTGGGGGGGGGGGGATGGGAACCGGTTGTAAGATATGACGGATGGATTTATACAGTTAAGGCAGTTCTCTGTATTTGCATTGATTCTACCAATTGGAAAGGAGACCTCCTCAAGTACCTTGCTTTAGTAGACTTAGTTGCTAAGGATGAAACAAAGGGAGGGGGGGGGGGGGGGAAACCACTATATTAACATATTGATCCACCAAATATTATATACAATCAACCTTGGATATACCCGCGTGCCTAAATTCGTCTCTTATACGTATACTGTGTAAATTATCGTACATTGCATATAGTACAGACCTAAGCATCACCAAACATCCACCCCAACAATAAAAAACCGCGTTTCCGTCTGGATAACGGTAGTCCTAGTAGGCGCTGAAGAAGGCTTATTTCAACGAGAGAGGGGAAAAAAGCGACTGCGTGAAATCATCACTTCTTATTTTTTGCATCCCCAGATTCCCCACGGTAATCTCGACTTAGCGCGCTGGTAGTCGTACCTCCCAGCATCCGCGTTAGTTGGACGACGTCCACGTGAATGCCTTCTCTGGCGTATTCGACAGCAAGGGACCAGATGGTCTCCGACGAGAGGACACGGATAGAGACGTCGCTAAGGTCATAGTCGAGGTTTTCCTGGAACCCATAGACAGGTTCTCTTGGCATGGTGCCAAGTTCGTCGTAGTGCACGGTTTTGGGGCATTCTTCAAAGTTGGGTTTGGGACGTCTTGAAGCGTGGATGGCAAGGGTCGGGACGGCCCTGACCAAATCGTTTGCGGTGTGTGCGGGAAGCACCTTCTCCATTAAATTTGAGATGGTCAATGCGCCGTTGACTCCGAGGCAATAGGAAATCGCTGAGAAGAAGCGCGTGGCCAGCTCTCTCTGGCTCTCGTCGAGTTGTTGCAGGTACCGCTTTGCTGGGGGGTTTGGGTTTGCTTCGAAGTACATCAACGTCCTGTAAATACCGCGGGGATACAATTCGTTCGAATCAATGAGAAGAGGCTCGAAAGGCCGGCGGTCGTAAAGAAGGACGGCTTCGTCGAAGTTATGGCTGTGGTAGGCGCTCCGCCTGTTGTCTCTTAATAGGGGCAAGGTGCGGATTGTATCGAAGTGAATAGCGGAGTGTATCTCCTCATAAGACGCTTTGAGGCTTTCAACTTGGTCGGGGACGCCTTTTAATGATCTCTGGGATTGTGGGCTTGCCGCATACCGTGAAATATTTTTGTTGAGGTTGTCAATTTTGTTCTGAATGTCCGCGAGCTGCACGCGAGTGTAAGCCTGATTGTTCTCTGAAATCATCAAACTAATTATTTTCCTGAGCCCTTTCACAGCCTCTTTATGTTTTGGTGAGTCTGGACTAATCTTGTTGAGCTCTTCAAAAGCTGTGAAGTATTTATCATGCTGGAGGGTCCTGGGGCGAGGCTGGTAAGGATGCACAATGTTGCGTTTGCTGCGACCATCGGAAGAAAGCGCACTGGTAGGGAGGTTGGGACATTCGGGTGCTGGTTCAATGGGTGGGAATGCACGACCCTCAGGCACGACAACATTATTCTTGGAAGCTCTCTCCTGGACACGCTGCTCACCCCCAGTTATCATCTCCCAATCCTTATGATAAGCCCAAGTTCCTATTTTCTCGTCAACCGTTGAGGCTACCTCGAAGGCATGAAGCGCGACCTGTTCAGTTAAGAGTGATGGGCGGGCACGCTGGGCGATTGCACGCGGTAAAACAGAATATACGTCCGACGAGGACATCGCGACAAGCAGCCGTACAGCTCCATATGCACTCAGACCGCTCTGCTGCAGACATTCGTCCATAAACACCTGTATCCACCGCGAGCCACTAAAGTGATCTTTATGTGAACGCGGGCCGGGGGGATTTGCCAGGACCAGCAAAGTATCATTCCTAGCTAAAGTCCCGCTGTTATCACTGTTTTGAATGCCTTGTTCCGGCAAGTATTTGGAAAGCAGTTCTTGCCAATCCCACAACCCGTACAGTTGCGTTTGGACTACTTCGCAGCCCGAGCGGCCTTTCGACCAAGATTCAATGTGTGGTCTGAAATACTTCAGATCCGGCTCAATGAGGACATGCCTGCGCGGTTTCAGAAAGTCGTTTACTTTGGACGAGAGGACACCGGGACCGGGCCATAGATCAAGGACATCAACCGGAGTATTTCGCGAGAGGTACGGCGAGAGGCGCTTCAAGATATCGTCTGTAGAGGCTTAGCTTCAGACCAAGAAAGTACAGTCAGAGATAGGTACCAACCACACAGCTCTGGGCCTACAATGTTGGGTTTGGTGCGGTGTACGCCGGTCCTTGGAAGACCCTTATGCAACGCGCTGGTGATGGGAAACTTGGTGACTGGCGCGTATTTATAGTTCCTAAAAATATTTTCCACTGCGGGCGGCGGCATGGCGATAGACTGAAAGATTGATTATCAGTCCATAAGGGCAGAAGAGGGGGCGCATGCAAGGAATTTGACAAGGTTGAGGGAGAGAGAGAGCTTGGAGCTGCGCGGAAGAGACCAAACCCCCGGCGCCCCGCCGATCTCTCTCATTCCGCACCACATCTCAACCCATCTTCTCTTATGGCTCGATCTTTCCTCCTTCCATGTCGAGGTGCTCTGCGGATGGACTTTTTGATTATGATCGATCATCGTCCGTGACATCACCCTCAGTCTGCTGCCTAACAAGTCTCTTGCCCGACGAGATCTGAGCTCGTGACTACCTCCCAGATTACATCAGGCTTCCGACTTTCGACCTCTACAAACGGATGTGCAGTTATGGCGTCCCTGTCCTCAGCCCCAAGCATAGGAGCCTCCGCTCCGCAAAGCGTAGAGAAAATCAGCCGTCTTGCGCAGGACTACAAATTCAACCCCGCAGTTCCTTTGCGATATTGGCTGAGGACTGCTGGTACACTGATGCGCGAGGTTTGTGGCGTCTTCCTACAGCTTTCCATCTGTGGTACTAATGGGTCGCAATAGGCTCGGATCTACCTGCGCGAAGGACACGACGAACAGGCGTACCTCCTACTCTTTCGGCATGCCCAACTAGTACTTGTAAACTTAGCCAGCCATCCGGACTTGAAGGATGGAAAAGATGTTAGGGAAGAACGGAAGGCACTGGTGGCCGCTGAGAAGGAAGTCAAGCAGAATTTGGAGATACTGGAGAAACTGAAACCGCGGATCAACAAGCGATATGAGCGTTATACACAGTTGATGCGCGAGCGTCAGTCCCGCATGTCGTTGTCCGCTGCGGTCATTCCCGCTGCATCGACTCTACCACCGCAACCTCCTGACCCTGCCCTTTCGGGCGTTGCCGAACCCCTGGAAGCGGGGAAGGATAATGAGCTGGCTGTCAAATTGGCTCGGACCGAGATCAGCCGGAGAGCAACGGCTAGGAATGCAATGCGCCAGGGCGGCCTCGGTGACGGGGATGAGTCGAACCGACGTGTCGCGGGGATATGGGGGGACTGGGAAGAAGCTCTGCAGCGGAATGCGAGGAAGGATTCCGATGATATGAGTCGGCGCATGCAAGAAGTGCGGCTCAACCTGGAAGGCAGGCCACAGGTTTCGAGCAAGCCTGTAACACGGCCGCTGGTCGATGTTTCGTCTACATCCACCTACAAGTATCCCTCTGTACCCCGGCAAAGACCGCTGGAGGTTCCGTCAATCCCAGTGGAGAGCCAACAGTCCGAGGCCCGCAAACTCACGAAGCCACCGATACTTCCTCCTAAAGAGAGCATCCAGACTGGCCAGCTAAGCAACATAGATGAACTTCCACCTCGACCGGACAAGGTATCGCAGGGGAATTTGTCCGAAACTGCACCTACAGTGCCTACCAAAGTGACAGTAGATGATAAACGCAAGGGTTTGGATCCATCTAGCTTCACATTCAAGCCGTCCGCCTACCTTGAGAACGGGACACCTCTTCGTACGGTCTTTCTCCCACCACAATTGCGCAGACATTTTCTTTCGCTCGCCGCATCTAATACTCGCAAGAACTTGGAGACATGTGGCATTCTTTGTGGCACATTGATATCCAACGCACTCTTCATTTCACGACTCCTCATTCCGGAACAAGTTTCCACCTCTGATACATGTGAGACCGTGAATGAGTCTGCCATTTTTGACTACTGCGATTCGGAAGATCTAATGGTGCTTGGCTGGATCCATACGCACCCTACACAGACCTGCTTCATGAGCTCAAGGGACCTGCACACCCATTGCGGATATCAAGTGATGTTACCCGAGAGCATTGCTATTGTTTGTGCGCCGAGTCAGACTCCAAACTGGGGAGTCTTCCGTTTAACAGATCCGCCAGGGCTCAAGTCAGTCCTGAGCTGTACTCAAACGGGATTATTCCATCCGCATGCCGAGGCCAATCTGTACACGGATGCATTGCGCCCAGGACATGTTTTTGAGGCCAATGGGTTGGAATTTGAGACTGTTGACCAGCGGGCGAACATGTCATGATCGGGATTGCTTTATTCGCAGTATGATTTCTATATTCCCCATTTGCAACTGTGATGTCAACTATAATCTGGACACGAATCATGAGCAAGAAGAAATAGCCATATATAGACATAGAATAATGAGTCGCGTAAGCTGTTTGACGTGCACATGGCTTGTGTAGCTTACGAGGCGAAGTAGGACTAGGAGGAGCTTCCCCCGCCGACCCAAACCCAACCTTCAGCCTCAACTCCACCTCCAACTTCCAACCAACTCGTCAATTTGTCAACCCGTCCACCGAGTCCATGATTCGCCTCCTGTCCAGGGACGATCACCCCACCAATTGAACTTGAATCTCTGCTGATGAGCTCTCGATGTCGTCTGCCTCCCTGCCCGATCTGTCGTCCTCCACCACCCCCGCCACCTCAACCTCGTCGCCAGGTACCGACCCTCCACAGACCGAGTCCAGCAAGAAGAGCTCCAGCAGCACCCCCTTCCATCAATCCGCCGCATCATATTTCTCTTATCCGGTCACCCACGTCGTCTCCGGTCTCTACCGCCGCCTAACAGACCCCCCAACAGCAAACACCAACGCCAACATCAAGTCCAACAATATGATGTCCCGTCTGCGCCGATCAAACCCCAACCCGGACCCCTCCTCGTCATCCTCCTCCGTCTCCTCGACCTCTCAACACCCCGTGTTCACCCCCGTTCGCACCGTCTCGCCCTTCCAACCACCCCCATTAACGCCCCTCACCCTCCTCGCCAACGAAGAAAACACACCCCTCCCTCTCGCCCCGCAAAACCAGCTCCTCACCCGTGCCCTCGCGGAGGAGATCCGCCTTCTCGTCCCGCCGCGTCTTCAGCTAGTCGACTCCTGGCGGCTAGCATACAGCCTCGACCGCGACGGCGCATCCCTTTCAACCCTCTACGAGAACTGTCGCGCCGCGTCAGCGCGCAGTCCACGGGCCGGCTATGTCCTTGTTATCCGTGACGCTTCTCCATCCGCATCGTCCGTCTTCGGCGCGTACATGACGGACCCCCCACACCCGGACTCGCACTATTTCGGCACGGGCGAGTGTTTTCTCTGGCGGGCTAGCGTGCTACCGCCGCCTCCGACCTCGTTTGATTCCGCCGACGGCGATGGAGGCGTATATTCCGAGGAGGCTCTTGAACGGGCAGGTTTCCCGCCGCCCCCCAGCGCGGACACAACGAATGTCGGCCGGTCCACGACGTTGCGGGGTGAGAAGGCGCATTCGAAGTCGGTGGCACCGCATGCGCAGGCGCTTGCTCAGAGTCGGGCTACGAATAGTGGGACTACGACGCCTGATCGCATTCGCTTCAAGGCATTCCCCTATAGCGGGGTGAATGATTATATGATGTTTTGCGAAACCGGTTTTCTTAGTCTAGGTGGAGGGTGAGTTCGCTATCCTTCTCTTGCGATCCCAGGCTTAGCAACGGAACTAATAAGTTTGACTTTTCTAGGGATGGTCACTACGGCCTTTGGCTCGACTCGATCCTGGAAAAGGGTGTCAGTGCCTCGTGTCAGACCTTCGGGAACGAACCGCTCTCAGATGAGGGTGTTAAATTCGATGTTCTTGGCGTGGAAATTTGGTACGTTGGATCATGAATCAGCCGGATTGGGGCTTGGTGCAGATCAAAACTACTGGTTCCAAACCTATTCAATAATTGGGATAATTCGACAACTTGATGGAGGTTATGGAATGGGAAGAGGAGGGGGAGGGTGAATCGGCCGCGCGCCATTCACCACTAGTAAATAATCAATACCCGGACATGAAGGGCTGGTCTCCATCATGTCTTTGCTTTGTTGGAGTTCTATTTTCGTTGATTAGCTGGAAAATAATCACATTATTTTGGGGATCAGTGGCGGGTGGGTGAAGGGCTATAGAATGGAATTGGCTGTCACACTACCAGAATACTCATGCATGAAGAGTAATCCCGGTTGCACTTCCAGCATAGTTTACTACGGATACATATTACATTCTTTTTAGCTAATAGCTACCTAGGTGTGATATCTAACGGGGTTTCGAGCATGGTCCGAGTGTCATCACGTTGAAAGAAATCCGAGGATTACAGCGGTAATGGAAATAAAAAGGCCGCAAGAACGGTTCAATGCATGAGCAGCTCAATAGTAAAATAATACAAACGACAGGGGTATGCATATGTCCAGAAGCAAAATGACGTAATCATCAGAACGTAGCAGCCGTAAAGAACAAAGGAAATCCACTAGTAAGGCGAGTTAACAATCTCATCCCTACCCAGCCGGCTACCCCAGCGAGTGCCGCGACGTTGAGGTGTAACGGGGCCGGCGATACTTTCACGAGTGGGTCTTTGTAAAGCCCTCTTAGCAACCATGTTGACTTCATTTGGAAGCGCAACGATGACGTTCTTATCCGAGCCAAAGCGGAAGTTGTCCGCCATCACATCCTCAGAGTAACGCTTGATACTGTAGGGGTCTTTACGACCCGCGACAACCTTCTTCAAGCTCCAGGTGATGATGAAAGGCCCCGTGGCGGTGATGATAGAGGTTTCCTCACTGTCAACACCAGTGTTGAAGCGGGCTGGGGTAAATGAGATCGGCTTCTTTGTCTCGTGTTGGAATTGTGCCACATGGGCAGGTGTCAGACCAAGACGTCTGGGCTGGGGCTTGGAGTCTTTGGCGAACGAACGCTCGAAACCAAGCTTGCCCTCATTCTTACCCTCCTTTTGTAGCGAGTCAATGAGTAGGAGGTAGGTACGACAGGTAGCAAGAACCCATCGTCCGTCAGCAGAGACATCCAAACCAATAATGGCCTCTCCCAGGGCTGGGATATGGGTTTTTGCGTTGATACCCAGACGATCGAACATACGAATATCACCCTTGTTAGAAGCCACAGCAAGGTATCCTTTCTCCGTCGTTGCCAGAGCGGAGAAATCATTCTTGCTAGCATACTGCTTCAATTCGGCATCCACAAGCTTGTTGCCAGCCAGACGAGGGTCAACACGGAAAAGAGCATTGTTAGAGGCTCCAACGAAGGGTTGAGCGGAGGTCATTTGTGAGAATTTCTGTCAAGATTAGTACCAGCATCGACTTATGATAGGAAGACTCACGCTCTCAGGTGCAAAAGTCTCAACAGGAATATCATCATGGACCTTCCATTCGTCGACAATTTTACCGTACTCCAGGTCCATACGGTACAGAGAGTTAGGGTTGTCGTTATTTTGAAGAATCAAGTTGGAGTCTTCCGCGTGTAGCATGACTTTCTTGGGACTGAAAAGCTTGCCATTAGGAGTTTCGACCTTGGAAATGTTGGTTGAGAACTCGAGATTGTTGTCCGGCGTATGTTTGAAGACTCCGATCTTCGAGCCGCGGACAACGAAAGAGCGATCATGTTTGTAGCCAACGGCGAGCTGAGAGTTGACATTGCCATCTTCATCACGAGTAACAACGTCGTCTTGCTCCTCGTCAGAATCATAATGCTCGCTACGTTGACCGTCGTTCGCTTCCTCCTCCTCCTCCTCCTCCTCTTCATCATCTTCTTCATCCTGCTCTGCCGCGTCTGAGTCTTCCATTGTCAGGTCCTGGAAAGCATCCAAAACATAGTCCTTGTCGTTATCTTTAACCTTGGTCCATTTGGTCTCGTTCAACTGCTCCCACAGAGCCTGTAACAGGCCCTGTTGGAACCTCTCCTCTGTCTCTTGCTCCTTGAAGCGCAAGAGCCAAGAATACGCTGAGCCAGTCTCATCATAGTGGTTGAAGATGAACGACAGGTACTCAAAGTTGAACACTGGGTTGATGTCCGCCACAACAGCCTGGCCCAGCCAATCCTTATTTTCACCACTAATTTGAAGCCAGTATTGCCAGTCGCCAACTTCTGTAACGGTGGCAGTTACATTGGCATCCTGTATAACAAATGTCCCACTTTGGAAATCAAAGAGATGCAATTCCGCTCGTTCCTTCGTCAGAACATCTCTCGCCTCAGGGTGAGTGGCGGAAGGCGGAGCGACGGTTGGCTCATTCACGGCAGCTGGAGCAGCGAGCTGCTTCTTGGAGCGGGTATACTCAGCGTCTCGAACCATAGTAGAATCTCCGGACGCTACAGATTCCGTTCTCGTTTTTGTGGGCGATGCGACCGGACTTGCAGATGGAATAGGCCTTTCCTCGTCGAACGAAAACTCCAGAAGCTCTTCTTGAGTCGCCTTCTGAGCGCTTCGGCGGTACTTGCGCTCGTACTGGCACTGGCAAGCAGCTAACTCAAATGTGGCAACCTTATCCGACGGGACAGAGGGATCGCAGATAAACTCAAAGAGGTCCCCAATGTCGCCACTAAGGTCCCTCCAGGCTAGGATCTTCGAGCCGCCTTCACGGACCTCCGACCGAAAATGAAGGTTCTGATCGAGAAGGAAAGCCTTCTCGTCCTTGTCCAAGCTATCGCTAAGTCCTTCGCCCGACTCGTCTTCGGCAAGCTCTTCCTCTCCTTCCTCGTAGGCGCGCTGGATCACAAGTTGATACTGGAACTCTTGGCCGGTTCGTCGGATAGAGGCGGCGGCGTCTTTGAAAATAAGCTCGGAATACCCCTTTGGTGATAGAGGGCGGACGAGGTAGAGCTGGCCCTGTGGAATGTCGATGATGGACTCTTTGGAGTTATCGCCAAAGATAAACTTGCTGACTGTGACGTTGAAGGATGGTTAGTGTCTGATCAAGGTCAACCAGAAAAGGCATGAGGGGTAGATCGCGGGGTAAAACACAAAATAGACAAGGGAAGATCAAGAGTATCAAAGAGCACCAAACTAGATGCGCATACCATTTCGGAGCATAAACATGTTGGCGGAGTATCTGGCTGCGCAGCAACAGCTGACAGCTCACTTTGTTTGTTTTTGGGGAAGGTGGCCCCAAGGCAGGATTAGAAAGAAAACAGGAAATACAACTCAGAGGATAGAGAAAGAGATATTCTGAGTGTTTGACTGCCAGCTAGCAGATACCCAGGAGATATCCCCCAACAAAGACCTCCAAGTGAAAAAAAAGGCCGGTTTGCTAGACTTTTTTCCTTTGAGGGTCCATGACTCCATGACAACCGCAGTAAATAATCGAGACCCATCTTTGGTTATGTCATCATTGTGGCAACTCTGTGGCGCTTGTGGCGCCTGTGGCGCTCATAATATGTGGCGGTGCAATATAACGGGATGGTGCGCTTATCTTATCTTTTTGACAGCTCCAAAGTTTCCAAGAAGCATCTAGCATGGACGTTTCTATCATTCTATCAAATCCAAGTAATCTGGTGCTCTTCAATTATTTGATTGTCCTCCTTCCTTGGTCTCCATGGATCGTACTCCTCAAACCAGAAAGCCCAAGTGCTGCGTGTGCTGATCTCCAGATTGTCTCTATTGGAGCGGATCCCAGCATGGTGGAGCTGCGTCGTAGTACACACGAATCTCTTCAGTCCAATTTGATCGGCGTACTCTTCAATCAGCGAGTCGGTCTGCCCTGACTTCCGCTTTTGCAAGAACTGAGTCAGGTCAGGGACTTAATCGCGAGGAAATATCAGCACCTGAGTGCAGCAACCATACTTTGTTCATCTCTACCACGCCCTGCAACGGCTTCACATTATATTTGCCGAGCGCTCAATAGAAGACTCAGGGTCGCAGCCGTGGTCAAGAGAAAGGCGAGGACCATGTTGCAGTACCAGGAATCGTCGCTGCTGGACCAACTCAGGGATATTTCTGTGTAGAAGAGCCTGGGAAATAACCAGTATTGACGCGAGTCACTCGACCTAGGCCGTTCCTCTCATGGTTGAAAGGCCTCTGAGTGAATTCACGAGCCACCCACCAGCTGCAATGATATCGTCCTCGAAGATGGCGATGTACGAGGTATTTGCTTAATAACAAGAGTCCAGCATACACACATAGTCACTGCAAGGTCAGTTGTCCACCCCGTTCAGCGATTGAATGGCGTTCGTGGCTAAACTCCTTTCTCATAGGAGTTGTGGGTTTCTTCTAGGACCCATGACGCCGAAACTCGTCGCTTGAGACATTATATGATGAAAACCGACTTGAGAAGGACGTCGAGCCAATGTTGGTTCCAACCAGGACGCAAACGTGGCTCTGTATTGGCGAACAGCACATTGGACAGCAAGGCACCGCGCTCTTCGGGATATAGTCCAGTGAGAAGAGACCCCACGGACGCGTCCAAACAACTAACACCCTCTCTCTTGATCGTGCCAATTGCAACGCACATTATCGGCTTCGCTAAGCCTTTGTCGTTGAGAGCTTGTCAATTTGCGCAATATACGCAGAAATGTACTGCGGCGCCTCATGCTCCCGAAACAGACTATACTCGGGATTGTCTACATAGGTGTCATCCAAGAACGCCGAATGAGGATCGCGCCAGTACCGAGCTTTGCAGAAGAAAAGGCCAATCCAAAATGAAGAGAGAGAACAAAAATGTCCTGCTGGTGTTGCCGCGAGCAGGAAGTTCAAAAAGCGGAGGAGTTCGCCTTTTCAGTTCGCCGCATAGAGCCTCATCCTGTGTGCAATCAGATTGACTGATATAAAAACAGACTGGCTCCTCCCTGGACACTGAGTGACTGAACACCGAGTCACCAGCTGACCATTTGGGGTTTCCGGGCAAAACTACAGTGACACCACTACTCGCCTACGGTTCCATACAAATTTCCTGGATATCTCTCTACTCTCCCCAATCGGGAAACAGTGAGCGTTGGGGTCGATGCACTGAGAACTAATCGCTCGTCTGCCCTGGGACCGTGGGCTTGGCATGTCTCGGTTGTATCAACAGGTCAACTGAGAATAAACGACAATCTGTGATCTGGTGAAACCACCCTACTGAACAACTGGAGATGTCCACTCAGCTAGATAGAGATGACATGAAATGCTTCTGGTCTGACCACTACTGACCATCCAACTCCCTTGGAAACCCCACTAACAAGACACAGAAACACTCGCATACATGGTATTGTGACAGCCATTACTAGACACAATCGTGTCTGAGCTGCTGCAGTCACTCCCCGTCCAAGCCTGAACAGTGCACGTGCTATATCCATCCAGGTACACCGAGTCATTACTTCTGATTCCCGATATCAACAGCTGAATAAGATGGATGGCCACTTACCCCTCTGGAATTTGGTCAACGGCAATTGACTGCTTGACGGTGGCAGCGAAGCAGTTGTAGTAGGCGCTTCCATTGATATGAATGTGGTCCACATCATCTTCAACACTTCCCTGACAGTCAGTACCGTTGTATAAGCCCAGATAAACCGTGCTTTCGGCTTGACGGGGCACGATTGCTGCAGGTGCGACCATGCCGATGACGCCCAGAGCGCTGACGGTCCAGACGGTAGCGATGTGCATCTTTCCGTGTATAATGGTGGAGGCTCGTAGCTCAGGTGGAGGATAATATGGCGCTTAAAGATGGTAAGAGAGTCTACGATTCTCGTCTTCTAGTCTGAGCTTTTATACACCCCCAACCTCTCGAACTGCCTAGAAAACAGCCGTTGATGGTAGGCATGTACTACCCGAACTACCGTTCCTGAATTTATGTTCCGGCCTCCCTGGACGTGTCTAGAGGTGAGTACCTGACTCCGCATGACCTTTCTATGTGAGCGGCCGACATTGGTGCAAGAGCAGCTAGAGATCCGTGGGCCTCAACTTCCCGGCGAGTTAGGGCTACGTGCACGGAGTGTGCCCACGACTGCCATCCAACGATGCGGAGGACCGCTGGTTCTTCCACCAATGGTCTTCTATGGCCCCGGCTGCATACTGTCTCTCGGGCGAGACCAAACCGAGATCAGCGCCTGGTGGACATGGAAATAACAGCTTGGACTGCCCTTGGAGTAATCTACCCCGCAAAAGAACAAGATCTTCTGCCATCAGCCGAGATATAAAACATGCAGATATTTGCCATCATGAGATCTCCAGCAAAACAACAAAATGTCCTTTCTCTCCGTCGCCCTGGTGACTTTCCTAGCTCTGCTTACCCTCAATAATGCAGCAACGACACCATACGAATCGGCGATCGACCGCAAGAATGTCGTGCGTCGATACAACCCCATCCGCACGACCCTCTCAACCACAACTCCCATGCAGGTCGGCAACGGGAACTTCGCATTTGGCGCCGATATCACTGGCCTACAGACGTTGCTCCCATTCAATACGCTCTCCTCCTGGTGCTGGTGCAAAGACACCCTCCCGACAACGCCTAATCAGACAGACCCTAGTGATTTTACCGGTCTAGACTATTGGACACATGGCCGCCTTGTGAACTACGCCATACCGAACCCGGCCGAAACAGAGATCTCGCAGTGGCTCATTGCGAATCCGCACCGGGTTAACCTTGGCCGGGTTGGGCTTCTCTACAAGGGGCGGAATATCTCGGTTGATGATATCTCTGATAACGTACAGACGCTGGATCTGTATAGCGGGATCCTAACTTCGGAATTTACGCTGCGTGGGCAGAAAGTATCAGTTACGACGATTGCAGACCCGTCTTCTGATGTCGTTGCTGTGGATGTACAGTCGCCACTATTGCACGATGGCTCTTTAGGTGTCTTCTTTGACTACCCATTGACAACGGGGTCGAACAAGTTCGAGGCTCCCTTTGTCGGTGACTGGACTGCGGTATCGTCGCATACCACCTCCCTGAGTTATATCACGGCGCAGACGGCTGCAATCAGACACTCGCTGGAAGGTACGGCCTACTTCAGCACCATTGGCTGGGAACAAACAGGGAACATAAGCGGGCCTTTCAATGAGAAACACCGATACCTCCTCCAGCCCACTGAACAGGCACGCAGATTCACATTTACTGTCGGGTTTTCTCCATCAGAAAAAGACGCGATCAAACCATTTGCAACCGTGAAAAGCTCTTCAACAAAATGGTGGGCTGAATACTGGGAAACCGGGTCATTTGTAGACCTGACAGCATCTGGCTCCTCAGACGCAGAGGAACTCCAAAGACGCATCATCGTCTCCCAGTATCTCCTCGCCGTCAACAGCGCAGGCAAAGACCCACCTCAAGAATCTGGGCTACAGAATAACGGCTGGTACGGCAAATTCCACCTGGAGATGGTCTTCTGGCATCTGGGCCACTGGGCGCGCTGGAACAAGTGGGACCTCCTCAATCGCAGCCTCGGTGTGTACAACCGTTTCCTCCCCTCATCCATCGAACGCGCCAGAGACCAAGGATACTCAGGCGCTCGACTAGGAAAGATGAGCGACCCATCCGGGGCATCGGCTCCCGGCTCGCAAAACGCCCTCCTGATTTGGCAGCAGCCGCATCCGATGTTCTTCGCGGAGCTGAAGTACCAGCAGTGGCCGAACGCCACGACCCTGCAGGAATGGGACGATCTTCTAGATGAGCTTGCGACGTGGATGGTATCTTATGCGTGGTGGAACGTCTCGACCCAGGTATACGACCTAGGCCCGCCGATGTATCCGTCGTCAGAGAATACAAGCCCTAATGTGACATACAATCCAACCTTTGAACTGGCTTACTGGCGATTCGGTCTGAAGATCGCCTCGGACTGGAAGACCCGTCTAGGTATACCCGTTCCTGAATCTTGGACGCGAGTGCTTGAGAATCTTGCACCGTTGCCGATCGTCGACGGCGCATACGCTATCTCCGCTGACCTGCCAGATACGTGGACGAATCCTGCGTATACAACTGACCACCCCAGCCAGGTTGCTATCTACGGTCTTCTCCCGCCAACTGCAGGTGTAAATGTGTCTATCGTCAACGCGACTATGAACCGGGTTGCCGAGGTATGGGATCTCGGCGCGTCTTATGGCTGGGACTTCCCTATGCTCGCGATGACATCGCTCCGGTTGGGAGATGTAGATCAAGCTGTTGCGTGGTTGCTGGATGAGCACTTCCAGTTTGACGACGTGGGTAACCCCGTGGGGACCGTTGTGCCGACACCGTATTTTCCTGCGTCGGGAGGATTGCTGCTTGCGGTTGCGATGATGGCTGGGGGTTGGGATGGCAACGAGGGAATGCATTTCCCCGAGCACTGGGGAGCAAGGGTTGAGGGTTTCTCGGTGGGACTGTAAAGGGCTTCTGGTGACTTTGATGCACTGAAAGCGCCATGCTAGTGCAATGGATGGGTCAAGTGTCTACTCGCCGGTCATTATCCCAGCAAACAGCAGCGCACCGCTGGTGGGCACTTCGAGAGACTGGAGGCATGGTTGGCTTCTATAGCCGTCGACTTGCACTGAGACGGACAGCATGCACCAGACGGCATAATTTTACTCCTATTGGGTGTTCTCCTCCATACCACTTTTATCCGAAACAAGATTCGTTGAAGCCTTGCTAGGGAGCCATACTGGATGAGGTTACCAGCACGCTGGAAATATCCGGATCAGATAACAACAGGAACTGTGCCACAGTTGTTGTCGCGCTAAATCTCGCGAGAGCTCACTGGATCGAGATTCGAGCAGAGGACCGAATCTATTTGAAATTGGATGCACTGGTTAAGGAGATCAGTCACGCACGACTTGTAAGAAGCTCATACTTTCCCCCGGCAATTGTTAATCCAAATTATTCGAGTAAGGAATCACACTCTACGCCTACTTATGGGGAGACCCCCAAATCTGCATGTAGTGTTTCATTGCGCGTCTATTCGACTGGCTTGTTCTCCTGAACAGCGTCATTGTCTGCCGTAGCTGCTTCAGTAGCTTCAATAACTTCAGAAGTTTCCGGCGCGGCTTCCTTTTCACTACTCAATTCAGCATCAGCATCGAAATCCCGCGGCGTTGAATCCCTCTGTCCCTTGGCAGCATCTCTCAGAGCGCCACCTTTTCGTGGCGGAAGAGTCTGCATGAAGGCTTCTCCCCAATCCCGTAACTGCAGCCAACGGACCATGAGCTCCACCACATGGTTCGTGGCGAGGACGGGGCGCGAGTTCATTTGAATGTACTCGCCGATTGGCAGTTTTGCCGTTCGGATACCCAACTCAGTTGCCCGCTGGTGGCAGATCCCCTTGTATCGGTTCTTGTCCACCAGACCACCGATGATATATGTGCTGTAGGGCTTGAGCTCTGTCAGTGTCTCTGAGCTGTCACTTGAGAGGTAAACAATCTCTCCATCTTCGGGCTTCGCATCGGCCTTGTCCTCAAAGGGACCAACCAGCTGCCCACCCTTAGGTCCCTGCATAACCTCACTCGCCTCCTTTGCAGCATGAAACCAATCCTCTTCCGTGAAGTTGATTCCTTTCCAACCCTGATGCGTATTGTGCAGCACCGTCTCAAAGCGCTCTTTCAGCTTCTTATTGAAAGACGACATAACCATATGACCATTGAAAGGGGACTTGTTGTTCTCCGAGTACGAGCGCGTAAGCTGCTGAGCTAGAGATACCCTCTCTCTCTCCTGCATCAGGTCGTCAAATCCGCAGTCGATAATCAATGTCAGCGGCAGCCGCGTTGATTTTCGGTTCCGAGTCCGCGTCGTCATAGGGAACAGCTTGTTGATCTCTTCCGCCGGATCCTTGCCTTGTCGTTTCAATTCATCCCAGAGTTCACGTCGCCGCTCTTTCCGAGCAGCGGTTTTCTGCTTTCGTATGACCTTCCGCTCTTCTCGTCCCGCTTCCCATTGTTCTTTCTGGGCCTGTCTCCTCAGCTGCCTTTTTGATACCTTTTGTTCGGTAGATCCGGTTTCATTCGCAGCAGGCATTGGCGTTGATTCTTTTGGTCCTTTCACGTTCTCTATGCTTGCGCCGGATGTCGCAGTTTCGGCGGTGGCTTGTTCGGCTAGGGGCGCATTGTCTTGCGCGCATTCGATTGCGCCGGTCATTAGCGGTTCAGATTCTTGGGCTTCATCGCCCTCAAGCTTCTGTATCTTTCTAGGTCGCTCTTCTTCTTCCATTGTATCAGTTGAGTTTGGCAAAGGTGATTGTTCGAACAGAAAAAGTTTCAGGTGAAGCGCTTGGAAGCCCCACACCATAGTACCAGCCTAGTCATGTGATCTTTTCTCGGCAGTAATTGAGCTGTTTGCAGATGAGTTGCTATATATTACTGGTGGTAAAGCTAAAAGAATCTCAATGCATGCTGAGAATAACGATAGGCGTATCTTTAAACATACCAGTAATTAGGAAGAGAAGGGAAAAGACTCTATACATGGATCTGCGGAGTTGTCATAGTAGAAAACCAACCAATCACAACCCCGCAAGCGCTCATTACCAAACGCATCCCAGCCACGTGACTCCGATCCCAACTCCTCCGCCAACTCCATCATCACCGCATACATACCTGGCTTGACGAATTCCCCCTCTCCTCACACCAATTGAAGGCCGCTGCCGAATCCGCCAGTCGCCAACATGCCTCAGGATATGCCCCCCACCGGGGGCTACCGGGAAGTGCAATACAAGGTACGCCAACCCGACGAATCCCTCCCTGCACAGTCCCGCCGTTACCGATCCCACGATCAGCAGTATGCGACTTCATGAGCTACGGGAAGCTAACGTATGGTCTGAATAGCGCAACGTCCCCGCCCGCGGCTTCCGCCCCATCACCTACCTCGTCGGCATGCACCTCTTCATGGCCTACGGGTACTACAAGCTCTTCTACGGTATCCGGGAACAGAAGTACGTCCTCTTGCGCACCGCACCAAGATTGAATATGAGAAGTAGAGCCCAGAAGTTAACGGAATATATAGCGAGCTCGCCCGTGAGAAGATTTGGGGCCGTCTACATATCCTGCCCCTCCTCCAGGCTGAAGAAGACCGCGACCAGGCCCGTCGTTACTACGCTGATAAGGCCCGTGAGCAGCAGCTGTTGGGCTCTGAGACGAAGATCTACAACTCTGACCGGTGCGTCATTACTCTTCCATTACCCCGTTTATTGTGGATTCTTGATTGTTGGAATTGGTTGTGGCTAATGGCTGCTGGCTAGATTCGTGCGTCCTACATTCGGATACACGCCGGCGAAGGCTCATAACTAAGGCGTTGAAGATCGTGGAGATGGTGCGTACGGCTCGAGTTGTGACTTCTCGGTGAGGAATAGATTGGGACGCTCTGCTCGAGGATGAGCGACGTCCGGTGGAGTCGAAGGTTCAGTAAGCAATGTACACTGTAGATATACCGTCTGCAAAAAGACAGACTCGTTTGACAACAATTTTTATTTCGCTTTTCTTCGCGTCATCGTCCCACAGATTTTTTGACTGTGCTCGTAGGTGCTCTTCATTCAAGAACATGTAGTTGTATATGAACTAAGTCGAATATATGAGCTTAATGTCGGCATTATACTCTCTAGCCCTAGCATGGACATCTATTTTTCAGGCCTCCAAATGCGGATATACGCTGAGAAAGAAGGAAATAATATACAAAAGGAGTTGAGTGACGGCATGCTTAACCAAACAAGTCCGCGACGCCGGAAAGATCCGGCCCATCGTTTATATCGACCGTTTGGGCTTGCTGACCCTCCATCTCATTGCTCATATATCTTTCTTGGAGAGCACTCCGCGCTTTGCGGCGCTCTTCGCGCGATCCTAGAATCTTGCCTTGTTCAGCGATGCTGACGCCCCTTAGGCCTTCTAGAAGGTCAAGCACCAATGCTCGCTGTTGGCGGGCTGATGTGGAGCGCACGAGAGCAGCTTCGGTACTGGCGACCTTTTCCTCTGTCATTCCAGGGAGGCTGCGGATCAGGGCCCTTGGTGTGGGTGTGCTCGCGCCATAGAGAACCCATATGGATGCGATCAGCTGGGCGAGGTCTTTCTGCATATCAACGAAATAGGGCTCGTGCACGGATGTGATGCAGGCTTTGAGGACTTCAGAGGAAATGAACTCGCGAATAGTGACGACGGTTTGTGAGTTGTGGGGAGGAGCAAAGTCCTGCAAAATAGATCGAATCACTCGCGTTATGATGCTGCAACATCGGGTATCACGCATACGCAATGCGTGGGTGCAGAAGAGCATCACTGGCTCGAAAATTTCGGGGGAGGAAAGGACAAAGTGGCGAATAGAGTCTGAGAGCGCGGGCAGTGGTTGGGGCGCACTTGGATCCGTGGTTTCTTCATCAGGATCTATATATGTAGGAATTAGCTTCGTGGGCAAGCCTGAATTATTGCGCTGGGTTTCATACCTCCACGTTGCGGGTCCAGGAGGCTTGCCACCATGATAACCGCGGAGTACGTCAGCTGTCGCAGAATACTCTCTGACTTCATTTCGTCAGCCAGGTCGCCATCACGTATTCCTTCCTTTCGTTGCTCAATGATTTCCCACTCAGATGTGACTTTGCGGTCAATGTTAACAAACAAAGTGGAGAGCATTGGGGGCAAAAATTGCCCTCGGAAGCGGACGGGGCACTCGTCAATCATGCACCTAGATATGTTGAGAAGAACGGAGAATTGATGGGAGGAGAGATGGGCAGAGTCTTTGTACAGAGCTTGCGAGAGAGGGCCTGGCAGTTCTGCAAACCCGTAAAAATGCTCGCGCAGTCTACTCATGCTGAAAAGCATCGAGTAGCAGGATTCCCTGACGGCCCTGACCTTTCCTCTGACCGACGATGCAAAGCCCTCGAGAGACATCCGTGAGGCGGTGATTTTCGCGTAGAACTCATCCCGGCTTCCAGTCGAGATGCCGGCTTGCCAAAATCTATCGGTTAGTATGCGCTCAACAATACCCCACATATCCCCAGGCAGACCTGCCCAGTTTTCCGGATTGTGGAATGCATGAGCGTTGCTGCAGACTATTAGCTAGGCTCGTTCAACCAAGATTATGCTTATTACCTGACAAGTTGCAATAGGGTTGGCAAGATGACTGGGATAAGGTCGCGCCAAAGGGTACAGGCAAGCTCATACGGCGGCTCCGCTTTCTTGAGCCTGTCTGTGGAGACTGCCAACATTGTTTTAGTACCCCTCAACGGAAGTTGCTGCATCGACGTTAGTTTTTAGTTTGAACTAAACCTTGCAGAGACTTGTTACCTGAAATTTCCGTGTCATTTCGTCTTGAACCCGGATACCCTCCGCATCGAGGGCCACTTCTGACCAATCCGCTAGCTTCTGAGCCTGTTTTGATTGCATGTACGGCCCCACGTTCTGCAGTCCAAGCAAGTTGCAAAACCCATCAAAGGTGGAGCACATATTGCGGATGCCTTCGTCCTGCCAGGACTGCTTGATGGGTTCAACAAACGACGCTAGTCGGGACTGGCGCAGATACGGGTCGACGTTGTTCGCACGTTGCCTACGAGGGTCAGCTGTCAGACAACAAGAGAAAGGAACAAGGCAAAGGCCAATCTTACATAATGATAAGGAGGATTGAGGTGAACTCCATTTGAAGCTTGTCGTCTACCTGGTTGGCCAAGGTAATTTCCTGGATCTTAGGCTCCAGAAGGTCATAGAACGTCTATGTATGTCAGCAGGGCATCTTTGCTATTTAAATGGGGTCTCACAGCAAAGTATTCGGCATAGCGAGTTGCAAGTCGACGCAACTCGTGGCTGGCCAGTGCGTGTAACTCTTTCACAGCCTCTGAATAGTTCGGAAACTCAGATTGGTCAGGCAGGCGTGTCATGAGAGTGTACTCGAGGACCTTGAGTGCGAAACTAGGTGTTTTATTAAGAGCTTTCGCTGATATATCGACGGCGAGTTTCACAATGCGTTGCTTCAAGACTGGGTCCTAGAAAAATGGTCAGCGACGTGTATAGAGTAGGTGCAGGAGCCAACAAACTTCAAAGTTCCTTTGCATCAACTTGTATGCCCAGGTCTCCAGGGTATTTTCCAGCTGGCCACGTCTTTGTTCCTGCAGCTTGTTAGTGGGAATCGATACCAGAACCTTGACAAAGCATACATCTTGCTGCGGCATTCTTCCATGCAACGCAACCCATTTAGCATAGCCCTTCAGGGTAGCCTCCACTACTGCAAACTGGGTATCCGCGCGCATCAGAGGCACCGAGTTTTTCGAAAAGAGTTTCACTTTGAGTTGTTAGCTTGGTTAGGGGAATGGGTGTATGAAGCAAACGAACCTGTAAATGCCTCGACCCCGTTGTACAGACTATCTAAACTGTTGTCCACCCCGAGGAGAATATGCGGGATCGCTTCTTCGGGTCGCTTCTGCACTATCGTTTCGATGATGGACGAACAATAGCGTCGATAGTTTCCAACAAAGGCATGTCTTTCTGGCACGGTGTCGATATCTTCATTAAGAAAAATTACGGTGGAATCCTCCGAGTCAGTGGGGAGAGACTCCCAATGCACAAGGCGTTCAGTACACAAGGTTAGTAGTGGAGGAATGAGGTTGACCACAACATCTAGATTCCCAACCTTTGAAGTGGCAATTAGTTTGGACCATATATGGAGAACGGGTATCGACACGGTGAGACTGCGATGCTGAACAACGTTTAACATGAGATGGAAAAAGAATGGCAAGTCAACACCAGCTGAACTTTCAATTGAGAAGCCTTTTTCTTCGAGAAACCCAGCAACATAGGAAACCATCTATCAAGAATATTAGCTGAATACTGGTTTCTGTCGGAGGCCAGTAATACCTCAGAAAGCTTTTTAGATATCGTGTACTTTGTGTCGTCGATGTCATCTGGGGTAACGACCGACCACTGAAACAGCTTCAATAGTACATTTAGAGAGTTCGTTTCGTACATCAGATGCACCAATGGTTGGAAACTCTCAATGTCATAAGCCGACCTGCTGTAAAGTGCATGCAACGCTTCGACGGCGGCCTTGGTACTCGGTAAGCTCTCTGCGGGTCCAGAAAAAAAGGCGGATACGTACCAACAACACCTGTTCATCAGTACAGGCGAAAGCGCTGGCGATACTTTGGACACAGCCTGAAGAATGGACGGCCTTAGGTATCGCCCATACCAATACGGATTTTAGGTTGGCCAGGGCCTTCAAAGCAGCGTCCTTTGCCTCCTTTGAGTGTTGTATGCTTCCAATGCATTGCTGGAGGAACTCGCAGATTCGGGTTAGCCAACCTTCATTACCACAGCGAGTTTCAACGTGGTTGTCTCGTTCGGGGTGCGCTTGCTCGAATACGGCCAATGGCGTGTAGATTTCTACCAGCGCTCGGTTTAAATCCGTTCCGCGTAAAGAGGAAACAGTATCCTCTCTGTAGAAGATATCGTCCGATAGAGTCTCGAGAATCAGTAGGACCAGTTCTTTATGCACAAGGCTAGCGTTCCAGAGCTGGACGAGACGTTGGTCCATATCAAGCCAGTCTAACCCCCAGCTTCGCTTGGCGACCTCGACCCATAACTGCGGGATCTTATTTCGGATATATGCAGGGTCTTCTGGTTGGATGGATTCGGCAAGCTTCAACACAATGTCTTTCAAGATCGCTAGTTCGTCTGTGGCGGTGAATGAGGTATTGCGAAGGACATGATCGAGAAGAGTCAATCCGAAATAGCGAACCAATGCGTCATTCTCTCTTCGAGATGCTAACAGAAAGCCGTTATGGGCAGCGGAGGGGCTTCCTTTCTGCGACTCCACGAATTGCAGAGCCTCCCTGCGGAGCTCGTTCGTTGACGACGGATTGTGAATGAGCTCAAGTGCACGAACAATGTCGGCCATGCTCCCATCCGCGAGTCCCTCTTCTGCGGCCATGGCTCCGTGGGGGCAGTCGCCCGAGTCAATCACAATGGTCCTTAGATATCGCGGCCGTTATTTCACTATAATTTGACGAGGAAGCTGTCTGTTTCTACCTTTTGAGATGAGACAAAGGCAAAGGGAAGAGACAATAAAGAGTTGGCTTTTTTTCTTTGTCGGCCGTAAGCTGGGATATCGGAACGAGTAAATCGCGTGGTCAACACCCAGGCCAGGCAACACGGCTAGGTAGCGGTCCAAGATCTGGTCAGGCAGTGCACCTAAGATTGCGGCTGAAGTCCGGATGTTCACTGGAGAGTCGTTGACCGTCAAAAGCTCTTGCGGAAATGGGGAAGGGGACGCTCCAGCCTTCCCCGACAAACTGTTCTGGAATCCGAAGCCGAATCTCCTGCCTTTGACCGGAACGAAGGTTGTTGATGAATAGTCAAAGAAGGCGGTACTCCGCGAATTTTCCTGGATGGGGCAGTTCACCGCTCAGCTTTATCGATAAGACCTCGATAAGCTATGACGATTGACGTCGCGAAGTATAGGTCTCGGGAGGTTGAGTGGTTGGAATAATGGAAAAAGTCATTCAGCGCTAGTCCTATGTGTGCCCTGCTATAAATATCCTAGAAAGCCTACATCACGTTACATCCTCCCTTTTGACACTGTTCCAAATAACTCACGTCCTCCGCCGATGGGGCCGCCAAAGCACCGCCTTTACGCTTGACACCCTGGATCTTGATATTTTGGTCACCCGGAGGGTGCCGCCATTGAAGCCGCTGGACACGAACATTTCTAACATCCGAGTAGTCAATCGACCACTCCCCCGAGCTGACACTGACTTTCGTGTGTGTGCCAGGGAAATGGAAGTCCGGCAGGAAGATCTCCGTGGGTGTGTCTTGCCCTGGTGTCGCTTTGTTGCCGACAAGTGACATGGTGAAAATACAATTCTGCAGGTCAAACCCGTACTGAGATATCGACCCATTAGTGACGATGGGACTCGGCCGAAGATAGGCTTCTGCAGCACGGTATCCCAATTTATCTTCGTCAAGCTGAGAAACTTCTGACGTTATGGATGGTGCCTTGATAGTATCTTTCAAGTTCCTATGGTTTATCTGTTGGTCGCTGTTGTGGCTTCGACTGGACGAGTATGAGGGGGACTGGTGGTCTAACCGGCTGTTTGACTCGGGATCTAAAGACTTGCCGCTTGGAAGCTCAAGGTCGTCGGCAGAATATATGGACAAATCTTCTCCGTTCCATTGATCGCCCCATTCGTGGTCATTCTGCGTAGTTGTTAGCAACGGCGCTCCATACCATCCCAAAAACAGGCTTCCTACCTTTGCCGTATAGACCCACAGAGTAAAACCATTGGAAGAGCTACCCTCTAGTGCGTAGTGACACGCATCCATAGCACTTATCTGGCTGCTGTAGTCACCAGTTTTGTAGGCATGTTTGTCATCCATGTCATAGGGTATTCCAGTCTCAGTGAATATCAGCGGGTGGTTTCCCATGTATCTGTAACTCTCGTCTCTCAGAAACTTGAGCTGATCACGCAAGCAATTCCTGATTGCAGTCTCTCCTATCTTGACACCAAAAGCCGGTGTGAGGTACTTTCCGCGAAGAACGCCAATCACATCCACATTATAAAATCGGTTCCTGTGCGAGTCAATATAGCTACCTGGTATGTAAAGGTTTTACATGGAAAGATACTGACCAATGTTTAGACATTAGAGTGAGGCCGTCGTAGTAGTGGACGGCGTGAACCATGTTCGGATCGTCATCATTCGACCCCTTAATGTCAGGAGGAATCTCCATGACCGGTGGTTGGCATAGCATGATTGAACCAGGCCATACACTTCTGATCGCTTCCGTGTAAGCTCTATAGTGTTCCAAGAAATAAGTGTTGGTAAATTTGTCGTAATCGAGCGGCTCTCCGGTTCGAGGCTTCTTAGCAAAGTAGTCTTTCTGTAGAAGCTCGTCCTTTGAGGGGTCCCAGACGCCATGTTGAGCCCACAAGCATTCGCCCAGCTTCCAGTTAGGGTCTCTCGTCCAGCCATACTTGGAGTCATCATAGGTTACCGGCAGCCAAGCTGTCTCGCCCTCTGCGTCCACAAGCTCTCGGCCACTTTGATAAGGGCCAAACCCTCCGAAGCCCCATATTGCCTCTTCACAAGCACGTCCTGAACCGGTAAGCATGGCTTGAAACGCAGTCGGCGATGTGCCTAGCTGGAGCTGCTGGTCTGGAGGTATCACGGATATGTCTTGGTAGCCAATCAGGCCTCGCTGAGGTTCGTTTATGCTTTCCCATCCGATAACCACCTCATTCTCAAGATCACCAGCGTCATGGATCTTTTGCGCAAAATGCTTACAAGCAGCAATATAGTGATCCTGGAGGTAGTCTTGGATGTTCATGCCATTTATGATCGCTTTGGGCGCAAAATCCCGCCCGGCCCAGAAGAGTGTGAACATCGTTTGGCAGACCAGCCTAGTATAGTTCGTCGCCCATATCATTTTCGGAAACTTGGCAGGGTCGTCCCATGTATTCTGCACCAAAGCGGCCTGTGTTTTCTTGAAACCTCTAGGGTCCAAACCTGCAGCATAAAGCGTCCATGCAGGTGCACCAGAACCTCCTGACAGCCTAGACCACTATAATAATTTAGTCAGCGAACTCTCAAGACCTGATGCCACATAGTAAAGGCCTACCACATCCTGATGCGGATCCATAAACACGTAGAACTGATATTGCTTCGCGATCCTCAGGACTTCTATGGTAAAGGATATCCACTCGTCGTCATATTTACCCGGTCCTTCATGCTCAATTGCTTCCCAAGTGAACATGTATCGTATAGTATTATATCCTAGCTTCCAGAGCCTGGAAAAATGTGTATGTGCTTCATCAAGCGAGAACGGCCGTCCGACAAATGAAACGTTGTCGGCGTCAAAGAATTTATCGGCGACGTTCGAAGGGACATTAGGGGTTCTCGGATACTTGGCTTCGCCCGCAACGTTTATTCCCCTCAGTGTGATTTCACGGTTTTGGGGATCTCTAAATCTCGTGCCATCAATTCGAAGGCGGAGAGACGTCATGCTGGAGTCAATGGAGCTGGGCCGGCGGTTATCGGCAAGGAGATGATAAATGGGGCTAGAGGAAAGGTAATCGGTGTTTGAATTAAGGAATGAAGTACGGGTGAGAATATCGACCTAGAACTATAGCTTTCACCGATATGTTAAAGAGCGAGCTGGCTGGATGCTGATAAGGGCTACTCACTTTATGGTTGGAGCTTGGAGTCGAAGAAACGAACGGATCCAATCCACAGCTCTCAATGAATGGCCACCCCAGGGAGTCCGAGGTGAAGGTAAAGAATATTATAGGTCAAGTCACGATCTGTGATAGACCTGCTCAACCTTGGACGTTGTCAAGGACCAGGAGAGCTGCAGTCAGCAATGCGGAGACAAACGACCAGGGCGCTACCTCAAGAGCGATAAGCGGCGGCCGGGCTGGGCTCTGACGTACCGCAGCCCACGCATTGTTCGGCTTCCCCACCGAGGGCATTTTCCCTCCTCCAAGCTCTCCGATCCAGGAACCAGCAACCTCCGACAAGCTCATGAGGCGATTGCTTAAACATGTCAAGCAAGTCGGCTCTCAAGGAGGTGCGGACGGCCCTCGATTCGAAGAATTTTGAGCTTGCGGCGGAAAAGGCCAAAGCCATTGTTAAGGAACAGCCCCAAAACTATCATGCGTGAGTGACCCGGTATCTTCTTCGATTTCCGTCTGATGCTCGACTCCTAGCAACGTTTTCCTCGGCCTTGCGCAAGACAAGCTGAATCATTTCCTCGAATCCGAACGAGCATATCTCGCGGCCACTCGCATTAAGGGAGATGATAAAACGGCGTGGCAGGGACTCATCAGCTTGTACGAGAAACAAGGAAATCAGAACCTAGAACAGTACCGCGAAGTAGTGATAAAACTCGCGCAGGTGTTTGCTGAGCTGTGAGTGGGAGGACGGCGCCTGGGATATCCGAAACGCTAACGCAACACCAGTGACGATAAGCACCGGTGTCAAGATGTCGTCGACAAATATGTTGCTTTCGTGAAGAAGAATGGAACTCGCTTGCAATACAAGAGGGCTCTTGAACTACATTTGCCCACGAGCCCCGTCTACACTTACCTTGAAGGTCGCGTACCTCACCCCGCGCTTACCTACCAACGTCTCATAGAGATCACCGAAGCGGAGGAGAGGGAGTTTATCAACCGAGAGATTGGGGAAAGAAGAACTCGCCTCGGTGCGCGTATTGACCAGGTCACGCTAGAAGTCAAGCGAGACGCCTACAAGCGGAGCGAACTGGAACATCTATACCGTGGAATTGTCAATTGGTCACACGATGATCAGGTTCGGCGCACATACGAGGAAAAACTACTCCAGAGGGCCTATGACGTTCTTCTTGTACTTCCCGCAAATGAAAAAGATGCAAAGAGAGAAGAGGTCCTACAGGCTGCTCGTGACATGGTGATCATTAAGCACCCGTTCGAACTCGCCTGGAAGATTGTCCTAGAGTGGCATGATGTCGAGAATTTTTCTCAATGGGACCGGACATTTCTGGAAGATTTCATCGAGTTTTTCCCAGAGGATGATCTCACCAAAGTTCTCAAGGGATTCCTGTCGAGCGAGCTCTCCCCATTTCCCAGAGTGCCAGCGAAGTCGAACGGGGAAGATGCTGAAAAGGCCGAGAAGGCCGATAAAGCCGAGAACGGGAATGGAGAAGAGGTGGCTGTCCAAGATCGCCTCCTATTGATGGTGGAGGGATTTGAAATGTCTTCTACTTCGATCGTTTCCCATAGAATCATGGGCGAACTTTATCTGTCTCTCGACGAATACGAAAGTGTCGTCGATGTATGCCGTAAGGGTCTTCAAAACTTGAACGACGTTGTGAGAAGGACAGGAATAAGTCTTCAGAATACTGCCGACTCTTTGAGCATAGCTCTTGCGAACTCCCTTATCTACCACCAATCCCCACGACATCACCCTGAGGCTCAGCGAATTTTCCAGAATATCCTGCAAAGACACCCGATTTCCACCAGCTGTCTTCTCGGAATTGGTCTTATTTTGAAGGTGGACGAAGACTATCCCGAAGCTGTCAATTTCTTGGAGCGTGCTCTAGAGCGAGATCCCGAAAACTTCAAGGTTCGTGGCGAATTGTCTTGGTGCAGAGCACTTAACGGTGATCTTTCGTCCGGCTTTTCTGGGCTCCAGGGCGTGCTCGAAGAGCTGCAAAATTCTCAACGAGAGAGTCGAGAATTCAAGAGTGAAATCCTCTATCGCATTGGATACTGCCAGTGGGAAATCGACCCCTCACCTTCTGCCCGCAAAGATCGGACTGGTGCATATGCAAGTTTTCTCGCTTCGATCCAGGCCAATATAAACTTCGCGCCAGCTTATACTAGCTTGGGCATCTATTATGCGGATTACAAGAAGGACAAAACACGAGCGCGGAGATGCTTTCATAAAGCGTTCGAACTGTCGCCATCCGAGATCGTTGCAGCTGAGAGGTTAGCCAGGACTTTTGCGGACCAAAAAGAATGGGATCTGGTTGAGGCCGTCTCACAACGTGTCGTTGACTCCGGCAAGGCCAAGCCTGCGCCAGGCTCGAAAAGAAAAGGATACAGTTGGCCCTATGCAGCTTTGGGTACGGTTCAGATCAACAAGCAGCAGTACCCCAAGAGTATTGTTTCATTCCAAGCGGCTCTGCGAATCTCTCCGGACGATTATCATTCCTGGGTCGGTCTTGGTGAGAGTTACCACAACTCCGGCAGATACATCGCTGCCACAAAGGCGTTCGACCACGCCCAGAAGTTGGAGTATACGCTCTCAAAGTCCGAGAAAGAGCAGATTTGGTTCGCTCGGTACATGTTTGCGAATGTGAAACGGGAACTTGGGGAATATGATGATGCTATTGCACGATACGAGGAGGTGTTGAAGATCCGTCCCAATGAGCTCGGCGTTACGGTAGCACTACTTCAGACGCTCACGGAGAATTCCTGGAAGTGTTTGGAGTCTGGACTCTTCAACGACTGTGCCGAGCATGCCAGAAGAGCCATCATTGTGGCCAAATCACTTGCCACTGAGAGAGTTGATATCTTCAACTTATGGAAGGGCGTAGGCGATGCGTGTACGGTATTTTCCTATGTCAGGTCGAAGGCGGGCAAACTTCCGATTAAGGAAGTTCGTGGCTTGCTTTCCACGCAACTCGAACCTTCCGCTCTTGACATTCTCACGGACGTTGATGGTGTGGGAGAGAACTACTTGACAGCATTGGATGGTGAGAAAGACGCCTCTACACTAGCGAACGAGTGCATGCACGCCTCTATCCTAGCATACAAACGTGCTATTCAAGTTTCGCTTCAAGACACTCATGCTCAGGCCGTGTCATGGTACAATCTTGGCTGGGCAGAATACCGAGCATTCAGATGCGTGAAACTGAGCGGCGAGAAGAAGAAGCAGTCACGCAAGTTTCTGAAGGCAGCAATGCGATGCTTCAAGAGAGCCATCGAGCTTGAAGCTGGCAATTCCGAGTTCTGGAACGCCCTTGGAGTGGTGACGACAAACATGAGCCCGAGGGTCGCGCAGCACGCGTTTGTCCGCAGCTTGCATCTAAATGACCGGAGCGCGCAAGTCTGGACGAACTTGGGGACACTCTACCTCATTCATAATGACATCCAGCTATCTAATGAAGCATTTACTCGCGCACAGTCGACCGATCCCGATTATTCGCAGGCTTGGGTTGGCCAGGGCTTGCTTGCTCTCCTCTTCGGCGATCCTCGGGAGGCCAGAGGGTTGTTCGAGCACGCTTTCGATATCTCTAGGTCATCATCAAGACTGTCCAAGCAGCAATACACACTGACGCTGTTCGACCATCTCATCGCGGATGCTTCGGCGTCAAACGAGGTCTCGCAGCTGATCCAGCCGTTCTTCACCCTTTATCAGCTGACCAGTCAAGAACCGTCTGATTTACCCTTTGTTCATTTGTTCTCTCTCCTGGCCGAGAGAATCGGCGAGTTCGAAGACGCCAAGTCCAGCTTACGCAGCCTCAGCTCCGATGTCGAGGCCGAATATGAGGTCTCTGAATCCGCAGCATCACTTTCCAGGTTCGCGCAAGCAAATTCCGACATTGCCCGTGTCCTTTTAGCACGTCATGAATACGAAGAGGCTGCGGAAAAGGCGGAGACCGCACTAATGCTGTCATCAGAGGAGGACTCTGAGAAGTTCGAGCCGGAAATGTACAAGAACCTGCGCTTGTCTGCACACCTGACGGCCGGTCTCGCGCACTACTACATGAGAGCCATGGACAACGCAATCGACATGTTCCGTGATGCCCTCCAAGAAGCAGACAATTCGCCGGACGTCGTCTGCCTACTCGCACAGGTACTGTGGGCCAAGGGCGGAGAAGAGGAAAGGACGGTTGCGCGACAACAACTCTTTGAGTGCGTTGAGATCCATCCGGATCACGTCGGAGCGGTCACTCTTCTGGGAGCTATCGCGCTCCTTGACGATGACAAAGACGTCATCGAGGCTGTTGAGTCTGATCTTCAGAACATGATCACAAGGGATGATATCGGGATCCATGAACGGGCGAGACTGGTCAAGCTCTTGACAGCGATCTCATTGTGCATTCCTGGGGATTCAGATGTCCCAGATGAGGCGAGGCGTATCGGAGAGGCCGCTGCGGCGGTTATGAGGGCGCCTTACGACCCTCAAGGCTGGTTAGAGCTGTCCTCGGCTGCTCAAGAACCATATCCAGCGGAGATGGGTGTTAAGACCGCTCTGCAGAGCGTTCCTCCTCGAAGCAATCTCGACGCTACTGACTTGTCAACCGCATACTCACAGACCGGAAAAGCCAGCGATGCATTGCGGTCGATCATGGTTGCACCATGGATGCGCGGCGGTTGGCAAGAACTCACCCATATAGTCTCACCAACTACCTGATCATAGAAACAATAAGACCACGTTTAGATGACTCACGAGTTCAGACCTAAACACCTCCAGCGCCAGTCCCAGTAATCTTCTCCAACAATCTCGCCTTCCTCCCGGCCTTCCACGCCAGATCCATCACCTCAATCTTGCCCCCGAGAAGCGTAACGCTCTCCGGCGTCAGAAGAATCATCCCTCGGGCCACAGTAGCATTTTTCAAGAGCAATTTGCTCCCAATAGACAGCTGCATAACCGCAACCCCATTGATCTGATTCATTTCAATACCAACAGCCCTAGTCCCCCTCGCATCCTGCAGAATCAACCTATGCGGACCGTTGCTCTCGTTCGCATTCGTAGGCGCACCAGCATTCGCATTCCCACCAGCATTGTCTGCCTCGTTATTACCGTCCTGCTCATCGCCGACGTTCACCGTCCGTACAATCTCCCGCCCGCGTACCGCCTCTCCTCTCTCTATACGCTCAATGGCCTCGACCTGATTCCAGATGCTCGTGCCGATGTCTTCGATGTCGAGGACTTGTAGCGGGATGGGGCCTGGCAGACGGCGCTCTTGCGCGGTCGGATCGAAGATGTCGACTGGGAGAACGGATGTGGGGGCACGTGGTATGAGAGATTCGCGGAAGTCGGTGTTTAGCAGGCGGAACAGGGCCGTTTTTGTGAGCGCTGGGAGAGGGGTGCGTTGGTGGGTGCCCGTGGAGAGGAAGGTTGTTAGCCACGCCGGCGAGACGGGAAGGGACTTGGATTGAAGTTGCGCGTTGAGTTGATCTTGCAGTGTTGACATGGTTCCGTAGTTATGTTTCAGGATGTTATAGGATGTTGGCTTGTTGATGTAGATAAGGTGGAAGAAAAGTAAAGCTGTGGTGGAGCAAAATCCGGGGAACCACAAGCGCGGTGTCGGAGATGGTGCGGAGCTGTCATCTTTCTTCTCCTTTACAAGATCATCTACTTTCTCGCTGTCCTTCCATCTCAATCTCTAATCAAATCATAATGTCGACCCTCTCCTCGCCACGACCCTCAATCGCCTCCTCCCGCGCGCACTCCCCAACACCCGCCTCCTCACGTCGCCCGTCCCTCGACGCCCTAAACACCTCCATCACCGGCAGCCTCAGTGCGGCCTCAACCCCCTCAACAGCACGCGCCGTCTCTCCCTCTTTACATCCCCGCCGCAACCGCGCCGCCCTCCGAGACTACTACAACCTCAAGCCGTCCGACGCCGCAAACCTCGGCCCCAATGCCCGCTCGCGCAGCGTCCCCCGACATACTGACGCCGGTGACATCTCCAACCCCTCAAGCTCAGTGGTCACAGGCACAGAGCTCGACAGTCCGGACTTCGACCCGCAGCGATATGTGAATAATCTTCTTGCTACGTCGTCGCTCTCTACGATCTTGAAAGCGGAGAACACGCTGGTAGGCGATATCCGTACGCTAGATGGCGAGCGCAAGGCGTTGGTTTACGATAATTACTCGAAGCTTATAAGGGCCGTTGAGACGATTGGGAAGATGAGGCAGAGTATGGACGAGCGCGGGGCGCCGTTAACGATGACGAAGACGTTAGGGCCAGCGATTGCATTTGTGGCGGAGACGGCGGGGAGTTTGATAAGGGAGGGGGAGGAGCTGAGGGGACGAATGAAGGAGAGTAATCCGATGGCTGAGAAAGAGAAGCAGGAGAAGGAGACTGTGAGGTGGGTTCTCGGTGCGCCGGGGAGGTTGGAGGGGCTTATCAAGGACGGGAAGAGGGAAGAGGCTGAGAAGGACTGGGAGGAGGTGGGCAGGTTACTTGCGAAATGGGAAGGAGTGAAGGGTGTGTCTGAAGTTCGTGAGGCTTGTGAGAAGGTCATGGAGAAGGAAGAGGAGGAAGCCGATTGAGGAGCTGACTTGGACTGGTCTTCGCGCTGCTGAAGAACCCGTTAAACAACATATCCAAGAATGGCGCCGCCCTCAGATGATGCTCGTCCAATATCACGGCTGTGGCACAGTCATCAATCAATGGGGCACCTCCAACTGACTAATGGGTATTTACGAACATTTACGATCTCCCGACAACTAGATGAAGCTGGAGATGCCCAGGTGAGCGGGAAACATGAGTCGTCATTTCATCAGTCATATCCATAGATACCCATTACAGTAATGCACAAACTTTTCATCAATGCCGAATCAGACCTTTCCTCCCAAAACGTCCGCGCTAGAAAATGCAGTCGCCTTCAGGCCATACTTGTTTCCCGACATGATTTCCAGGTACGTCCAAGCATCCCGTTTATAGTATATCGGTCTCTCTTCCCTCTTAACAAGATCCAACTCAACAAGCTTTCTCAGAACCCTCTTTATGTCCGCAATATCCTCATAGTCCTTCGTGTAGACTGCGATCAGTCTAGGTTTGCCCTGAGCATCCATATCCGACTGCGTGGCCACCTTAGCAGCAATCCCTAGCTGGCCTTTCATGGTGGCACCCGCGACAGCAGCCCAATAAGAATCGACCCTGTCCGGTGTGATAAACATCATCCATTTGCCTGAGATGCAGTTGGTCTCGCGTGCTAGTTCGAGGAGCTCTTTCTCTAGCTCACGCTGCAGCGGCTTGACCTTCCTGCTCAGCGCAATAGCACTTCCTTTCTTCTTGTCATTTTCGTAGCGCAATTTGGCTTCTTGAGCTACGTATGCGTGGAGGGCTTCCAGGCCCTTTTTCATGAACCCTGCTCGGTCTTCATTGTCGCGGACACGTTTGGCGGGGTACGCGTAAATCCACGAGCCAATGTTCTCTTCCCTTGTGCTCGAAGCGGGAAGTCTGCTGAGAAAATTGGCGCTGGTCTCATGCTCACTAGACATGTTGCGTGGGAGGTAAACGGTGTCAGTGTCAATGTCCATAGGAGAGTGTGCCGCTTCGTTATTCTTTTCCTCGGCCACGGCCGGTGGCTTTTTATTCTCTTCTTGTCTTCGAGCCTGGATAGTGGATAGGAGATGTGGGTGAATGTGCGTCCAATAAGTCTCTGGACTGTATTCAGCTGCCTCCCGTGTCAGCTCTTCTATTTCCCCCTCGGAGCCTGTGGCACTGTCAGCATGGAGGGGATCTCGTTCATTGTCTTTCAGTAGCCCACCGTAGAAGCTCGAATCGTCGGAAAAGATATCCTCGGGACGGAGGGTCGTTGACTTAGACATTTTGCGGACGGAAATTGGAGGTTGTGGTCTTTATAGGCGATCTGCTGTGTGATGAAGTCAACCAAGATAGTGTGTCACAGATGGCTTCATTGGCTAAAACAAGACAACTTTGACCTCGACCTTAGTTGGCACTCCCTGTGTTTCTCTATTACTAAGGTTCATTGTCCACAAAGTGATGCAAGTCACTTAACATTAGAATAAAAATAAAAAATGGATGTGATGTGCCTGTAACAATGCCTGGTTCAGAAAATTGATGCAGGACGTGTTTGAGTTGTAAAGTTAGATCAGCAAAAAACACACTAGCAGGTCGTTACAACTCGTAAAAAGAGATATCAGTTATCTGGATATATAGAATGATGAGAAGCAGAGTGGATGGCTATGAGACAAACAGATACGCAGAATCGGCAATCGAAGATACGGAGTATGTAGAGTCCCCACAATAAGCCGATGGCCGTGGCTCACTGGCTCAGGGACTGCAACCCCAGCGTTAGGCGCGCCGAGCTACCTACATACTCCGTAGGGTAGATAAAGCCCCGGAGTTCCCCTGCCCGTTTAGGTAGTGCATGTGACGCCAGACGGCCTACCTTCATGCCCTGGCAGAGCGCCAAAGGGGAACATAGGAATACATGTGATGCTAATTCCAAACACAATGGATTATTATATCAACACAAAGCATGGTTCTGCGCAACAGTAGTGCTAGAACAATCTCTGTTTGGCAGTCTTGGAGATTAAATTCTCTCACCATCAAGACGTCATATGCGAGCAGGAATATGCAGATCAACAATATTGCATTAATAATCCTGGAATGGAGGATTCATGAGTCATTTAATGGGAGTCCTATAGGCTGACTGAATGCTAAGCTATGACAGTATAGATCTCATCCTTCTCAATTTGGTCTCACCGTCTCAAGGCCCCCCACCATCAATCAAGGTCTGGGTCTATAAACACCACAAGCACCCCTCTTCTTTTCGTGGCCATCATCTCGAGCAGCCTCACAGATCAACATTCTCAAAATGACTTCTCCCTTTACAAAGCTTCCTTCCACTGCGTCCATCACACCATCCTCCTTCCGTGTTGCGGTTCCTGATGAGCAACTCTCGGAATTCAAGACTTTGGTCAGGCTCTCTAAGATTGCTCCCCAGACTTACGAGAATCTCCAAGAAGACCGTCAGTATGGGGTCACTCATGAATGGATGTCTACAATGAAAGAAGAGTGGGTGAACCGCTTCGACTGGTAAACAAGATCTTTTGTGCATAATTGTCAGGCACTGACTTTCACAGGCGAGCCGTTGAAGAGCAAGTTAATTGCTTCCCTCAGTACACGACTGAGATCGAGGGCTTGACGATTCATTTTGCAGCTCTGTTCTCGGAGAAAACAGATGCAATTCCTATTGTGTTACTTCATGGTTGGCCTGGTAAGACACTCCCCAAGTCACTAGGTAGGACATATCCTCACGCAACCAGGGAGCTATTTCGAATTCCTTCCGCTGCTTCAACTCTTCAAGGATGAGTACTCTCCTAGCACTCTGCCATATCATTTGATTGTCCCGTCATTGCCCGGTTACGCCTTTTCTTCCGGGCCGCCGCTCGACAAGAACTTTACCGTCGCGGACGCAACCCGCGTAGTTGATCAACTGATGCAGGGTCTCGGCTTTGCTAGTGGATATGTAGCGCAGGGAGGCGATATCGGAAGCGTAGTTGCAAGACTCCTAGCTGTACAGCACAGCAGCTGTAAAGGTAAGGATCTGTTCCTATCTTTGGTTTCAATCTTCAAATGCTGACTGAAATAGCGACTCACCGTAAGTTCTTGCGCCGGTTTCAGCTCTCATGACTAACCACGGTCCAAGTGAACTTTTGCCCTCTGCTCAGCCGTCCAGAAGGTGTCTCGGATGAAGGTCAGAGTGAGCTGGAGAAGCGTGGGCACGACCGTCACCAGTGGTTTCTCACCGAGGGCAGGGCATACGCAGAAGAGCATGGCACTAAGCCAGCTACAATCGGTCATGTCCTTGCTTCCAGTCCTCTGGCACTGCTTGCATGATAGGTCTTCCCTATTTTCGTGCCTTTTTCCCCATCTGACAAAAATACAGGGTAGGAGAAAAATGTCTCGACTGGCCAGATATTCCCTTGTCCAAGCACAAGATCCTAGAATTGGTTACTCTTTACTGGTTCACCGAGTCCTTCCCAAGGGCGATCTATCCTTACCGCCAGGTAAAGCAGAATATACAACCTGAATGCTTGAGCTACATTTACTAACTAGGACTCGTCCAGAGTAACCCAACCCGGCCCACTTCAAACCCTATGTTGAACGAGCTCTACATCCACAAACCACTTGGTTTTTCGTATTACCCTAAGGAGCTGATGCCTACTCCAAAGTCTTGGGTGGAAAAGACGGGTAATCTGGTTTACTACAAGCAGCACTCTGAGGTAAGAGACATCATTGTTCATGCTTGAAACCAAGCTCACCCAATCGGTACATAGGGAGGGCACTTCGCAGCATTAGAACTGCCCGAGAAATTTAAGGAGGACCTGATGGAATTTGTGGCGCAGGTTTGGCCTGGCACTTCGAAGTAGATAACTTTCTACAGATTAGAGATGTCTATATCCATGCCGTGTCAGTGTTTAAATCACTCGTTGCCAGCATATAGATTGCTATAGATCGTCGCCAACCGCCAAGACCCAGCCGTAGTAAATCTCGACCCGCACCAAAATTTATATTTCTACAACTCTTTATCCTCAGCCGAGGACTTATCTTGAGGACAACCCAGCGATCTTTTCATATCGAGAGTCTGATATATACATATGCGACGGTGTTGAAAGGGCTAAAATGGCGCAACACCCTTCCTCCACAACCACAGTTTACCTCAACCAACCCCCCAGTTGTCTTCAATTCTGCCCAGGATCACCAAACCACTTCGTAGTCGGCACATACCTGCTCTCAGAAACAAAAACCACAGACGAAGATGGCTTAGAGACAATCCAGCAATCAAAGACAGGGTCATTGCAGCTATGGCATCTGGATCCGGAGAGTGAGGCACTGTATTTACCGACCCCCCATCCAACTTTAATACTCAAACCCTTGAACCTGAGAGGATAAACAGATACTAACGATCTCCCAGGACCCAAAAATCAATCTACCCAATCAATGCCGCCGTCTTCGACCTCCACTTCCACCCACGGCAGGACGACATCCTCGCCATCGCAACAAGCGACGCATCCGTGTCACTATTCAGCGTCTCACCAGAGACAGAGACAGGCTTTACGCTTCTCTGGACGAAGGCCGTCCATGAGGACCCCAGTATCCCAGCGCTATTCTTGGCCTGGCTGCCGGAGAACTGGCTGGTTCCAAACCCGGCCAATGCGAACTCAGATGGCTTCGCGGTAACATACAGTGACGGACGAACAGGAGTGTTCAGCTTGACTGGGGATGCGACTGGATTGGGGACAATCAAAGGAGAAAATGTTGATGAACAGATCACCGAGCTCGGCTCATTCGAAGCGAAGCAGCCAATCGAAGTATGGTTCGTTGCGCTATCTTCGTATCTGAACTCTTCAGCCGAAACACAGACGTACACGCCCTACTTGTTCACGGGGAACGACTTTGGCTCGCTGCACACGCGGCGCTTTACAGATATCCACGCTGAGCCTGAAGCCAATGACAGAGAAGAAACCTCCCCCTTACCAGACACCCTGCTCTCAACGGACGACAGAGCTCTCCATCACACAGCGGGCGTGACATCCATCCTCCCGCTCCCCATCCCTCTTTCTCATGCGACTGCGAAGGGGGAACCGCTCTTGCTCACGGGTAGCTATGACGAGTATCTGCGTGTTTATCATGCCTATCGGGGCGGGAGAGGGGAGGTCCTTGCGGAGATGGGGCTGGGTGGTGGTGTTTGGAGGTTGCAGTTGCTTGATACTGTGACCACGGCTGGCTCGCAAGGGGAGGAATGGACGTTCCTGGTTCTTGCGAGCTGCATGCATGGTGGTACGAGGGTTGTTAGGGTTCGCGTTGGAGGGGAGGGTGAGGCGAATATTGAGATTTTGGCGCAGTTTACGGAGCATGAGAGTATGAATTATGCGTCGGATGTTTGGAAGGGTAAGACGTCTGGATTTGGGTCTGAGCTGCGGGTTGTGTCGAGTAGCTTTTACGACAAGAGGGTTTGTGTATGGCGGGTGCAAGTTTAGGTAGACGAATACCGTCTGTGGCCATCGGGAGCCCTGCGTCATACATAATCTAGGACCCATGAACGGCCAAAGACGTCTAAAAGTAAAAGGATTCAGGGATAGACGGTAATTGTAACGCTCTAAGATTCATGACACAAATGCAACTGCCATCTGCACACCAGAGCCGTATCTAAACAATCGTCTCCAGCTCCCGCGCATACCCAATCGCATTCTCAATGATCGAGCTGCTGGCCACAAGGATATCTTTCTCGGAACGAGTAGCAGCCTCCGGCTCAACAGGGAAGTATATCCGTCCATCACGAAGTGTCCATCCACGTTGCTGAGCAAACTCCATAACGGCGCCTTCGGACTCGAGGAAGAGGAGGTTCTTGGCGTTGGAGATGGGGAGCGACGGGTACGCCTTCTCAGAGCAATCCGCGATCTCGCTGCGAATGGTTCCGACAAGCACCTAAGACATCACATTAGCAAACCATTGCCTCCAAGAAATTGAGGAGACGAGGAAGAAGGGCCTAGCCTACATTCGAAAACAGCGCAAAATCCTCCGACGGCACCCTCTCCGAATTCGTCTCGCGCCAAACCTTATCATAGCTTCCCTCCATCAAATTCCGCTCCAAATCAACCGGGTACTTGATAAACGGATCATCCTCGACATTCCGCTCCTTCAGACTCGCCTCCTCCACCAATCCCTCCAGCACCGTGTGGAAGCTCGTTCCATCTCCCGAGCTCAGTAGCAAAAGCAGATAGAGTCCTGTGATCTTGCTACGTTGACTTGTCTTCGTGTCGAGTGTGTTGTTCGCCTCCCGCTCCAGATCGTAGAATGGTTGCAGCTGCTGGTAGTATCTCGTGAAGGCCGGGGCGTCGGTTTGGCGGATGGCGGAGAGAGCGCCGAGCTCGAGGGTCTCGCGTGCGAGGACCAGGAGCTGCGGGTCTGTGGAGGAGGTAGGGATAAGGGCGTTTTGGAGGAGGAGGGTGCGCTTTGCGCGGGTGAGGAGGGTGTTGACGTTGTCGAATTGTTTGCGGTTTACGGCGTTCGTGAGCTCGGCCACGAGGGATTTGAGTTCGCTGGCCATGGTGTTGAACTCTGAATTTGAGATATAGAGCAGTTATATGGCGAGTTATGTAGATATGTATCAGATGAGAGAGTGTAAGGGAGGAGAAGGGTCGATGGATGAGAGTTGTGAGCTTGGGTGGTTGACGTTGTTCGGAGGAGCTCACATCGGCTTCCAACAGCTTCGCCGCATGGCTTGGCGATAGTCACGTGAGACAGTCTGCCAGCAAATATAACTATTTATCTTGACCTGCCTCAGTTTTTTTTGTATAGATAATGGAAAGGATAAACTCGATCATCGATCAAGATAGCCGCTTGTAGACAAGGATATTGACTCGCGGTGGTAGGGGAACTCCGTCCCGCCCGGTATGAGATCTAAGAACTTCATGGTATCCTCATCAAGTAAGAGCGGGATAGAAGCCAAGCTAGAATCTTAGACAAATACCAAAGAAGTCCCCTGAAGCAGTTGCTCGCACTTGATATTGGTGTTGATTATTCGGGGCGCTAAGGAGCTTTACTACCTCATTTAGGGCACAACATGGGAAGCCGTAAGAGAGCAATCGATGTGGAAATCGGGCGGAGAACGAATCGAGGCATCACTGATGCTCCGTGAATTCTCTTTAGAAATTATATCCAATCATAAGGTATCGTTACATTAGATTGAAGGAATATGTAGTCTAGAATATCCGCTCCGTACTCGGCTCCGGCCAATCCACCTCTTTACAGTCATGGGCCTCCTTGAATGCCTTGATCTTCACAACATCCCAACCCGCCAGCGAGCGTTCGGTCTCTAAATCATCTTCCCCATCCGGGAGTACGGGGTTGCCGAGCCTGATAACTCGCGCCATACGGCACTTTTTGCGGTGATGGGTGAATTGAAAGCAGTCGGCGTGGTTGTGACATGCTTCCTTGCAAGAGTCGAAGGAATCGTGGGCTTCAGGCGTGGGTGCGTCAAAAGCATCCATGTCGGCGTTATTCCAGTCTTGACGGACAGGAAGAGATTCGAAGTCGAAGAAGTCGACGACGTCAGAATAAAGGATTAGACGCGGATCAGTGCCGTTTTTTAATCTCTTTTGCTGCCAATTCCACAGTTCCACCATATCGACGGGGGCACTTTTGTGGAAGCTGATTGCGGGCTGGCACCAGTAAGCTTTGCCTAGAGGTGTGCTGTGTAGAGGGTGAGGATTGAACATGGGCCATAGCCCCTTGATTTCAACATCTCGCTGTGCTGCAACCCAGCCAAGGACCGAGTCTCCGCAGCAATCCTCTCTAACCATGTCCTGGAACTTGGTGATCAAAAGCTGCGATTCATGATCTGACTCGGCTTCGGCACTTTCTTCTCCAGCTTCATGTAGCAGGTGTTCTATCGCAGTGACCGAGAGTACGATTCCGGATCCGCCATAGACGAAAAAGGTTGGTTGCGGCTCCCACCAAGTCCCCAGCTGCCTGCCCGGAGTAGGAGACCCGAGATATACAGGATCAATCCATTTGTAACGGTCCAAAAGCTGCACCAAGTTTTGCCATATAACCAAAGTGTCGGTCTCCGTAAACACATACCATTTGGCATTCGGATTCTGGGCGTAGGCGTATTCGACCATGGACAGGAACTTGTATCGGTCCAGTTTCCATCCAGCTTTGGAAGGCTCTAGCCTTTTGTTCCAGTAGTAATAGTCTTCTCGCTGCCGCTGGTATGCCGCTTTGTCTTCCTCCGATAGCACATGAACCACATCTGCTAGCAGGTCGTGGGTAATGAAAGGACCAATCTGCTGTTGCATGTCGGATACAACAAAAAGGTTCGGGATACATCTTGTGACACCCTCAATATGCGAACGGAGTAGCTCGCGAGACTCGGCTCCCCCGACCTTCAACGTCACTTGTATCCCATCCTCTGCAAAGGCAGCGGCCGGAAACATTTCGCAGTTCGGCGTGGACTCAGACTCATTCCACTTGCTCGATGGAGGCAAACGCTGGGGTTTTTGCGGTCGGCCATTCGGTGGAGAGTGGGTTGGCTTTTCCCAATTGAAATAGGGCGAGCTGGTGTGAAGCACATAGGCCGTCTGGATCACGATCACAATAAGAGCACCAGCAATCAATGCCTGGCAGAGCAACCGGAGTGGCCGGGGTAAGGCTGCCCTCCCAGGGGCCATCGCAAGGGATAAGAATGCTTCAGGTAGAAGGGACAATCATGGAAGCTGAACGTCTGCGCGTGGATATGCCAGAGAAAAGAGTAAGACAGAAAATGGTGACGTTGAAGTCAGGGTCATCACGTTGACAGACGCCATGGGTCCGCAGGTGTCGTTCAAGGATGGGTCAGGGTTCACATTGCTGGCCTATGGTGATGTGATGGGCCGATTCGATAACCCCTACAGGTTGGCCGATCCATGGATTGTTGGGACGAAGGGGCCAAGGGTGGTGACACCTGTGCATCATAGGCGCGCTCTGAATCAAGCCCCGCCTGGATGTTTGATCCACGGACGCAACAAGACCACTAGACGAGGTCTCGGAGCCTCACAGCCACAGGGCTCAGCTTTTTCCTATCAGGGGTTCCCCACGAGCTGTAGGAATGCCATGGCTATGCACCAGGTTCGACCCTGCATCACCGGCGGTTGATCCTCCTTGGCGAGTAGGAGAGTTAGCCTTTGGAATTGGCAGGCATCCAGAGTCCAGCGAAGTTTGACTGACGGTTTGAGCCGCTTCGTAAGCCCTGCACGACCCACAGACAAGGCCCCGCTTGATTGGCTGCTAGGGATGGGCCGAGTATGGAACCAGCTTGGCGTTGAGAAGACAAGATCGCCAAGAACAAGCCGGCCCATTCTTCGTCTCTCTTCGTCTCTCTTAGCCAGATCTATTTGGGCTGATGTTAGAACGACGCAGAGGTCGAACCAGAATCAAACGAGGATATGAGAAGGCCTTTCCAAGGTCCAGCATTGGCCTGAAGGAATCCAGGCTGCGCCCAGTGTAACCTGTACGAAACCGTTCCAATTTCTCCGACCTCGCCCTAGCCTCCAATGCAACACGAACGAGCTCAAGGAGATCGGCTGGCCGCATCTTATTCCTCCATTGGTACTACTAGTGTGCAAACGGGATGGGTTGTCGATTCATCGACTCGAACAACGATCTCATAGCCGTCCAACCAATCGGAATCAACCAGTGACCTGGGGCTGTTCCTCCTGGTGTCCAAGTTGTTTCCCACAGTGACACGGGGCAGACGACCTAAGACAGGGCTGACAGCATCAGCGGTACGTGCAATAAGAATCGCCCTCTACCTAGGCACTATCTGAGTTCTTACGGGGCTGGCGAGTCCTAAGGTGTAGACCGGTGTATTTCACCCTTGGCAGCCAACACACGACAGATCGCGTGTACATTTCCCTGGTGTATGCGCACGAAGTGAATGAATGCTGAAAAAAGAACAATTGCACAGCAGTCATCCAGAGACGAGACTTGGTATCACAATTCTCTTGCTACTTTCACCATGGCATTCCAACTAGCATACGGCACTTTAACACCGTGATCGCCTAGACAGCCTACTGAACCTCCGTCCACAATATCGGTGAGCCCGGCTTGGTTCAGGGAGTAAAGCCAGGGGTTGAGGAAGCTCAATCTGGGCTTGCCATCCTCCAGTCTCGCCGCATCCAACCGGGACACAATCGCTGCGAAAACAGGTGTAGCGGTACTAAAATCACCAGTCAGAACATCGCGTAACCCGGGGACGGACTACATACCTGGTGTCTCCTATGTGAGATATTTCGCCATGATCAACAATGATATAGTTGTTGGCCTGCGCGGCGACATCGGGGACCGCTCTTCCGTGGGGATTGTACATTCCATCCCTCTGGCTACCAATGCTCTCCAAAAAGCCATTATCACTGGAATCTTGATATGACGGGCGCGCGAATTGATCAGAAATGCCCCTTCTGGAGAACTCCACGGCTTTCTCTGGGGCTTATACCGATAGTACCACCCACTGAAGTGGCAAAGGGCAAGACGCTGGAAATATCGTTTGAAATCTAGTCCTGTTGGTGTTGTCGTTGGCCAGGCATGGTCGGCCAACGCCGTCATCCCCGCTGCCGAAGATCACTGAGACACCACGCGCTCCTAGTTGAGCAAATAGACTGCAAGTCGCCTCACCGTACGATTCAGGGATGCTCTGCTCTTCTTCATGATACGAGGTCGACAGGACTGCAGGCAGCTCCTCATCCAAGAGGCCCAGAAGATACTGGGGTTGCTCCAGATACTGCGCATTGACGGATTCGCCTTTGTCTGTCCCGATAGTTTCAGGGAGATATGGTGCACGACCTGAAGTGGTGTTATATGTTGCGAATGTGTCGTATGCGAGAGAGATTGCATATTGGATGTCCAAACTTGCCTCGGCGCTGGTCCCTGGATATTGATGTATTCTGCAGGTTGGGACCTCCGTGGATGGACATGTCCGAAATGCGTCGCTGGTTGAATCATTCGAATATCTGAAGCGAGATTTGTGGAACGGAGTAACTCGTGGTTCGGATTGCACGTTTATGTGCATGGCGCTTGGTATAGGTGCAAACCTTTGTCTGCATCAACAATTCGGCCTGCGACACCGGTACTATAACTTCAACCCAGTTTCCATGTGCTCTGATCGATTCTGCTGGTACATCTGCTGATGCTAGCCAAGACAGGATATGCCCCATCGTAACATCGGGAGGGTCGCTTCAACATCATCACGTTTCAAATGTCGGCCATAACTGTGATGCCCCGGCGTCGACATATCGAGAACCATCTGTTCGAATTCGGCAGCTCTCCCCTGACAAAGGGCTATATGAAACTTCATCAACTTGAACGGTGGTGTAGCAGGGCCTTTGACCCAGTCCTCTGGGACAGTTTGAAGCTGCTCGACCATAACATAGCTGGAATTAGCAACAACTATGCTGATCAGATAGCACGCGACAATGGTGATTGAACAAGAATGAATGAAGTGGCCGTCAAGCTGAAAACGAGGGAGACTTGGAGATCTTGTATCGCAAAGAAATCAGCCCCTGCCAGGAAACATCCACCGCCAACAGATTCCCCCTCAGTCTAGCAACAAGAATCAGTCTGCGGCTGGTGTCTAATGTGACTAGAAAGATTTGGTTCCAGAAATCGGATCTCAAGCCTGCCATGGTGAGAAGAAAAGAGGCTCATTCACTAGTTGAGCCGGCTAGACGCGTCAAGTCCACCAACGCCTCACTTTCAAACGGCCAACCTGAGAGAAATGTCCCACGGGCCATGCCATGCCATGGCCGTGCCTGACCTGACGTGTTTGCTAAGCTTCATCCCAGAATGGTGGCAGATGTAGATATCTAGGCGCGAGTCGGCAGTTGAGGCGATTATTGATAAATGTCGGAGCAATTAGATCAATTGTTGTCTTCCCTGCTAAGAAAAGTCGTTGGGATGGACGATTTCGTCCGAAGACGTGCATTATCTGATCCCGCTGGTCACGCACTCCAGTGATCCCTTTGTTGGTGGAATATAGTCGGCAAACGTCGTTGTTATCGAGGCCCGTAAGGGAGTGGAGACGATCGACAACGGTCTTTGATCAAGGTATGAGCCTAACCTTGTCGGGATAGCGCGACTGGACCCCAGGCCCCCAGGCCCCCAGGGTCCACTCGTTCGCCCTTCTCTACATCGTTATGGAGCAGATCGCCCTAATATCTGTCCATGTTGGATTTGTTCACAAGGCTGAGCCTGCGATGTAGACTCCAAGGTAGGCTAAATAAGCAGGGGAGCCAAGACAATAGGTAAACGAACCGGGGACCGAGCTTGTCTAGGAGCGGAGGTATGTATCCAGCAGCTCCAACAGCATATGGACTAGTATTGGTGGCAAGTTCGAGCCAATATCGCAATATTGAATTTCGAAACCGACTCCTACAATACTACTCATCTTAATAATCAGTGCATGAACATGACACTTTCATGCAGAACTCAGTCAAGCGCTGTGGGTCTGCCCCTACCTTTGCCCTTGAACCCTGTGATCACTGATGGGCATGGATGAAACAACCCCTTACTGTCAGGCACAGAGGCACCATTTGCTTTTCATCAGATTCGAGAATGAGCGAACCGGGAATCAAGACATCAAACGTAACTTGGAGACGGAGGCCGACTGGCGTGCAGAGTTGCAACTTGCAAGGGCGATCTAGATTTCTTTTTCCTGGCGGTTATCCATCGGGCTGTCCTTCGTGCCAATCGCAAGCCAAACTCGGGTAGGACAGGACACGCAGACGTGCATCAGCTGAAAGCGCTATCTAACCGTCTGCAGCACAGTCAATTAATCGGGCGCTTAGTCTGATGTCTTCCCCTCGTCATCCTGCCTGGCCAGGGCGACTTTCTCTCTCTCTCTCCGCCGAAAAGCATCATCAAAACAATTTCTTTGTGCTATCTCTGTCAATCCGTTTCATCTTGTGTCCTGTTCCATGGCTCAGCAGCCCCCGCTGTAGAGGGGCATTGTATGCACTCAACTCGCACTCGTGGCCATGTCCCATCCGCTCGTGGCAGCAGTATTCGAGCAGCTGGGCCGTCGGGATCTCGAAAATATCCTCCACGAAATCATTGGCGAGCACGCTGCGGGCCTTGCGACAGGCCTCGCTTTGAGTGCCGGTCACCATGGTCAAGCCCCTGATATGGAGTCCCTGACGCAGTCAGTGCTGTGGATCCAGACACTTTTTAATGTGCAACGGACGTATCTCCAGGGCCTGGCAACTTCACAGGACTGCCATCCGTACTTCGCGCCGAACCTAATCTCGTCAGACATTGTCAACTCAACTCTCATGTACTTGACAAAAGTCAAGATGGACCTCTTTCCCTGTTCGAAACCGACAGCTGCGGAACTCCTTAGATATCGACAACTCATTGGACACACTTTCCTCGTGGGCATTCGCCTTCTTGTCCTGCGCGGCGAACCCATGAGCTCCGATACGAAGTTCAGGCTAGAGCGGGCGATGCGATCAGCTTGGGAGCACCCTGATCTTTCTAAATCAGAAAGCTTCTTGATCAACGACCTGCTTCCCAAAGCCATCGCCAGTATCGGATCGACCGATTTGTTCCATGCTCAGCAGGCACTGCTAAAATCTAGTAAAGCATATGTCCCAATTTTCTCCTCAGGCATTGTACGTTTACACTGTCTAGGTTGCGATCGCCTACTAAGTAGCATTGACTGACGTTTCCAGTATCCTTTCCCTGGCGCACCAGATACCCTCGTAACGGACCTTTTGACCGCGCTCATGAGAAAACAAGACGATCAACTAACATCTTTCTACCTCCTATTTGACCTTTTGTGGGCCGCTGAGTCGGCGCTGATTCACTGCCACATCGACCGCCGTCGGATTTTACAGGAGCAAGGTCACGACAGTGCCAGTGGGATAAAGGTGGACGAGGCCTTCGAACAGACCCAGGACAACAGAAAAAAGCTAGCGAGGACGATCTTGGCCGCATTCGACGACGAGTTTGACACGCCCTCGCTGCAAGTACTTGCAACGGTGATACTGAGCGAAAGTGCTGGCGAACAAGCCCCTCTACAAACCAGAAGGATTAGAGATTCATGGGGGAAGCTTTCGCCGCTACGAGATTCCACAGACTCAGCCTTAGGTCTGCTAATGAGATGGCTGGTCAACCGCAGAGTTCAGCTTTGGGACTGCAATGGAGAGTTGGAAGCCTTTTCTCACGACTATCAGAAACACCTAACCCAATGGCTGCATAGTTCGTCTTCTCAGGCCACTAGCCATCCGACGAGAGTGAGAAAGGGAAACAATGGTGCTGTGTACGTTGTCAATTGTCCTGCAGTACATCCGGTTCCGGAGGCGCTCCTGGAGCAGCAGCTGAGGAGCTCCGACAAGAAGGCGTACGAAGTAGGAACACATCCCTCTTCGCGTTAATCAATTTATTTTCTTAAACGTTCTTTGTGTTGTTCCACTTTCGGCTAACTGTGCAAAAGCAATTACAAGAAAAGTCCCGATTTCTCACCATGAACGCCATGTGTCCTCTGTGTCCAGGAAAAGTCGAGATACAGCATGCCCGGATGATTGAACCACTTGACCAGGGTTCAGACGCCCTACATCACACCGGCTCCGAAAGCAGTGGGCACTATTCACTACCGGACTCGGCTTCAAGAGACACGACATCCCGTTCAAGCTCAAGGACCAACTCTACAGATCAATTATCACGCGTGGACTCGGTCGACGGCTTGAGAAGTCCGGTATCACCCATTTCGTCTAGCCTTTCATTCTTTAAATTGTCAGGCAAAAGTCACTCGCCTACGACGTCAGATATCACGAACCCGTTCATGGCTCGCCCTCGGACGGGCCAGTCACAGGAGAAGCAGCTCATCAGGTCGTTATCAAAAGACCTTAAGAGCGTAACTCTTTCCTTAACAGGGACTACTTCTCTGTTCAGGAAGGGCTCTTCGAAGACACGCAATTTACCTCGACAGCCAAAATTCTGCTTCTCGGCGTCCGGACATGGTCTTCTGATTTGGGATGTTGGGGACGGCTCGGTCATGCGATTTGAGATTAACTCTATGGATGGAAGAAAATCTAGAGGCCATCGATACGATGCAACCGGGGTGCAACATGCCGCAGCTGGAAGTAAGCGGTGTGCTATTGTTGCTTCCGCAGCAGAGGTATGGTAGATTGCGCTCTCGACGCGGAGCTTGTATCTGGTTGACAGGTCAATAGCACTACGAACTTCTGATATTCGGCAATAAAAGCGCCATTCCCGAAGCATACCTCACGGTGGAAACGCTGCAACCATCTTCACCAATCACATGTATGGTGATGTCTCGCGATGATCGATATGTGGCGTTCACTCTGGAAGACGAGGTTCGAGTATATGAAATCGATACCACCGAAATCCGTCAGGTGCGGTTGGGTGATAAAACAGACTATTATACCGTCGAGAATGCCTTGGAGGCGGATATTAATAACAGCCATAAGACGATAGCTCAGAATGAAAAGCGCGCGGGGGCAGTTGTTGCCAGGAGACTTCAATTCTCCGTTGACGGAAGACGCTTCATTGTCGCGACACATCTTGGAAATCAATACGTTTATGTCGACGTGTGGAATTGCATCGAACAACAATGGAAGCTTGAACCAGGGGGCTCGAAATCTTTTAAGCTTCCGCCTGTATGTGAAAGGCCCCAGACATCAGCCCTTGACAACCGCTAACTGCTTCCAGTGGTCGTCTGATGATGGAGATCTCACCTGCGTTTTTTATGACAGCTTCAATGAAGCAGTCGTTCTCACAGCGTTCCTCGAGAGGGCATATCCGATATCATTCTCCCTCTCTAGTGAGGCATTCACCAGCGATTCAGTCAGTCCTAGGATAGTCCACGCAGCCCAATCACCATCTGGCTCACGGTTCGTACTGGCCAATGGAATGAAGCAAATGTATCTGTGCGACTCAACCACCAGCGGTTCCCTCATCCCAACGAAAATGAAAAAGGCAATGTCCAAGATAAGCCCTTCGGCTTTCCGACCTGGTCAGCTGGCGTTCTCATTTCCTGGAGAAAACGAGGTGTTTGCTTTCTGGGCGAGAGAAGGCAAGCTGATGCTCCGAACGATCAGCCTGCACGCCAGTGGCGAGACCGTCAGCGACTACGATCTGCGATCAGAGTTCGACCGGCTGGTGATCGAACGCCCACTAGTAACTGACATCCACCGGCCGCGTCACCAGCCATCATCGCTATCACGGCAGATCGACTCGGAAATAGAAGTGATCCAGACTCAGCCTGTGTCTAGGCCCAGTGTGCCGGAGCTGCCGGCCACTTAAAAGCAATTCTTGGCGTGGATTGATGGCCTGCTATCAGTTATCAGTTATCTGTATATAGTTGTCTCAAAAGCAACGCAATATATCCGTAAAATCACCCAGCGTCCTGCAACCCTCCACGTACAGAGTACCCGTCAAAAAAGGTCTAGCGCCAAAGACGGCGAATCGATACTCCGGTACCAAAATCCTGGCGTTGCGTGATGATCAGACGACGTCATCCATTCCTGCTTGAAAGCCGCCATTCAACAGATCGAAAGCTCAATAGACACAGATCCCAAGAATCTCCACGAGACATGCAGAACCATTATTGCCGGAGGTAAGGATTACCCAAGGCTCCAACAGGAATTGGCTCGACCCCGTGGCCTGTTACCATCTCCTGCATTATTCCCCGCCAAATTTACCAAGGACGGCTGATGAGCTCTTGAGTCTTAAGGTTGACCTTTTTCTACCTATTCTTTGTTCTTGGCTAACTCGAGCTTCCCCTATGTGCCTAGATCTTACTTAACTCTGGAAACTCTCCTCTTTGGCGACTGATATCGCGCTGTGTCCGGAGTAAACGAGCTTCAGCAGGAAAACCCGTCTCTGGAATCGACGTCATCAATACCTATATCGCTACCATTGAAAGTCACACTCCGAGCAAACTGTCTTCAGAACGCTACCCCGTCAGTCTTGTATACAATCTTGCCAACCACAAGTACTATTCCGTCATGTCGGCAGCCGAGTTCGACCAGGCCCGCCGGCCGTCCCTTTCACAGAACCAAACAATCCAGAACCCAGATATACCACTGAAGGAGCGTTTTTTCCGCTATTTCCAACGTGAAACTACCGGTATGGTCTAATTGACCTTTCTTACTATGTGTTCCCTGACAGGGCTCAATCTGACTTCTGTTTTCCTTTCCTGTAGCCCTGCAGGAACAGATGGACAAGCTCTCGGATACGTCTCTGGTTGGAGGGGAGCGAACGGACGCAACTGATCACTGCCTGGCGGGGATTGCGCGGTTGTCCAACGAAGTCAAGGATGCCGCCAGTTATATTCCCACCTATGACCAGCGAATATATGCTGAAGTACGTTTCACGGCCTCACATTCTAAGGGCAGTATCTGATGGTTTCATAGGCTATAAAGTCTCTCCAGGACAAGCTGGCAGAGACCCGAGCGACGGTGGAGCCACGACCAAAGTTCAGTTTCAAGAATAAAAGGTTCGCACCGGCTCCAGGTCCTATCACTTCAATGCCGGATGCGGCAGAGTTGATGGTCCAGGGCCAGCATGGAGTGCCTGGATTCACATCACCTGGTGTATCCTCTGTTGGCTCGTCGGCACCCGGGACACCAAACTATCCCAACACCCCGTTGAATGAACCTGATAAGCAGCTGCACCTATTAAGGCCAAATGTTCCGACGTCCATCCCAAAGATAACCGTGGGTAGCCCCTCCGAGGGCGTCAAGGAACAAAGAAGCACAAACTTTGCAGCGACTACCGTTTCGTCGGTGACCGTAAACAACCATGAAGGAATGCATATCATGCTTCCAGCCTCGGGCTCGACTGCGTCAGTACCGGCATCCATCACCACCATGGACCGCTGCGTCGTCGACATGACCATTCCCACGGCCAACGGCAAACCATTTGCCAGTCTGATGGTAAAAAACGTCACAGACAGTCTTCTTCTATGTGGTGCAATTGACGGGCCCGCACATGTCACGGGTGTCCGCAATAGCATCATCGTTGTAAACTGCCGCCAGTTCCGCATGCATGATTGTCACAATGTAGATATTTACCTGAGCTCATCGAGCAATCCGATCATTGAGGATTGCGTAGGCGTCCGGTTTGGCCGCATCCCGCGAGCATATGTAAGTTACTCTCCATCCTAGTACCTTCACTTTTGCCTAGAAGACAAGGCCGTTGACATGACCATCCCACAGCACACCCTCGAGAACGACCGCCTTGACGCCGATGACCGCTGGAGTCAAGTTGAGGACTTCAAATGGATTAAACCAGATCCAAGCCCCAACTGGAGTTTACTCGGCCAGGACGCCGGGGTTCCAGAAGAGGTCTGGACTGAAATCGTCCCCGGCGGCCCTGGTTGGTCTTCAGATGAGATTTTACGTGCGGTCAACATTCTTCAGTCTTAGCCGTAATCACCGTCTGTCGTCGACGCACATAATCGATAATCATTAATCGGATCAAAGGGCAATTTTGAGTGGCTGGGTATAAACTACAATCCTATTCTTATTTACCTTTGTCTCTGGTGTTTCTATCTAGGAGACCAGACTCTGGAACTGATATAATTTGTGTCTTTGCTGGTGTTCTGGATTGGGAGTTATTTAGGGACATGAATTACTTGTATTATACGGCTCGATGTACTCTGTACGAAAGAAAACAAATGGTGTGCACATGAACAATAGCAGTGAATGGCTCGAGAAACCCAGTTAACTGCTTTATGGTTGTGACAGGAGTGAGGTAAAGGGGCTTAGAATGCCACCCTGAACACCAGAGCCTGGCTGTTGAGATTAAAGCCAGATTCATCGGCGTAGGGCAGGCGGCCAAAGTTCATGGCTCCTACAGGTTTGGGCGTTAGTACATCAAGAAGCCCTAGGAAACCTTGCTGAGGGGTAGAGGGGTGCTCACCATCTTGAGTAATAAAGTCATTATCACTAAACGTGAAGAGGAAGTACTCCGCCCTGCCTTCCTTACTCCTCTCTTCCGGCTCAACAGGAACAAGAACGAGGGACTCCCACTTCTCGTTAAGCAACCCGGAATCCTGCTCGCCGCCGTTATGCAAACCGAACTTGGCTAGCTCGGAGTCGACATTGAAGTCCAGGAAAGGGCAGTACTCGGCCGGTGTGATGTCACTGTCCAGCTTTCCCTTCGAGCTAGCGATGGAGCCAGCCGGGGAGTCGTATTCATCGCCCTTAAGGTTGGTAGTTGCGTTTGAGATGGAGAAGATGTCGACTTGACGGTATACGGAGAGGGTATCTGATGAGCCGGCGCCGAAGCCAGAGTCGCGGGAAAGGATCAGGAAGTTGTTTGCACTTCCTGGGAGGTGGAGGATTTCAGACTGAGAGGCGACCTTCTCATCGAGGTCTTCGTCTGTGTAGTCCACGTATTTGGGGAGACTGACAGCGTACTCGTGCTTGTATTGGGGTCTGTTAGGGTTGGAGATGTCGTACTGCAGCACGCGGGCTGGCTGGCGGTTCTTCTTCTTCGGACCACCCTCCTGGTTGAGAGCGGACTGGATCATGACGGTGAGAGTCTTGCCATCCGGTGAAAGCGTGAGGGCCTCGAAGCCCTGATTGTTGTTGCGGCCTGTCTCCGGGTCTTCGGGGTCAGGTAACTGGTCTGGGGAATAAAGAGGCGCGGAAGCCGCACTGAAGGAGAGCGTGCCATTGCGGCGGGGGAGATAGGCCTGTGGAGGCTGCAGGGCCAGAACCATCTTTCCCTCCCTGTTGAAGCGGTAGACATAGGGTCCGTACTCGTCTGAGATCCAAAAGTAGCCTTCGTTGTCGATGACCAGGCCCTCGGAGTCGAGAGAGACGCGTTTCCCGCCGGGTCCTGCGCTGCCAAAGCCATCGCCGACATAGGTTGCTGCAGGTAGTGGTGGGAAGCCCCGGTATGAGATGTTGCCGGTGAAATCTGGGTCGAGGCCCGTCAATGGCTTGCCCGTGGGGTCGGTGAGGAGAATGGTGTCAAGGTATTTGAAGGCCAAATTTGGCGTGGAGGGATTTTGGGCAGAGGCGTGAGGTGAAAGTGTGAGGAAGAGCTCGAACTTATGGATTCGCGGGTTGAAGTTGAGGGTTCCGTTTGTATTCCTGGAGCTTGTTAACAGGTTCATGTGGCTTTAGTTCAGAGCATGCTCACCAGCCACGGTCTGGAAGAAGATAGAAGATGCCCGAGTACGAGGTGCTATTGTTCTTGCGCCACGAGTCTTTCTCAAGTGCGGCAGAGCTACCAAGGCCAGCTAAGGTGTCACCGTACTTGTCTCGAGCGTTGGACTTTATGAATCCGTACCCCTCGAGATCGGTGTAGGCGTAGCTTATGCCCCCGCATGTGGTCGTGTTAACAGAGTTAGGATGAGCATTGCGCCCTGGGACAGCAGCTGTTGAAGTTGCGATTAGAGGCAGCGTTTTAAGGAGGATAGACCACTTCATTGTGAAGTTGAATTATTCAAGCCCAGCTTCGACAGTTAGAAAATTGGCCATCAGGCAACCTGACGATAAGCTTTGAGAAATATATAAGTGGCTCAACTTTTGCAAGAGCAATACCCAACGAATGGGATCAAAGCTGGCAGCGATGTTCTAGAAAGCGCTGATCGTCCCCAGGAGAAATGAGGGCTTTGAACGTGGCCGAAGCAAGGCCGGTGATTTGCTGAATAGATATGTACTCCGTAGAGTTGTTCCTGCAGCAGATCCAATGATGTCTTGCAGTGGCTGCGCTGCAACCGAAGATGCGGCCATGGAGTTAGTTACCGATATAGCGACTTGGCAGCTGTTTACAATGGCAGATTAAACCCGATTTGATCAGATGTGTGGAGATTATCATGTCATTTCTTCTCTGCACGTTTGCCTATCTTGCATTCTTACTTGTCTGATCTGTCTCCCGTGAAGGACGCACAGCGAGTCAGTAGCTTCCAACAACCCCACGCCTACTACTCCGGAGTAAGCTACTCCCAAGTGGTCTCCAGTTTGGCGTATTTCTCCTGAGCGTGGTATCCCAGATCTTCGTAGATCGCGTGATCACCTAGTTGGGGTTAGCGGGCTCAAACAGAGTCCAATAGCAGGTGAAGATAGGGACATGGTCTTACCACCCAGAGTCTCAATCCTTTCCTCGTTCTCGTCTTCCATTTTAATCAGTTCTTCTTCGGGCTGCTCCTCTTCTGGTCGCTTGTCGCCTTCATCTGCCGTCGCAGCTTTCCCAAGGTCGCCGACTGCTGAGCCAATCATAAGGAATTGTGCGTTCGGATAGTCCAGTAACTCGGGTTCCGCTGGAATCCAACGGAGGTCTCTGAACTTCTCTAGGATACTACAGTATGTGAAGTCAGCACACACCGGGATCGACATGATAGAAAGAACAGGCTACTGACCTCTCAGGATATTCAGGCCCCTTCGGGAGACGGGCAAAAGGTGGGCTAGGGAACTTGGGGTTCTTGGACTGCAAAAGCCAGCTACCACGTTCACTGAGCCCGAAATCTTCTTGGATCTCTCCAGCTTTCTCCGGAAGTGTAATATGGTAGACAATATGAGTTGCTCGCTTGGTTGAGGTCATGGCATACACACCCTCCGCATAGGGCTTCGCTTCTGGCACCTCCCGTGTACCACGAGTAGAAGTTTCATAGGTATGGCCAGCAATGAAGCCCTCTTGCAGCTGCTTCATAGAAGTACCGGCTTTCTCGACGAACCCCATTTCTCTGTCTTTTCCTGATCTCGGGTACTTCTTTTTGGGCAGCATCATCAATCGGCATTTTGCACCAGAATCCACTGCGCCCTGTTCACGGTCTATAGCCGCCCCCAATGGTGTAGGACGTAGCACAAAAAAGCTCCGCGCCACATCCTGAACACCGTGCGCCTCCTCGACATTAACTCGACCGCGATAAAAGAAGTAGATAATGCCTTTTTCGAGAATGTTCGATGGAACGATCTCCTCTCGGTGTTCAGACGTCTTCATCCCAGCCTCTGTTCCATTTGCAGCACCGTCAGGCTTGCCATCGGTACTTTCCGGCTTCTTCTCATGGCTCTCCTGGTGTTTCTCTTGAGGCTGCTCCTGGAGCTTTCCCTGGGGCTTCTCAGGTTCTTGTTGATCATCGCGTGATGTTCCCTCCGGCTTAGCTTGAGGTTCGGCATCCTTTACATCTGGGCCATCCACTGGCTTTTCATCTAACTTGGATGCTTGCTCTAGTCATGATCAGTCTTAGTAAGTTGATTTGTCTCCCAGTGCGACTCACCCTGTCCAGACTCTACTTTCTCAGGAGATTGTTGGGGTCCTTCTTCCTTGATCTGTTCTGGTTCATCTTCGGTATCCTTCTTCTCTCTCTTTGGTTCTGGAGCCTTTTCGGTGGAACCTTTACGCTTTGTGCCAACGGATCCCCTTCTCTTGACGTCCGGGGCGGCTGCTATAGCTTCTTTTGCCTTTTGCGCAGCATGACGGGTGGAAGTGCGCGTTGCCATGGTCAGAACGTACCAATTACGTGAGTATCAACAGAATTGTCCGATAAAATAGCGTCTTGCACAGTACAATGGGCTGGTAATGAAACTGGCGAAGCTCGAGCTCAAAGCTCAGTTATAAGATGAGGATTCCATGACGTCATCACCTAGGTTCTACAGACCGTCACGTGAAATGAAGGCCATCGAACGGGCTGGATTCTGCGGTCTACCACGCTCAGTGACACCTTCTATGCTAGAAATGGACAAGGTAGCACGATGCCGGATCAGTCTAGGTCCATGGCGTCTGGGGTAGAGAATCCATTGGTGAGGTTAGTGCCGCTTGCCTCCGTATCCGTAGAGACGGACGTGTAGGATGAGCCACTAAATCCTCGAGGTCTTTGAATGCGAATCTTTTGAGCCGGGTTAAGTGGTCTGTCCCTGGGTCGTTTATCTCTTTTCCGCGGCCTTTTTGGGCTTAGATTTGGACTTGCATATTGCGCATCTGATACAGAAGCCGATTTCTCAGGCTGGGCAGCCTGGGGGAGAATTGTGAGGGCAGGAGGTTTTCTCTTCCTGCCTCTTTTCGAAGAAATCGACCCTGGACTGCTATTATCGGAGTCGCAGTACAGGTCTTCCATCGAGGACACCAGCTCTTCCCAGTATCTGCGCTGTATGTGCTGCGGCAAACTTGACAGCTCGGGTTCGGATGTAGATTCCTCTCCTGGCTCCTCAATGTCATATGGTTTCACTGCTTCACTCCCGAAACTGGCTTCTTGGATACCAGGAGGCAAGTCCTCGATGTCATATATTTCCGGTCCATTAACTGCACGTCTTTCTCTATTCGGTTGGTCGTGTTCGGGTTGAGAAGCAGGCGCCGAGTTGTCTTTGTCCAGCTTCAAGGAAGGCTGGAACAAATCCGGCGCCTGCCTATGCTCTCCCATATTATCGAGGCCTCCAGTATGCGGAATGCGGTAAATCGAGCGGTTCAGTCGCAAATATGATAATAAGAGGAAGGTTTAGCTCCAAGCGGGCGTTAGGCATCGGGGATATCCGGTAGTAGACAGTCCACATGGATGGAGTATACACTCAGCTCATTATTAAGACGTTCAAACATCATCTAGTCTGCCCGTCCTCAAGGGCAAACGGAGACTAGAACGTAGTTCTCGGGCAACAATGCGGGCGATGCAGCCCCTCACCGCCCTGGGCACGATTGGCCGACGCTACTCGCTTATTCAATAAGTCCACGTTACCGCCATCCAAGGTGTCCTGTCCAGACTCCAGACCCCGGACTGTCAATAAAGACGCATACAAGCTACGTCTCCTTGTTCTTCTGCTCAATTGCCCTGTTGTGCAGTGGATGAGGTAGTTGCCTTTGTGATACCCCTATCTACAGTGCGCGGAGCTTGCTTCTGCTTCTATATGGTGCGGCTCCGGCCAACCCTCCTTCAAGATGCAATCCTCCCCAAACATGCTCACCAAGGTATGATTGACTCCCCTTATCCTGTCTGTTTTTTTTTTCCCGACGGAGAACTAATTGATTTCTCGAAATAGTTTGAGTCAAAATCCTCCCGCGCAAAGGGCATTGCCTTCCATCCCAAACGGTCAGTCGGAACGCCTACCCCCTACTTGTCGCACCCGGCGGGCTAACTCCGGTACAGGCCATGGATTCTGGTGTCTTTACATTCATCAACCATCCAGCTATGGGATTATCGTATGGGAACACTCATTGATCGATTCGAAGAGCATGATGGCCCTGTCCGGGGCATTGACTTCCACCCGACGCAGCCCCTCTTCGTCTCCGGAGGTGACGACTACAAGATCAAAGTCTGGAACTATCAGACTCGGAGATGTCTTTTCACATTGAACGGCCATTTGGATTATGTGCGAACAGTGTTCTTCCACCCCGAACTGCCATGGATCCTGTCCGCGTCGGACGACCAAACGATCAGGATCTGGAACTGGCAGAACCGATCATTGAGTATGCCGAGCTATAGCCACCTGTCATAACCGTTACTGAGCTTTGATACTTAGTTTGTACCATGACCGGTCACAACCACTACGTGATGTGCGCGCAATTCCACCCGACCGAAGACCTCATCGCCTCCGCTTCGCTAGATCAGTCTGTCCGTATCTGGGATATCTCTGGACTGCGGAAGAAACACTCGGCGCCGACCACCATGTCATTCGAAGATCAGATGGCCCGGGCCAACAATGCACAAGCAGACATGTTCGGAAACACTGACGCAGTCGTGAAGTTCGTGTTGGAGGGTCATGATCGAGGCGTGAACTGGGTTGCCTTCCACCCGTCACTTCCCCTGATCGTGTCGGCGGGAGATGACCGTCTCATCAAGCTTTGGAGAATGAGCGGTATGCTATAATAGTGTTCAAAGGTACAATGTGTCGTCGCTAACTTGATTCAAGATACGAAAGCATGGGAAGTCGACACCTGCCGAGGTCACTTCCAGAATGCATCCGCCTGTCTTTTCCACCCTCACCAAGACCTTATCCTCTCCGTAGGTGAGGACAAGACAATCCGTGCTTGGGACCTCAACAAGAGAACATCCGTCCAGTCCTTCAAGCGGGATGTGGATCGATTTTGGGTCATTGCTGCCCATCCGGAAATCAACCTATTCGCCGCCGGTCACGACACCGGAGTGATGGTCTTCAAGCTGGAGAGGGAGCGGCCCGCATCCGCCGTGTACCAAAACCAATTGTTCTATATCACCAAAGAGAAGCATGTTAAGTCATTTGACTTTGCGAAGAACGTTGAATCTCCGTCTATGCTATCACTGCGCAAACTGGGATCCCCATGGGTGCCTCCCCGCACACTTTCATACAACCCCGCCGAGCGTGCCGTGCTCGTAACATCCCCCGCGGATGGAGGTGTTTACGAACTGATCAACCTTCCCCGAGATGCCACTGGCGCAATTGAGCCCACGGACGTCAAGCGCGGCCAGGCTTCCTCGGCTGTCTTTGTCGCGCGCAACAGATTCGCTGTCTTCAGCCAGGCCAATCAGCAGGTGGATATCAAAGACTTGAGCAACTCGACAACAAAGTCCATCAAGCCTCCGGCTGGAACGACCGACATCTATTTCGGCGGTACTGGCAGCCTTCTCTTTATCACACCCACCTCCGTCGTTCTATTCGATATCCAGCAGAAGAAGCAATTGGCGGAGTTGGCCGTTAGCGGTGTTAAGTACGTTGTGTGGTCTAACGATGGGCTCTATGCGGCCTTGCTCAGCAAGCACAACGTCACCATTGTCACGAAGGGCTTGGAGCAAGTGAGCAGCTTACACGAGACTATTCGTATCAAGAGCGCAGCTTGGGATGACGCTGGCGTCCTTCTCTACTCTACCTTGAACCACGTAAAATACTCCCTGTTGAACGGGTAAGCCTTACTCTTGATATCTCCGACCATAAAGCTTGAGCTAATTCCATTATAGTGATAGTGGTATCATTCGGACTTTGGACCAGACGGTCTATCTGGTCAAGGTCAAAGGCCGAAGCGTCTACTGCCTGGATCGTGCCGCCAAACCAAGAACCCTGGAGATTGATCCCACCGAGTACCGCTTCAAGCTCGCACTTGTCAAGAGGAACTACGATGAGATGCTGCAGATCATCAAAACATCCAGCTTGGTCGGCCAAAGTATCATCTCCTACTTGCAAAAGAAGGGCTACCCAGAAATCGCGCTCCAGTTCGTCCAGGATCCTCAGACTCGCTTCGAGCTTGCATTGGAGTGTGGCAACCTCGAAGTTGCCATTGAAATGGCTAGAGAACTAGACCGTCCTAACCTGTGGACCCGACTTGGTACTGAGGCTTTGGCTCACGGAAACCATCAGATCGTAGAGATGGCTTACCAGAAGCAACGGAATTTCGATAAGCTGTCGTTCCTGTACCTGTCTACAGGCGATCAAGAAAAGCTTTCAAGGATGGCGAAGATTGCGGAGCACCGTGGAGACTTTACCTCCCGCTTCCAGAACGCTATTTACCGAGGCGATGTTGAGGATAGGATTCAGATGTTCAAGGAGGTGGATCTCTGTAAGATGAACCTTCTTCCTGTCTATGGCTATATCTTCTAACCGAATCTAGATCCCCTTGCATACCTCACTGCCAAGGCACACGGCTTGACTGAGGAAGCGGAGTCCATCCTTGAGGCGGTTGGGTTAACGGCAGACCAGATATCCCTCCCCACAATTGAAGCCCCTCCCCAGGTACCCCAACCTATTGTCCCTACTTACAAGGCAAGCTGGCCCGTCAAGGCTGCTGCACACTCTTCGTTTGAGAAGGCCTTGCTGGGTGAAGTTGGCGCAGGCGATGAAGAAGCTGCGGAGCTAGGCTTTGAGCCCGAAGAAGAGGAGGGTGCTGTTACTGCAGGTGAGATACTGGAAGATGAGGATGAAGATGGTGCGGGTTGGGATATGGGCGATGAGATAAACGTTGAGGAAGATGTCGACTTTGTCAACGTTGACAGCGCCGAAGCCGGCGCTGGCAGCACTGAAGCCGACCTCTGGGCCCGCAACTCTCCCCTGGCGGCGGACCATGTTGCTGCTGGATCTTTCGACACTGCAATGCAACTCCTCAACCGTCAAGTCGGAGCTGTTCACTTCGCTCCTCTCAAGCCTAGGTTCCTTGAAATTTTCAAGGCATCCAAGACCTACCTCTCTGCAACTCCCGGCCTTCCTCCGCTTGTCAATTACGTCCGACGAACTGTTGACGAGACGGATAGCCGTAAAGTGCTGCCAGCTATCCCCAAGGATCTCGAGACCATTGCTAGCGTCGACCTGCAAGAAGGCTACGCAGCGATGAGGGCTAACAAGCTGGAGGAGGGCGTACAGATTTTCAAGAGCATCTTGCACTCTGTTCTTGTAAATGTCGTTTCGTCCGAGGCGGAAGTTGAGCAAGCGAAGAAGGTTATCGCAACTGCCCGAGAGTATATTCTTGCCATGACTATCGAGCTGGAACGCCGCGCTCTTTCGACAGAAACGCCTGAGGGTCTCAAGCGAAGCCTCGAGCTTTCTGCCTACTTCACCATCCCTAAGCTGGAAGTCGCCCACAGGCAACTGGCCCTCATGGCAGCCATGAAGCTTGCGTTCTCTAACAAGAACTACTCCTCCGCCCTCAGCTTTGCTAACCGCATGCTGGCCAACGGTGGATCCGCTAAACTCTTGGATCAGGTTAGTATCAATTCTTTCCCAGCCTTGACAACCACGCGCTAACTGTACACAGGCCAAGAAGGTCAAGGCTCAATGCGAGCGTAACCCCCAGGATAGTATCGAGATAGAATTCGACCAATTTGCCGAGTTCGACATCTGCGCGGCTTCCCACACGCCGATCTACAGCGGGTCTCCCAGCGTCTCAGATCCGTTCACCGGTGCCAAGTACCACGAACAATACAAGGGTACCGTCGACCGGATATCCGAAGTGACTGAGATCGGCGCGCCGGCCAGTGGACTGCGATTGTTTGTCCCTAGCCAACTCTAATTCCATGACGACGTGTGATGGGTTATGTTTAAAGATAGAAAAGTGGACTCCTATCTTCTTATGGACTGACTCACGGTCCCGAGGTCCTGATACATAGATATATGGATCTTTTGCCTGTCTTCAATAATTCTTGAGCGATGTTAGTATAATATTCTTTTTCTGTGAATGCAATGGATGTTGAACCGTGATTTGGGAGATGTCTAGTCTATTGATATGGTACATTTCTCATGAAGATAGATATATACAGAGCAGAGCGGCCCATCCATTGTCCACACGAGTGGTTTTGCCAATAAGCAAATCCTCATCCCTATCTGTACATCGAATCAATCACACCTCCCATCCTTCCACCCGTCTTTCCACCTCTGCTCCCAAAGCCTACAATCAAACTCCTTCTTGCCAAGCTTCCGGTTCACCTCATTATGCGCCTCGCACATCCAATTTCCGAAGTCTTTGCGCCCGCCAAGTCGCGGCTGGTTCTTCCCACTTGGCTCCGCCATCCAGTTGCGGAAATCGTCAGCGCACACCCAGCATGGATATAACTTCGACAGCAGCGTCAGGAACGACCGCATATCGGCCTGTTCGCTTGCTGACGCCTTCTCGGGGTATGTTGCTGTCAGGCTGTGCAGAAGGGTCCAGGTGGAGCGCCCAAGGACTTCAACGTCGGGAGGGCATTCAGGCTTCGTGGTTCCGCGGCCGGTGCTTTGGGATATTGTTTCTTGGGGTTGCGTCGCTGTTGTGGTGGATGCGGCGGCGGCGCTTGAGGCTTTGGTTTGTTTTGTTAGGTTGCGCCAGGCGGCGGCGGAAGTACAGAGGCGGCATCTAGATATACGGAATTCGTGTTAGTTCCTATTCCTTTTCTATCTTTAAATGTATTGTGCTGCGACGCTGCATGAAAGAGAATCGCATAGCTTGGAGAAAACGCACGGTTTCCCATCCTTGTCTAGGACGTATGGTTTCCCCTGCTCGTCGCGTTGTACCGCTGCCGGTTTCGAAGCCTCATTTTTGGCTTCGGATGATGACGACGAGCGTGCTGGGGCTTGTGATGAGGCATGAGGAAAAAGTGTCGGAGGATTTGTTCGCCATTGCGGTTGCGATTGCGGCTCGTCTGCCATGGTCTCTGCTGGGCGAAGGTGTGTATATGTGACTGGGGAGGTTTGAACTATTCAGTGGTTATGCAGAGTGTATGTATATGAAGTCACAGTCGTATATCGACCTCATCTATAGCTAATTCCTAGGTCCGATATGACTGTAGCTGTTGCGATTTTATATGAGCCCGCAGAGGGATTCGGGGACATTATTCAGTGGCTTTGTCAGCGGCGGGCGGATGCCGACTCGAACCGATCCGCGTCTGGACTCTCGATCTCGACGGGGAGAAGCATTGCGGAGTATTATGCTGGAGACATTATTGACCAACCTTGGAAGTGGTCTGCGGAGAAGATTGCAGTTCGAGAATTAACTAAAGCTTTCACAGTCGATTTTCACAGTCGGTACTATTCACCCTCTTGGCTCGATACTGATTAAGCTCCTCATCGGCTTGACTTGCAGGCTTGCAGCTCCTTTGCCCGCAATCCTTTCTCCATTTAAGCTCTCGTCGCGTCTGGCACGCGTTCTCGAAGCTCCGCGCGGATCGATATTTCAGTCTTTGGAAGCAACACTTATTTTACGACCAAAGAGTCCATTGAAGAAAAATAAATAAACAACATGGCTCCGCGATATGCCGTTGCCGATTCAGACCCCGAGTCTGAGCACGACCTGTCGGACACATCCCCGCAGCCCTCCGATAAGAAACTAGAGCAAACTCTGCGCGAAACGGTCGCCACAATATTCAAGACAGGGAAGACGGAGGATTTGACGGTCAAGAGAGTCCGGTTGGCAGCCGAGAAGGCACTGCAACTAGAAGATGGTTTCTTCAAATCCAATGGCGACTGGAAAGCGAAAAGTGATCGTATAATCAAGGATGAAGTAGTAGGTAATCGTAGAGGAGTAGTTGGGCTGATTGTGGCTAATTTAATCATGTCAATAGGAAATACAAGATGCTGCAGCACAGAACTCAGAGGTCGGCGAAGAGGAAGACGTCGCAGACACCCCATCCCCGAAAGCTACCAAGCGGGCCAAACCAAAAGCTTCTTCAACGTCCCGCAAACGCCGCAAGACGAGCACAGAGAGCGACGCGAATGGCGATGTCAATGATGAGGAGGCAAGGGACGTAACGACCAAAGGAACCAAATTGAAAACCACAGAGAGCCCCAGACCTGGTTTGTCCGAGGAGAAGGTTGTGGACGACTCTGATGAAAGCAAAGACGATACCAAGCCATCCGAGCAAATGGCAGAAGCGGCCGGTGATTCAGAGAGTGAAATGTCAGTGGTTCTGGATGAAGAACCTCAGCCGAAACGTCAGCGACAAAAGAAGAGCACCGGAGCTGCTTCTGCAAAGGGAAAGAAGAAGACGCCTGCCAAAGCAAAGGATGCAGACCTAGACGCTAACCAGGCGGAAATAAAGCGGTTGCAAGGATGGTTGATCAAGTGCGGGATTCGCAAAATGTGGGCACGAGAGCTGGCTCCTTACGATACACCCAAGGCAAAGATCAAGCACCTCAAGGACATGCTGAAAGACGTGGGAATGGAAGGGCGGTACTCATTGGAGAAGGCCAAACAGATCAAGGAGGAACGTGAACTGCGTGAGGACATTGAAATGGTACAAGAAGAAGCAAAGCGCTGGGGTAAAGACACTGCAGAAGACGGCAGTGATAGCGGTCCTCGTCGCCGTTTGAATCGAGGTCGAAAGGCCCTTGCCTTTCTCGAAAGCGAGGGAGAGGAAACTGACTGATGCCATGCACTTGCTGCTGTTATGATGCCTTTTAGCATGTATTATGTGACGCTTGTATGATTGAGGAGCCATTGAGCCCATCCAATAGGACCCGCGTCCAGTGTTCGTCGCATCATTTCGCCAGCTTGGAACCGCTCATACGTTGGGCTGCTAGACTAAACACCGCGACAGATGATATGAACAGCACGAGATTGTAGAACTGTGTCGATATCAGCTAGAACTGCTCGTGCTTCGCGATACAGAGGTGAGCGCACTGCGTTCCGAGAATATTCATTCTCCTCCGCTTCGGATCTGGCCTCGACGAATAGGCGCCGTAGGTTGGGGAGGTTTGCCTATGACAGTATTGGCAGCAATTCTTCTTTCCCAGATAGTAAATCATCATTCGGGTAAGTCAATCAACTCACCATGTTAGCAATTATTGTGGGCAGAGGAAGGGAAGGAGACGGAGGTGAAGAAGCGCGACTCCAGAGTGGTTGAGATCAGCCGCTTTGTGGACAACCAACTCTTTTCGGTCCAGACCGACCTCATCTCCCCAGCTCCATCTGCCGACTCTCCTTCTCCTTCTTTTCTGCTTCTTCCCTCTTCTAGACCCTATACTGGGGCAATAATGATTCAATAATTACCTACGCGCCTTGACTTCTCTGTTCCGCTCTCTCGCAGCTTGCTCCAGGCGGTCCACATATCCCTGAAGCGAACGTCCGTCTCCGTGGCCCAACTCCCCCGCAGTGGTTGACAAGACCACGACTTTGCTTTCCTCCATTTCCCTACATTGACTCTGCGGAGGCGCGACTTTGTCGTCGCTGAAGCTCGCCCTCAGCTATCATGGCGATGAACAGGATTCGCGGCGCCTTTGCGGTGCCCAGAAAAGGAGAGACGTTCGAGTTGCGAGCCGGTCTGGTGTATGAATTTCCGTTCCACAGTTCAGCAGTGGTCTTAATGCTAATAAATCGATAGCTCACAGTACGCCTATGAGAGGTATGTCACATCGTCGTGCGAATCATGCGGAGTACCTTCCGGCGTCCGGAACAGTGTCTGATTGTCATTGCAGAAAGGAGGCGATTCAGAAGACCATCATGGCCATGACCCTGGGAAAAGATGTATCCGCTCTCTTCCCTGACGTCCTCAAAAACATTGCGACCTCCGATTTGGAACAGAAGAAGCTGGTATATCTTTATCTCATGTGAGAAAAACACCCCGCTCCCCCGCACGACTGCCCACTAATGCCGGACTACGTGAGATAGGAACTACGCCAAATCACATCCTGACCTTTGTATTCTCGCCGTGAACACCTTTGTGCAAGACTCCGAAGACCCGAACCCTCTCATCAGGGCACTCGCAATCCGGACAATGGGCTGTATCCGAGTGGATAAAATGATCGATTACATGGAAGAGCCGCTCCGAAAGACGCTGCGAGACGAGTCGCCATACGTACGAAAGACTGCTGCCATCTGCGTTGCCAAATTATTTGACTTGGGACCAGCTATGTGCTTGGAGAATGGTTTCCTCGAAATGCTTCAAGAGATGATTGGTGATCCGAATCCCATGGTGGTGGCCAACTCCGTAACGGCTCTTTCTGAGATTCATCATGCTGCGCCGGAAACCCAGGCGCTTCAAGTCACTCCGAATACACTCCGGAAGCTGCTAATGGCGTTGAACGAGTGCACTGAGTGGGGCCGCGTCACAATCCTCACGACACTGTCAGAATATAGAACAAGCGCAGTGAACGAAGCAGAGCAAATCTGCGAGCGAGTCGCGCCTCAGTTCCAGCACGCAAACCCTAGTGTGGTGCTGGCAGCCGTCAAAACTGTCTTTCTTCACATGAAATTAGTCAACGCGGAGCTTTCGAAGACATACCTCAAGAAGATGGCTCCTCCGCTAGGTATCTGGAATATTACCTGGTGTGTATGTTAAGCTGCTGACCTATGTTTTCAGTGACCTTGGTATCATCTGCCCCAGAAGTACAATATGTGGCCTTACGGAACATCGATCTCCTGCTGCAGAAGCAGCCGGATATCCTCAACAAAGAGCTCCGCGTTTTCTTCTGCAAGTACAACGACCCTCCTTATGTCAAGTTCCAGAAACTTGAAATTATGGTGCGGATAGCCAACGACCGGAACTTCGACCAGCTACTAGCAGAGCTGAAGGAGTACGCCCTGGAGGTGGACATGGATTTTGTACGCCGTGCGATCAAGGCTATCGGTCAGGTCGCCATCAAAATTGAAAGCGCCTGTGAGAAGTGTGTCAATACTTTGCTCGATTTGATCAATACCAAGGTCAACTACGTGGTGCAGGAAGCCATTGTGGTGATCAAGGATATTTTCCGTAAATATCCCGGCTATGAAGGCATCATTCCCACACTCTGCAAGTGTATCGATGAGTTAGATGAGCCAAACGCCCGGGCTGCCCTTATTTGGATCGTTGGAGAGTATGCCGAGAAGATCAGCAACGCTGGCGATATCTTAGCTGGATTCGTCGAAGGATTCAATGAAGAATTTTCTCAGGTTTGTTCAGCTGCACCATGTGCCGGCTAATACCCAGGCTAAATTTGATTTCCAGACTCAGTTGCAGATCCTGACGGCTGTCGTGAAGCTGTTCCTGAAGCGCCCAGACAAGGCTCAAGGTCTGGTGCAGAAAGTCCTTCAGGCAGCAACGGCAGAGAACGACAATCCCGATGTCCGTGACCGAGCCTATGTTTACTGGCGATTGCTCTCCAACACCAGTGATCCCGATGCTGCCAGGAATATTGTACTCTCCAAGAAGCCCCCAATTGTCACCACTATTCATTCCCTACCTCCTGCTCTTCTTGAGCAGCTTCTGATGGAGCTCTCCACATTGGCTTCCGTCTATCACATGCCTCCAGAGCAGTTCGTTGGCCAAGGCCGTTTCGGTGCGGATGCTGTCCAGAAAGCAGCTATTGAGTAAGTCTACGCAATCGTATCATTGACAGCCCTTGAGCTAATGCACCCATCTAGGGAGCAACTTCAGAACGCGCGCGAAAATCCGTTGGCTGCAGCCGCTGCTGCGGCAGTTGATGGCACGTCAGCACCTCAGCAGCAGAACAACGTGGAGAACCTTCTGGATATCGACTTCGATGGCACTGCACCCGCATCGGCTCACAAGGAACCAGGTGGCGGTGTGTCCGGCCTGGAAGGTCTGGCTGGTACTCCCGTCCGTGTTGAGTCTCCCGCCGGCGGTGTACCCTCAGGGAACAATAACCTGGATGACCTTCTTGGTGTCTTTGGGGACAGTGCCCCGTCAACTACTAGTGCAGGTGCACCTCCCAGTGGTGGTGCCGGGGCTGACCTTCTCAATGGCTTTTCTGGTCTGGATCTCACTGGCGGCATGTCTTCGCCCCCGCCTGCCTCGGGCTCCAACCAGCCAAAGAAGACTAACGAGGACATTATGTCATTGTTCTAATCAGGTGAAAATTAAGCGTTCTTGTTTTGTGGGGATGAAAGCTCTATACTAGCTGAACCGCATCAGCAAGTCAGGCAATGAGCATAGTTTACCCGGGATACTTCCTCCTAATCTCCACCACTCGATTGTACGATCCATCGGTGGCGCTATGATATCTTCATCTATCTTTCTTGTATATTGCCATCCCTTTCAGCATGACTTCCTATGGTGTCTGGCGCCGCCAACGGAAATTAGACCTGTTATTTAAGATTATATTGTTAACACAGCCGTCGAAAACATGGTCTCGGATTCGGAAGCATCTGCTCCATCAGTAATTTGTATCCACATTTGTTGCTCTAGATAAACTTTGATCAGTACCCCCCGCCTATCTCCAACTATCATTAATAATCCGGCATCGCCTTCTTCCTGTTTCCAAAGAGGATCTCTCGATCCGATAATTGTGGGACCGAAACAGACCGACGGCAATGCAATGCCGAGTTGATAAGCCTGGATGGCAGTGGCCCTGACCCAGATAAATAGAGTTCCTGGACCCCGGTTTTATGGTTGACCCCTCTCTTTACATTAAAATCCACTTTCACTACCTGAACGCCCTTATACTCTTAACTAGTGATCATCATGGCGCAGCAGGACTACAAGTTCGAAGGATGGATGGGCCTGGACAAGAACTCGGCGGACGGCAACATGGTCTGGCAGGAGTTTGAGCCAAAGCCTTGGGAAGAAACGGATGTTGATATCAAGATCACGCACTGCGGTATCTGCGGATCTGACTTGCACACTCTCCGAAGTGGTTGGGTGAGTTGAGCCAATTTCCCCGTACAGAGGTTCTTGCCAAAGGCGGAAGGAGGACATACAAGAGCCCCTAACTAACCCATCTTCAGAGACCTGCTCTTTACCCTTGCTGTGTAGGCCACGAGATCGTTGGCACGGCCGTCCGCGTCGGTTCCAAGGCCGTTGGAGGCATCAAGGTTGGAGACCGAGTCGGAGTCGGTGCGCAGAGTGACGCCTGTGTGGGCCGCTTCGGCGACTGTCCCGAATGCGCAATGGGCTGGGAGAACTACTGCTCGCACAAGTTTGTGTCAACTTACAACAGCGTGCATTTCAATGGCGGTAAATCCTACGGTGGTTACGGGTTGTATAACCGTTGTCCTTCCCACTTTGTGATCAAAATCCCCGATGCTGTTCCCTCTGCCGAAGCTGCGCCGATGCTTTGTGGCGGTGTCACTCTCTATGCCCCGTTGAAGCATAACAACTGCGGGCCTGGAAAGCGCGTCGGAATTATTGGTGTTGGAGGTCTTGGACACTTTGGTGTTCTCTTTGCTAAGGCTTTGGGTGCTGATAAAGTTGTTGCTATCTCGCGAAAGAAGGGGAAGAGCGAGGATGCGCTGAAGATGGGCGCTGATCTCTATATCGCGACTGACGATGAGCCGGACTGGGCTACCAAGTACGCTCGCTCTTTGGATTTGATTGTTTGCACCGTCTCCTCGACTAAGGTACGTTCTTTGTTTTGATACTGCTGGTTCCCGGGCGCTCAGACTGACACTTGAAAAGATGCCTATGACCGAGTATGTTGGCCTGCTTGCAACGAATGGCAGCTTTGTGCAGGTTGGTCTGCCTGAGGACGGAACGCTCAATGCACCAGTTGCGAACCTGAAGCGCCGTCTCAAGATGGAGAGCTCTCTCGTCGGAAGCCCGAACGAGATTAGGGAGATGTTTGCACTGGTTGCGGAGAAAGGCGTGAAGCCATGGATTGAAGAGGTCCCTATGAAGGACGCCAACAAGGCTATTGTCGATATGCACGAAGGCAAGGCCCGATACCGCTATGTGCTGGTGAACGAGGAGCACTAAAGAAAGACTTACGGCTGCTTTTGATGAGTGATGAGATTTTAGAGAAGAATATAGACTAGAAATGAATGAGCGATGAAAAGTACTCCGTGTACAGGGTACTGTAATGCTTTGAACGGAGTCATGGACTAACTCCGGCCAATCGTTGCCGCACGTGACTTGTATCGCCGCTGTCGGAAGCGCTAGTCCCAAAATAGCGACACCCCGCGGTCATTCTTTTTGGATAGAGGCGAAGACTTGACTCACTGCTCGGTTCTAGTGCCTTTGTCCTTATTTTGACTTGCTTGTGAGATAAGAGCGAAGGCGCTGTTTGGATTCGAGCAATTGCCCTTCTTTTTCCCTCTCTCAATTGACCATGTCGCATACACTCTCCCAAAAGTACCTCAGTACGCGGGGTGGTTCCCACGGGGTAAGTTATGGCTGACTCCGTCGCAAAGCAGAGTGTAGGTCTGGCTAACCTCTCATTGCGCTATACAGTTCGGCTTCGAGGAAGCTGTTCTCAAGGGACTGGCTTCAGATGGCGGTCTCTTCATCCCCGAGGAAATCCCTTCACTCCCCGCTGGATGGGAGACGGAGTGGCGCGATCTGAGCTTCGAGGAGCTCGCATTCAACATCATGTCTCTATACATCTCGCCGTCTGAAATTCCGTCTGAAGACCTCAAGGATATCATCAACCGCTCCTACTCAACCTTCCGCCACCCCGAGCGTACACCCATCGTTGAGCTTGACTCGAAGCAGAACCTCTACCTTCTGGAGCTGTTCCACGGCCCTACATTCGCTTTCAAGGACGTTGCGCTTCAATTCCTTGGAAATCTGTTCGAATACTTCCTTGTGCGCAAGAACAAGGGAAAGGAGGGCAAGGACAGGCACCATCTCACTGTATGCATATTTATCGCATTCACATTCTTGAAGTTGTCTCACAGGGCTGACCATTCACTAGATTGTTGGAGCTACATCAGGAGACACTGGAAGTGCCGCCATTTATGGAGTTCGTGGAAAGAAGGATGTCTCGATTTTTATGATGTTCCCTACCGGAAAGGTGTCGCCCATCCAGCAAGCCCAGATGACGACCGTCCTTGACGCCAATGTACACAACCTCACTGTCGAGGGTTCTTTCGATGATTGCCAGGATATTGTCAAGGCCCTCTTCGCTGACCCCGATATCAACTCCACTCACAACCTTGCCGCGTAGGTACTCCTTCTTGGAAATTCCTTTGCCCTACTAACAGTCCCGCAGTGTTAACAGTATCAACTGGTCGCGCGTTATGGCGCAAGTGACCTACTTCTTCTACTCTTACTTCTCTCTTATCAAGAAGTCTAGCGCCGACTCCAAGGTCCGCTTCGTTGTGCCTTCCGGCAACTTCGGTGACATCCTGGCCGGTTGGTTCGCGAAGCAGATGGGTCTCCCCGCGGAGAAGCTCATCATCGCCACGAATGAGAACGACATCCTCGACCGCTTTTTCCGCTCCAACGGACAGTACACCAAGAGCTCTGCCTCAGGTAGCGGCGTCAAGGAGACACACAGCCCCGCCATGGACATTCTCGTCAGCAGCAACTTCGAGCGTCTCCTTTGGTTCCTCGCCCTTCGCACAAATACTTCCGCCGGCTCCATCGAAGAGCGCCGCAAGCAGGCCTCCGAGAGCGTCAGCCAATGGCTCAACCAGCTCAAGACCGAAGGCGGCTTCACCGTCCCTCCGGCCGTCATCGAAGCCGCCAAGTCCGAATTCGAAAGCGAGCGCGTCAGCAACGACGAGACCATCGCCCAGATTCGCTCAACCTACAACACCTCCTTCCCATCCAACCTCACCCCTGGTAGCGCTACCTCCTCCAAAACTGGCGGCTACATCCTCGACCCCCACTCCGCCGTTGGCGTTGCGGCGTCCCTTCGCTCCATCCAGCGCAACCCCGGCACCAAGCACATCTCTCTCTCCACCGCCCACCCTGCGAAGTTTGCCAGCGCTGTTGACCTTGCTCTTCGTGCTGAGGACGGCTATGATTTCACTGAGGTCCTACCTAAGGAATTCATTGGCCTTGAGCAGCGCGAGAGCAGGGTTACGCCCGTCCGCGCTGGTGCTGGGTGGGAAGGTGTCCGTGAGATTGTGAAGGCTGAGGTTGACCAGGAGCTTGAGGGTAAGCGTTAGAGGATATAGTACATACATTTTGATCCAAGATTAGACATATATACCTTTTCGTTGTTTCGGCAAGCAAAAGTTACGTTGATGATATCATTTTCTTTCCTTCTTTCGATCCATTGGCGTAACCATGGATGGGGCGTAGTGGATGAACTAAAGACAAAGGATGGGATTATTTTCTTCTAAATGTGTGTAATATTCTTTTTCTCTGAGGACAAATTTTCTGAGAAGTGAGGTGCTTGTCGATTTTGCTTAGGGTAAGCGACTGAGCGCGTGGCCACTCACCTGCGGCTCCCAGAGCTGTGAATACAGGTCGGCCCACCCCGTCTGCAGCTGACCGCAGCTTAATTAAGCTGAGGTAAGCAAGCCAAGCTTGCTTAATTAAAATTTTTAGCCTATTTTATATTTTTAATAAATTTTATTTTATACCTTATTAATATTTTAAAAAAAGTAATTTTATAGTATTTTAAATTACTTTATTATAGCTTTAACTAATAATCCCCCTAATAATCTTATAATTAATATACTTATTAATTTATTAGTATTAATGCCTTTACCTTAGCTAGTTATTAAAAAAGTTTTTATAAATTAATTAGGCTTTTTTAATAAATAAAAATAAAATATTTTTTAAAAGTATAATTAAGCCCAGGAAGCTAATTTTAGTAATAAGGTATAAAAACCCTTAATTACTTTTAAAGTATTTTTTAACTACTTTTTTAAGAGCTACTAGTATTAATACTAGTAATTACTAGTTAAATATATCCTATTTTAGCTTATTATTTTTAATTTATTAACTACCTACTAAAGTATCCTGCTACTAATCCTAATAACTATATATATATTATTTATATAAATAAAATAACAAGCGCATAGTTTTAAAAAAAAATATATAATATATATAAGTTTATATTTTTTAAAAATTAATTATTAATTACTTTAATTTATATATTATAAGGTAAAAGTTAAAAATATAAAATAAATTTTTAACTAGTTCCTTAGGTAAATATATAATAAATTTTACTTTAATTATTTTAAGGTTAAGGTTTATAAGTATTTAAATTTAAAATTATAAAATATTACTTATTAAAAAATTAAAAAAAAATTTTTAAATAAAATATATAACAAGTACAGGAAGATTATAGTAAGTAAAGCTTTTTTAAAAATTAAAACTATATATAAGTAAGTTAAAACTAGTTTTATTATTTTAAAACTACTTTATTAATTAAGCCTGCTTAGCCTTTTTTAAGTAACTTAAAAATACTTTAAAGGTAAAAAAATATACTTACAGGTAATTTTTACCTACAGGCCTGTTTTATAAAAGCATGCTATATTAATAAGTAACCTTAATTTTAAAATATAAACTAGTTTTTAATTACTTTAAAATATTTTTAATATATATTATTATTATATAACATACCTATATAATAATTAATATAATTTTAATAAATATTTTATATTTAGCTTATTTAACCAGGCTTAAAATATTAATATTAAGTTATTTTAAGCTTACTTTAAGGCTCTAGCCCTAGCTAATTTTAAAAAATATAATATAATTAAATTTATTATTAGTTAAAAAAAAAGTGTGGTATATAGGATTAGAACTAGTTTTTTAAAAATAAAACTAGTTTTATAAGTATTTTTTTTAAACCTTAAAATTACTTATTAATTACTTTATTTAGGCTAAAGCCACCTATAAAGGGAAGGAAAACTTAAAAAAATTAAGTATAAAATTATATTTAATATTTTTATTTTTTTAAACTAGTTAGAATATTTTTTTATTATAATAGTTTTTTAAGGCGTGTATACTTATTCTTTTTTTTTATTAAATTAACCTTTAAAGGCTATTTTTAATAAGGTTATTAAGCTTATTTATAAGATACAAGATCCTAACCTTATAATAAATATATAAACTACTTTATAAATAATTTTATTTAGTACTAAATTACTTTTAAGTTAATTTTTAAAAAGTCTAGCCCTTTAAAACTTTTATTAATAATATAATAATTAAATATTATTTTAAATTTATAATAGCTTTGCAAACCAAGATTATTTTTTTATTATTATTATAAAAAAAAGGGTTTTACTTTATTTTAAAGGCTAGGAAATAGCTAGTATATAGTTTTAGCTTTTAGTTAAGCTAAATTTTAAGGTATTTAGCTTATTTTATGCCCTGGAAACTAGTTACTAACTACTTAAAAAGTATTATTATTAAAGGCTTATTACTTATAAAAATATTATTATAATTATTTATATATTTAATAAGTAAATTAAGCTTTTAGCCTTGCTAAACTTTTTTAAAGTTAATATATTTTATAAGCGTGTTAAAAGTACCTTTAATAAGGTTATTTTTATTATATTTTTACTAAAGCATGGTAAAAGTAAGTTAAAAAGTACTTTTTAAGTACTTTACTTACTTATATCCTACCTTTTTTTTAAAATTAATTACTAACTACTTTTAGTTTTTATATTACTGCGTGTTTTTATTAATATTAAGATTATAAATAAATATTTTTTACTTTTTAAAAAGATTTTTAGTCTTATTACTTCCATGCAGGGGTTTTTTAGCTAATTTTTTTATTTTTATAGTATTAATATTAAGGGTATTATAGTAAATATATATATAAAGTAAATAGCTAGTAAGCTTTATATAAAACTACTTTTACCTTAGGCTAAACTAGTTTTAGGATTAGGCTAATACCTTTAAAAAAAAGATTTTTATAGTTATATTTAAATATAGTAGTCAAAAAATATTTTTATTATATATTATATTTATTTTTTTTAAATTATTTAAAAGCTTTGCCCTTAAGAAAAGTATTATATATTTATTAGCTATTATATAAAAAGCTTGCTTACTATTAAGACTTTAAAAGATTATTTTAATTTTTATAAACTACTTTAAAGTATATTTTTTTATTTTTTAAAGTACTTTAAAACTAGTTTTAACTTTAATTAATATATAAAAATACCTTTATTTATAATTAGGCTAAATATAAAGTTTATTTAGTTATTATTACTAGTTTTAACTAAGCTTATTTTTAAATTTTACCTAATTATTATAAGTAAATCCAGGAAAATATTAATACTATTAAGTAAAGTTATTATAAGTCTTACTTTTTAAGTACTTAAAAGTTATTACTTAATATAATTATAAGGTTAAAATTACTTTATTTATTATAAAAATTATTTTTAATTACTAATTTTAAGGCAGCTCCCGGCAGCTTAATTAATATAATATAAATTAATATTATATAAAAGTTTTTTATAAAACTTAGCATAAATATTATATAAATAATATATATAAATAATACCTTAAGTATATATAAAAAAATTATATATATATTAAAACTATTTTAAAACTACTTTAAAATTACTTTTAATTTTTTTAGTGTGCTAAAAATATAAGGCTTTTAATATAGTAAAGTAGGAGGAGCTATAAAAGGTAAAAAATAATTTTAATAAAATTTTATTTAAATTAAGTTTTTTTAAATTTATATATACTAGGGGCTTTTAGTTTTAATTATATTATATAAAAAGGTAAAGTACTTTATTTTATATAAAAACTAGTTTTATATTAATAATACTTTAGTATAACTTTAGCCATACCCTATAAATAACATGCTTTATATATTTTAATATATTTTAAAAACTATTTTACTTGCGGGAAGAACTACTTTAGTATTAATAATTTTTTAAAACTAATTTTACTATACCTGCTTATTAATATATTATATAAGTTAATAAAGCCTGCTTTACCCTAGGACTAGATTTTTTTAATATTAATATTATTTTAATATTTTTACTACTATATTTATTTAAAAATATATATTAATATTATAAATTTACTAAAAAACTAGTTTTTAAGTACTTATTAATTATTTTAAATTTTTTAATATTTTTTAAAACTTTCCTACTGCTACCCATGTAAAGGGCCAAAGATTAAAAATTAGGGGTAAAATTAAAATTAATTTTAAAAAGCTAGCCTAGTTAAAGTAATATTTTTATAATAAAATAGCTAGGGGGCCTGTTATATTTATTAAAGTTATTAAATATATTAAAAAATGTTATCACTGTTATGGTGTTGCAACTGCGCAGTATTACAATAACGCAATCCGGCGGCCTAAGGCCGCCGGGCGGAGGAACTTTAGCGCTAAACTAGCCGCGCGCTAAGGCAGCGGCTAGTTATATAATATATAAAATACTAAGTTTAACTTTAAACTTTAACTTAAAAAAATTAGCAATTAATTCCTATTATAAATATATAATGCTTTTTTTATTATAGTAATTTATGTTTTTTTAAGCTTATTATAGTATATAAATATAACTTATAGTTTTAATTACTTTTTTTTTAAAAAAAAAAACCTATTTTATATAATAACTAGGTAATAAACTTAATCCCAGGGGCTAGTAAATAATACTTTAAAAAAGTAATTATAAACCCTAACTTAATAACTAACTAACATGCCTAAAAAAAATTTATAAACTTTTAACTAAAAAATCCTAAGGACACCCCTATTACTAAATCCTAAACTATATAAAAAATATTAAAATATAAAGCGCCCACCTAGGGGTAAAAAAATAAAAATAGTAAAAAAATTATTAAAAAACTACAGGTAATGCTAGAAGTAATTTTAGCAAAAAAAAAAAATTATAAGAATAAGAACATTATAAAAAAAAAAATATTAATAAATCCGTGCCTAAATTAAAAAGGCACGCTAATAAATTATAAGGGCTAAAGCTAAATAATAAATATATAATATACCTATTTAATTTATTAAGTAACTAATAGTCCCTGCTAAATAAACTTTAATAACCTTATAATCCTAAAGGAAACTACTAAAGGGGTTATAATAATAATAATATAATTTAAAAAAGACTTTTTAAAAAAGTTGCTATTTATAAAATTATACTAGGCAAATAATATTAAAAAATTTAATAATTAAAAGTTAAATATAAAAATATACTTTAAAACCTTTCTAACCTACTACCTAAATAATAGCCATAAAATATCT